TTACTGGGCCAAATTCAAGCTGTTACAAATAGTATTGTTGGCATCCGTCTCTCGGGAGACAGTGGAAGAGTGTGCCTTCAGAGGTGAAGTCAAACCGTTGGAGTGTTGCAGTGCCTACTGAGGCTGTAGAGACAGGAGAGACATGTTTTATAATTGGTATACCGCATTGTATATAAGTATAGATTCGTATATAAAGCCCTTAACAGCTTGGGACCAGTCCACTGTACAAATGCCACCTAATGCTGCTTGTAAGGAAACAATCCTTCATTGTGGATTAGAACTCCATGCCCATTGAAATTAGTCAGGTGCATTCGCTGCATTATTTTTGGCCCCTGCTGAAGACTTGTTTATGTAGGCAAGCCTAACCAGACACATAATTTTAGATTATTAGGTATATTTTTAGTCAATGCTAATTTTACTTCCATTTTACTAAATTCTAGGTTCACTTGCTCTTAATGTCTATTTCATCATTATGTTATGTTACAAGTATGTAAACTACTTAGAGGTTATGGGTGATCAAGTGACATATAAATAATGCTAAATAAATGTACCCACCCATCAATGAAGTCCCTTCTCAGAATTTCCCTTCATTGTAAATAATGTTGTGACGGAAGAACTTAAAATTGAAAAAGGGACACGACAAGGTTGCCCAATTTCCCCACTACTTTTTATTTCGGTCCTGGAAGTTTTGTTGAATATGATCAGAAGGGACCAGTTGGTTAAAGGTATACAGGTCGGAACTAAACAGTACAAATTGAGAGCATTTGCAGATGACTTAGTATTGACGTTACAGGAGCCAGAATCTAGTACTAAAAGGGTTTTAGAACTGATTCAAGAATTTGGTCAAGTGGCAGGATTTAAATTGAATAAGTTAAAAACCAAGGTTCTAGAGAAAAATTTAACACCGATTGAAAGAGAGAGGTTTCAGAATGAGACAGGTCTAACTGTGGTTAAGAAAGTTAAATATTTGGGGATCAACATGACAGCAAAAAATGGGAATTTATTTAAAGATAATTATGAAAAATGCTGGTCTGAAGTGAAAAAAGATTTAGAAACTTGGTCAAATTTGAAGCTTTCACTGCTGGGCCGTATTGCTGCGATAAAAATGAATGTATTGCCTAGAATGTTGTTTTTGTTCCAAACTTTGCAGATTGTGGACAAAATGGATTGTTTCAAGAGGTGGCAGAAAGATATTTCTAAATTTGTCTGGCAGGGCAAGAAGCCCAGAATAAAATTTAAAATTTTAACGGATGCAAAGGAAAGAGGTGGATTTGCCCTGCCAGACTTGAAACTTTACTATGAATCAGCAGCTTTTTGCTGGTTGAAAGAATGGCTACTTCTTGAAAACACTGACATTTTGGACTTAGAAGGTTTCAATAATGTATTTGGATGGCATGCATATTTATGGTATGATAAGGTCAAAGCACATAAAGCGTTTAGAAACCACATTGTCAGGAAAGCGCTATTTAATGTTTGGGTAAGATATAAGGATCTGTTAGAAAACAAAACCCCAAGGTGGCTGTCACCAATGGAAGCGAAAGCCTTGAAAAAGGTCAATATGGAGGTCAAATGGCCGAAATATTGGGAAATTTTGGAACAAGACGGAGATAGACTGAAATTGCAGAGTTTTGAAAAGCTAAAAAACAAAGTGCGAGACTGGCTACATTATTATCAGATAATGGAGGTATTTAAATTGGACAGGAAAATTGGCTTCCAGATGGAAAGATCAAAATTAGAAACAGAACTGTTAGAACCCAAAACTAAGAATTTGTCAAGAATGTACAACTTGCTGCTGAAATGGAATACTCAGGATGAAACGGTAAAATCGGCTATGATTAAATGGGCACAGGACGTTGGACATAATATTATGTTTGCTGACTGGGAACAGTTATGGACCACTGGTATGAAATTTACGGCATGTAATGCCTTAAGAGAGAATATTATGAAAATGATATACAGGTGGTACATAACCCCAGTCAAGCTTGCAAAAATCTATCACTTGCCCGATAACAAATGTTGGAAATGTAAAGAAATTGAAGGTACATTTTTTCACCTTTGGTGGACGTGCCCAAAGATTAAGGCTTTCTGGGAAATGATATATAATGAATTAAAAAAGGTATTTAAGTATACCTTCCCTAAGAAACCAGAGGCCTTTCTCCTGGGCATAGTCGGCCAAATGGTGTTAAAAAAGGATAGAACTTTCTTTATGTATGCAACAACAGCAGCAAGAATACTCATCGCAAAGTATTGGAAGGCACAAGAACTTCCCATGCTGGAGGAATGGCAGATGAAACTTATGGACTATATGGAATTGGCGGAAATGACTGGTAGAATCCGTGACCAGGGAGAAGAGTCGATGGAGGAAGACTGGAAGAAATTCAAAGACTATCTTCAGAAACACTGCAAAATTAAGGAATGTTAAAGTGATGTTGGACTGAAAATAAGTGGTTTCCAGCTGCACAGGTTAAAGTAAATGATAGACTAAGATTAAAGATCAAGATTAAAGATGTTTAAAGAAATGGAAATTTGATATTAAAAGGGAAAATTTTAACGTTATATGATACTAAGATCAAGGATTAGGTTTAAAGAAGTTGAAGTTATATATTTTAATATTTTATTAAATTAAAGATTGGGATTTAAAAAGTGGAAAAGAAACTGCTGGACAAATAATTTGGATTGGAATACAAAAGAGGGAGGTATGAGGAAGTCCAGAAAATAAGTAATCTAAAAATGGAAATGGAAAAGAGAGTTTGTTTTTAATTATGTTTTTTCGTTTTTTATTGTTGAGTTATGTATTGCTTTTTGTGTGTGTTGTTTCTTTGTTGTTTAAAACTTTAATAAAAATTATTTTTAAAAAAACCAAAAAAAAAAAAACCCAGAATTTCCCTTCAGCTCACCCTCCATCTTGTTCCGCCTCCCTCACGGAGCCCCTCACTTTGGAGTTGCCTCTCTTTGCCCTGCCCACCCCGTCTTCTTCCAGAGCAGGCCGCATGGACCATTTTCATCCTGGCAGGGACTCCGTCCCTGCTGCGCCCAGACTGCTCTCTCCAGCAGCTGCCACCAGCCCTGGACCCCGCAGTTCATTCTGCAGCCCAGAGAAGGGAGGGAGAGTAAGGAGGAGCGCTCTCCTCCCGCTCTGCCAAGGTGGGGGAGGGGGGGACTACCCAGCTGCCCTGCCTTGTGGACTCCCTTGGCCAGGGAGGGGAGATGGGGAAGCCCACAAATCCCCAAATGGCAGGACAACAGTAGGTGTAACCCCCCCACCCCCGCTACTTTGGAGACCGCGGGTGCACAGCCAAAGCGCATGGGGACGGGGCTGCGTTAGCTGCAAAACATGCGCGCACAAACATGTATAGAGGAAAACAGGGCTGAGCTCAGGACGACAGGAATCCCAGTATCAAAGCACCAGGCTCAGGGTGAGCCCGCAGTCGCGTCCCCGCCTGCTCACTCCCGCCCGCGTGCCCCTCCCTCCAGCAGCCCGGGAGGCAGAGCCAGCGTCTCCTCTCACCATTGCCTGGTTACTAACACACACCCCTCAGGGCAGCACACGCACTCCTGGCACCCGCAGGACCTGTTACTAAGCGCAATGCTGGAAGGCGAAGAAGGAGAGCCAACCTGAGGCAGGAGCACCCCTGGGAATCTCAAGTCCCAAGGGAAGGGAAGGCACATTGGCCTGGCAGAAGACGGCTGCTGACGCGGCGCAGCAGCCTCCGGGGGCGTAGGGGGAAGCAGCAAGCCGGGAGATCTAAGCTTCCTAGCTTCTTGCGCGCCGGGCAACAATGCCACGGCTGAGGAGCTGCCCGAACTCGGCCCTGCCCTGCAGGCAACCAAGAGCAGCTCAGTCACCAGGCGTTTGCATCCTGCCCTCCGGACCCAGCCACGGACAGGAAAGGCAGAGAGGCAGCCGCGCAGCAGCAGGAGCCCCAGCTTGGGGAGAAGCTTACGATACACCGGCGCACACCTTAGCCGTCAGCAGAAAGACCTTCCCCCAAAAAAGTCTGGCGCGTGCCCGAGCCAGTCAGCCCATTGAGTCACCCTTACACCTAGCAACCCAAAATACCATTCCCCTCCACACCGTTGCCCAATAAACCAACTCTAACAGGTAGCCTCTCCGTAGGATACATTGCCCTCCTCTCCCGCAGCTGACTTCCTCGTCCTCCCCGCAGGCAGCAGTACCCACCCACCTTGGGCACCCCAGAAGCCCCACACAATCCATGGACCCTGAGGGAGGAGAGAGAAGAGGCAGGGAGGAAGGCGGCTCCGTTGCCGCCCTTGTGTCCACTAGACGCCTTGCCTGCCCTCCTCAGGGCCTGATCCTGAGGCCATCTGATACTCGATCTCCCCGCTCCGCTGGTCCGGCTGAGAGCGCAACTGGTGGTGTGGCACTTCCCGAGAAAAGTTGCCCGTGGAGAGTAGCGCCCGCTCTTCCCCGACGCCTGCCCCTTCTGCTGCTGGCCCTGGGCAGGTGGGTGCCAGGGCACAATCCAGGGGGCGCTCTGCACCCTGGGGAGGGGGCGGCACAAGCGTGCGTTGCCTGGGCTGGATCTGTGCCAGCACATTGGCCCTGCGCATTCTCTACCCCCCACCCCCCGCGCGCATAGGCAGGCTTATTTTAACTAGGTATGTGGGGGGTGGAGGCAGCCCGGCAGAAGCAGGAGGCCAACGGAGCAGCCCTGCTGAGCCTCAGCCTGCTCGGGGCGAGCGCAAAGGCCAGGCCAGAGCACATGGGCCAGCTGTCGGCTCGCCCACCTGCGCACTCTCCTGGCGCGCGCTCTGCAGAAGACTCGGCAGCTCCGCGGCTTTGGGCCTGCAAAGCAATCAATCGGGTTCTCCCTCTGTCCTGGAGGGGAACCGCCTCCTTAGGAACTCACTTGGCCGGTATTAGCCTCCCCAGCCCATGTCTGCAGGAGCGCGTGGCTGGGCAGGGAGGCGCACCTGCCTCTCCCGCAGCTCAGGTGGGTCCGCTGCGAGTGGACTTTGTCCCTCCGGGAGTGCCAGCCAGACATCCTCCGCGCCGACTATGCTTGCCAACCAAGCTCCGCGTGGGGTGGGGTGGAGGCATAGGCGATCGGTGGGGCACAGCCCACCCACTTCCACAGACACACGCCGCGTGGGCTGCCGCTCGGGCGTCCGGCTTGCAGGCGCTGTCCACTGCGGTGGTGCTGAAGCGTGCCAGAAGCCTCGCCACGGCCGCTGCAGCGCATCGGACGAGCGGGCGGGTTGGCGGGCGGCCAGACTGAGTCGAGCCGGGCTAGGCTGGGCTGGGCTGGCGGCGTAATCTCCGCGCTCCCCTCCCCCGCGAGCCATTGCCATTCGCCGCACGTCCCCGCCCGCCTCACTGTGCGCACTCCCTGCCTGCCTGCCTGCCTGCCTGCCTGCCTGCCTGCTCAGCTCTCTCGCTCGCTTGCTCGCTCGGCCTCGCCGTCGCCATGGCCAGCACCTTCGCCCGCATCGTCTCGGCCCGAAGATCCGCCGGCCTCTTAGCCTTGGCGGGCGCAGCCGGCTCACTGGCCGCCGCTGGCTTCCTCCTCTCCCGGGACTCCGTGGGCGCCGCGGTGGCCAACCGGCGCCGCTACCCGGCTAGGTATGGCTCCTCAGGCAGCCCTTGCACACACTCACACACGGAGAGATGCCTTCAGGGAGCTGAGCGGTGGGGAAGGGAGGACGGGGACATTCCGACGGGGATGGCGCTGGGTCCGCTCGCGGTCAAGGGGCCGCGGGAAGAGCCAGGGCAGGGGGAGCCCCACACCAGCTCCCTCCCCAGTCACCTGCAATATGTAGGAAGAGGCGACAAACAGGGCGCCTCCCCACCCCACCTTTTCTCTAGCACTGCAGCATTGAGGCAGTCTGGTTTAGTGGCTAGAGACTGGTGATTTGATCCGAGCAAGCCGTAGTCCGGACGCTCTGCCTGTCCGCCGTGAGCGAGCCAGAGGCGGGACTATCCCTCGGTTCAGCGGTGGTCCTGAGCGAATGCGAGCCTAACTGAGCCGCCGACCCGGGCTTGGTCTAAATCCAGACGCGTGGTCTATGGTTGTTCACTCCCAGGAGGAGGCCCAGAGCCCGAGATTGCGGCATTGGCGGGAGGAGGGGCTGGGGCGGGAAGAGCCATAGAGGAAGAGCTGTCTCAAGGGGCTTGTTGGGCACATCCCCTGAGGGCAATGTGCTCTACACATGCTCTGGAACACTCTCCCCTTCATTGCCTCTGGCTGGGCTGCAGCGGGGCCGGTTCTGCTTGGTCCTCCTCCTTGCCGGACCGAAAGAACCCGGTCGAGCTTTCTCTAGCGCCCAGAGACAGCTTTGTCATCCAGGGTCCCCCCTTTCGTCCCAGTCCTCAGCACCGAAAAAATAGTGCCAGCCCCGCTCGGAAATATCTACCCCTCTGGGCAACACACCTCCGGGCTTGCTGCTCTTCCGCACAGGAGGCCGGAAAAGCTGCTCCTGCAAGCGGTGCGGTGGGGGAGGAGTGGCCCCAGGGACACCCTTCCCACAGGAGGACGCCGAGATCTCAATGTCACCAGCAGAATGAGAGGAGCCTTTCGGCTGCTGCCTATTACGTTTGCAGGAGACTAGTGCGCCGGTTGCTCGCTCCCACAGTGCTCCCGAGAATTGGGCCTCCAGGGAGGAGAATTGGGACTTCTCCGCAATCGTCCCGACTGCTTCCCTTGCCCCCTATAGGCCAGCCAATGCACAGGCACCAAGGAGGAAAAATACACCTGCTGAACTCCTGCCTGTCATGCAGCTCTTTTCCCGGTCACTGCCAGGAAAAGAGGGCATCCCGCACTGACTGCGATGAGCTCGCGAAGAAGGATCGGGCCACTCACAGCTGCGGGGGCTGCAGTGCGCCCCTCTGGGCTCAAGCGGGGCCTCCTTCAGCTCTCTAAGCCCGGGGGAGGGAAATTTCCCTCGCTCAGCTGCTCCAGCCTCTCTCCCTCCCCGCCCCCTCGCAACTCCAGGGAAGGCCAGGAAAACCACAAAGCCCCTCTAAACTGGGAACGAGGTCAGGAGACGGCCGCTCTAAGCGGATTAAGAGTCTTCTTAATGCAATAAAGTCCTCCGCGCGCCTCCTGCTCTGCTCACTGGTTGCTGCGGCTGCCTTTTGGGGTCAGGCCCTCTCAGCTGCTCCAGGTTGAGGTCCAGCATCTACGCCCCATCACCGGCAGGGGCTGTGGGTAGGCTCTGCGTGGGAGGTAATAGCTGAAGCAGGGGCGCCAGGAGTGGAGAGCAGCCGAGCCTCCTGCAAGTTGGTTCCCAAACTGCCTCAACGCAGTTAAAAACGCAAAGCTCAGACAGGCTCCCACCAGAGATGAAATCCATGACTAGAAACCAGAGCTAAACAAGAGAAACATCGCAGCTTGTGCGGGGTGGAGTCCTGGAAGCCCAGAAGCAAGTGATCTTCCCTCTCTCCCACCCTTCGCACTGAAGGGTGGTGGTGGGGACAAAGGGGGCAGGAAGGACCCACAACACAACAAGTCAGATTTTTCCCCCTGTATCAGGACTCAGCTGCGGTACATGTGAAATAAATTATAATGTGAAATACATTATAGATACATTGGTACATCTGGGCACATGCAGAGTGCATTTCCTTGAAAAGATGTAAAAGTGTGGCCACAAAATTTCACTTACAGGAAATTTCAGAGCAAATGTGGAGGCTACTGTTCCTCCTCCTACATTTATAAATGGCTCTCAGGCTGCCTCCTCCTATATAAGACCCTCTCAGAGGAAAGGGGAAGCCTGCAACAAAAGCCAAAGAAGCAATGGGTGCCCCACTGCCTGCAGTGTGTTAATTCTATCCCACATCCTGTCCCCTCCCCCCACCCCGGTGCAGTGCTGAGTACCCTGACCTGCGGAAGCACAACAACTGCATGGCCAGCAACTTGACACCAACCATCTACGCCCAGCTCTGTGACAAGGCCACCCCCACCGGTTGGACCCTGGACCAGTGCATCCAGACCGGCGTGGACAACCCTGGGCACCCCTTCATCAAGACTGTAGGCATGGTAGCAGGGGATGAGGAGTCTTATGAGGTTAGTCCCCAAGCAGCCCTTCTCACCCACCCACCCACCTGGGCTCCCTTTAGCTTGCCATTAACCCCACCCCCATCCTTGTGGCTCTAGGTCTTTGCAGGTCTGTTCGACCCAGTGATTGAGGAGCGCCACAACGGCTACAACCCCCGCACTATGAAGCATCCCACGGACTTGGACTCCAGTAAGGTATGCGGCACCCTCAGCACCCCAGGAAGGAGACCTTGCCCAGGGGTCACTGCAAAGTCTCACTCATATGTATATGTATATCTGTGTGTGTGTGTGTGTGTATACACGCACATATACAGTGGAACCTCATTTTTCGAGCGTCTCAGAAGCTGAACGATTTGGAACCCAAACACTGGAAACCTGGAAGCAATTGCTTCTGTTTTCGAACACACCTCGCAAGTTGAACGGCTTCTGCTACGTGTTTTTCCATTTTTTTCAATGGATTTTGCCGACCACCCATTGATCCTCGGTTTTTGAACGTTTCGGAAGTCAAAGGGTCTTCCGGAACAGATTACATTTGAAAACCAGGTACATACCGTGTACATACATGCACACACACAGTGCTATTTTTCTAGAAAAAGAAGTGCCGGAACTCACCATAAATGCCTCCCTTATTCTCTTAGAATTGCAGTTCCGGTTGAAAAAAAGCCCTCTAAGTGTGTGTATGTTTTTCCAAGTTGCATAAAACAGTGAAAAGCAATCAGTATAAAACACAAAACAACATCAAATTGAGGAAAGGCAACATTAAAGCCCCAGTTAACCATCAGCTCAGGACCAAATGTTACCAATTCGCTTCAAGAGGAAACCAAAATTTTCATTCTAGGAGGTGGGAAGAAGGCCAGGTTTCTCCCTGGGAAACTAGAAGAGACAGTTTACTCCTATCAAAACTTGCCAAGATCCCTTGGCTTGCCCCCTGCATCCTGATGGAGATGGATTAAGGATTAAATATGTAAATTAAGATTTAAACCTCCTGTCCCACGTGTGTGGGAGAAATGTGAAAGTAAACAGGCTGTAAAACCCTTTTAGCAGAGTAAGAAAACTTATGCTTTTGCAGTTTACTGAAAGCTAGGAATTGGGCAATTGCATCTGTTTTCTCTGTTTATTTGTGGTCTGCTGACCTTTCCCCTCTTTGTCCTCATTGCTACAAATGAACCACACATTTTAGTAAGATAAACATAAGGTTTACTTACATTTCAATGCAGGCAGCAAATACATCAAAGTTGTATTCAGGTAATAAAAAACCTTCTTAGTTAAAAAAATTAGTTTTTAATTGGAGTCTGGACTCACATCTCTGACTTGAAAGAGAGGGTGAGCTCAGGCAGAAAGGAAGTACCGCATCCATCACTATAAACAACATCAAGCACCCTGGTGCTTATCTGTTCAGTACATAGAGGAAATGAAGGCTTAACACTCTTCTCAGTGATGCAACTTATGCACTTTGCTGTGTTTGAGGCATCCTGAGTTACCTTTACTCCTCTTGCAAGCTCCTTGCTCTGCAAATCCATAATGGCTTTGATGTCTCTGTGGCCAAATCTTCTGTGACAAAGTTATTTTCCTCTCCTTTCTGTACACTCCTCTCTCAGACGGCTAATTTGTTAAATTTTGTGCTACATCCATGAGAGTCGCAAAAGCATCAAATTTAGATCCTAGTGATCCCAATAAATAACAAACTTTCAAATCACCCTCTGTCTTCAGACCAGCAATCTCCAGTTTCTCAAAAAATGGCAAGAAATTGTGTTGCATGGTTGCTACAGTCCCTCCTGGATTCTAGCTTTAGTTTAAACAAGTCTCTCATCCATGTTCTATGGGAATATTTACTTGTGTACCCATATACCAGTTCCAAATTATCAATCCCTTGAGCTGCAGCATCTCCTTAGCACGGACCATCCATGCAACTGAAATGCTGTCCGTGATTATAGATATTGCCAATTTATTTTGCTGCTCCCATGCTCTAATTAAGGCTCTCTCTTCTGCAGTGGTGCCAGTAGGCTTCTGATTTCCAATGCAGTCCAGAACTCCTTTCAAGTCCAGCCATATCTCTAAACACTTCTTCCAGTGTAAGACATTATCCTGCTTGAGCTTGGGTAGTCTGGTGCCTTCTGCCTCAACTAAATTCCCTCCTTCCATTAAAACAATTAAAAATCAATCTTAAAATTTCCAAATTTGAACAAAATTAAAATTCAGGAGCAAAAACAAAAAATGCCAAAATAATCAAAACAATATAAATCGAAACAAAATAATCAAAACAAGACCCCTGAGCTCCGAGAGGCAACAAAGGTCCTGTCCTTTATATCATCCCCATCCCACATGTGTCACCCCCTGGTGATTAACTGCCTTTTGCATCCCGCTTCCTCGGGGTACACCTTCTCCCGCAGATCAAGGCAGGCCACTTTGACGAGCGCTACGTGCTGTCCTCACGAGTGCGGACGGGCCGCAGCATCCGGGGTCTCAGCTTGCCTCCAGCTTGCAGCCGGGCCGAGCGTCGAGAGGTGGAGAGGGTCACAGCAGAAGCCCTGGCTGGCCTGAGTGGAGACCTGGCTGGCAAATATTACCGCCTCAGTGAGATGACAGACAAGGAGCAGCAGCAGCTCATTGATGTGAGTGGTGGGGAAGCCCAGTGGCCAGGGGTGGGGTGCATTTGTGGGTTGGTGGGTGTGCACGAGGGCTGAGCGATATATCAATGTATCATCCAAAACCAGTTTGCAGTCCATATTGTGGTTATCGGTTTCATAATTTTTGACCTGGCAATATATTGTAAATCATGGTATGTGTGTCTGCACTATGCAAAAATCACGATGCAGGGAAAACCGTGACACCAGCCAATGTCTCTACATTGTTCCATCCTTATTTCAGACATCATGATATATCCGCATATTGTGGTTTAGCTGGCGATATATCACCATGTCGAAAACCAGATTTTGCCCAGCCCTAGTGTAAAAGGGGGACATTGGAGCACCCCACAACTGCCTAACCTTGACTTCCATAGGTTCAGGTCGGGGTCACAAGCAAGAGACTTCAGCCAGGAGATAGAAGCAAAACAGCGGCCAGTAGGCCTGATCTTTATTGTTTCAACAAGACTTCAAATTGCCACATAGAAGAAGCAGAGAGAAGCCCCGAACAAAGGATGGCTCCTTTTTTAATAAGTTTCCCAAATTACCCATAACACCATTAGTAAAATATAATACATCATAAATATGTCATAAATTGGGAAGGGTCTCCTGGCCGAAACCTGAGCACCAGGCTTGTCTGTCCCTCACATGACCTCCATCTTCCAATTTTTAGGTGAAACAAAGGTAAGTATTTACATTTTCCCAGCCAAGTTAAGCACACCCATTGTCTTGACCGAGAGCCCAATCCACTGAGGTTGGGTTTGTGATTGTTCTTGGAATGACTTGTCCGGCACTCAGGTGCCAGGATGCCAGAGATTATCACCCCCCAGGCAGTGGGGCTGCTGAGTGCGTGGTCTCATGCTTCAGGGATTATAGCTGCCCCTACCTATGTCCCAAGCTCCTCTCCTGTTAGCCATTTTCTTTCTGAGTAGAACAACATTGGAATGGTGTATATCCATCACACATGAATTTCTGAAGTTTTCCCATTGAGCCAGGACATAGATCCATTTTTCAGTGAATTTGGTAATGGAGGCTCGTTGTCTTTGCCTTTGGCTTGTGGTGGGGGGGAAGGTCTCTCTCTCTCACACACACACACCCTTCCAATTTTCTGGCAACACTAGAGTGCACAATCAGGGCTTGCTTGTGTGTGGACTGTCACCCAAGCTCTTCTTAGTGGGCAGGACTGGGCTGGGCAGCCCATAGGCAGCCTGGCCTTAGACTGCTTTCCCTTCTTGCTGGGAGCCTGTTACTGCCTCTTTTGGTGTAGCATGGCAAGGCATGCCATTCATTTCATGTAGGACTATTGATGGCTATACTCTGCCTCCACAGTTGGAGGCAGACATGCTTTTGAAGACCAGCTGCTGGAAACCACAGGAGGGGAGAGTTGCTCTTGTGCTCGAATCCTGCTTGCAGGTTTCCCATAGGCATCTGAGTAGCCACTGTGAGAGCAAGATGCTGGACTAGATGGGCCTGATAGAGCAGACTCTTCTGATGTTCTTGTTTCCCCTGGGACTGGAACTGCTGCTGTGCTGATTGCCTCCCTCTCTAGTCAGCGGCAGCTGCACCCTCACATCCCCCTTCAGGTGTCCTCAGGAGAACATCCCTAGGCACTGCCCCACATCTCAGGTTGACCCTGGCCATAATTCCTAGTTCCTGCCTGCCCAGTTGGGTGGGTCCCAGCCAAAACCCCAGCTCATCATCACCTCTTCTCCTTCCCAGGATCACTTCCTATTTGACAAACCTGTCTCCCCTCTGCTGACAGCTGCAGGCATGGCTCGTGACTGGCCTGATGCCCGAGGAATCTGGTATGGCTTCTGGCTTCTTCTTCTGGTATGGTACAGAGTGGGTGGACAGGCAGCCATAGACCCTCTTGAGAGGCAGGCACTCCCCGCCCAGTCACTCAGAACAATGGCTCTGTCCCCATCAGCTGATATGAAACTGAAATGCTCCCCCTTTAATCTTTTAGAAATGAAATGAAACACAGGGGTCAGAGGGGGAGTGCCTGCCTCTCAAAAGGGTCTGTTGAAGGGGGGCCCTTCTTCCGCATATTCACCTGCTGACCTGGAGAGAGATGGCCTTGGAGAGGAAGGCTGCATCTCAAGCAGGAAGAGGGTCACTCCGGAAGCCCAGACTTATGAAGGGCAAAGCAAGAGCTTAGAATCATAGAGTTGGAAGGATCCCCAAGCATCATCTGGTTCAAACCCCTACTTGGCACAGGTTGGGGAGACATGTCCAGTCAGGGCCAGGCCAAGAACTTTTGGTACATAAGGTAGACCCCCAAATGGCATCCACCTCCCCACTAGGGTAGAAGGTGAGGTGGAAGATCTACATCAGGATCTGCTGCCCCGATGAATCGCCATCTGAGGCAGTTGCCTCATTTTGCCTCATGGGTGGGCTGGCCCCACTGGCGGAGGAAGGGGTGTGTGGTGGGTGCGGTCTACCCCAGGTGTCATCCCTGAGGGAGGTGACATTGCCGCGTCGCGCCCCTGGGACGCTTGCTGCGGGTGGCGCCCCTCCCCCCAGGACACTAGCCCCACCCCAGTGGGCGGCTAGCTCTGCCCCTAGGTGCACAACATGTGCGCCGCCCCGGGTATCAGAGCAGCCAGCTCCGCCTCTGGCCAGCCCTGATTCCAATCATGCCCAGGCAGTGCCTAGCACATTCCCACCCCACCCCAGTAAGTGCCAATCTCTCTCTTCAGGCACAATCACGAGAAAACCTTCCTGGTCTGGGTCAATGAGGAGGACCACACCCGTGTCATTTCCATGGAGAAAGGAGGCAACATGAAGAGAGTATTTGAGAGGTTCTGCCGGGGATTGAAGGAGGTGAGCAGCAAGTCCTCTGGCCCCACAGCCCCACCAGGTTCAGCTGAACATGGTGGCAGCATCCTGATTAGTAAAGCTCAGGCCACCATGGATCTGGTCCTGGGCCACATCGCAAGGCAGGGGGAAGGCTCTGCTCTAAGAGTTGAGCTGGAGGGTTGAGCCAGAGAAGGGGCCCAGTCTCATGGGGTGCTGTCCTTGACTTCTGCCTACTTCCCCTGCATACAGGTGGAGCGCCTGATCCAGGAGAGGGGCTGGGAGTTCATGTGGAACGAGAGGCTGGGCTACATTCTGACGTGCCCCTCCAACCTGGGCACTGGACTGCGTGCTGGGGTGCACATCAAGCTGCCGCTGCTGAGCAAGGTAAAGGCTGGGGCGTGGGTGGAGGGGTCCTACGCAGCATGATGCCCCCAACTGTTCCCTCCCCCCAGGATGTTTGAAACTCCGAGCAGGACACTCCCTTTCAGGTATCTAGTCCTCACCGTAGACTGCCCCCAGTAGCCTCAAGCTAACGCTTCCCCACCCCACAGTCACAGTTCTGTAAACCCCAAATACTTTGCCGCACTGACTTCTACCCGCAACCTCCTCTGCAGGATAGCCGCTTCTCAAAGATCCTGGAGAACCTGAGGCTGCAGAAACGTGGCACTGGTGGTGTGGACACAGCCGCCACGGGGGGCACCTTTGACATTTCCAACCTGGATCGCCTGGGCAAATCAGAGGTACCTGGGGAGGAGAGTCAGCCTTGCTGGGTGCAAAGCGTGCATTTGCGTGTGGAGAGTATGACACTCGAGCATCCTTGCCATCCTGGGTGGAGGGAGGGGAGCATGAAGCGGGACGTCCACGTGGCAAGGGAGGCTGCAAGGAAGGTCCTCATTCCCTTTGCGGCTTGCTGGGGGAGGAGAAGGAACTCGGTGGAGCAACAGGCCTGAGCAGTGACATGGATGTGGGGTGGCAGCAACAACCAGTGCCTCAAAGGACCATGGTGGGTCTCATTTGAGCTGCCCTCTCCAGCTTGGCTTGTTCTGTTCCTGCCCCTACCAGGTGGAGCTGGTGCAGCTAGTGATTGATGGTGTCAACTACCTGATTGACTGCGAACGGCGCCTGGAGCGGGGCCAGGACATCCGCATCCCTTCGCCTGTGGCCCAGTTCCGCAGCTGAGCCCAGTCCAGCCCAGGGCTCTTTGCAGACACCAGTGGGCAGAAGTCCTGTGTGGGCAGGAGGCACACGATGCACTGCACCAAACCCCATAAAACTCTGGCTGCTGTAACATTCTCCTGTCTCTGGCTGAGATTTGTAGCACTTGGAGGGGGGGGGGCAGGCCAGACAGGGCCAGAGCACCTGCCTGGCATGCAGAAGACCCAAGGTTCAATCCCCAGTCAAAATTATCCTGCAGACATGCTGCCAGTCCGTGTCAACAGGTGGTCATACTGGTCGCCTCGTCTGCCCCGTGGTACTGGAGGCAGCGAGTGGGGGAGGGCACAAGACGGTCGCAGGCACCAGCCAGAGTCAGTGCAAAGGGGCAGCTTTATTGCAAGGCCAGGGGCCCCCCGAAAGTCAAAAGGAGGCAGCAAGATGGAAGCAGCAGCAAAACAGCTGGACGGAGCCCTGAGCCACTTCTGCCTGTGGAGGAAGAAGGAGGAAGAGGAGCACAGCTTCACTGGAGGGGCCAGGGGCAGCACAGCGCTGGGAGGTGGCATGCCAGGGGGCAGTGCCCATGGTGAGGCATGCAGGGGTCAAGGCAGGGGTGGGCACATACTCCTGTAGTCCTGGCAGGGCTCCCCTTCGCACTGCGCCAGCTCCAGGGCCCATTTTTGCTTAGGACTGAGGAGTCCATACTGCTGGGCTGTCACAGCCGATGCCTGGGGGCTTGTCAGACTGAGCAGCTGGGCTGGGCTGAACACCACCTGAGGGGGAGCAGAGAAAGGCGAGGCAGAACCCACCAGGAGCTGCCAGCGCAAGTGGGATGATGCTCCACCCCCCACCCGTTTCCGCTGGGCCCAGCACTGGAGGGGCAGCCCCTGCCTGGCCCACATTTAGAGCCCCAGCTGAGAGGCCCGCCCCAGGCTTCCCCCTCCCCATCCCAGACCCCCAGGACAACAAGGCACTCACTGCAAATTTGGGGGCGGGGATCAAGGCAACTGCCTCTGGGGTCAGAGCCCGAAGCTGCTCTGGGACGAGGGACGAGAGGACGATGTCTGGCAGCCCCGCTGGGAAGGAGAGAAAGAGGTCGGTGGTGCCCACCCAGGGTGTGTTGCCCCGAAAGCAAGACAGAAGCAAGGACTCCCTCCACCACACAGCCACCGACCTGCCAGCGTCCCAATCTCTGTGAAAATCCCTGGGCCCCACATGGCGACAGGCCCAAAGGCAGCGGGGGTGACCAGGAGCCAGGCCAGGGCTTCCAGTTTCTCCTCAGAGCAGCTGAGATGGAGCAACCCCAGGAAGGAGGCTGCTTTGCTGTGGGGAAGGAAGAGGGCTGTAGCTGGGGTGCAGGGAGGGAGGTGGAGGCCTCTGCACCAAAACAGAAACTGGAAACTGGGTGTGCGTGTGTCCTGCCTGCAACCGTAGAAGGCTGGGAGCAGCAACCCCTCCAAGGTTAGAGGGCTCCCAGGCCCTCTGCCAATCCCTGTGCCTTCCAGCCTCCCTACCTGAATTCCTGGCTGTTGAGCTGCCTGATCTCCGCCACCTGCAGCCCACAGAGGAGGTGCCCGAGAGACACCAAGTCCAGCAGTGCCAGATTTTCCGCGCTCACCTTGTGCTGCTTTGCAAGGAGGCTGCCAACCACAGCCTGCATCTGGGTGTGCAGAGAGACAATGGGGAGGCCCCATCAGGACTGTGGCCAGACACCCAGGCTGTGGCTGGCTGGCTGGCAGCTTCTGCCCAGGCTGCCTCAGAAGGCCTGAGATCACAAAAGGGGATGAAAGGTGGCATGTTGCCTCTGAAGCTCAACCTGGCCACAGGGACACAGTTGTGTCCATGGATCAAATCAGAAGCTGGGATGGCTTTCGTAATTCCGGGGCTTTGCCTGGAAAATCAGGACACTTGGGAGGTATGCAGTGGGTGAGCCAGGAAAATGAAGAGCCCCTCACCTGCCTCTCTGTCCAGCCTTCCAGGCCCCCCAGCACTGACAAGGCTCCCCAGTCAGGAATCTCCAGCTCCTGTAGCTCCTCTTCGCTCAGTTGGAGGGCCAGGAAACCCAACTGCAGCATCTCCACTGCGCCCATTGCCCAGGTCGGCCCCAGAACCTGCAAGCACAGGGGGACCCTCCTAAGCCACGGTCCCTTCCTTCACACCTTGGAGACACCCTCCCCCCAAAGCAAAACCTGCTCATGGATGTCCCACTCCTGAACAAGAGGGCTTCATAATCCAACTGCATGAAAGGCCTCCCTGTAGGCTGGACAGGCTGCCCCCTGGCAACCCCCCACCCAACCCTTTGGGGCTGAGGGAGGCCCAAAGTGTCCGTGGGCTATTTATGGCAGGAGCCGCCTTCAGCCAAGGCCCTGGGTGGCTTTCAAGGCCTGGCCTACACGCTGGAAGGGACCTACTAAAGTTAATTGACAAGACTCACTTAGGTTCATTCATTCCAATGGGTCTACTCTGACGTACCCGCCAACATTTCTCCAATGAAAATAAGGATGTCTTAAGGAAAAACAGGACATTCCGGGGTCAAATCAGAAACAGGGACAGCTTCTGTGAATCTGGGACTGTCCCTTGAAAATAGGGACACTTGGAGGGTCTGCTCTGAGTCAGACTTGGCTGAATACACCCCCCCCCCCGCTGCCTTGGGACCCTCTGGGGTCAGAATACAGTCTGGTGGAGAACTCACCTCTTTGGCTTTGCTGAGAGCAGCCTGGCGCTGATATGGACGGAGGGCGAGGTCCTGACTGATGAGGCTCAGGCAGTCATGGAACTGGTCCAGCTCCATCGCGCTGATCTGGGTGGCGCTCCAGGCCGAGGGGAAAGAGGCCCGGATGTCGGAGCAGCTGGGCACAGGTTCTGCACAGGGAGTCCGGCAGGGGTGGGGGTGGGCAATGAGTTAGCCCAAAAGGACAGGGAGGGTCCCTAACCCCTCCCCTTGGCCTGAGTGTGCTTCAGGGGCACCTCCTCAGACAGAAGCTCACCTTCCTGGGAGCCCTCCAGGCTCCTCCTCACCAGGGCCTCTTTCTGGGCCTGCAGCCCCCCGCCTGGCCCTTGAGGGTCACACAGCTGGCCCTGCTCACTCTCCTCCCACAGCTTCTGGCTCTGCAGCAGCTGCTCCACAAGGTCCTTGCTCAGCACTGCCTGGAGCAGAACAGGATGGGAGAGGCAGGTCATAGAATTACAGAACTGTAGAGCTGGAAGGAATTCCAGCGATCATCTAGTCCAACCCCCTGCAATGCAGGAATCACAGCTAAGCAAGCCAGAGAGGCAGGGACACACTGACACAGCAGAGCCCATCTGTGGGGCTCCTCTCCCCACTTCAGCCCCTCAGCCCACCCCCTCCCCAAGCAATCAGATGATGAGACAATAGGAAGTGCTTTCATGCAATGTCTGACCATTCTTTTTTTAGAAAAATAAATAAATTATGCATTTCACATATGCAACGTGTGATAATTCTTATAAAGAACTACTTGCCAAGCAGTGCATGAGCAAAGGTCCTGAGGGTGGGGATCGGGGCAGATCTACTATAAACTAATGAAACTTAAGCTTCAGGGCCCATAAACCCAGAGGGGCCCCAGATGTGATTTTAGTTCACATGGCTTAACAATTTTGGGTGTATTAGACCCAATTTGCATGACTAAAATTGATTATTATTTTTGTTGGATATAATTCAACAATCCCAAAATTTGAGAGTCAACAGCACAGATGTAAAGGTGAACCGTTGCAGGAACTTGAAAATGATAAGGCATAGGGAAATTTTATTTGCACCAATGACTTTGATGTGTGAGATGATCGAGGACAGCAATTTTAATCAAAAACTGAGACGTAGTAGTTATTATTATTAGGTCCACCACTGGTGAGGATGCCACTGGAGGTCAGCCGTGGCTGCTAGGTGGAGCCTCCATGTCCAGAGGCAGTCTGCAGCTGATTGCTGGATGAGGATGAGGGTGGGGAGAACACACACACCACAGCCACACTTTGCAATCAGAGCTATTTGGCAGTGAGACAGAATGCTGAAGGACCCTCCAGCGCAGGAGATAGACATGGATACAGACCCTCACCCTGCCTCACCTGGGGGATTCGCTGGGTGCTCTCCGGAGGGAGCCTGAACACCAAATGCCCCAGCTGCTCCAGCTCCACCTGGCTCCAGTGCCCTGGGTCCCTGTAGTGGTGAAACAGTGAGGTGGTCATGTAGGCAAGCCGAGGCCTTGAGCTCAGCCAGGCTCCAAAAAGGCACCTTCCTCACCCCAAAGCACCATCTGCCATCAGCAGCTGCCCAAGCACTTCCGCAACACCATTATCGAGGCAGGTCTCCCGTAGCTCATCCAGGTGCTGGAGCAGATTTGCAGGATTGGCATGGACCAGGTTGTCGGGCTCCAGGAAGCCCACCAAAGGGCCAAGCAAGCTCAATATCTCCACTGAGATGTCTGCCTCCCCTTGGGACCTTTGCTGAAATACAGAGGGGAGGGAGGTGGGTGGGTGGCTCCCACTGGTCCCAGCCAGGAGTGGTGGTGCTGCAAGGAGTTTGGCCTGGGAAGGGTAACTTTGCTGCCGCCCCATCCCTGAGCCCAAGGACAGGGTGCCTGAAGACACAGCACTCCATCAGAGCTCACTGTTGCATTTTGACATAGGGAGAGAGGGAGGGATGGAGGGGAGAATGCCTCAAGGAATTTCCCTCCCTGCACCCTTCCTTGTGGTCCTCCTGCACCTGGAAAGGATGGAATGTGTCCCAGATGAGCCTCCGGTTATTGGCTCATTTTGGACCTCACACTATAACTATTGTCCCCATTTCACAGATCCCAAGCAAACCAATAAACCCACAGCAGAGCTGGTGGTGGTGGTGGGGAAGTGGAGAAGTGCACTGGGTTCCAGCTGTGCCACTCTGGCTCTCAAAACTGGTTGCTGCTCCTCTCCCCCTTACCAGTAGTGCCTGCAAACTGTGCCGGGCGAGGGCGGCCCGTCGAGGGGGTGGCAAGACCAACAGGTTGTGTGGGTGGCTCCTTACATAGTCCAAGATCAGCAGGAAGGACTTGCCAGGAAGCTTGTCCAGCAGGTGAGTCCTGGCCAGGAAGGAACACCTCACTTCAGCAGCAAGAAGCAGGCCAGGCAAGGCAGGGGAGGCAGGGAGGAGTGCTGGATCTGGCCCAGTAGCACAGAATCAAGGGGTGAAACGTACACGCCCCCCCACCTCAGTCAATACAGCAGCCTGCTGCACTGCTGAAAAGCCTGAAGACTCAGGAAGGTCTTCCTATAGGTTCCTCTAGCAGCGGTTCTCAACCTGTGGGTCCCCAGATGTTGTTGGACTACAACTCCCATCATCCCTGAGCTCTGGCCTTGTTAGCTAAGGGTGATGGGAGTTGTAGTTCAGTAAGATCTGGGGACCCACAGGTTGAGAAAGGCTGCAAGCCTTTTCAGTGGCAGATATTTGAATATGGCTCTCTCTCCTCTCGCCAAAACAAACCCAGCACCTTTGATGCCTTTCTTAGCCACTAGGGGGAGCTTCCATGCAGCCAAGAGGTCCGATGCCCATCAAATCCTGGGTCACAAGGAGGCAGCACGAGAGGTTTGCTGCCACCTACCTAACCGGGTGTGTTGAGTGGGAGGGAGGACAGGCACTCGGGGTGGGGAAGCAGGTCACCTACGGCAAGTCCATGAGGAACTGGGGTCCCAGCCCCAGCAACTCCGTAGTAGAGAGGCTGGGTCTCCTCTGGATCTCCTCCCAGATGCATCCTTTCTGGAAGCAGAGGCACAGCTTGACATTAATTGAGGAGGGGGGCATTATGTGCCCAGGCCCATTGCTCTGCACCCACTGAGCCCATTCCCTGCTTCCATCCAGGGTAGGCCTCTCCCCAATGCCTTCTTACCAGGCTCCAGGGCAGGTGGAGGTCTTGGCTGTAGAGAGCTTCCAGAACAGCCAGAAAATCTGCCCCAGCTTCAAAGGTCTGCAGAGCGGTGCAGGATAGTCCCATGGCCAGGTGTCCCAGTCCCCTGCCATGGGGAGACAGTTCAGCCATCACCACCCATGTCATCCCGTTAACAGAGGAGGGGAGAAGGAGGGGAGTTGGCTCTCACCAGATCAGGTCCCCCGTCATGTTGGCACTGGCTTCAATGCTCTGCCAAAGGAACTGGGCCTGAGAAAGAGGAACATAAAAAGAAGCTAGGAAGCTGCCTTGTGCCAAGCCAGACCGTGGGTCCATCTAGGTCAGCATTGTCACCATGGACTGACAGCAGCTCTCCAGGGAACAATTCCCAGCTTCCCCTGGAGATGCTGGTAGGTGCTGAGCCTATGGCTGTCTGCATGCTCTACCCCTGAGCTATGGAGACACCACAGGGAGTGAACGACGCCCTTTGCTTTGGCCTCCCATCGCCCTGCCCAGCACTCTTCTCCCATACCTGCTGTGGGGACCAAGGTGCCTTCCGGTGCCAGCTGCTCCTCCCCAGCAGGGCCTGGGTGTCCACCTGCAGGAGCTTGAGAGGGACAGCAGGCAGGAGGCAGTCCAGGTGTGCACTGAGGACAGGGGACTCCGGGCCATACCTCTGGGACAGGCACAAGAAGGGGACATGCGGTTAGGGTGGCTGAAGCCATTCGAGGGCACCACCCCCACCCGGATCCCTGTCGACCTCGCCAGATACCTGCAGAGCTTGAAGCAGACCTGCCTTTTGAGCTCCTGAGAGATGGGGCAGAGTGGGGCCCACACATGCACAGCCTCTGGCCAAGACAGCAGCCACCGCCACCTCCAGAGATTGGGGACCCAGGCCAGCGAGGAGGGAGCAGAGAGGCTCAGCCCCACTCAGCGTCACCTGCAGAGACAGAAGGCAGGGTGGGAGGGAGGCCACAGAGCCCATCACTGGCAACCAAGGGGTGGGGTGGTGGTACTGGTGGGGCTTTGGATCCCTCTGCCCAACAGTATCAGCAGACAGGGAGATGCTTTGCTTTCCATTTTGGATTGAACAAGCATGTCTGTAGCTTGCAGATTTACAAAACGGTTATAATAGAGGCAAGATTCCCAGGGAACTCCTCCCGTCCCAGACTAGACTTTATTTCTCACTAGTTCTTTTCAGCTCTTCTTTCCTGAAGAATAGTGAGGTGGCAGATTCTCCAAGCCAAGCTGGGGTCTGCTATCTTCAGAGCTGTGGGCCTGCCAACTGCTGACCTGTCCCTGCTATCTGGACCAGGTCAAACAAGGAGGTCTCTGCCCCAGACCTCCACATCCACCTCTGAGCTTCACCTTCGGGGTGATACTCACATTCTCCATCCGCAGGGCCTGTGAGAGCAGCAGGAGAGCCTGAAGGGAAGAAGGATCTCTTAGTGTGGCAGCACCTCCACTTTGGAACTCTTTCCTTGTACTATTTTCAGTGCCTGCTAAAAACATTCTTATTTATATAAGCCCACCCAGATGCTTAGAAAATTGATTGAGTTTTAGGCTGGATCTACATTGATCTTTTAAACATTATTAAATATACGTAATATTCTGTAACATTTAATGCAGTTTCCCATGGCTGGTGGCTCGCTGCTCTGCAGTGCCCTCTGGTGTCGCATTTTAATAACACATTTTTAATGTTATAAAGCATGAGTATAGCTCCGCCCCTAAATCTGCTTTCAGGGGTTTTTTGCTATTGTAACTTTTTGTAAGTTTAAAATTATTGTTGCTAATTTTTCTTATTGATAGCCATCGATTTATATTTAGAGGGTGGCTTAAAAAAAACTCCCAACAAATAAGGAAGCTGCCTGAGCATAAGGAAGTGGAAGCCCTAGCCCATCCCCTTGACAGGGAGTTGGTGGGACTGACCTAGGCAGGATGTCTCCTGAGACAGGCTGCTGCTGCCCCCAACTCTGGAGAGGAATGGCTCAAATTTGCCTAACACCCACCCACCCCCACGGCAGATGCAGAGCATACCCTCAGGACGACTCACCTGGGCACGGCTAAGCTGTGCTGCTTGCAGCTCTGGGAGGATAGCCCCTACCTGAGACTCTGACAGGCCCCGCAGGAACTCCACCCCCATGGCTGGCACAAGACCCCGCCAGGATTGCAGCTCGTGGGAGCCCACCGAGGAAGGCAGGAGCTCTGCCAGGGCATGGGCCAGCTGGAAGGAGGAGGAGGAGGAGAAGGCAATGGCAAGTCAGATGAGGTGGTGGCCCAACCAGGGGAAGGAGCCAGCTTTGGTAAAGGAGGCTTCAGTCCTGGAGCAGAGGAGGGTTCTGCAGGTTTGCTTCCAGTTGGGAGAGCATCACCAGAGCTGGATCTCTATGAAGAGTAGCTTGCCCCCAGAGGGAGGCTGAGGGACAGTGGGGAGAAGAGTCCTCAGCAGCACTGGCCCTAGGCTAGGCTCTGCTGGGCCCAAGAGAGCCTGGTCCTCTTCACCACTCACCTGCCCATGAGGGTCCACCACCCCTCTGGCCACACACTCCAGGAGGTGCTTCTCGATCGGCCCCCACAGATCTTGCAAGGGGGAGATCAGACGCAAGTCCCCGATGCTGAGGAAGCAGGTGAGAGCCCCGAGCCTGTGAGGGTGGGGGAGGGGGCACAGGCATAAGGGGGCTGTTGGGACTTGCTCACTTGGTGCTAGCCACACCCCATGTAGGCCTGCCTGCTGTTCTAGACCACAAACTCTGATGCTTCTGGTCGGTTTTTGCTCCAGATACGCAAAAGGTGATGCTCCTCCCCCTCTGAAGAACTTTTGCTCTTTTAAGAAAGGTCCAGATCATAGGAATCAAGTTGGGGAGAGTTCCTGCTGCCATCAGCTCCTGCTTTTGGGCTTCCCACTGGGGCATCTGGCTGGCCACTGTGAGAATAGGATGCTGGACCAGATGGACCCCTTCAGCCTGACCCAGCTGCTGCTGCTGCAGGGCCCTTCTGAAGTTCACATGTTCTGTACACTCCATGTGTCCACAGACTTTGAAAGAGAACCATGTGGACAAATATCCTTCCATCTGGGGTTCCTCAACTCCTGCTGCCATGACGCATCTTTGCCAGGAAATACTTTGGGGACATAACTCCTGTCTGGTCTAGCAACCATTATGTCCCCGGGGTCACCTTTGGCTTGTCTCTTGAACGCAGCATGCCTTGCTCTCCCTTGGACCCAAACCCATGTGGAGTGCTGCCTTGGGAGGAAATCTCTTCCCCTGTGAACTCCTGCCTTGAACAGCTGCACCCAGCAATAAGTGGGATACCCTGGGACACAAAATCACCCAGGTCAGTTTGCTCCCAAGCCTGCCTCCCCACCACTCACCTGCACATCTGCTCCTCGGTGCTCTCATGGCTCCTGTTGAGCAAACTACGTGCTACATGGCGCCCTTGAGCCAGGCCCAGCTCAGCCTCCTGCCAGCCATTCACCAAGCTCTGGATCTGGAGGGACACACCAACATTTAAGCCTTGTTTGACAGTGGAATGGACTGCCTTGGAAGGTGGTGGACTCTCCTTCCGTGGAGGTTTTAAAGCAGAGGTCAGATGGCCATTTGGCATGGATTCTTTAGCTGTGATTCCTGCATTGCAGGGGTTGGACAACATGACCAACCTTCTAACTCTACAATTCTATTATTTTATGGAAGCACCATCCCTGGCATAAGTGGGTACTCTCGGGCATGCTCAACCTCCCCCTCCGGGGTTCCAGAGGGTGCACCACCAGCTTCCAGTCCTGTAGGGAGGGGGCTGGAGGCAGGGACTGCACCTTCTCACAAAGGGTTTATCCCCACCGAGGCAGCAGAGAGCTTGCCCAGCTTTCCAGGTGCAACTGAAGGAGGTGCCCAGGACACCCACCCCGGCTGCTCTCAGCCTCTGCACCCTGCTCCCACCTGCTGTGGTGTTAGCTGAAGGAAGTGGCCAAGCGGCAGGTGAGGAAGGAGAGGCTGGAGGATGTGAAGGAACTCCGGGGGCCAGGAAGGGACTTTGCCCAGGAGGTGCTCGGCCTGCAGGAGGCGCTGCACTAGGGCTCGCTTTTGCGCCAGTGTCATCCGGGCACTTTGGCTGCTAATGATGGCCAAGCTGAGGGTTGGAGAGGGGAAGAAAGAGGCCACGTTAGAAAGAGAAGTTCCTCCACCCCCACCTGAGAAAACTACAGGCACACAGACAGCATGCTGAGTGAAGGACTACCTGGCCCGAGGCCAGGGGGATGGGCACAGCCTAGGAAGACCAACATAAGCAGGTGAAATGAGAGGGCCTGGACCCTCCTTGCAGTAAGAGGGGCTGGTTGTGGCTACTCAGAAGTGACAGAAAGGACATTCTATTCTGACCACCCCTCCACAAGAGGTCCAGAGGGTAGCAACATGAGAACAGGCCTTTCCTGCAGTGGCTCCCTGTTTGTGGAATGCTCTCCCCAGGAAGGCTCGCCTAGCACCATCATTATTTATCTTTAGGCACCAGGCAAAAACTTTCCTCTATAACCAGGCATTTGGCCTTGAGCTCTCTGTGACCTTTTAGAAGTAGGTGGGATGTTTCTAACGTATTTCTCTTTCCTCTTGGTTTTAATGTATCTATGTGGGATTTATTGTCCATTTGCTGGATAGTAAGTCACTTTGGGTTGCCCTGGGCATGATAAAGCGACTGACAATTTTAATAAATAAATGCTCAGGCACCATCTTTCCTGAAGGTTTCCTGCCACAAGACTGAAAGTGGGTTTGGGGACTAACCCCACTTTAATTAGGACCTGGGGCTAAACTCAGAGGGGTTCAACTGGGCAGGGAGGACCTGAGGGCTCTGGAGGTGGCTTGGGGAAAGATGCCCCAGGAAGGCTTGGGCCAAGCCATGCAAGTGCCTGGGGGACCACTCACACGCTATCGTTGGCCAGCAAGGCGGATGGCAAGCGAAGGATGTCCGAGGCAGCCATGAAAGGCACAAAGTGAGAGAGGTGAAGGAAGAGTTGCGGGGTTGGCTGAGGGAACTTGCTCAGGAGCTGGGCAGCCAGTGACTCCACTGCCCGCTCGTCCCATGGAGGCACCTGGTGGAGGGAAGCAGAGGGAAAGGGAGTCCCCTTGGAGGGGTTCACAGGGCAGCTGTCCTCCACCTGGGACTCTCCAGGCGCTGAGGTCTGGAGCTGCCAACCAGCACCTACATTAAACAAATACCCCCCTTTCCATATGGAGCCTGGTGGGCATGTCAAGGCTTCACAGGTGCACAGGTGCTGCATCCCAGATCAAGTCCAGCCCTTCTGCCACAGACCTACCTTCATCTGCAGGTGATCCCAGGAGCGGTGCAGCAGGGCCAGGAACCTCTGGATGGTCTCACCTTCCGCTGACCACAGCAGCCTCTGGACAACCTTATGGGGCATCTGCAGGTATTCCTGGAAAAGTGGGAGGGAGAGGAGGAGGCAAGGCAGCAACAGCAGCACCACTCCCTTCCCTGTCCCACTGGAGCTGCTGCAAGGGAGCCTGAAAGATGGTGCAGGGAGGAGCCTTGGACAGGAAGGAGGGGAAAGGGGGAGAGGTCAACCTTGGGGTTGGAGGAGGAAGAGGAGGAGGAGAGGTGCAGCTTTGCTCCAGGGACCAGTATTGGGCCAAGGAAGGAGTCAAGTGGCTTCAGGACCAACAGGACTGGAGACTGGGATGGAGGGAAGGTACCTGCATGAAGAACTCCAGAGCTGAGATGTTCTCTTCCCTCTCCAGCAGATTCCAGAGCAAAGGCTGCAAGGAGGAGAGAGAAGAACATAAGAAGACCCTGCTGGATCAGACCAAAAGGGGTTTCTCTAGGCCAGCATCCTATTCTCACAGTAGCCACCCAGATGCCCCAAGGGGAAACCCACAAGCTGGACCTGAGCGCAAGAGCCCTCTCTCTTCCTGCAGTTTCCAGAAACTGGGATTCAGAAGCATTATCGCCTTAGTCCTCGTGGCCAGTAGCCATCGACAGGCCTCTCCTCCCATGATTTGGTCTAATGCTCTTTTAAAGCCATCTAGGTTGGTAGGTGAGAGTGAGACAGGTGGCTGTAAGTGTGTAAGATGCACCATGGAGAAAAGCGTTAAACCTTGTTTTCCATTGTATGCTGAACAGAGAAGGAGCAGAGTGCTTTATATAGTTTGCAGTAATTGTATGTGGTCCACTAAATGTTCCCTCAATGGGGAATTACATTTTAGTATTTCTTGATTATTTTGCAGGGGGTTGGGCTAGGTGACCCTTCAGATTTTTTACAATTCTATGATTCTGTGAAACTCTCCTGGAAGAGGAAGGGACTGAACCCGTGATCTGACTCACATGAGCAATGAATGGTAATAACTAAACAATATATCCTCTCCTCATGTTTAAATCCGTTCATGCAGCCCAGAGGGCAGACCCCCTTTTTGGGTTTCCCCTGTGTGTCCCCCTAGGGCGGGGACACAATCCTATCAGGCATTCCCATGTGGCTATGGGCAGTAGCCTCCCCTACCCTCCTCCTGTCCCCAGAGCATCACCCACCCCAAAGCAGTTAAGCAGGTCTTCCTTGGTGGCCGGATCCAGCTCGCCTTCCTGCAGGAACTGGCTCACATCCTCCAGGATGCTCAGGGAGAAGTTGGCTTGGAGAGAAGTCCCAAAGGAGCTGTTGTGCAGGAGGCTGGAGAGCAGGAGAGCCTGGCCCAGCTGCTGCCTGGCTCCCTCTTGCCCCACTTCGCCAAGGGCAGGAGAAGCCAGCAGGAAGTCCAGCAGCCGCAGCAGGTAGCCAGCACTGGGAGCCCACTGGGAAGAGGAGTGGGGGGGCTCTTTGCACCAGGCCAACTGGGATACCAGTGCTGTCAGGAAGGCCGGCGCATCCTGGCAGAGCTGCGGGGGCAGTGGCAGCACCCCTGGGAGCCACGGGAGGGAGCAGCTCCTATCCTGCTCAACAGCCAAGCAGTGAACCCGCACCCAGGGGTGGGCCAGCTGCAGGGCTTCCAGTAGGGACTTGTTGCTGCACACAAGCTCCTGGAAGCTCTGCAGGTGGGCATCCCCACACTGAGCTAGGAAGCTGGTGTTATGCAGCGCTTGGGGGCTCCAGGCCCTGGCGCCACACCCTGCTGCTTCCATGCTCTGGCGCAGAGAGGCATTCAGCCCAGCCCCTTGGGCCAGCGGGCTGTGGCAGAGGGTGCCCAGCCACTGCCTTGCGGCATCAGAGACTTCCCGCAGGCTGCTGCTGCTGCAGAGGTTTTGGGTCCAGAGAGTCTGGTTCTCCAGGGAGAGGCAGGTCCAGAAGTCCTCCTGGCCCAGCAGAGGCCTGCTCAGAGCCTCTGAGCAACGGCTGGGCCGGAAGGGCATGGAGAGGTTGGCACAGAGCTCCTCCACCAGCTCCTGGTGCGGCCCAAGGTGCAAGAGGACAGAGGCATTGCCACACACTGTGCTGTTGAACTGCTGGGGGAAGTACTCCTTGCAAGCTCGTATCCAGACCGGGTCACCCTCGATGGAGGAGAAGTACCAGGTGGTGCTGGAACACAAGGCCTCCAGGTCCGGCGGGGGCCGGTGGGGCTCTTTGGAGCCATTGAAGAGGGTGCAATACAAGTAGATGGTGAAGTTGGAGATTCCTGGCAAGCCGGGGATGCTCTCGTTGCAGGCGGCCTCCAGGACTTCTGCCTGGGAGGGGGGCTCAGGAAATGCTCTCCGGGGGGCTGGAGGGAGGGTCTCGCTCACCCTGTGCCCTCCCCCAGCAGGCAGCAAGCAACTGGGCACCGCGGGAGGCCATGGGAAGGAGGCTCTGGAGGCCAAGTCCACACGCAGGGTGTCCCAGCTGATGTTGTGTCTGATTCCCCTGCGAACAGCAGAGAAGAAAAGGGTCCCCCACTTACCAGGCACAAGATGACTCAGTGCCATACCAGAGGTCACTCAGCAGGGACCAGCAGGGCAAGCCAGCAGCAATAATAATAATAATAATAATAATAATTTACTATTTCTTTTTTAAAAAATAATTTTTATTAACCGGCCAATCAAATCAAATTAAATCACATCACATAAATTCCGAATTACAAAGCCAAATTTTAAATTTTGTTGAGGGGACCCATATTTCAAGATCCGAAGGATCTCCCAATTGAGTGTTAAAAACAATACAGCATTAAATCTTAAAAAACTTCCCTAAACATGCCCCCAGGGTCCTGCCACAAATGGCCCTCTGCCCAGGTCACGGCCTGGCAGCACTACCACCCCTTCTGAATGTCACTCCATGCCATGTCATACCCCATGGCCTTGCCACCTTTTGCCCAAGGAACGACGAAACTCAGCCCAAGAGTAACAACAAGAACAGCATCACCACCACCCAGCGCAGGGAAAGGAGGCTGGTCACCCCCTTCCAGGACATTTAAGAAGGGCCTGTTGCATCAGGACAAAGATCCAACATCCTGCTCTCACAATGGCCAACCAGATGCCTGTGGGAAACCAGTAAGCAGGATTCAAACACAAAAGCAACACTCTCCCCCTCCTGCGGCTTCCAGCAGCTGGTATTCAGAAGCTGTCCCCACAACCACTTACCACAGCAGCAGCTGCTGCAGGCTTCCTAGGGACAGAGAAGAGGAGTAGTTAGGGTTGTGGCCCCTTAGGAGGCCTTGCCCATCTCTCCCTCCCCTTGTGCCCTCCCCACCATGGCTTGAAGCCCCACTCATTCACCCACCCACCTACCTACGGAGCACTTCCCATCTGGGTCAGGCTGGGGGATCCCCACTGCCTCTGAAGCCTCAACTGCCAGAAGGCCTGTCACATACAAGACCCTCCTCCGGAAGCTGGTGACGAGGGTGGGGCCTGCCTTTTGCCACAGTGTCTGCCTCAGCTCCTCCAGCGTCTCCCACAAGATGTTGCCCTCGGAGTCTCCTGCCGATTCCTGCACTTTCCCGCCTGTGCCTGGCTGCTCTGTCCGGTACAGGGTCTTTAGGAGGCTGGGTTCACTGCGATTGCCAGGGGGCATCTCTCGGGGGGTCGCGGGCACCAGGCCAAGGGGCTTCAGCTGGCCATCAGTGGGGGCGAAGCCTGCTGGGTGAATGTGCAGGAAGGCTGTCCAGCCAGTGCCCTCAAAGAGCCAGAGTAATTGCCCCAGCCAACTGGCATTTGCTTGGCACCCACTCTGCCCTGTTGGGGGGCAAAGGGACCCCTGTGAGCCAAGCAACCCAGAGAGGACGGCCTGGCCCAGGGCTTCCATCAGGCTGCTGAGAACCTCCCAGCCCTGCTGCCCATGGAGGTGCTGAGGGGGGTCCTGGGCCCAACTGAGGAGGAGGCTCAGCAAGTCCTGGGCAAAGCTCAGCCACCCATCCCAATGCCAGCTGCCTCGCTGCCAGGAAAAGAGGATGTCCTGGAGGAGCCAGCGTCCAGAGGCTGCTGGTGAGAGCGGCTTCTCGGCGTTGGGTGGTGGCAGCAGCAGTGGCAGCAGGAGGCTCTCCCAGGACTCCGGGGCTTCCTGCTCCTCCTCGCCCTGGAAGTACAGAGAGATGTTGCGGAGGAAGCTGGACAGGCGGGATTCAGGGCTCTGGGCCTGGGGAGAGGGAGGCTGCCTGCCCCACAGGGACTCCAGGCTGAGGAGAAGGGGTTGCATGTGCTGCTGATGTGCCGAGCCTGGGCTGGGCTCGGGAGAAATAGAGCCCCCTTGGCGCTGCTCTCCGGGAGGTGCCAATAGCCCTGCCAAACCCTGTCGCAGGTTTCTGCTTGGCTCCCCCGCTGCCCCTGCTGGAAGAAAGGGGACAGGGGTCACTAGCCACGGCCAAATGCAGGAGCCCACTTGCATGCCCACACACAGACCCTTGACTCCCCTCCCTGCTACGCGCCTGTACCTGGCAGAGGATGCGTCAGCAAGAAGAGCCCCCAGAGGCCCCAGAAGAAAGGGGCCATGCTGGCACCCGTCCCATGCGCACAGCGGCTGGGCCCAGGGAAAAGGCAGCTGCTCCGAGAGGCTTGAAATAGGAGCTGACACTGGAGATGCGGTGCTGGTCCTGCAGAGCCGATCCCTTTCTGCCATCCAGAGCATTAGTTACATCCAGAAAGGAAAGGAGCCCAGCCTGACATGCAGGAGAGGAGGGTCCGGCCACAGGGGCAACAAAACCCCCACAGGCTGGCAAGGAGCTAGGTCTCCCTACCCTTAGACCCTAGAGGGAAGTCGCCCATGCTGGGGGGTGGAGCCCTGCCATCTGCCCTGTACCCACAAAGGTGCCCTGATGAGACAAGGAGGCTCTGCAATCCCATCGCCTGGCTGGGAATGAGACCCGTCTGCCAACCTGATCAGCTGCTCCATGTGGAATTGGGGAGAGGGGATGCACCATCTTGCCCTTTGCATAAGAGGGCAGAATGCTGTCTGTCTGCTCTGGCATACAAGCTGCCCCAGCCCCTGGATCTGCTTTCTGCTTCCTCAGATATCTCTTTCTACTTCTTAGGCAGCCACTCTGCCCCCCTTCCATGCTATGACAAACTATGGAGTCCTTCAAGATGAGGAGGCCTAGAGGCCACTGGGGCGCTCTCTTTGATAAACCCAGAAAGTAACAGTGGGAATTGAGATGGTTCAAGGGTGCCAGGCTGTGAGACCAGAGCTATAAGATGCTTCATACCCACAAGTGTGAGCCCAGGCTTCTGCTGTTTCTAGAGGTTTATGGGAGGTGACCCGAAACTTCTGGTGCACAGAAGCCCCACAGGAAGCCCAAACACCACACAGAAGGAGCTCCACGAAACCAATGTGCCTGTTTAGCTTGCTGGTGCAGCTACCCTGCCCTCTCCCTCCCTCCCTGGTAACCTGAGGCTTGCCCCACCATCCTGACACATCAAGGGGAACAATGGGGGCTTGATCCATTATTTATGCCTTGGGTATGAAAACAGTATGGGACCTGTCACTCGAGGAGGAGGAGGAGGAGGAGGAGGAGGAGGAGGAGGAGGAGGGAGACAGGCAAAGTTGCCTGTGATCTACAGAAAGAGGAAGAAGCTGGAACTTCATCTCCTGAGCTCCAAGGCCCTGTGCTGATTCAGACTCAGCCAAAGGCCAGTCATCCCAGAGACCAGTGCTAGTTCCAGCCCCTCGGGAATCCCCTTTGGAAGACAACTCAGCTCTGCAGAAAGCCCCTCGTCCCATGTGGGTGTCAACTCCTAGACCCCTTGAGAATGGGCATAACCAAGGGGGGGCAGGGGTAAGGTGCTCCCCTAAATAAAGTAAATCAATAAAAATACTTAACTAATGGAGGTTCTGCTCCCCCCCCATGAAGCCTGCCCCCCCAACATAAATCCTAGTTATGTCCATGCCCCTGAGGAGGACTCACTCTTTCTACTCTGCCTAGTTTTAGGGGAAGCTGCTCCAAATGCCAGGAATCCAAATCAGCAATGCCCTCAAGCACCTTGGGTAAAGTGTGCCATTTTCTGTAAAAAAAATACCCCATCTCCATTATGTATGTTACAAACATTGTATACTGCTTAGTAGAACAAATCTAAGCAGCTTACATTTGAAAACTGTAAAAATACAAACTACAGCATTCAAAGAGAGTCCTTAAAAACCCAGGGAAAAAATATGCATCCTACAAAACCAATCAGTGTGCAAAGCAAAGAAATTGAAGAGTTGGAATCTGGGAAAACTTGAGTAAACATACATGTTTTTAAGAAGCATTTAAGGGTCATTGCTGTCTCCAATTCTCCACCTCACGAGTTGTGCGCACAGTGGGGGTTATCAGGAGAAAGCCTGTTTCCATGGTGTCAGCAATATGCCCCTCACAGAGCAGCCAGCAGGTCTCTTCAGAAGATCTTAAAAACTGACTCAGGTGATACAACTACTTGCCACATGCACTGCCCTCTGAGCAGTGGGCTGGAGAGGGGGCATTATTTAACACAATTGGGTGCAGAGTTTGTCTATTGTGATGGCCTGGGCATGGAGTGGGGAGAGGTGGGTCCAGTACTTAGTTGTGTTTGCTTTCTGTTGTGTTCAATCAGTGGTTGGGTGGGGGTGGCAAATTCAGAAGTGCAGGGTCCCTTCATGATTGTGACAGTCATGCCCCTTCTAAGATTAGAAAATAATCCTATGATTATGCAATAATGAGGAATGCATTGCAACAACCAGTATAGATTTCCATGTGTTGCTTTCCAGATAAATGTACTATTTTCTGTGCACGTACATGGGCAAATACATTCAATACATTCCTTTGGTGTGTTTTAAGTTGTGCTTCCTGTGAAGTTCCCTTGCACATAACAGAACTTGCAACCTGTTCTCTTGAAATGGAAGCCTGGCTTGTCTTTTCAGTGTTCCTCTGCCCTTGACTTTGGAGCACACAGTGGCTGAAAAGCTCCCCTTTGGAGCTGAAGGGGCAGCTCTAGGAGGCTGAAGATGGCAGCTACTCTGCTGCAGAAACAAGAAAGGATCTCTGACTCCAACTCCAGACCAATACACCACTCTGCTCAACGGGTGCCTTTTAACATATGCCACCCACTCTGATGTGGGAAACCTGAATGGAGATTTAAGTGGCATAAGATTTTGTATCAGCAGAGTTGCACTGCAGTGTTGTAGTGGCATAGCTTGTTTGGGACAGAGCACCTGAGACCCTCCAGTTTAACTCCCAACAGCTCAAGCTAGCATGTCCAACTATCAGGGGTGATGGGAGCTGGAGTCTAGCAACATCTGCAGGGCCACAAGTTTCCTGTCTCTGTATGAAGTGGTGGAGATGTATCTTAAGTTGCACTAACACAGAGGTGCCTTTGCTGTAGCTCACAAACTGTCAGAATTCCAGTACAGTCATACCTCAGGTTACAGGCACTTCAGGTTGCGTTTTTTCGGGTTACGGACCTGCCGAAACCCGGAAGTACCGGAACGGGTTACTTCCGGGTTTCGGGGGTCGCGCATGCACAGAAGCGCTAAATTGTGCTCTGCGCATGAGCACCGAATTGCAACCCGCACGTGCACAGACGTGTCACTTTGGCTTGCGAACGTGCAAAAGCATGGATCACGTTCACAACCCGAGCGTCCACTGTATAGGATTGTGTCTAAAGTCTAAAAACTAATAGATGCAATAGAGTAAATTCCAGTGTACAAAATGATAACATGTTGGAAAAGGAGAAGTTTTCACCATCACCACAAAGGCTCCCACAAAGTAGGCCGGGCAGACCTCTCTTCTGGAAAGAAGTGCCAGAGGATGCATTAAGGACTCTCTTTGCTAAATGGAGTCCACACCCAAACAGGACAGAGAGCCAAACAGCCCTCATCTACTTCTGAGGGTTCCAAAGTCACGTGGCCACACCACCACTGCCTTGGACTGAAACTTCTAACGGCCCTGCAGCCCACCCAGTCAGATTTTCTGAGAGCCTTCCATGACTCGTGTTGCAGTCCATTGCACACTCTGGAGGAGGCTCTTTGGCCCTGCCAGCAGTCAAGGCTGGGCTAAAGGTCAAATTGACTCAGCTCAAGGCAACTCTCACCAACCCCCAAGGAAGCACATGGAAGATTCAAGACAAATAAAAGGAAGTCCTTCTTCACACAGCTGTGGAACTCACTCCAATAGGAGTGGCAGAGATGGATACCAACTTGGATGGCTTTCAAGGAACATTAGATAAACTCACGGTAGTCGATGGCTATTATTGATCGCTACACTCTGCCTCCATGGCTAAAGGCAGAAACTGCTGAAAACAGCAGGAGGGGAGATTTGCTAGGGTGCTGGGATCCTGCTTGCTGTTTTCCCATTGGGGGAATCTAGTCAGCCACTGTGAGAACAGAATCCTGAACTAGATTGTCCACGGGCCTGATCCAGCAGGCTCTCCTTATGCTCTTAGATGGCCAGCAAGGACAGGAGGGGAGGGGTCTGTTCTGGCCCTGCCTGACGTCTCCCTCCCATGGGGGCCTCTGGTTTCAGAGGCTACGGAACCAGATGACGCCCCCTTGCCTCCGCCCGCCTCTGCAGCTACTCCCATAGCTGTCAACTTTTCCCTTTTCTTGCGAGGAATCCTATTCGGAATAAGGGAATTTCCCTTTAAAGAAAGAGAAACGTTGACAGCTATGAGCTACTCCTCTTGTCCATAGCTCTGGCCAGCGGTTGCCAAGGGGCCAGAAGAGAGACGCGTAAGGGAGGCCACCTTTGCTCCCGGGGTCAAAGTCCGCTCCCCCGTCGTAATTTCCCCCTCGGGAAGCTGCTGAGAAGTGAGCCCGCAGCCACGCTCCCGGCCTTAGCCCGGTGCACGTGGGCGCGAGCCCCGCCCCCTAGGCGGCAGTCGGCCAATCGGCGCCCACCAATGGGCGGTACCCATCACGTGGCGCGAAGGTTTAAATACCCCTCGGGGCGGGCGGGGCGGGGCGCGTGGGCCAGGCTGCGCCATGGGCTCGCTGCAGGTTCTGAAGCTGGGCTGCCTGCTGGGGTTGGCGCTGCTGCCGCTTCTCTGCGGCCTCCTGCCTGCCGTCCTTCTCAGCCTCCGGGGGGCTGGCGGGACCGGTGAGTGAGGGCGAGAGCAGGGCAGAGCTGGGCGGGGGTCGCGGCTGGGCTCCTCCCCCCCCCCATCTCAGCGCTCGCTTTTCTTTCTGCCTCTGCAGGCTTCTTTGCGCGCTGGCGGGGCGTCCTGAGCTGCGCAGCCGGTGGCGTCTTCCTGTCCGCTTGCCTGCTGGACATCGTGCCGGACTCGCTGGCCGACCTGCGCGAGGACCTGAGCCAACAGATTCCCCCGGTACCGAGCGGGGAAGAGTAGGGCGGGGGATCAGGACACTGTGACCGGGCCCGGAGGGTTGGAGCCGCATCACGGGCTGCAGCCCCCGAACAAAAAGTGGGGAGGGGGGCTCCAGCGAACATCTTGCCGGCGCTGCTGGTCGCCGGAGTCCCGCTGGCCCTGCCCGCCCAGCTTTTGCGAGACAGCATGTGATGGGGCTGAGCTGACTCACACGCTCCTATGCTCGGAGAAGGAGGAAAGAGGCCGCGAGTTGTTGACTGGACAAAGGCCTGAGTTGCTCTCAGATTTGCCCTGTGGGAAAGGTTAGGGTGATCTTCAAATGGGCTGCTTACCTCCCCTCCATATTAAGCACACCAGGGCTGCCCTGTAACCTTCTGAAAGCAGTAGCCAAGCATTCCTTTACCTGAAACCTTTCCTGTTTAATTCCCAAGATAGGGGTTGTTGCAGCCCTGGGGAAGAATTCTCAGAAGCCCAGAGGCTCTGGAGCTCCTTCGGTGGTTTGGCCCTCCTGGCTCCAGGGGAGACACCCTTGGGTGGGCGTTGAGGGAATGGTTTCTCTCCTAACCTGATGGTGCCTCCCTTTTCTTCCCTGCTCCACAGCTGGACTTCCCGATGCCCGAACTGGTCCTGGCGCTGGGCTTCCTGCTGGTCCTGGTCCTAGAGCACATCATCCTGGCCTGCAGCGAGCGGCAGGGGGATGAGGCCTCCCTGCCCCTCTTGCCTTGCCCCTCTCCCCCAGACAGCGAAGAGGGCAGCCTGGCTGAGCAGCAGCAGCAGCAGCCACGCTTGGAGGCGGGGACCCCCCACTGCCACACGGGGGACACCAAAGCACCCTCGTCCTTCCGCTCCCTGGTGCTGACGCTCTCTCTCTCCTTCCACTCAGTGTTTGAGGGCCTGGCGGTGGGCCTGCAAGACACAGAATCAAAGGTCCTCCAGCTGGCTGTGGCCATTCTCCTCCACAAGACCATCATCGCTGCCAGCTTGGCCCTGCTGCTGCTCCAGAGCCGCCTCCCCCTGCGCTGGCTGGCAGCCTCCATCATCACCTTTGCGCTGATGTCCCCTCTGGGTGTCGGGCTGGGCATGGCTGTGATGCATAGTCCTGATGCAAGCGGCAGTCCCACCATGACCAGGAGTGTGCTGGAAGGCGTGGCTGCCGGGACCTTCATGTACATCACCTTCCTGGAAATCTTGCCTCAGGAGCTGAACGATCCTGCCAGACGCCTGCTCAAAGTCCTTGCTGTGCTGCTGGGTTTCTCAGGGATGGCTGGCCTGCGCTTCTTGGGCTGAGGGCCAGCAGCTGAGTGGGATGCCCTTCCCTGCAGAGATGGACGCTGGCAGGCTCGGCTTCCCAGGAGGCAGCTTTTTAGAATGAAGGGATGGTGGCTTCTCTCCTCCCTTTTCCCCCTCTTCCCAAGCGGACACTGATAGGCTGTGCCTTCAAATGTTTTTATTAAAGATCTGACCACTTTATAACCCTTTGGAACTAAGGCCTTTCTGGCTCTTATTTGCTTTTCTACCTCACCCAAATTCCTGTGACAGTAAGACTCACAGCATAGTTCTGTTCTTTGCTCAGGTGATAAGAAATTGCTTTGGTCTTTCCCCTCAGTCCCCCACAGCGATTGGGAAGACAGCTAGGAAAGGGGAATTGGAGCAGGGTGTGTGCGGAGACCCAAAACCACAGGGTCACAGCACCCCCTGCTGGGAAAATATATAGGCAGCTGCCAAATATAGCTTGGTACAGTGGTACCTTGGGTTACATACGCTTCAGGTTACAGACTCCGCTAACCCAGAAATAGTGCTTCAGGTTAAGAACTTTGCTTCAGGATAAGAACAGAAATCATGCAGCGGTGGTGCAGCAGCAGGAGGAAGCCCCATTAGCTAAAGTGGTGCTTCAGGTTAAAAACAGTTTCAGGTTAAGAACGGACCTCCGGAACGAATTAAGTACTTAACCCGAGGTACCACTGTACATTTACTTTTGCTGGCTGCAACTCTTAGGAGGGTCTCTGCCAGAGAAACTGGTTGTTTTCTTTGCCCACTATTGGATCATTTTAGCTGAAGGTGCTGCTGTGGTTTGAACCTGTGACCTTCTGCATGCAAAGCAGCTGCTCCACCATTGGGCTGTGGCCTTTCTCCAAAGGCTTTGCTTCAACTAACATGGGGGAGTTTGCAACCAGCTACTAGCTGGAGAGGATGCTATACTTGTTTCTGAAAGCAAAAAGGCAAAGGGTGCAGATACCTGAAAGGAAACATTTCTAGCTGGGCAGCATGTGGAAGCAGCACCTCATGAAACTAGGTGAGATCAGAGAGTTTTGCTCACCTCTGACTCTTTCCTTGAAGTGGAAAGGGAGCCATTTGTGCCTTGATAGACTTTTGGCAGAGTTGGGCTCCTGTCAGCATCAGATGATTGAACCACTGGCAGAGGAAGAGGAGTGGGGGGGGGAGCACACTGCTCCCAGCAGCGCGATCCCGGTGGGGTGCCATCGCGGCTGCCCCCCCCACTCGCTGTGCGCCACGCCCCTACGGGTGGTGCGTCAGCCCCACCTGCTCTCCGCCCTCCCCCCTGGTGCCGGAGCATGAAGCTCCGCCATTGGATTGAACTGTGGGCGCAGCAAAACTACACTTACTAAAGGTGTTGCCAAACCTACATGTGTACCTGACAGCACTTTATGTGGCTTATACATATTATAAGAGTGATATCTAGGGTTTCAAACCTGGAAGTCCCTTGCCGTGTAGTGGGAGTATATTGTACTGTAACTTTACTTGCTTTATGACGACTTTTAAAAAAACCACAAATTCCACTACCAATTTGTACTTTAAAACAGCAAGACGCTAATGGTGAAATGTGGGTTAAACAATGTTACTGTTAGGGTGGATTTGTAGCTGGTTGACTGACCAAAAGAATACTCGCCAACAGTTCCTCATCATCCTGGAAAAGTGACAAATGGGGTGCCACAGGATTTTTTCTAGGCCCCAGTGTTCGATATCATTATAAATGACTTGAATTTAGGAACAGAGGGGGAGCTCATCAAATTTGACATCAAACTGGGAGGCTAATACCTCATAGAATCATAGAGTTGGGAGGGAATCCAAGGGTCATCTAGTTCAACCCCCTGCAACACAGGAATGTCAACTAAAGCATCCATGACAGATGGCCATCCAACCTCTGCTTAAGAACCTCCAAAGAAGGAGAGTACACAACCTCCTGAGGGACACCATTCCACTGTTGAACAGTGCTTACTGTCAGAAAGTTATTCCTTATGTTTAGTCAGAATTTCCTTTGAACTTGAAGCCATTTGTTCATGGGTATAGGGCGGTATATAAATTTGATAAATAAAATAATAAAACATCTCCCCTCCAGAGCAGGAGAAAACAAGCTTGCTCCATCTTCCACGTGACAGCCCATAGGATATTTGAAAATGGCTATTGTATCTTCTATCAGTCTCTTTTCCAGGCTAAAGCTACCCATCTCTTTCAAATGTTCCTCATAAGGCTTGGCTTCCAGACCCTTGATCATCTTGGTTGCCATCCTCTGCAGAATAGAGAAAATCTCAATAGGGACAAATGTACAGTTCTACACCTAGCAAGGAATATTCAGGTGCACACTATATAGAATGAGGGACATCTGGCTTGAAAAGGAGCGAGGAGTCTTGGTAGACCACAACCTTAGCATGCATGAGTTAACAGTGTGATCCAGCTAGTGCAATACTAGGCTGCATCAGCAAATATCTACTGTCTAGATCAAGGGAAGTAATAGTACTGTTCTATTCTGTCTTGGTCAGACCCCACCTGGAGTCCCGTTATCAGTTCTGGCCGCTACAATTTAAGGAGCATATTGACAAGCTGGAACATGTGCATAGGAGGGCAACCAAAATGATAAAGGGGCTGGAAACCAAACCTTATGAGGAACAGTTGAGGGAGCTGGGTATGTTTAGCCTGGAGAAGAAACTTGAGAGGTGATATGACCTCTGGACCCCTGACCATTAGGTCCAGTCGTGACCGACTCTGGGGTTGCGGCGCTCATCTCGCTTTATTGGCCAAGGGAGCCTTAGCCATCTTCTAATATCTGAACACGGGTGTTCAGGGGACACAGGTGGTGCTGTGGTCTAAACCACTGAGCCTAGGACTTGCCGATTGGAAGGTCGGTGGTTCAAATCCCCGCAACGGGGTAAGCTCCTGTTGTTCGGTCCCAGCTCCTGCCCACCTAGCAGTTTGAATGCACGTCAAGTGCAAGTAGATTAATAGGTACCGCTCCAGTGGGAAGGTAAACGGCATTTCTGTGCGCTGCTCTGGTTTGCCAGAAGCGGCTTAGTCATGCTGGCCACATGACCTCGAGGCTGTCTGCGGACAAAAGTCGGCTCCCTCGGCCAGTAAAGCGAGATGAGCACTGCAACCCCAGAGACGTTCGCGACTGGACCTAACGGTCAGGGGTCCCTTTACCTTTAATATCTGAAAGGTTATTACACGGAAAATGAAGCAAGTTTGTTTTCTGCTGCTCTGGAGGGTGGGACCCAAAACAAGTGACAAGAAAAGAGATTCTGATGAAATATTAGCAATAACTTTCTGAAGGTCATAGCTGCCAGAACATCTTGGGGAGCAATGGGTTCCCCATTTACAGAATCAAAATGTGTTTGCATAGCAAATACAAAAAAAGGCAGGGATGGTGAAGGACCTCTGGCCTGTAGACCATGGTTGGTCCCCCAAGCCAAGGTGGCATCAGGTAGCATTGGTCATATATACAGGGTCCAGGCCAGGTGCTTTCCCATTGCAACAAAGATGGCAGCAGCTGGTGACATCACAGCTTCTTCCTCACATGATCTGATATGATTATCAGGGATGGGACAACTGGCATCCCCCATCACAACACTGGGCTGGGGAGAGGGGTTTAAACCACTCTGCTGTGCTGAGCATGAAAACCACTCCTTCCCTGCTTGATTCTGCTAGATGTGTGAGGGGTGATGTCTGCAAGCATGTCAGAGATGGCCAGGCCCATTGCTAGTCTCTGGTGGTGATGCAATGGGTTGACGTGGTCCTGTTCAAGTGGCCCTCAAGTTAAGACTTGCATTTGTGCTAGCAATTGGCTAATGAACAGGTGCATAATGATGTGTTAGCATAAAGCTGGAGTTCTTGTTCCTCTCAATTCCATGTCCACACATAATCTCTTTTCAGTAAGGGCAGCCACTCTAAGCCAAAAGTTTGCCTCCTCTTCAACCAATATGTACACGTTGCATTGCTGAGCATAGCTAAAGGAATTGCGTAACAACAGGGCATGTGCAGTCAAATGAATTGAGCGCCTTCATAGCAAAGGTGCTGCATCTCTTAAGCCAGGATCTCTACATGTCAGGCAAGAAAATGCATAGAAATACAGGTTTATTGTTATTATTAAATTTGTATACCACCCTTCATCTGAAGAGCTGTGAGAGGGGAGAAGAGATTAAAAAGCTAAGCTGCTCCTTAGAATCATAGAATTGCAAGGGACCTCAGGGTCATATAATCTAAATCCAAGCAATGCGGGAATCTCAACTTCTTTGGCAATCACTCGTCAAATCTCAACTAGACCACATACAACAGCCTTGCTTATTCTTCGTGAGTGAACTTGAACAGTGAATGTAGTGAATAGGCTAGGTTTAGTTCAGTTTAGAGCCACAATACCAAGGTTCATCTTATATTGTTTTTACTTTCTCTCTGCTTCCCTTTTATTCCTAACAAAGTCTCCTAAATTGACTGCTGAAGTGGGTCTGTTTGCCATAGAATTCCCACGTGCCTAGCTGCATGGCATTCAGGTTACTGGGTTTAGGATCAGTAGCCCATAAGGAAACAGAGATGCAGTTGGTCTCAGAGCTCCTGGTTGAAGGGGGTCTGTCAGTGAAATGAGCTAGCCGCTTTGATCTTGGACAAAGAAAAGGCAGCTGGAAGCTAGCTAGCTCTGCTTTCCCCAGCAATTTGTGTGCGTAGGTTTGACTGAGAAGTGCTAGGCCACTGGCTCAAAACATTTTTAAAAAGTAATTGCTTTAATGCATCCCAGTTTCCTTCCCATTTGGGGATGCAGGAGTAAGCGGGGAGGGTGGCGGCGGCGGCAGGCACCGGAGAGAAAGGCCCATTGGCAGCACTGCAGGGCTGTTGTGCTGCAGTTGGGCAACGAGGGTGATAAAAGAGTTTGGCTTCAGCCTCTCGGCTGAGGGACCAACTCTTCACAACAGGGGGCACTTTTCGAAAAAGGCGCGGACATCTCTCTGGCCCTCAGGCGCTGCTCTTGAGGGGGAGACGAGGGAGCCGCAATGGCGGGAGGCGGGGCCAACACGCGAAGCCCGCTCTGGAGCGCGAGGCCAGGGCGGCCCCTCGCGGCATCGCTATGACGACGAGCGCAGAGCCACCCAGCCTCCTCCTGCCACCATCTCTCCTCCTCATTGGCCGCCCTCCCGCCGGCGTGGGCCAGTGAGCAGCTGCCACACTACAAATCCGGCCCCGTCTCCTGGAGGGGCGGGACTTCCGCCTCCTCTTTAGCTTCCCGCTGAGGCGAGGACGAGAGAAAACGAAAGTCGCCTCAGCCGCCGCTTTCTCCGGCTCGCTCTCCGTATTCCTCGCCTTTCTCCCTCTCTCTCTCTCGCTCGCCGGCGGCTGGGCCACATGGAGGCGCTTCTCCTCGCCCTGCTCCTCGCCCTTGTGCCGCTGCCGGGACGCGCCTCTGACGTGCTCGAGCTCAGCGATGAGGACTTCGACAGCGGCCTGGCCGACCGCAGCGTCGCCCTCGTCGAGTTCTACGCCCCATGGTGGGTCGGAGGGAGAGGAGGCGGGCGGGGCGGGCAACGGGGCCAGGGCGCTCATGGGGGGCGGGGCGGCGAGGCCCCCGCTGCTTCGGCTCTGCGCGCGCAGGAAGAGGAGCGGCACGTTTCTCGTGCGCGCGCCTCCCACAGGTCCATAGACAGACGGGGAGAGGGAGGTTGGCAGGCCGGTGGATCCCTTCGTCGCTGCCGCTGCCTTAACTGGCGCGGAGCCGAGAATGGGAAGAGCGAGGGAGGAAAGGAAGGAAGGAGGGAGTCCGCCTGCCGATCTGCCTCTCGCCGCTGCCTCTTGTCTGTCAGGCCTGTGGGAGTGAATTTTGCGCATTCCGGACGCGATATCCGCGGAAGCCTCTCCGCGATTCGCCCGGCCGCCGTGAAGGGCAGCTGGTTTGGGTTGGTAGCGGCCTCTTTATCGGGCGGGGAAAGCCGCGGTGACTCCGGCGCTGGTGCCGCAGCCGGTTTTGAAACTGCAGCCCCCAGGCTACACCGGGGCAAGTGCCTGCGGAGGGCGGGATCTTGTTGCCGTGGCTGCTCCCGGTTGGCTGCTCCGCCGGGCTGTCACTATCAGGGATTGGCTGTTGGTCCCCTGGGAAGTGCCCGCTACCTTTGCGGAGAAGTTGGGGCAGCCATCAGAGCGTCTTATCGGCAGAAACGGAAGGGTTGGGTGCCTGCTAGCTTCCGGTGGATAGTTGGTTCTTGGGTGAACCGTGGGTGCTGCCCTTGTGAGAACGGCGAAGCCTCCTCGCTCTGTCCGCTTCATGGGGTTGATGGGGCCACTATTAGCTTGTGCTTTTTGCGGGAGCGGGGTGCCCTTGCCAAGCAAGATGGATGATTCATGGTGCCCAGCCCACTGGCTTCAAGTGTCTCAGTGGTCCTTGATCCAAATGAATCTCAGTGTATACTTGTAATAAAAGCAAAACATAGCCCTTCACAGAACAATAAAAGTCAGTTTAGCATAAAATCCCGTGGTATGAAACTTGGTACACAAGGCCAATACTTTGCTGAAGACAATCAGGTTTGATCATTGCCAAAACAGGAATTTGGTAACCATATTTATGCCTCCATGGGTTCTATGATGTGAGAAAGGTGGGATAGAAATTCAAGAAAGTAAATGAAATGCCTACATTTTGTAGGTTTAATGCAAGTATTCATATTTTAGTAAATATCAAATTGTGTATTCATTAATCCTTTTGAATGTGCATCTGGTAGGGGTAATGATTCACTGTAGAGAAAACCACTCAAAATTACAAGCCAGCTATATGCTAGCCTACTGAAGGCTGACCAGAGATAGGAAGCTGCAGGTCTAAGCCTATGCTGAGTGTATGGAAGAGGAGACATCCATTGTCTAGCAACCCACTTGATTTCTGTGTTGAGCACAGAGGAGAGACTGCTTCAGTCTCTTGCTCCATCCCTCCCATCACACTTGCATAGAACTCACAACTGCCATAAGGGAAGGATCTCAGGAAATCAAGAGAGGCAGACAAAAAGAAGGTCAAGAGCCAGCTTCTGTCTAACTTGGCTTGTCCCTGCTATAAGGCTATCAACTACCAGCTATCTTCTGGGAAGGATTCTCGTAACTCTCTGTGTTCTACCATATTGCTCATTCTTCTCCCTTGCCCCCATGGATAGTGATGTTAATTGTAGTATGCCTCAAAAGCATTCATCGTCTGGAAGGCAGGATATTAATAATCACAATAAATAAATTCTGGTTGTCTGTGCCTGACTAGTACTTGAATACAAGGATGGGCTAATGTGCTTATATCTAGATTATGTCACATTAACCTACTTATTCAAGAGTATTGACTCCTTTAAAACAAATTTAAATTTTAAAACCCTGCACAGTTTTAGTCATTGATTTTTATCTGACCTGTTGAGATACAAGTGCGATCTTGGGCCAAACAGTCCTTGCTGATGAAAGAAAGTGGTATGCCAACCATGCATTGAACTTTTAATCTTATAGGTGTGGACACTGTAAACGCCTTGCTCCTGAGTATGAGTCTGCTGCCACCAGGCTAAAGGGAATAGTGCCACTTGTGAAGGTTAGTTTTGTAATGTGCTACTGTATGAAACTCTGCAGAAAAGGGACCTTTCCATAAGTTAAATTGCTTGACTACTGATAGTGGAGTTGGGAGTCAGTTCTATTGATGCCTGTGTGAATGTGGTGGGGAGCAACGTGGGATAAAAAGCTTTGAATCTATGTCTGCTGTTCTTTTGATCAAAGTCCCTGGAGGTATAGGAAGAGCCTCTGTTGGTGTTAGATGGGAATGTTTGGATGAGGATGTTTGCATGCATCTATGCTGTTGGCAATGTGCAGACTAGATGGTTGTTTTTTTTAGAGATGTTACCATCCTTTACTGTGGAAAAGGCAAACCCTGCTCACATTCTCTTTAAGGTTGACTGTACAGCAAACTCAAACACCTGCAACAAGTATGGAGTGAGTGGCTATCCAACTCTCAAGATCTTCAGGAACGGGGAGGAGTCTGGTACCTATGATGGTCCAAGAACAGCTGGTAAGGAACTGTAGGCCAGGCTGTGAGTGCTGGAGGAGCTGGTTAATAGTTTGCAGCAGCCCTGGCACAGAGTGGAGGGTTATTGCATGCATGTTCTGCTTGTAGACCTCCCAACATCATCTGGTTGGCCTCTGCAAGAACAAGATGCTAGACAATATGGGCTTTTGTTCTGATCTAGCTGTAGGGCTCTTCTTGAAGCCTTCATTTAAAGGGTATTTGTGTAATGCCTTGTATAGCCTTGTATATTGGATGTACCCAAAGCAACCCCTACATGCAGCCTGCCACTAACTATGCCAAACTTCTCTCCCAAGATGGAATTGTGAGCCACCTGAAGAAACAGGCTGGGCCAGCCTCAGTTGCTCTCCGCTCTGATACTTTTGAGAAATTCATCAGTGAAAAAGATCCTGCTGTGGTGGGTAAGTAGTGGGGGGATTTTGGGTGGGGGAGGTGATCAGATTTCCCCCCCTGAGCCTGCACATGCTAAGATGTGGAGGGGGGTTGCCAGTCTTTCTGGAATTAGACATCATAGACTGCAGTTGTTAGCACAGAGCTTTGAACTGGCAGTGCAGAGTTACCTCTTCTGTTCCAGTCCTCTTAACCTGATCTCAGTAGTAAAAATGTTCAGATAAAAACGTTCTGCAGTGTTGATTTGAGCGACTCCCAGCTTCAAATATTAGAAGCCGGGGACTGGGTTCCTTGGATACAATTTGTAGGTTCTTGTATATGGCTCACTGGTTTGGGCAGTCCAAGTTGTTTTTGTGTCCAGGTGGAATAGCTAAACTGCTTCTGCTACTCCTCTTTCATATGGAGTCCTTTCCCTTTTATGATGTTCTGCAGGTTTCTTCAAGGAGTTGTTTGGTGATGCACATTCAGAGTACATGAAAGCAGCGAGCAACTTGCGAGATCATTACCGCTTTGCGCACACAAGTGATGAGGATCTAGTTAAAAAATATGAGCCAGATGGCGAGTAAGTAGCACATGGGCCTCTATTCTCCTGATTGGTCTACCAAAATATAAGAATATAAGACACAAATTTCAGAAATGCATCTGGGCATAACAGCTCTGCCTGGCTTCCTGTTGCTCCCCACAATGAATTCCCCCCCACTTGTATAGCAAGCTGTTTCTGACGTATAGACCACTGGTTCTCTTTGGACTGAGCTTGAGCAACACTCAAATGGCTTGCCAGTATAGGCAAGCCGTGTTCCTAGCAACTGTCTTTGTAAAATAGTGATTGTACCTTCCACGGTCCTATGCAACATCCCCCTCCCCAACACTCAAGTCCCTGCTGGGCTGCTTCCTGCTTGTTTTTCCTGCCACCTGAAGGGAGCAGGCAAGTCAGAGCTTGAGGTGCCTGCTGACTGTCATTCAGCTTTTCCTTGGGGAGTTGGTTAAGCAGCTGAGACACCTGCTAGCAAATGTGGCTGGAAGCCCATGTTGAAAGAACAAGGGAGTCCTGTTTGTGAGCCAAGCCCTAGCAAGAGCACAGCCTGTTTGAGGGTGATGTGTGCTTGGTTCACTGTCAAGTTGCACTGATCAACTTTCCACAGAGGCATTATCCTGTTCCGTCCCCCACACCTGGAAAACAAGTTTGAGGACAACAATGTGCGATACACAGAGGACAAGATCACAACTGGCAAGATCAAGAAGTTCCTTCAGGAGAACATGTAAGTGTATAGCAGCTTCCCTCCTGCCAGTCTATAGTGAGTGTCTGTGTCCGCAGCGTGAGATCCACATGCTAACGTGATTTGGGGGTTCCTTCTGTTCTTTAGCTTTGGCATCTGCCCACACATGACGGAAGACAACAAAGAGCTGATCCAAGGCAAGGACCTGCTGGTGGCTTATTATGACGTAGATTACGAAAAGAATCCCAAGGGGTCCAACTACTGGCGCAACAGGTGAGAACACAGCAAGGACTATCCTGAAGTTAAATGAGTGAGGTTGGAGAGACCTGCAAGCCACTGATATGTTCTGCCCCCACTGCCACAGGCAATATGTGCCTGACCTGCCAGTTGCTGGGAATCATAGGTGGGGAGATCACTGCTGATGCTGCAGTTGGGTCCTCCTGGCTTCCCGCTGGGGCAGTGGTTTTAAACCAGTGTGCCACGGTACCCTGGGGTGCCTTGAATGATGGTCAGGGTGCCTCCCTCCCTCCTCTGATGCCCTCTCATGTCTGCCTCCCAAAGGCTTGTGTGACTGTTTGTTGCAGCATCCTTGGCTACAAGCTCTGCTAGTTGCCAGAAGCTGAGGTGGCCTCGTAGTAAGTAGGTAAGCAAGCAAGCAGGTGAGGGAGCCTAGCCAGCCAGTTTGCCAGCCCTTGCTGTTGGGAATGAACAGACAAGTCCTAGGCCCCTGTGGGTCAAGGGAGGCAGCTCAGAGACCTGCCCAGAGAACTCAAAGAAGAGGAGAAGAGGTTGAGAAAACACTCTGTGAAGGAGGATATTTGAAAAGAGTGAGAGGCTGCCAGCTCTGCAGGCAAGGGGTGACATAACTGGGCTCCTGAGTCCCACAGGGGTGTCACAGAAAGAATATAGTTGGTCAACGGAGCAGTGGACTCAAAAAGGTTGAAAACATCTGCACTGGAGCAGCTGGTTGACCACTGGGAGCAGGACACTTTGTCTTGATCCAGTGGACTCATATGTCTGTGCCAGAGGCCATGCCTCTTGTGGCTGCTCTATAGCCCAAACAGAAGGGCTGCAGCAGTTCCAGCATGCAAACATCCCCCTCCCTAGGAAGAGTGGGGGCAAGAAGCCAGCAATAGTATAAGCTGTGGAGGTCCCCCATCAGCAGTGAATAACTTATGGAAGGAGACGGGCAGTGACACTTCTGCCCTTGGCCAATCATTGATCACCTTGGTGGCTCTTTGAGGCTGCTCCAAGCACACTTGATCCTTTAGCTATAGAATTTGGGACTGCTTTGACTTGAACACATCACCACCTCTGCCTGAGCCAAGGTACTTCCGAAATTGGCTCTTAATTAATTAAAATGATTTGCTTGCCTTCACGCATGCCTTGAAGAGGACAGGTGCGCTGTGACTCCTGATTATCTTGGGCTATCACAAAAAAGTTTTGTTATTGCTTTTGCAGAGTGATGAAGGTAGCCCGGAGTTTCCTGGATGCTGGACACAAACTCAGCTTTGCTGTTGCTAGTCGGAAGACCTTTGGTCATGAGCTCTCAGAGTTTGGATTGGATGGCTCTACCACCGATGTTCCTCTTGTTGCCATCAGGACAGCTAAGGGAGAGAAATTTGTCATGCAAGAGGAATTCTCGTAAGTGGAGCATTTGTTTATACTGCAAGTGTGCACACTGCTTCTGGTGTGGTCTGGAGTGGGGACATCCCACTGCCTTTTCCTGAACAATTCTGAGCACAAAGCATCATAGGCCAATCCAGACAGAAAGTCTGGGATTTCTTCTAGTGACTTTAGAAGGGGGGTTACAAGTTGGGGGAGGACTGGTTGAAACAATTCTCTTGTTTGGTTTGCAGCCGTGATGGGAAGGCCCTGGAGAGATTCCTCCAGGATTATTTTGATGGAAACCTGAAGAAATACCTGAAATCTGAGCCCATCCCAGAGAACAATGATGGGCCTGTGAAGGTGGGAGCTGCTGCTTGTTCTGTCTCCTCAAGGGTGGTGGGAGCCTTGGGCCCCTTCAGATGATATTGGACTTCCATCAGCTCTACCCAGCGGTGCCCAAAGATAAGGGATTATGGGAGCAAAAGGTCAACAGCATCTGGAGGGTCCCCTACTCCTAGCTTAAAAGAAACTAGATCTCGTAAGAATAACTCACTCTATGTGGGCCTGCTCTTGAGACTGACCCAGAAACTCAAGCGGGTGCAGAATGCTGCGGCGAGACTCCTTACGGGGTCCTCACTGCGGGATCACATTCACCCAGTGCTATACCAGCTGCACTGGCTCCCGGTGGAGTACAGGATCAGGTTTAAGGTGCTGGTTTTAACCTTTAAAGCCCTATACGGCCTAGGACCCTCATACCTACGGGACCGCTATTCCTGGTATGTCCCACGGAGGACCTTACGGTCTTCAGACAAAAACACCTTGGAGGTCCCGGGCCAGAGAGGTTAGGCTGGCCTCAACCAGAGCCAGGGCTTTTTCGGCTGTGGCTCCGTTCTGGTGGAATGCTCTGTCACAAGAGACTAGGGCCCTGCGGGACTTGACATCTTTCCGCAGGGCCTGCAAGACAGAGCTGTTCCACCAGGCCTTTGGCCAAGGCACAGCCTGGCCCCTCCTTTGGTAATTCTTCACAGAACTCTACCCCAATGGTTGCCATCAATTTGATTTGAACTGATTTTATAATGAATTGATTTTAGAATGCTGTATTATTTTACAGTTGTTAGCTGCTCTGAGCCTGGCTTTGGCTGGGGATGGCGGGATATAAATAAAATTTATTATTATTATTATTATTAACCAAGAAGGGGACTCCTCTGCTGTATTTTGGGACATGTTGCAGCAGGTGGCCTTAAAGGTATGACCGACGTGCAACACCCCAAAACATCCCATATTATATTCCAAAATGCCCACAAATTTCTCCACTTTGTTCTAAGTTTCATGCAGTTTAAGTAAGATTAATGTGCACATTTACTAATTTCAGCTCTTTCTGAGCTATGTCTTGAGGCTGTAGCTTTCTCAGGGTAGCTGATGTTCATAGCTGCTGGGCAGTTTCATCAACAAACATGAAAAAGACAAATTGAAATTACAAGTTGGATTGAACAAGCCCAAAATTTGAAGTACAGGGAAATCTTAAAGTAGCTATGTTTTCTCTGAATTAAGTTTCAGTTTATATGTCCTTGATGCATACCAAGACTGTTTCTGGACACCTGGAATTCAGGAATTCAATTCATAGATGGGAAACAGGCAGATTTGGATGTGATCTGTATATTGATTGAACTGCTGGGAAAATGAGAGGCTTCCTGCATATTATTCAGCTTGCAATAATACTAAAATTAGGCTTGGGAACCTCCCCTTTTGAGCCTGCATGTTTTCTCCCCAGGTGGTTGTGGCTGAGAACTTTGACGAAATTGTGAATGCTGAGGGCAAGGATGTGCTTGTGGAGTTCTATGCGCCTTGGTGTGGCCACTGCAAGAACCTGGAACCCAAATACAAGGAGCTTGGAGAGAAGGTATGCCCAAGGGGCGGGAGGAGGATCCGAGTGCCTGAGTGTCTCTCTCCCTTAATAGAGGTCCCTGTTCATAGGAGACCAGAGAGAAGAGCTCTTATCTTCAGGGGCCTTGATACTGTGTATTTGAGCAAGGTTCTCTTGGGCGTGGAACAGCCCCTAGGGGGCTGGCACTGCTCTGCTATCATGAATTGACTGCTTCTGCCAGTGTGAAATTGCTGACTGGATTATCTTTCAACAGCTCAGCAAAGATCCCAACATTATTATAGCCAAGATGGATGCTACAGCCAATGATGTGCCTTCTCCCTACGAAGTGCGAGGGTAAGAGAATTATGCTTGGTAGCTACTGGCTGGTTCTTGCCTGCCCTCTGCTGTCAGTGATAGAGTAGCTGTCCTGCAGGCACAGTCTTGGGCCTTTTAGGAGGAGTCCTTTGCGCCCCATCCACACCAAGCGCCCCATTGTGTGCTTGCACTATGCCCTTGAAGAATGGCTGCTGTATGGAGGCTTATGCATGTAAACACCAGGCATATTTCCTCCAGGGCAGTCATTCAGGATACCACTGAATGCCCTGCTGAGTGGTCTTTCTTTCTTTGTTTGTTGACAGCTTCCCCACAATTTATTTTTCGCCTGCGGGGAGCAAGCAAAGTCCAAAGAAATATGAGGTGAGTTAATGCTTGTACCGGGTTCCCTACAGTAATAATAAGCAGCTGCAATGAAGTCGTCTTTCTTTTGCCCATTAATCCTAAAATATGGCAAGTGGCATAAATGATCAAGTGGAATGTGTTGAGGGTGCTGTGTGTGCGCTAGTGATTGGAAGTTAATGCCTTGAGCACTGCTGCACTTTGCCTGACTTGTGTCTTCTTGACAGGGGGGGCGTGAGGTGAATGACTTTGTCAGCTACCTGAAGCGGGAGGCCACTTACCCACCCATTCTACAGGAGGATGAAAAACCCAAGAAGAAGAAGAAGGCGCCCAAGGAGGATCTGTGAGCGGGGAGGGGGGCTTGGTATCATCGTCGCCCTTGTCTGCAGAAGAGCCCATGGCCACTCCTGGAGGTGGGGCCCTGTGGGGCAGTCTAAGCTGTTGGAAAGTGAAGCCACATTGAGCAGAGGGGACCCAGCTGCTGCTGCTGCTGTTCTGTTTAATTTCCTGCCCCCTCATCTCTTAACTGCACTGGCCTTGAATGCCCTGGACTGGCTGATATTTGTGGGTGGGGAGGGGGAGGGTTTGTTTTCTAATTTTTTGTACATTTGAAGAAGTGAATCAATAAATGACCCCCTTAGGCCCCAAGTTGCCTTTCTGTGATGATGGGAGGGGAAAGACTTCTCCCTGTCTCTTTGAGCGGGATACATTTACCTGTTTCTGGTACTTTGCTAGTTTGGGAGGCTGCTCTACCAGATAACTTTTGTTCCCCATAGAAGTTACTGAACAACTCAGCTGTCCTTGAGAAGTTTGCATGTTGATTTTAGCTTGGGGTAGCCTAGCTCTGCAGATGGGCCTAAGCAACATTCTCAAATGAACATGTAGCAGATTGATAACATAACTGATTGATACGAAGTGAAGGGAGATGTCATGTCTGTTTAAACGATCTTCACAAAATGCAATTTTTTGGTATAACTTCTCATGTGGAGAGTCTCTGAGAGATGTGGTAGGTGCCAAGCTTTAAGCCTGTGTGACAAAGACCTGTCTCTGCAGCCACTAGAAATTTTGAAAACAAAGCAGCATAAGCCAGGCAAGATTAAAATATTCCTTGAAGAAAAGGTTTCTAGCAAAGTTCCTGCTGCCTTGGGTGTGAGTGTCTGAACAAATGTCAACTGGAGTTGGACAAGCTAAGTGTTAGCATATTGAGATTGTCCTACCTAAAAATGCAAGACTACCCACACTCCAGTTTTTCCAATTAAGGCACAAGAATGTACTTGCTGACTATGAAACAATTCTAAAGCACAGCTTTGTTTCAAGCCAAAGATGGCTGCTCTGGTTGTGGATAGCTTGAAGTAACTTTAGGCTGCCACAACAAGTTGCTACAGAAGGATGGGGAAAAGGGAGCGCCCTCACCCTGCTTTAAGTGTTTCTTTTCAAATTGCTTTCAGCTAGCAAGATGTTGCAGAGCAGACTTGGACCAAAACCTAAGAGGAACATACTGTAAGCTGGGCCTGTTCTTAAGCTGTACAAAGCTCACTCCAGGAGCAAGCAGTTGTAATGAAACACTAGAGCCCCCCCTGTGCTTGCTGTGAGGAGTTGCAGGTGAATGCTGCCCTCATCATCTCCTCTCGCCACAGCCCCTCTGCCCAGCCGGAGGGACATTCTGCTCAAAGTTTAGGATTTGAGCCTTTATGTGGGAGAGCTTGTGGTGCAGATACTCGCAGTGTCTCTTTTCTTCTTGGTAGTTAGGATACACCTGCAGAGAAGGAAACAGTTCAGCCACCAGGGGGAAAGAAAGCACCCACCTCCCTGATGCCAGCCTGGTTTCCTCACCTTTTTGAAGTGCCTGTATTCTTGCAAAATCTGATCTTCTAGGACCTGTAACCCAAGAGAGCTAGTTCAGCCCAGGACCAGGCAGGGAATGTCCCTTCCCCTTTGTTCCCTTTTGTTTCCTGGAATGTTGTTACCTTGTACTCCTTGGTTCCTTGCTGCATTCGCCTAAGCCTTGTGCCCAGCTGGGCAAACCTCCTGCTCACACTCCCAATCCTGGCATGGAGGTGGCGGTATGTAGTGTAGTCTGCACTGAAGTCCTCCTGGTAGGCTCTGTACTGCTTTACTGAGCAAATAGGGACATATTTCCTAGTTTCAAAAGACACATTATGTGAGTCAGAAGATGGAAAGGGAGAGCCTCCTCCCTTGGGGAATTTGACCCAATGTATCAAACACTATATTGGTTGGGAAGGCCAACAGCAGCAGCCACCTCTCCAATCCATCTCCCACATCAGGAGTAGAACCTTTTTTGGTCCCAAGGATTGTGTTCCAGCATGGACAGTCTTCCAGAAGCTCCATTTGGTCGCTAGGCATGAGATCCCCACACCAAATGTACAACAAGGCTGGGCACCAGTGAAAATGATGCTGGTTCCCAAATGGCTGAGGCCTATGAAAAATGCCCTTGCCTTGTGTGCAGTGCAGCTAAATACTTACAAGTAGTACTTGAGGTTGTCCTCTGAAGTGCTGGCATGGTCTGGGGAGGGGAAAAGGAAAAGCAGAGTCATTGTGGTGGCAGCAGTTGCCCTGCAGTCCTGCATTGGACACCAGCATCTCCCACCAGTGTGTGTTGCTCAATGCTTTCCCAGGCTCATTCCACCTGGATATTTTGGTCTACACCTCCCATCAGCCCAACTGCTCTGCAGTCCAAAACACCGGGAAGGCTAGGAAGATTGAGAAGGTGGTTCTAGACAGCTTTTTAGGCCCAAATTGACAGTACAAGTACCTCCTGGTTTAAACCATTCTGCCTGACTGGGAAGGCTGAGCTTTCCATTTTGCTCAAGGTCAGGAGCAGATTGCAGAGGTTCCAGTTGCCATCATATTTGATGTTTGTGTTGGGAGTGCACCTGCCAGACTCCTCACCTGCCTGCCTCTCCTCCTCCCCTGGCCACTCGACCTCTGGTGCTCTTTGACTTCCTGCTTCAGGTTCCTCATCCGAGCTCTGAACCTCTCCTATGATGTCGCTGCAATCGGTCTGGGCCCTGCTTTTCACTGCCACTGCAGGCTGCATTTTGCGTCCCCACCAGCTGCTCTCGGCTCCTGTAAAGTGAGGCCCCTGCCATCTCCTGGATCTTGGCCCAAGTGCAGCTCGGAGAGGTTGTAGTCTCTGAAAAATAATATCCACACTTCACTCTTTCCAGGCACAGTCCACTTTAAAGCACTGTGTCTGAGTATGGCAAATGATAAGCCCTCTCTTACAGTCTAATCTGCCAAGTGGATACTAGGAACAACAGGATAATGATGGTTCCCTCTAGGCAGGAAGATCAACTGAAAACCACCATGCAGTAGCACAGACACAGACAGGCAAATTCGAACAGCAGAAATGGAAGACAAGAAAGTCTCCCCCTCCCCCTGTGCCCACAGGAGCCTGCAATGCCTGGGAATTAGAGAGGCTGCCCAGAGGGGGTGATGCAACCACAGCCTTGCCATGGCATCATCGGCTGTCGCTGCTACTGCTCTGAATTAAAGCACCACCATTGCAGGACTCTGAATTAAAGCACCACTGTTGTAGGACTCACCGCTCTTAAAGGACTACCACCTTGAGAAGGAGCAAACTTTTCAGATGGGAAGGGCTTGGCCAAAGTTTGCTGGGCCTCTTTCCTGCAGAAGTGGAAGGAGAGCTGTTAAAAGCTGACCATGGCAGAGCAGAATAGTGGGAACAACTGTGCACCCACACATAAAGAGACAGGATTATGCTAGAGAGGGAGGGAGGGAGAGAGAATGAGGACTAAGACCACAAGGATACCCTATCCCTCCCCAGTAGTCTAACTCCCAGACTCATTGCTCTACCTGCGCAAGTGCTCAGATGTTTCCTGGTGCTGCTGCAGAGCACCTGTCCAGGCCTCCTTTCTAGGTTGCAGACAATCTTCTTTCAAGCTGTAACTTCTTTCTGGGGGGCTCAGCTGCCCCATCTGTGGGGTAAAGGTGGTGAGGAAGGCTCCAGCAAGGTGAGGAAGCCCAGCGGCCTCTCCCAGACCTACCTCAGCCTGCAGTTGTGGCCTCTCCAACAAGCCCAACAGCCTCTCAGCCCTCTGGTCTCTTCCTTCCCGCACCTGCACTGGTGGCCATGGGGGCTCACTGGGTGGGGGACTGCTTCCTTTGCCTTTCCCACTGGGGCTCTCTGAGGCTGCTTTCCTTGGGAGGAGGGTGCCAGTCTCTACAGTGCAGAAAAGCAGAAAGTCAAGGCAAAGGGAGTGAGGGAATAGAGCCAGCCTTGGCTGTCAGTAGCCCCCAGTGCTACTTGCCCCCTCCCCAATGTTAATTGCAGAAGACAGTTTCCATTCTTCATCCACAGTGATTGTCTATAGCAGCTGAGCTGAAATTTGGAAGTTACACTTCAGATCCACTTATTAAATTTGTATACCACCCTTAATCCAAAGATCTCAAGGTGGTTCACACATGGAAGGATTTCATAAATCCAGGGTAGCTTTATACTAGTTATAAGGTTTTTGTTAAGATACCAAACTAAACTGTTCCATTATGATCACATGTTAGTAAAAACAGTTTGCTAGGTGGTTTTAAAACAAGTTCCACTGCTTCTTAGGATATATACATTCTAGGTTAGAACCAGAGACCTTTGAATGGCAGCGCTCACAAATTGTTCCTTTCAGGAAGTGGGGAGGGGAGAGAGGTGGTGGCAATTTGTGCCAATTCCCCCTTCAGCTCCTATCCAAGAAGCCCTTGCTGCCCCTTGCCCCTCTCTCCTCACCTGGGTTTGGGAACGCAGCTGCTGCCCTATGGCAGGTCGACCTCTCTACCCCCCATCTGGACTGGGAGGCCTCCACAACCATGGCACAGATGGTGATCTTCTCCTGGATGGCTCCTCTGCCCTCCAGCCACCTGGGCAAAGAAGAGCAATGTTCAGGGAAGCCTCTCTCCCCCATTCCCACCCCCCAGGGAAATAGCCTTTGGGCTGGGCCAGCTTACCTGGTACTGGCCTGGCGGACGCAATCAAAGCTGGCCTGCGGCTGCTCCTTCGTATAGCGTGAGAGGTAGAAGGTGAAGCGGAAAGTCCGTGGGTCACGACGGCCAGCAGTGGCGCCGCAGGGCACCTTCAGATACTGGACAGCATAGAAAGAGAAGAGGGGGGATCTGGTCTGGCCCCTTGGCCTCAGGAGCAGGGCCTGACCCTAGACATGTGGCTGGGGGCTGTTTCTGTGTCTGTGGGACCTGGCTCTGCCTGAGTGAAAAACACTGTGGGGCGGTGCTTTTCCAGGGGTCAGTCTTGGCCCTGCGCAGGAAGGGAGTGGGCGGGGCTCCCCATACAGAGCAGCGAAGGCGCGGCTCCTGCCCACCCCGTCTCTTTCCCTCTTCCCTTGCTACTAAAGGGGACTTTCAGCCCGAAAAAGAAGCGGCTTTCGACGGGGCGGGCTGCCCCGTTCCAGCGCCAAGACAGCAGAGCACTCCGCGGGGAGGACGCCGCAGCCAGGCTCGGTCTGCCGCTCGCGCGAGACTTGTTAGCCGCCTTGCTGAAAGCCGCGGGGAGCTCGTTAGCAAGCAGGCGGCGCCCACGGCGATAGCAACGGCCACGGCGCCCCTCCGTTGCCCAGCCCCGGCGATGGGACTCGACAGGACCCCTGCCCAATGCACGGCGCTGGGAAATATCCTTACCCCTTGGCTGCCCTGGAAGGCGATCACGGGACGAGGCGCCGCCACCTGCAGAAAAAAAGCGGGCAGTGAGACCACCCCTCCCGCCAAGTGACCGGCCGTCCGGCAATCGCCTCCAAGCCAGCCCATTACCTGACACCGCTGGTAGGCGAGCAAGGCCTGGAGGGCCGAGTCGGTCAGTTTCACGTGGAAGAGGCTGAGGCGGGCGCCCCGCGAGCCGGGGCGGTAGGAAAGGCGCTCCGTCGCCCGCCGCGGCATCGCTAGAGTGAGCGGCTGTGGCGGCGGCGCCTGGGCGGGACTTGGGCTCGACGGCGGGGCGGGGCGGGGCCGCTGCTCCTTGCTCGGCAGCCGCTGCTGCTCCACAAACCGGTGCGCGTGCCCAGCCCGGGATGCCTGGCCAGACCTGCCTCCGTTTGGGGCGTGGGAAAGGCCCGGAGCAAGAAGAGACCTCGGAGCTTTAGTCTGCCGTCCCTTCCAGAAGAAGGGCGCCGCCGATTACCCCCCAAGCCCCTCAACAGTTTGCCCCGAGGAAGAACGGCCGGTCCGTTATCCAGGTCTTCGGGGGAGCTTCTGCCCATTGTCCCCGGTCCCCCAGACCGGAGATCCCGGGGCTGGGCCTCCCTTTGGGCCCCGGGCATCGCTTCTACTCCAAAGCCCCCCGCGGCAGCCGACCCCGGACGCTTGGCCACGTGCAGCGGGGCCACGTGCTTCTTGGGACTCTCCACTAAGCCTCTTAGAGCCCCGCAGGTCACCGGGCAATAATCTGGGGCGGAGCAGCATCCCCTAAGAACCGCTAAGACTCGGATGCGCCTCTTCGGTTGAGCGGCTTCCCTCGCCCAGAAGACCTTCATAGACGTTTACTTCTGGGCATAGGAGCCAACTCCTAAGCGCCATGGGGTGTTCAGCCCCCAGAAAAATTTTGCGGGGGCCGCCCCCCCCCCCAGTTGATGGGCACTGCTATTCAAATAGTGTGCATGCACCGCATCATGTGATCAATTATGCGAGCGGAGCTTACCTGCTCCCCCGATTTTTTGAGGCTGGCATTTCTGCTTCTGGGTGGTCTGTTCATACATGAGAGAATTGGGATGGAGGGCAAAGCCAACTGAGTTTTCTCAGAATCTAGCCTGTCAGGAGATGGGAAGGAACCCATTCATCCACGGGAGGTATTCCCTCTTAGCGCAAGTCTTTGGGGCCTCGCGTAGTATAAGAGGAAACCCCCTTTTCCGTCGCGTCTGGGTGAACAGCGGGTTGCTGCTCGCCGCCTCTTCTGTTATAGACGCGAAGGCATTTACTTGGGTTTATTAAGGCAGCCCAAAGGGAGGGGCCCCGCTTGAGATGTGGGAGGGGGCCCTGCTGATCCCTGCTAAACCCAGCCGCAGCCTGACGCCCAGATCCTCCTTGGAAGTAAGCCTGAGCGCAGCTGGGGCGTAGGGGGGCTTACTCTATAATTGAATTACAGGCGCTCAGTGTAGACTGAGGGAAGGAGAGACGGCTAAGCGGCCTCTCGCTTCTGCCGCTGCCGGCCTGCTCCGACCGTCGCATGCAAGGCGGGGAAGCAAATCCCTCGAGATCCTGATGCGCGGCTGCCGGCAAAGCCCCTTCCGAGGACGGAGGAGCTGCCCACCATGTTCTTGGTCAAGATGTTTCAGGGCGAGGAGGAGGAGGAAGGCGAAGGGGCGGGCGCCAGCCTCGGGCCGGTGCTGCTGGAGGGAGGCAGCCCCCATCTTGGACGGAGGGTCCATTTCCTGCTGCCCCACACTATCATCCAGGAGCCCCCGCCCCAGCTTCAGGAGCGAGCCTTTTACCAGCGGCTGGAGCGCTTGCTGGGAGGAGAAAGAGGCGGCTTTGCAGCGCTCTTTGCGGCTGACGGCTGGGAGGACCTCCGAGGTGAGGCCCGGAGCGCAGGGGGCTTTCAGGCCAGGAGATGGAGGGTCCCGCTGCTCCCCAGAGGGCCTTGGAGGCAACAGGGCGGCTCGGCCTCTCAGACCCTACATGATCCTCTCTGCTGCCAGTCATTGGGGGACGGCGTGACATCGCTGGCTAACAAGCGCCACAGCCAGAAGCCACTGGGGGCAGGAGATGGTTGCTGGGTTCGCTGCCTCTTAGCCAGAAAGCCCCCTGCCCCCGCCTCAGCGACCCAGACCAGGGGCTGCCCTCACACCCATGGGGGTCTAGAGGTGCATCAGAATGAGGAGTGGCTTGACTGATGCCCACCTCAGCACCCCACAGAATGTGTGGTGGTGCGTCAAAAGGAATAAGAGGATAAACAAAGGCAGCATAATGCAAATGCTTAAAGTCCTGGGTGACGTGGATTTCCCCCCCAGGCAGGAGAAAAACTGGTGGGTGTGGGGAACCACATTAAGACCTTCTGATGCCCTCAGCTCTGCCAAGTTTGAGAGGCCCCATTGTTCTACTCCTTCCCCCCAAAGTATATTAGTCTAACAGATCGGGAAGGCCAAAGAGAGAAATAAATGTTTTGTTTTTGCGTAGATATGAGTACAGAGAAGGCAAATGAAAACAAACTAGTCCCTTTTTTGCATTTGGAAGCCTTCATCACCTGAAGCCCTAAACTGTGGTGTACTTCACCTATGCGTAAATCAGACCCTGGCCCAGGACCATTTGGAGGTAACTGGGCAGGTGGGACACTGCAGTACCTCAGGCTGGGGAGACAAGGCCCCTCCATTTGGCCAGAGCAGGTTGTGTTGTGAGAGAGGGGCTGTAACTTCCTCATCCTCCATCACTCCCTTGGCCTTCCTTCCTCTGCACCTGGGCAGTTGGAGTTCCACACACTTCCTCAAGCAAACACCTGCACCTGTAGTTGAACTGATGCTCCCCTTCCCACCCTCCAGAGGACAAGTCCCTACGGAAGCGGCTGGTGAAGAGCAGTCCAGAGGGAGGCAGCTGGCCACAACTGGGCCAAGAGGTTACTGTGAAGATGCTGGGAATCCTGGAGGACCACAGCCTGGTGGAAAAGGACCAAAAGCTCACCTTTGTCCTCGGCCAGGGGGAGGCAATACAGGTGAGGTGTGGGAAGGCTGCAGCCCAGGGGCTCCCTTGTTCCTTTGTGCATTTTCTCCTCCTGATCCTTTCCCCCCTGGCTTTGCCTGGCAGCCTGCCCCACAGGGGCAGCCCATTCTCAGCCCCCATTTCTCTCTGTTGCCTGAGCAACTGAATGCCACAAATGGTGGGGAATCCTGCTGTCGTTCTGCTTCTGTTCTGTTTCAGTGGAAAGGACTGTCAGCTTTGCAGCCACCCCCAACCTCATGCTTATAGGGCCCTCCCTCTACATAGGATCTCACCTTTTCTGCCTGTGCGCTATCATAGCAGAGGCCAATGCAGACCACATGAGAATGGCTGTTGCTCCCAAGCCAATGTACTGTTGCACGTAGTGGTGCTGAGAGGTGTGACAGCAGGATGTGTGTGTGTGTTGGGGGGGCACTTTGGGTCAGGTCCTTGTTTCCTTTTTCTCTCCCTAGGCTTTGGACCTTGGCGTCCTCTCCATGCAGCTTGGTGAAATAGCCCTTTTCCTCGCTGGCCCTGCTTGTGCCTACGGTCACCTGGGCAGGTAGTCATCAGTCATTGCTCTGCACTGTGACTGGTGGGCAGGGAGGGGGGCAACATCTGGTCCTTGGTGGGGGAAGAGAGCTGTGTGTTCTCAGAGGCCTCTCCTCCTCCTCCTCCTGCAGAGAGCCAGATATTCCCAAAGATGCCACGTTGCTGTACGAGGTGACTCTGCTGCACGTGCAGGACAGCCCGGACCTGTCGCTGTTGCCCACCATGGAGCGCCTCAGCCTGGGCAACCAGAAGCGGGAGTGGGGCAACTTCCACTTTGAGCGGGGGGACTACCAGCAGGCCCTGCACTCCTACCAGCAGGCTTTGCATGTCCTCTCCTTGCCAGGGACAGGTGAGGCACTGTTCTGAGGGCTTGGGATGCACTGGGGGATGAAACCCTCCCAACGCAGCCATGTGGGTGCGTGTTGGAAACATGGGGTTGGCAAGGGTTCAATTAGAGCTGACGGGCAGCTTGCCTGGAAATAGTGCCATGATCCCAAATGTGGGCAGTTTGGATGAAAAGGGAGAGGAACCTTGTCCCAGAGGTGCTCTCCCGCAAAGGCACACTTGACCCATCCCTACTGCAGAAGCCCAGTTCTGGGGCTCAGCCCCATCTGCACCTCCTGGCTGGGGGTGATGCTGCACCTATGTGCGTTTCTCTCTAGACTGCCCAAGCCAGGAGGAGGAAGAGGAGCTGCATGACCATCGGGTCAAATGCCTCAACAACTGTGCAGCCGCCCAGCTGAAGTTGAAGCTTTTGGATGAGGCCCTGGCATCCTGCAATGAAGTTATACAGCTTGACCCAGAGAACATCAAGGCACTTTACAGGAAAGGGAAGGTGATGAGGGAAACGCCTCCCAGCCCCTCACCTGCTCCAGGGCCAGGAGGGAAGAACTTGGCTAGGGAACGGCATGCTGAAGGCCGTACAGCTGGCTGAGATCCAGAGTGGGGTGGTGGGGGTGGTGGCAAAGGTCCCTGTTCCACAATATTGACCTAATGCTATATCTGGATTGAAGTGGGGGAAAGGGAGTTGTGACCACAAAAGGTGAGAGAAGGCATGAGGGAGGGTCAAGGAACAGCTGCAGAGAACAGCCAGAGAAAGAGGTGGACAAGGGCAGGTTTCCCCACCCCTACCCAATTCATATACCATCCTATCTCTGTCACTCTCTCTCTGCTATTTAGCTATTGTCAGAGCGGGGAGAGGACCAGGCAGCCACCGCCGTTCTGAAGAGGGCGCTGCAGCTGGAGCCAACTACCAAGGTGGGGCAACAGGACACACTAGGGGCAAAGGCAAGGCAAGGGACAATAGCAGAGGCGGTGGGGAAGGTCCATCTTTGCTGGGCCAGCTTCATCCTCTGCCACTTTCGGCACTTGCGACTGGCATCTCCTCTTTTGCTCAGCTCACGCTGAGATGACATCATATTCCTAGCATTGGTGGGAGGGTGCTCAGCGGGCACTGGAGGTGATCCCTCCCCCGTCTTCCGAGTGTATTAACCATTTGCTCCCCAGAAGGATTAAAATGACCTTGGCTGTCTCTAGGCTATCCATGCTGAGCTCTCCAAGCTAGCAAGGCGGCAGAGGGGGCAGCTGGAATGCCCTGGCCCAGGAGGGGCCACTCCAGAAGACATGGCAACACCCACCATTGCTCACAGTGCTCAGGTTTGTTATCACGGCCTAGTTAAGGCAAAGGATTGAGGGTCCTTGTCACTTAGCAGGTGCCTTCCTGCGACTTCATCCTGGCTGCTGCTGTTGCTGCTGGGTTTGGTTCCCAAGACTGTTCCGGTGGCCTTGTGGCAGCTGCCTTTGTGGGCATGTTGTTTGGCCAGTGTGGTGTAGTGGTTAGAGTGCTGACTAGGGCCTGGGAGACCAAGGTTCTTATCCCCATTAATCTTATTGGGTGACCTTTGGCCAGTCACTGCCTCCAAGCCTAATCTACTTCATAGGATTGTTGTGAGAATAAAATGGGGAGATGTATGCCACCTTGAGCTCCTTGGAGTAAAGGTGGAAAAAAAATTAAGAGATAATTAAGAAATTAAGATAATTAAGAGGTTTTGAAAACTCATGTGTCTCCTCACTGCCATCTTTTGCAGACAGATGCTTCTGCTCCCCAGCCAAGCTGAGTGGCTGCTTCTTTTCCTGGGTTGACCCTAGAAAGCCTTGCAGAAATGTGAAGTTCCACCTTCTCTGACAGCAAGAACTTCTGAGGGGTGTCAGGGCCAAATACTTGTTATGTGTGCCCACCTGTTTCTCCTGGGATGGGGCAGACCTACAGCTGCTTATGGAAGTGCGTGGCTGTAAGTCCCAAAAGGAACTCTTCCTCCTCCTCTTTCTCTACCACCACCACCACCACCAGTGATTGAGAGGTTTGCAAGGACGTTTATCCAAGAATAAAACATGGCACCCGAAGTCAAGTGGCTGGCTCTCATTGACACCTTTGATGATGATGTTCCCTAAGCGTAAAGGAAGGCTGTCATTGTGAAAGGGTGGGAAGATCCTTTCCAGCTGAAGCTGGATACTCTGAGGCTGGATTTTGCCCTGCAACCCAGCTTGCTGCTTATATTTTCTTCTGTGCTCTATTCATTTCCCTGCCAATCTGCAGGGAAGCCACCTTGGAATACATGTCTCATTCAACCCAAAGACTGGCCTGTTCCTAGTGTTGAGCTGAGGAGGAGAACAAATTCCAGGGTGTAGACAGACATACAGCTCCCTGCACGGACTGGCAAAGGGTTTTCTGCTGCTATTGTGGGGTGGGCTGGGGTGCTCTGCTTCTGGCATGATTATTCTCCCTTTTCTAAAAGCAGACAAACACCACTCTTACTGTGTTGTGTTCTTCTCCCATACCTCTTTGAAACACAAGTCTGGGCAAAGGAGGGGCTTCATGACTGTCACAAGGGTCAGCCAGGCAGCACTTTGCAGTTTGGCTGAAAAGAGTGAAAATTGGTTGTATGGAGAGCAGCCTTGTCCCCCCTCAGGATGTACATCTATGTGTACCATAAGGGCCAAGTGCGGTACTTATTGCTTATTGCAATAAGCAATAAGTACTAGCTCTGGGTTCCTTATTGCTCTGAAGATCCACCAAGGGCCATTCTGATATCCCAGTTGCCTTGTTTCCTTTGGCAGGGTTCTTCTTCTTCTTCTTGCTGCTGAAATTGTCTGTGTTCTATCTGCACACACAATATTTACCACCAGTCACCATCACCTCTCTTGTGGCAGCCTCACTCATGAGCTGTAGCAGGTCAAGTACAGAGAAGGTCCTCCTTCTTTGTAGGAGAGTAGGAATAACTTCTCTTCTGTCCTAAAAGTATCCCCTAAATTGTAGAAGGCAGATAACCTCTGAGCAACTGGATTTTCATAGAGGGTTGTGTGTGTACTTGCAGTTTCAGTTAGGAACAACATTTCCCACCTCCCTCTAAGAACTCTCAGGAGGACTGTCTTATGGCCTGGTTTTTCAGGGAGGAGCACCTTTAGGTGCTGGGTCACCCCGGTAGTGAGTTCATGCAAGGGATGTAGGCTACAGAGCAACTCAACTACTCTTTTTTGGGTGCTTGGCCTAAAAGCGTCTAGTCTCTGTTGAAGATGGGACAAAGGAACAGCTTCATCCTCAACAACAGGCATGTCTGGGTGAAACGGAGCCTAGCAGAGGCCCTGGTGCTCAAATGTAGTGGGCAGCCTTCTTTGAAGCAGTCAGGAGTTCCACAGGTGGGCAGTCAAAGAAAGAGCCTTGCCTGCAGGAGGAAGTCTTCCTGGTGTTGCTGCTGAGGGCAAAGAGCTGGCAATGTTCCCTCAAAAGAAGAATGGCTACAGAAACTAACGGAATATGCAGAAATGGCGAAACATCGGAAGAATAATAAATAAAGATAACAAAGTCTTTAAAGGGGAATGAAAATCTTTTATTGAATATTTACAAACTCATTGTAAACGAATTAAAACATTAGCAGGATTAATGTAAAAATGTGCAGTATTGAAAACATATATAAAATGGATGGAAATAAAACATAAAATAGATTTAGATTCAGGTATGCAGGAAAATAGAGTAAATATAAGGAAGAGAGAAAGAGGGGGTGGAAAGTCAAAATATGATATGTAAAGATGATTCTGTTTGAAATGTTTGTCATAAATGAAAATTCTATATATAGAGAGAGAAAGTTGGAGCTGGGGAGTTGGTTCCTGAGGAAGAGAAGGCAGTGCTGCCAGGCAATCCATTTATGGAGCATTGATCCTGATTTGCTCACAGGGAGATTAGACAATGTTGGTTATTTAATGAGGATTCCCTTGGTGTGTGTGTGAGGAAGGGCAGACAATGGTGAGTCCAAATCTCCTCTGCCGCTGCGCTTCCTGCATAAGGTCTGGGCTTTGAGAGAGGGGTTTTGGTGCACAAGAGCCATCCTGACTTGGCCAATCTGTGATTGAGGCTGCACCCTAACCAGGTACTGAAAACATGTTCCACTCCTCTCCTGCCACCACTGCCCCAGAATAATCCAGGGATAACTCAGTTGCTTAGAGTGTGGCACCTATAATGCCAAGGGTGCAGGTTCGATAAGCTGCATATTCTTGCATTGCAAAGGGGTTGGATTGATGACCCCCAGGATCCATTCCAGCTCTATGATTTTATGGTAAAGAACTTGACTCCTCGCAGAATGAGCCTTCCCTGACCCCTTGACAGAGCAGCAGCTGGGAAGCCCCCCTCTGACCCTCTGCTCCATCCAGGACTGGCCCAATACATTTTGGTGCCTGAGGCGAACCGCATAATAGTGCCTTCCCTGCCAAATAAGAAGGGAGTGAAAGAAGATCTACATCAGAAACAAGGGCTTTGGGATCCGTTGCCGTCTGAGACAATGGCTTCACTTTGACTCATGGTTGAGCCGGTCCTGCCTCCATCCCACGGGGACGGAACCCACGCGGCACCACCTCTGCTGGGGGAGCTTGGCCGTCGATCTTGCCACCGCTAGCACTTACTCCGTGCCCAGGACTGGAGAGGAGAGGGCGGAGCTCCTACGGGCCCCGCCACTCTTGGCTCCACAGCCATTCGCGGCGCAGGGGAGGGGCTTCAAGACCGCCACGTTGCGCCTGTTGCCCTCCATGATGCCCCGCCTTCATTTCTGGCCGTCCTCCCCTGCAGCCAATCGCTGAATGGTCCGCCTGGTCCAGTAGCCGCCTCTTGGCGCTGGCGGGCTAATAGCCTCCTGGCCTCTGTGCGGATTGGCCAATCAGGCGACAGGGGCGGAGCAGGGCAGGGCTGTGGCCGTAGCTGCCTCGGGGACTCGAGCGAAGCGGAGCCATGACGCGTAAGCGGGACTCCCCCCACCCCTCCCGGTCCGGTCTCGCGCCCCCTTATTACCCTCCGGTGGGTGGGGGAGGATATGGGCTGGAAGGTCCCGTTGCCTCCTTGACTTGCTCAGGGCGGGGGGAGTTCCGCCTCTGCCGCCCTTTCCCCCCGCCCGTCAAGGCTCGGCGGCCCGCAGTGGCCCCCGGGGCCCCGCCTGACCGGCCCCCGCCGCGCTTATACGTGCACTACCTTTCTCCGCGGTGCAGGGGGCAACCAGCGCGAACTGGCGCGCAGCAAGAACATGAAGAAGAACGCTGACAAGGGCAAGCGCCGCGACGACGGCCTCTCCGCCGCCGCCCGCAAGCAACGGTGAGCGCCGGGCGGGAGGGGAACAAGGTCGGGCTGGCTGTCTTTCTGGGCTGGGCCTCGAGCCCGGAGGCGGCGCCTCCTCCTTAGCATAAAAGACCTGGCCGGGGCAAGAGCCAGGAACGGTTGGCTGCCTCCCCACCCTTCCTGCTTTTCCTATTTCTTCCGCCCCTGGTGGTGAGCGGCGGGCATCATCCTGTTCTCTGATAGGGACGAGGCTTCTCGTGGCACTAGAAATAGAAGCACCTTAGGGCGGGATGAGCTTTCCGGGGCTCCTGGCATCCGCTTCCTTGGATGCCCTTCTCAGTCTGCTTGTCTTTAAGGTGTCTCAAGACTCCTCCATGGCATTGCTGTTGAAGGCTAAGGCTGCCAGTCACAGGTGTCCCCAGGATTTTTGTTGGGGGGGGGAGGCTTTTGTTGGGGCGGAACCTCAGATTTATATTGATTTTGATTGATTTAGGGGGGAAGCTGCCCCCCCCACTACATCCATGCGGCTGTGCCTGAGGTTCCGCCACTGGTTATGGAGGCTCCGCTGAACTGTCCTTGCTGCTTCTCCATCCCTGCTCTTACTTTCCACTCAAATCCTAGCCTAGCCCCTTGTCAAAGCCCTCAGAGGCCAGAGTGACAGCCCCTTCTCTCAGGCTCAGTGGCGACTGAGGCAGCCCTTGCCCTACCTTTATTTGCCAGCAGCCCAGCACCTGCCCTCAGGCCCAGGTGCCCCTTCCAGACTCAGTGGCCACAGCCTGACTGCCTTGCCTGTTTTTCTCTCCCCAGAGATTCAGAAATCATGCAGCAGAAGCAGAAGGCTGCCAAGGAGAAGAAGGAAGAGCCTCAGCAGCAGCAGCCAAAGTAGGCAAGAGCCCTGAGGGGGCCTGCCCAGGTGGTGGCTCCCTTTCCTTCTCCCTCAACCGCTCACACTCCTGCTTATAGCCACAGTGGCATTATGGGGGCCACCAGACCACCTCCTGCTGAGGCTGGAGAAGAAAGGAGGAGCCCCAGCCTGGTGGGAGCTGGCAAATGCTAGAATCAAGATACTTCATTAAAGTAGTTTTACCCATTTGTCCAGGCTGAAAAATTACTGCAGGAAATGAGATGGGCCGGGTCAGCAAGTGAGATGGAGCAATTTATCCACTGTGTGCACCCGTGTGTGTGTGTTTATATGGCTTGCAGCCTTATACAGTGGCCATGGGCCTATCCTATCAGCAACAGCTGGAAGCTGAGATTTGGCACAGCATAAGGATGGGGTGTCTATGGGAGACAGTCCTGGCTTGTAGCCAGGAAGATTTTCTTATGTTGATTTTTTAAAAGGCTTGTCTGCCACCTTTTGGGCATAAACAGCATTTAAACTGACTTAACAATTCATTAAAATGTCTAGACGGTCATGATTTAAAACAGGCACTTCCAACAGGTAGATCATGACCTACCGATAGATCACTGAACGTCTGAGGTAGATCACTGCCCCCCCCAAAAGCTCAACAACTTTGGCTCCCCCTAAAAAAAAAAAAATCTCTTTTTTTGTTCCTTGCACCCCTAAAAAATGGGCCCCTTTCCTTCCCAAAAGGCTCAACAACTTTGACTTGAACCCCCCAAAAGGGCGGTAGATCACTGCTAGTTTTTAACTCTGTGAGTAGATCACAGTCTCATGGGAGTTGGCCACCCCTGATTTAAAACAACAGCATGCTTTAAAACAATACAGAGACCCTACATTGTGAGCTGTGAGGTCAGGCCACGAGCTGATAAGCCATGCAAAGCAGGCAGACTAAGAATGTAAAATTACATAAACACAGCCTTTACCCTAAAGCCCAAGAAACAGGAGAGATTTTGCCTGGTGCCTCCTCACCACACCTTTGAAAAGAAAATTGTAGAGCTGGAAAGGTTCAGGAAGAGCAATCAAAACAATCCAGTGGTTACAGCAAATCCCTTAAGAGGCAAGGTTGCAACATTTGGGGCTTTTTAGAGATGAGCTTTTCTCCTTCTCTGTCATAATGCTAGAACCCAGCTGGGGCAAGCCAAGGAAGTTACTCTTCAGGACAGGTTCAGACAAGGGTCAGTGACCAGCTCATACCAGGGCTCCCATAAAAACCCAGGATTGCCTCTTTGGGTCAGGGGTCCAGTCCAGCACCCTATGCCCAGAGAGATGTCTGTGTAAGCTCAGATGCAGGCAGGGTGTGGCTGTGGTCATCTCTCCTGTATCCCTTCTTGCCTTTTACAGCCCTCTTGCTTAGCAATGCTGGCATCCTGTGGTTTAAAGTTGATCTCCTCTAGACTGTAAACCAACTTTTATTTCAGGCTTTATATTGGTGGCTTTAAATTACTTCCAATGAAGTGATGTCACTTTCTTGAACTGGCTTTCTTAGAGCAAAGCCTTCCTCCGTAAAAGATGAAGAATCCTCCCTTTTAAAATTAAATAGAGCTGAGTTAGACTTCCTGGCCATATTTTGAATAGTTGCTTTTCCCACTCAGTTTGGTGCAGTGCCTGCCTTGCTCCATTGTCGGGGCACCAATTAAGTTAAAATCGGGGCCTAGCCCATGACTGACTGTACCTAGGCCTGGTCACCTGTAGTTGCTTTCTCTGGCTCTCCCTTTCTGTGGCCAGCCTCCTTCCAGGAGTTGCACAGACCCTGATTATCTCTGGGGGAGAGGGAGGTCAACCTTGTATCCGGTCATCAGGAGGAGCCTGACCTCAGACCTGCTGCATCCCACAGGCACAGGAGTACCATGTGTACTGGATTTCACAGTGCCCTCCCCAACTGGCCTTGCATCACCTGTTTGCTTGAAAAGGAATGGAAGGGACTCAGGTTGGTTTCATCCCACAGAACTGGATCTTGCCCATCCAGTGGCTCCCAAAATGTGGACTCTGCCTCAGAGGCAATGGACCTTGAAGAAGAACTTGGGCAGAGGGCTTGGATTACCATGACTGCAGGGATCATAGTTTCCCCACGGAGAGACTATGCTCTGTTGGCTCTTGTCAGGTTGCCACAGCCTGTCCCAAATGCTGGCCTGGATGAGTCTGTCCTCTGATTCTCCTCCTATTGCAGCTGACCCAAACCAGGCAGGATGCCCAAGATTTGCAAGGCAGAGCATGCCCCATCCACACCTGGGGAGGACGCTCTAACCCCTCTCCAACTGCCCTGGGTGAGATACTCTAAACAAAAGTTCCTCTCCCAAGATCTCCTAACTGTCAGCAACTTGCGCAGCCTCAGTTGAGGCAATGCCACCCACACCCACAGTATGTTTGGCCATAGGAGGTCTCCCTGCCGTGCTTTGGGATAAAGAGGATGGGGGGATTTTGGCATAAAGAGTGGCACTAGCTGCTTCTGCCGAGGTGCTCTTCCCCATTCCTCCCCTGCCCCTGAGGAGCCAAGAGAAAGGAAGGCAACCAAAGTTCCAATTCAAGAGTTCTCTGGCTGTGGGACAGAGTCCTCCCAGGTGATGCTTTGTAGGAACATTTGCAGGAAGGGCCATCATGGGCTTTGCAGACGCCAGAAGGTCCCAGGTTCAGTCGCTGATGGCCTCTACAGGTACAACTGGGAATAGGAACCACAGGTGGAGCCAGCAGAGAGAGAAGGCTGTTCCAATGCTGGGCTCACTCCATCGTTTCCTCAGCTGAGTCTTGCAAGCCCAGCCTCTACTATCCTCCCACCCCCTACACTAAAAGGTCCTGCCTAACAACAACCACCCTGCCAAGTTGGCGCATTAGTCTCAGCTACTCTGCTGTGAGTTCTAAGGCTGGGCAATTCATACGGAAGGAAAGAAGTAGCGGTGGGGGAAGCAGGTCCACAAGCAGCCATTAGGATTCAGGAGAGCTGGATGGGCCCCTGAATCTATAAATGCACCCAGCGGCATTACAGTTGAACAAGATTTTATTGGCAGAGCAAATACAACGTCCACAATGAGCACCAGTCCTTTGGGTCTGTCTCTCCTTGTTAATCAGCACCGCGACAGGACCCTCCTCCCCCCATTTGGCAGGATCATCCTTCCACCACCTGTACACATGGGAAGAGGTGTCACAGCAGGAGGCCTCCTCACACACACACACACACCCACTACAGGTCAAATGTTGCTCACTGCCAAGACCCTGCAGTGTCTGATAATGGCTGAGAACTGGGGAGAGGCGCTGTGTTCCTGTGTCTGATTCTTTGTGTGCACCCTCCTTCCTCTCTCTGGAGTTCTCTGGTCCATATTAGTGGGACTTCGCCACTTGGAGCTCTGCCTCGTATTTTGTCCAGCCTTGCAACCAACACTGGGGGACGATGGATGGATGGGCATCAGCACCACCCTTATCCTCTCCTTCCATTAAAGCACCTGCCTCCTCTGAGCCCCCACTCTGCTGGCTCGTTCACATTAAAGGTACCCGCTGGGGCAAGGCATGCTGTGGCCAGCACCGGGACGTGGCATTGTGGGCGGCCTTCACATGCAGCACCCAGTGGCAGGCAGTCTTCGGACCAGGCCTGGTCTCTTGGCACCAGGTGGGTCTCTTGGCACCGGCCTTTGGTGATCGTGGCAGGCAGCTGAGCCCCGGCAGGCTGTGGCAAAAGCAAAAGAGCCTCCAGGCCCTTTTGGCGGTGGCGGCAGCATCAGCTACGTAGCAACACTGATGCGGTGAAGGTTGCGCTGCTGACGCCGCAAGACACGCAGGGAGGTGCTGTTGCGTTGGCGTGAGCCTGGGAGGCAGAGTGGGCCCAGCAGAAGCCAGAGGTAGAGGAGGACACAGGCCCAGCCAGAAGAGACCTTAACCCAGAAGGTTGACCAGCTGCCGTGAGTGAAGGTGGTCTCTAGCACTGCATTTTCATAGCTGCAAGGAGAGCAGAGGCAGGTCGCATTGCAAGCTCCAAAGCTGCCCCCTCCCCACCTTTTGCCACACAAGTTGCCACTCCCCCTGGATGTGGGCACCTTGTTCCTACCTGAACCAGTTGGTGAGAGTCATCATGACGTACAGCGAGGCCAGGAAGAAGACAAAGTGGAAGGTGGAGTAGCTGTAGACCACAGGGTCGCCGTGCACAATCTGCTGCTCCACTGGGGACCCTTCCTGCTCACCTCTCTGCCCTAGGCCAGGGGTGAAAAAGGGCCCTCCTGCTCACACAGCTCAGGGATCCAAAGCCCTGCTCTGCACCAATAGCCATGTCTAGTCGAATGACCAGCTATCCTGACTCTTATGGGGTTTCCCAATGTTGGGGAGTCCTGTACACATCCCCTGTCCCTTATTTGAGCATCTGGGGAAAAGATTCAGGAGAGACTGAGATGAGGAGTGTCCCCAAAGATTGCTCCTCCTGCTATGCATACTTGAGATACCTGCCTTGCACCCCAACAGTGGATGGGGGGGCACTGGAAGGCCTAAGTGGCTTATGATGCTGCTGGGACTCCATTGCACTCACCTGCTACCTCCTCTTCCATCTTATCAGGGCAACAGAAGAAACAGGACGCCTTCTGTAAAGAGAACAGGATGGGTCATCCACCACTCATGGTTTCTCTGGCTGCCCCTTAGCTCACAATGGAAACACAGCTGGCAACTGCCAGGGTCGCACCCTCACCCAACCCTTAAGTCACGATGGTGGTCATAGGGGACCTCTGGCTCTTCAGCTCCCATCAGCCTCAGCCTGTCTGGCCCCAGGGGGTTGGGGATGGGGAGAAGAGAATGGGAGTTGCAGTCCAGCAACATCTGGAAGGCCAGAGGCTCTCCATCCCCATCCTGATGGGGATGGGGAGGGAGCCTAGTATCAGTTACAGAGGGTGCTGGCTTTTCCCCTCTAGCTGAAAAAGGGGGAATCCTACCCTGGTTGTATTTGGAAGTGGTAACCAGGCTAGGAATGGGCCCACCCCTGCCAGTGTTTTGCAGGGGAAATCCATGAGATATACATTGTGGGAACAAAGCAGATTGTGCATTTGGACATTAGAACTTGAACACCGGCAGTATCCCAAGAAGCAGGCCTCAGGCACTGAGACATTCATTTTATTGCCTGCTTTTCTGCCCAAACACATACAATGGTTGCAACTTGAAATGCTAAATAACAAATAAATGATAAAAGAGCAGAGAATCCTCTTGGGCAATGGAGAATCGTTTCAGGAGCTGGAGGTTAGGGGGGAAAGCATTGAAGATCAGCAGCTGCCTCTCAAGAGGGTTTCTGCCCCACACTGGACCCTTTCCTGGAACCCACCTTAAACTCAAAGCTGTAGATCCTGACCATCCACAGAGGTCCAAACAGCTCAGCGAGCATTGATGCTTCATTGCTGCAGGAGGAGAAGGACAAGGATGAGCAAATCAGCAGCAGGAGCCCTTCCTGAGCACAGCCCATCCTCTACCCAGCCATTGTAGACAGGCTGACCACAGGATGGGATGGACAGCCTGTCCTGTATCTCTGCCACAGAATCCATCCCAGTATGCCAGGAGTCCAGCAGGCGGGCTCTGCTCCTCCCTGTCAGGGCTGCCCCAAATTGCTTTGAGGAAAGAATCACTTGGTGGGCAGCCTGAGGGCATTACCCCAGAAGTCCAATGTGACCGCGGTGTAACTTGCCCGCATTCTCCACCAGTCTATTATCTTGTAACAGGAATGGGTGGCAGTGCAGGTCCCTTATTCCCAGACCCCTCCTCTGGCCCACTCTGGCAAGCTGGGGTCAATCCCTGGCTTGGGATTTGAGACCTCTGGGGGCACATAGGCAGGTACCCACCAGGCAAAGAGGACGCAGGCGTACATGACCCCAGCCCCCAGGATAGCCACCGTTGTGTCCTCAGTCTGCATCCCATCCTTGCTCACACTGGGGAAGCAGATGGTGAGATTCTGCCCCTTGTACTGCACTGTGGGAGAGGAGGAGGAAAATGCCATTAGCTGACTGAGGACCTGCCTCACCCTGTGGATCTCCCCAGAAGGCAAAGGCTCAGAGCTGACACAGACCTTTCTCTGGTGGCCGGCTGGACAGGGCAGAGAAGGTCAGGTACATGACGTAGCAGCAGATGATGGAGGCCTGTAAGGGACTGGAGCTTGGCTGTCCTGGGAGCAGGCAGGTGCAAGGGAAATAAAGGGTTATCAGTGTCCTCAAAAAGCATCCCCATCCCAACAATAAAGAGTGAAAATACAGTCTGTGTCTATCGGCCCAGAGTCATTGGTCTACTTGTGAGTACATGATTCCTGATGCTCCCTCACTGCCAGAAGCTGTAGTTAGGGTGTGCTTTAGGAGGCAGAGTATATTATTAATATTTAAGCCGCCTCCTGACCCTTCCAGTTGCTGGAAACATCACAGGCCTCCGGCTCTCTGATCCCCATCCTTGCTGAGCTCCCTGTGACAGGGTCCTGGGACTGTCTCATGACCTTGTTTCTGAATCATCTTTTGCACCTGGACCTATTCTTTCTGCTTCACCTTGTTGTGTACCTAGAAGCCTGCTCTCTTAGGTGAGTATTTGATAAAATTATTTACCCACCTAGCACCCACCCCTCTAAGGAAACCACCTAGAACATCCTTGGGAGAGGAACTTCCAGGGAGAAGAGGGCACTGGTTCAGTGCTTCTTGTTTGGGCAATTAAGTCCTGAGAGTGCTCTACACTTTGCTTCTTGCAGGCCACAGAAGGCTGTGAGCCCCCGCCACTACAATCCCACCCTGTGCTGCAAAATCCACACATGCCATTACTCACGCAGGCGGACGCAGGGAGTGATGGAGATGAAGGACATGAGGAGGCACAGGGCGCCGTTGAAGGCCAGCAGCCCCTTGTTGAGGAAACAGCCACCTGGGTGGGTGTAGAATTTGTACAGGAAAGTGTAAGCGGTGGAGGCTATGGTGTAGAAGCCCAGTGTGGCCAGGAAGATAGCCAGGTACCAGCGCTTGTCTGTGGAGGCGCCTGTCAGCCTGTGAGAGAACGAGGGAAAAGCTTGTTTGGAACACTGACCTGAGGCCAGCTCCCTCCATCTCAAGCCCCCTTGTGGGTTCTTGGTCCAGGAAAGTGCCCCAACCCATTCCATCCAGAAGGCAGACTCACCAATTCTTGTTCCAGGTGTGGGCAAAGGCTGTGATCAGCACCAGCTGGACCAGGATGAAGGCAAAGCCTCCGCAGACACCAACCAAGTGCCAGGCTGCAAGGGCCAAAGGAGGACAGAAATGTGGGCAGCAGTCAGGGGGACCAAAGAAGCCAAGCGCCACCTCTGGCTGTCCTGCCAGGCTCTTTCCCCACTGGAAAGCCAGCTCAGCTCTGGCCAGGAAAGGCAGGAAAGAGGCTCTTCTGGCTTAGATCCCTCAAAGAGAAGCATTTTTTTGCTGAGGAGCAGGATCGTGGGAACAGGAGCCTGCTCAATCAGGCCAATGAGGGCCCATCTAATCCAGCATCCCCTTCTCATGGTGGCCAACAAGATGCCTCAATGGAAAACCAGCAAGCAGGATTTGAGCACATGAGCTCCCTTTCCTTCTGTGCTTTCCAGGAACTGGTATTCAGAAGCACGGTTGCCTCCATGAATTTGTCTAATCTTTTAAAGCAATCTTTCAAAGCTGGTGGCCATCACCGCCTCCTATGGGTCCCCTCAGAGGATTATCAGTAAGGAAATAAGCCCCACCAGAGGGAGGGATGCTGATTCTGACAGAAACAGAAAAGGATGAGGGAATGGCTCCATTTTGCCTGTTCAGAAATCTGTCAAGCAAAAAGGGTCCATATATGTTCCCCTTGTTGTTTTCAAGTCTGCAGATGACAATGAATGATAAGTGTTTCTTTCTTTAATTACATTCTTTTGATATTTCTTTTACCTTGAAATGCATGTAAGTTACCCAAACAGTTGTTCACATTACATAATTTTAACCTACATCAAACTGCAGGCAGCAAGACAAATTACGTCGTATTTGGTGGAAACTGAACTGCAGCAGAATGGAAACAAGGCTGCTGAAGAAGGGAAATGGCTGCCTTCCTCCATTCCTACCTGGAGGGCTGTCCCTACAGTGATGAGGGGTGGGGCTCTTGGCAAGAGCAAATTGCAGAGCCACCAGCCTGCAGCCAAGTGGGCTGCTCTTCTATTCTCCTTACCTCGGAGGAAGCGCTGGTCTTGGATGAAGAAGGCGGCTGCGCAGAGCCCCACAAGGATGAGGAGCTTCAGGAACCAGAACCTGCAACAGACCCCAAAGAGGCGGTGAATAACCAGGGTGGCCCCTGGATGGACGGGCCTGTGGCTTCCTCTGCCTGCTCCTCCATAACAGCCCAGGGGCTGCCAGGTCTGTGTCAGGACCTCCCTTCTCCTCACCCATTGTGCAAGAGGGCACGGACATTGCTGCTGGACTTGATGTTGACCAAGAAGGCTGCCTGGCCCAGGTAGAAGCAGGCGGTGCCAAAGCAGACCCTGTAGACAGCTGAGTAGCCCACCAGGATGTCGCAGTCACTGCCCCCAGGAAGGTGTTCACACAGCACTGCGTAGAAAGGCACCTGTGGGAGGAAGGGAGAGAGAACCGGGGTGGGGCGAAGCATTGCCAGAACTTCCACACTGGAACCCTTGATTGATTGATTGATTGATTGATTGATTGATTGATTGTATTTATATCCCACTTTGCGCCACTCCAAGGAGCTCAAGGCAGCATGCATAGCTATTTCCCATCTCATTTAATCCCCACAGAAACCCTGTGAGGCAAGATAGGCTGCAATGTGGGGACTGGCCCCCCAAATCACACCCAGTGAGCTTCATGGCCAAGTAGGGATTTGAACCCTTGTATTCCTGGTCCGAGTTCAACATGCTAACCATTGTGCCACTATTTAAAAGGTAAAGCTAAAGGCACCCCTGACCATTAGTTCCAGTCGTGACCGACTCTGGGGTTGCGGTGCTCATCTCGCTTTACTGTCTGAGGGAGCCGGCATACAGCTTCCGGGTCATGTGGCCAGCATGACTAAGCCGCTTCTGGCGAACCAGAGCAGCACACGGAAACGCCGTTTACCTTCCCGCCAGAGCAGTACCTGTTTATCTACTTGCACTTTGATGTGCATTCGAACTGCTAGGTTGGCAGGAGCAGGGACCGAGCAGCGGGAGCTCACCCCGTCGCGGGGATTCGAACCGCCGACCTTCTGATCGGCAAGTCTTAGGCTCTGTGGTTTAACCCACAGCACCACCCGGATCCCTGTGCCACTATTTAGTGTGGAATTAAAATGTTTGCTTTGCAGAGCCCATCCTCTGCTTTCTTCTCTTTTTAAATAGAACTAGAGTAATAGCATTTTAAAAAGGGAAGTGAATTAATAAGAGGAAGCTGGTCATTCGAGCCCCTCCCTGCCACTTGGAGGAGATTATTTTCTCGGAATAGTGGCCAGTTGTCCTCTCCCCCCCCCCCTGCCCCAATGAGCCTCCAGATGCAGGTGGAGGAGGCTCCTAATGGCAGTGGCTTCTCACTCACTCACGTTCTCCTTGATGGCTTCGGCCACAGTGCGGGAGAGCATGAAGCAGCAGCTGGCACAGGCCAGGATGTGGAAGAGCATGTAGAGGAGCCGGGTCCCCGTCGAGACCTTGATGCCGGGGCAGCAGGGGCAGCACAAGGTGCAAGGGGTTGGGCCGCAGCAGCAGCAAATCTGAGCAGGGGAGAGGGAAGTTGAGTGTTACCTACTTAGACCTTCTCTGCATGCCCAGCAACCCTCTGCCTCCCTACCCACAATGAGCTGGACTCCCTGCCTCTCACTGGACCCTTCACCCCAAGCCTCTGCCAGCAGAAAGCAGCTGGGGTCTGTTGCCTGCATGGATGAGGGGCTGGGCAGCCGGATTGTCCTGGGTCAGCCCCTAGGCTTGGCCCACCCACAAGGCTGTCCCTGAGCAGGTCCTTGAGCAGTGAGTGAGGGGCACAGCCTGCAGGAGGCAGGATTAAGGGGATTGGGAAGCTCAGGTGCCATCTGTTGCTGCTGGAGGGGGGCAGGCGTCACATTCAGGGCCCAACGTGCTTCCACCAACCCACCAGTCTCTGGTTCAGCCGGACAAAATATGCAAAACAAGCAACCTAGCTCATGGGGCCAGCTGTGGGTCAAGAACTGGCAGTGACACAGAATTTCTAAGATGGTGTTTTAGTTCTTAATGGTAATTTCTTTTTGCTGTTCTACACTGTACTTTAGAGCAGCTCCTCTTATGGAACAGCTATACAACTGCAGTTAATAAATAAAACAATTCATGCATGGTTTCTCCCTTGTGGGAAAACCAGCGGTGGGTTGCAATGTTTCTGTGCCCTCAGAGGGTTTTGTGCCACCCATCCTGAGACTGTGGAACACACAATAGGTTAGAAAGGGAGGGCACATTCCTGTCACTGAGACGTGCCAGCTGAGCAGTCTGCTATGGAAGGAGCATAATAGGCACCAATCTGTGAGCAGAGATGGGCTTGCCAGGCTGACTCCACAGGCTTCCCTGTAATCTGGAGTTCACGTGTGCCAGGATGATTGCTCTGGCACTGTCAATAAGTCCAATTGACAGTGCAATACTTTAAAGGTAAATCTCAATGAGCACATACAGGAAGATGAGTTTGTATACCAAGCAGGGATCACTGCCGAATGGCACACTTTAAGACCAGGAAGGGCTGTGGCTTGATGGCAGAGCATCTGCTTGGCATGTAGAAGGTTCCAGGTTCATTCTCAAGCAGCTTCTCCAGGTATGGCTGGGAAGGCCCCTGAATGAAGACTGGAGAGCTGTTGCTGCCAGCCAGTGTAGACAGTGCTGAGCTGGATAGTCTGATTCAGTAGAAGATGGCTCCTGACACTCCTAAGGCTCATTGTTTTAACTTGCTTGCATTGCCTTATTATCAATCTGCAGGACACCTTTGGATGCCAACAACCTTCTCATTAGCCCACTTTCCAGAGACTCCAAAGCTCCTGCATCACTGAGTTCTCTGTCTGCTGCTTCTGACCAGTTCTGCAGCTGTTGCATTTCTTATTCTTTCTCTGGGTCTAGCACAGCAACACCTGGGTCCCATAAGGCAATGGCCCCAAAGAGGAGCCAGCCAAAGCCTCCCACCCACTCCTAGCTCTGCACCTGAGCATCCTGCCCAGCTGTGTTCTCAGAGTCCATTTGACCACCAATAACCTTAGAGAGGGATTAGAGTCACTCCTAATTGACACAGGCACAGCATCCATCCCCTCCTCCCACCTGAGCTGGGCAGAGCCCCTCCCCGTGATATGCAGTTGGGCCAATGAAGTTAGGGATGCATTACAAGGTGGGGGACCACCTTTGCTAGTTGGCCACATTTTTGGCCTGCCTCAGGAAGCTCCTTGAACACCTTTCACCCTCCTCGGTCAAGAAGCACACCTGGGAAAGAGTTTGAATGGAATGTGTTCCTCAAACCAACTGGGATATCACCTCAAGATGGGGAGCTTAATTCTCCATGTGCCCAGAGCCAGGGGCCTGAAACTGCTGCCCATCAGCTTAAGGAAATTTTATGGAGAGGACCCCTCCAGGCACCAACTAGCATCTTAGAGAAACACCTACGTACTTGGATTCCTGTTAAAAGAGAGGCAGGGGTGCCACACCTAGAGGGAAACTGGTGCTCTGCTTCCAAGAAGCTACTCTACACAAAGAAGGTGCTCATGTCCCATTCCTGGGCAGCTAACGACCTGCAAGAAGCACCCAGGACTGTCTCTGGCCTTGATATTGTGACTGCAAAAGGAATCAAGACAGCTCCTATGAGGAAGGGATAGTAGATACCTGGAAGGGGAGGGTCCAAGGAACATGTCAGAGGAGAAAAGTGTATCAGTTTAGAAAGCAGATGGATGAGTGGGTGAATCCTGAGCTTCTAGAGGCAAGAGCTGGCACCAGGTTATGGGGTAGCATCCCTATGGAGGCTCCTTCCAGGCAGGAATTAATTGTGGAAAACGATGCTGCTCAGGCACACAAGTTTTCTGCATTGTTTATACAACATCACCACCATCAAAATCCCAGCCCACATTTTTTAAATTTAAATTTAATCCGGATTTCCCCTTCCTCTGGGAAATCCGATAAGTAGAAACAACCTGTTAAACATCCGCTGTCTCTGTCTGGTGTGGAAATTTCTTGGCACAGAGTTGTTGTGGGGGTTTTTTTGAAGGGTGGGGAGGGGTAGTTTCTCATGTGTGTGGTGCTGACTGATGTTTTGGTGGGTGGCCTCTATCACACACATAAACCCTGCATTCGTCAGCTCCTCTCCAGAGCACAAGTTAAGCTATTTTGTTCCAGATACACCAGTAACAGACAGAAGATGTTCATTCCCAGTAATGACTACAATGCTGAAGGTGCATTTGAATTTCAGCGGCCTGATGAGAGGAAGTTGTGATATCAAGTCATTGTGGGGAATTCCCTCTTCAGACTAATCACAGTACATACACCAGACTTTCTCTTTTAAAAAGTTTAATCTGAATTTCATGCACAAAACCTCCTCCTTAGAACTTCAGTCTTGGCACATTTTATTATATGTGGTGGAATTGTAAAAAGATAAAGGACTTCTAGGAGATGATATATAATGAATTTTAAAATTTTTGTAAGACCAATAAAAATTATTTTTTTAAAAAAAGAACTTCAGTCTTTCATTGATGCTGCGCTTTGGGAGGGGTGGGGGAAGAGACTGCATAGCTGTGCTGTTAATGGTTACAGGGATGTATAGATAAGATTAGCCATATTTAAAAAAAATATTGCTACTTGGTCCCAGCCACACAAAACCAAACAGCAGATCAATATAGCACTTCCCCAAGTATTAAAAAAAGAATCAAGAGATATCGCTCCCCCTTCTGCCAACAGGCCTCCAGTTTGTGCCTTGTGAAACACGACAACTAACTGGGCTAGCCACGTTTGCCCTCTTGCCTTCTTCTCATAGCTGTCAACTTTCAGATTTGAAAATAAGGGATTAGCAGCCTCACCTGTCCCGGGGACAGTCTACGGGATATCTAACAATCCAGGTTAGCAGTGGTAAACGACGCTGGAATAAGGGAATTTCCCGCAAAAAAGGGAAGGTTGACAGCTATGCCTCCTTCTGTGCTGCCAGCGATGCAGAGGAGGGGCAAAAAAGCCACCAACTTAATTAATTCTGCCAGGCTCCACCCTCTGATGTGGATGGCAAGCGGGGTAACAGTGAAAATCCACAGTTGAATAAACAAGATGTGTGGAAGGCCACGTGCCAACTGCATGCATCTGAAAACCAGCCCTGCAGGACCTGTTTGCAACAGAAAACCCCTTCTGGAAGTCCCCCTGAGCACTGGGGAACAGTGCTGGGCAGACTGTGTGAACAAGGCAAGAAGGGCGACCCAAACCCGTCCCCCCAGCCACACATGCATCATCCCAAGAACCCTCTGCATGTGTGCTTTTTCTACATTCTCATTGTGAGTCCAATTATCTTTCATTTAATTGTGTTGATTGTCAAGGCTGAGGCTCACAAGCCTTTATCCTCTGAACCTCCGTGGGAGGCCTGATCCTTCCCTGGTCCTGGAGCTGAGGGCAAGGGCCAAGTGGGCTGCTGGGCAAATGGCTAGTTTGCTTTCCCCAACGTTGGCTGTGGCTAGAGGCTTCCTCGCCTGAGGGGAGGTTGCTGGGACTCTGGCCTGAGTTTGGGCCTTGCAGGCACAGCAGAAGGTCCATTGCGGCTCAGTGGCAGAGCACCTGCTTGGCATGCAGAAGGTCCTTGGTTTGATACCCACGGCATCTCCAGGAAAGGCTAGGAATGCCCCCTGTCTGATACCCTGGTGAGGTGCTGCCAGTCAGTGTGGCCCAGGGGTAGAAGAAGCAGCTCGTGTTCAAGCTGGCATCGCCTGTTCTGGCTGTTCCCTCCCTTGGGGGCCTCTTGGGCCAGCCCTTGGCCAGACCCCAGAGCTGACAAGTCTTGAAGCCTCCCCTCTGCTTACCTGGGCCTTGCAGTAGCCTGGCACCATCCCTCCTCCTCTGTTCCCAGTGCCCCCAGCTCCCCAAGGGAACGGCTGGACGTCCTGCCCTCGTCCCCCAGTCATCCGCTCCTGGCTCCGTGGGCCCAGCCCTTTGCTCAGCAGCACATCCCTGGGACCAGGTGGAGCCTGCTCTCCAGAAAGCGGTTGCAGAGAGAAAGCCAATTAGCTGAGAGGCTGAGATTGGCCAACTGGCAACCCGCTGCCTCCACCTTTGATCCTTGGGACCAGCGATTGGCCTTCCTGGGGTGGGGGGATGGTGCTCCTTTCCCCTCCACTTGCCTTTCTGCCTGATTATGTCAGGAGCCAAATCTGCCTCTTTAACCCTCTTACCCGGCAGAAATAGAGAGCTTAGCCGTTCCGTTGGGTTAGGTGAATCTCAGGCTGTTGTTGCAAGATGGAAGGGACAGGAGCCTTCTCACCTCAGGTCCCCCCAGGGAGCAAAGTAGCAGCCACAGAGGCTCCCTCACCAGGGCCTTGCCTGGCAAGGGAGCCTCTGTGAACCTGCTCCAAGGGCAGGGAGGGTGGCAGGCAGGCAGGCAGAGGACTCCACCAGCCTTCAGCCATGCAGGACTACTGGCCTCTTTTGGCTGCCAGAGACTGGGCAGGGCTTCCATCGGGGAACTAAAACTGATCTGGCCATAGTGGCGCACACTTTAGTTGCATCCTGTGTGGATTACTGTTAACATACCCTGCGTGGGGCTGCCTTTGAAAAGTGCCCAGAAACTTCAACTGGTCCAAAATGGTGAAGCTAGACCATGGATAGGCAAACTAAGGCCCAGGGGCCAGATCTGGCCAATCGCCTTCTAAATCCGGCCCGCAGACGGTCTGGGAATCAGCCGGTTTTACTTAGTAGAATGTGTCCTTTTATTTAAAATGCAACTCTGGGTTATTTGTGGGGCATAGGAATTCGTTCATTTCCCCCCCCCCCAAAAAAAATATAGTCTGGTCCCCCACAAGGTCTGAGAGACAGTGGACCGGCCCCCCACTGAAAAGGTTTGCTGACCCCTGATAGACTTTTGACTGGGGCAGGTTATAGGAACCATATGACTCCCTTGTTGCGACAGCTCCACTGGTTACCATTTTGTTTCCAGGCACAATTCAAAGTGTTGCTTGTGACCAATAAAGCCCTATTTGAAAGACCATATTCTTCCATACAAACCTGCCTGTGCTCCGAGGTCTTCAGCGAAGACCCTTCTCTCAGTCCTGCCAACCTCACAGGCATGCTTTGTGGCAACACAGAGCCTTCATGATGGCTGCTCCCATGAACTTCCTGGAGACGCTAGAATGGCTCCCACCTTTTCCTTTGCCAGCAGGTGAAGACTGTTTTATTCCGACAGGCCTTGGGGAACTGACTTGTTTTGTGGGGGTTTTGAAGGAAAGGTCTTTTAATACCGTTGTTTATTTTTACTGTTTTTATTAATAGTTTTTTTCTTTATATTGTTTTACTTCTATTGGAGTTTAGTTGCTTTTTAATGATGATCATAGAATTGTAGAATTGGAAGGGACCATGAGGATTATCTTGTCCAAACCCCTGCAATGCTGGAGTATGCAGCTGTCCCATACAAGGATCAAACCTGCAACCTTGGCATTATCCGCACCAAACTCTAACCAACTAAGCAATCAGGGCGTATATATTTTTAGCTTTCTGTATTTTACCTGTGTTGTATTAATTTGTGCAAGTCACCTTGAATCCTGGTTGGGGGCAAATGCAGGATATAAATAAATATAATAATTAATGATACGAACAACTCTAAAGCAACAAACAGGCTTGGGTCACCTTGAAGACAAACAGGTGAGAACCTGACATTTGGGGATTTGCCAGATGTCTAATCCCTGTGAAACAAGGTGGGGAGGCCACAAGAATGACAATTGCTCTACCATCCTGCTTATCCAGTCCTAGAGAATGATTTCCACACCCTAGCTGTTGCAAGGAAGTGTGGGTGGGTATCTGACTCCCAGGGCCGTCTTTAGCAGATGCGGCGCTGGGGTGCAAATATCCGACCAGCACCCCCCAAATTACCATGGATAGTGTTGGGGTGGCCGTAGCTGCGCACTGCCAGCCATCCGGAGGGGGGGGCACAACTCTCCCCCATGCCACTGCAGGAGAGCGATCCCCGCAGAGGCTTTGGAGGGAAGCTGCACGCCCATAAGCTATATGGTTGGTGGGGCGCAGCTTCCATCCTAAGCCTCTGCGGGGATCGCTCTCCTCCTAAGGAGGCTTGGGAGGGAAGCTGCACGCCCGCCAGCCTTATGGTTGGCGGGGCACAGCTGGTGGGCATGCAGGGAAAGGGGAGGCTGCTGGCAAAGCCGCGCAGCTCCCCCACTTGCCGGGGCACCCCTGAGTGGCTGGCGCCCTGGCGCGACACACCACTAAGCCCTATGGGAAAGATCGCTCTGCGGACTCACTTCCTGTGCCCTTCCCATCGATGTGCTACGGAGAGGCCCCAGGTCCACTGAAAGGCTCAGCCTGCTTTCCTCTGGGATCTGTCCTCACCCAGCCACTACCACACCCTCTGATCTTTCCTTCCCCATGAACTGCCTAATCTCTGAGCTCTCTGCTATGGCATAATAATTCCCTCCACCTAACAAACACTGCCTCCCCTGTGACTTTAGGCACATCCCACCTTACCCACACTCTGCCTCTTATTCTTTCCAGGCCTGCTGTCCTGTGAAGAAAGCAGATAGATATTTTCTCTCTGTCTCGTAATACTAAGAGCTCACTGGGGCCAGTCCAATGGAACTGGATGGTGGGAGATTCAGGAGAGACAAAGAGAAGCACTTCACACTGTGGATAGTTTAATGACGGTATTTGCTACCACAATATGTAATGATGACCACCAATGTGGATAGCTTTAAAATAAAATTATTGGATAAATTAAAGAAGGAAAAAGCTACCAATGGCTACTAGCCACAATAGTTGTGTTCTACCTGTACTCTCTTATATGCCTCTGAATGCCAGTTCATAGGAATCACAAATGCAGAGAGTGCTGCTATTGCACTCTGGCCCTGCTTGTAGGCTTCCTATAGGGACATCTGGTTGATCACTGTGAGAACAGGATTCTAGACTAGATGGACTTTCAGTCCACATCCACAAGAGGTCCACCATCTGTACTTTTCTGCTTTTCCTTTTGACCTCACTGTTTACAATTCCACCCATATGCTTGCCCTTCCAGGATAACTCAGGACAACACTGATGACATGACCTGTAGGCCCACAAAGGCTTACACTGGTTAATTTTTAAGGTGGCACAAGACACTTTGCTTTTTCTTAACGTTGTGTTTGGAAGTGTGTGGCAGTTTATCTCCATGCCTGCTGCCCGCCATAACTGGTGTATAGAAATACCTGTCCCTAACATTTAGACTGATGCAGGTTGTTCAGTTTCAGGGTTAAATGCTGACTGTTTCTTTTGGGGGCCCCTGGACAAAAATGTGAGCAGCAATACAAAAATCCAGGCTTTTATCATAGCTGGAACTGGGCAGCAATGTTTGTGTCCCCTTCCCAGAAAATGGAGGCTTGTCTGCTCTTTCAGTCTTGTTTCCAATAAATGGGGTGCTGTTTATTCTAGCTTTAGTTTGTAAGCATTTAAAAATGACTGTCCATTGGATGATTAGCATACAGTTGGCTTCTGGATTTGGGCTGCAAGGAGGAGGGTCAATGAACTAGCTTGACCTATCCTCCAATCTCAGGGGATATCGGGGGTCGGGGGGTGGGGAAACAAGGTGCAAAGGGGGAAGCAGTTAGTAATGCAGTGCTCAAAGAAAGCACGTGTTTAACTCAGAGAAGATTTGCAAACATGATCCCAGGGGAGCCAGGGGTGAAGGCTTTCTCTCTAGCTCTGTTTTGCTATCAAAATCACTCTCACAGTTGCTTTTTCCTTGCAAGATAAAATATAGGAAGTGGGAAGGATTTTGTTGCAAAAATGTGGGAACAGTGATTCACCTCTTCCCTCAGGGCCATTCCTGTGATCAATTCCACAGCTGCTAAATCTGCATTTTCTTTAAATAAAACCTACCAAGAGACTGAATAATAATAATAATAATAAAATGAAGAAATAATTCTGAGCTACATTGCAGGGTTGTTGTTCAATACCTGCAATCTGCCTCCATCTCTAATGTACAGCATACATTGCAGTAGTCTACACTGCAGGAATGTCATTCTCAGCCACAGTTCCCCACACAATAAAGAGACAATGGGCTGCACTGACACGGTACTTTTTAGTGTTTGAAAATCTTGTGAAAGCCACATTTTTCCTATGAGAACTCCAAAGGAGTAGAGCCCTTTGCTTTTGTTGCTCTCGTTCTGTTTTCTGTCCTCCGCCCACCACGCCTATTTATAACGGCTAGGTTTCTATAGTGCTTTCTCTGAGCAGCTATTGGGGTGGGGGCAAGAAGGTCAAAAGGAACCTGGAAGCTCCACCTGCAGATGTTTGGCTCGCCAGTCTACATTCCACTCTCTATGGTAGCGCCGGGCAATGACGCTCTAGGCTCTTGCGCTGATCTCTATATTAGTGCCGCTTTCTCCTTTTCCCGCTGCTTCCGGAAGCGCGCCTTACCACGTGACGAGTGCGGAAGGCAGACGGAGCGATGGCGGCTGAAGGGGATGTCGAGCTGGAGTTAGAAGCGGAGCCCAATGGCTCGGCAGGCAGCGGAGAGCGACCAGCCGAGAAGCCGCGGAAGCACGACAGCGGAGCGGCCGACCTCGAGCGCGTCACCGACTACGCGGAGGAAAAAGAGATCCAGAGCTCCAACTTGGAAACGGTGATGAGCGCATGCGTTTGGCCGCGTTGGGGGGCTCTGGTTGTCATGGTGACCGCGGGCGGGGCGGAGCCGGCTGGACTGGACCGCTGCCGAAGGGCCCCTTGGAGCCCCAGCGCCGTACGTGGGAACGGGGAACCCTGCACGTGTGGAGGCTGCCCGTGGCCCCTGCAAGCATGGCTGGACCGCCCATGGCATCGCCTGCCCTGCCACCTTGCTGCTATTTCTCTCTTACTGCCGGTTTGGGGACTTTTGCTTGCGGTGTCCTTTGTCTTTGGGGCCGGAACTATTTGGCCTTCCCGAGGTGCTCTGGGTGGGAGCCCATTGTTTCGCCTCCTCAGACAGCAAAACGCCTCGTGCCAGTCTTGTGCGGGCCTTTCCTTCCATCGCATCTGTAAGAGGGCATGGCAGTTTTCTGGCAGGTTCAGATCCACCCGATGTCATATGGCATCAGGTGATTGACAGGTAGGCAGACCCTGGGGTGAGTGTGGCCATTTTTTTATTTGGCCCACCAGAGAAAATTGTTTTTCCCTACTTCTGTTCTTAAGGGTTGCTTTCACTTTTGTGAGCCTGCCCAAGGTTTAAGACAAGAGACTCCCCGCCCCAGTAGTTCCGTTGGATGTCCTTGCCAGCAGGTTTACAGTCTAAGAGGCACATTGCAAACAGGAATAAAATTAAGCAAGAAGACAAGTAGGCACCAATTCTACATAGTAGTACTCATAATGATCAGCTGGGATGGAGAGAGAGAGGTAAATGGCACTGGTCTCTTACCAGAGAGGATGAAACGGCCTTACTTCCTGCATCTGCCATGTAGCAGCTGCCATTCCATCAGGCTGTTGCAAAGAGAAACAAGGAGAAACTCTGGTGCTTTCTGATGGTGGCACCACAGCTGTGAAATTCTCTACCTAGGGAGATCCACACCCTTTCCCTTAACATTCTCAAGGATGGTCATTTTAATCTAGGACTTTTTTATTTGATCCCTGCTGTTTTGAAGTTTATTTTGCTTGTTTCAGTGCCGATGTTGTTTATACTTCTCACACTATTTTTAATTGGTGTTTTGTTGTACTACTTGTTGTAAGCTGGTTTGAAAAATATTTTAATATAAATGATTAAAAATAGCCCTCCTGTGCTTTATTTGTGAATCAGTACTTGTGACTGCCTTATCACAGTACTTGTGATGTGTAAAAGGAATTGATGCATCAGCAAATTATTATCTGAACCATCTTTCCCTAACATTCCTTGCAGTCAACATTAAAAAAATACAATTCAGATTTGCATTGTAGATTACCCACATTGTCTAGGTGTGGAAATTTCTTCCACAGGGAACTTTTGCATAACTATGAGACTTGTGTTTTTTCAGGTGCACATTGAGCTTAGAAACTCCCTGCACCAATTTCTCTTTACATACCTCAACAGCAGCGGTTCAGTGATCAGGAGCACAAGGTCTTTTCAGTGACAGGAAGCCTAATTTTCAGGGTAGTTCACAGCCAGACTTCTACCCAAAAGTGTATCATTGTGAATTGACATGCACTGAATCTCATCATCCATTCTGTTGGCCATCCACCCAATTAGAAAAGAATAGATTGGAGTTTTCGTAGACTGCTTGATTTTGACTACCTAGAATTATTTGGGCTCCATCATCTAGGGCTGGGAGAGATCAGCTTTTCAATATCGCAATGTATCACCAACCAAACATTGATATACTGCCAGGTGAAGGCGCCATTGCACTCTGGCCCTCAAACCAGTCCTGGGCAATGTATTGATACATCATCCAGGCCTACCATCACCCCAGTTAAGTGTACTAAATTAAGTAAACTGTACTTCATTGCCATTTGTCTACATTTTTTGAATTTCACTGCCATCTGGTTGTTTTTTCTCTATACTTGTGTTACATAAAAGCTCATAAAAGCTAAAGGGACCCCTGACCATTAGGTCCAGTCATGACCGACTCTGGGGTTGCGGCGCTCATCTTGCTTTATTGGCGGAGGGAGCCAGCGTACAGCTTCCGGGTCATGTGGCCAGCATGACTAAGCCACTTCTGGCGAACCAGAGCCGCACACAGAAACGCCGTTTACCTTCACGCCGGAGCAGTACCTATTTATCTACTTGCACTTTGAGGTGCTTTCGAACTGCTAGGTTGGCAGAAGCTGGGACCAAACAACGGGAGCTCACCCCGACGCGGGGATTCGAACTGCCGACCTTGATTGGCAAGTCCTAGGCTCTGTGGTTTAACCCACAGCGCCACTGTGAGATAATTTGGTTGCTCTTTAAGGTACAAGATTTTGGTCTGGCTATTATTATTATTAAAGTCTGAGGGTGTGTGTTTAATTTGCTTTCTCTTGTTTAGGCAATGTCAGTGATTGGAGATCGAAGATCCAGAGAGCAAAAAGCAAAGCAGGAGCGGTGAGTGCCCTGTTTTCATCTCCTGCTAAGGGAGAGCAGCCTTGTTTGCTTCAACCAGAGCTGTAGCGGTGACACACAATGTGTAAACATAATTCAGAGCCAGATGTGCATGCATACTATTATCGCTAATTTATTATCAACCCTTCACCTGAAGTTCCTAGGGTGGGTTACAGCATTAAAACATTAAAAACCATGACCAAGCTTGGAGGTAGCAGTGTTTTTATGAACATCACACCACAGTGAAATGGTGTCTACATGCTAAACTGCTGTTTAAGGACACATTTCCATATTCTAAAACTGTTTAGGTGTTAGGCTTGTTTTGCTGCACTTGACATTAATGGGGGGAGCTGTTTCACACCAGTGAAGCGGTGCTTGGTTGCAGAAAGCCAGAGCTGTGTTTTTTATTATGTGTAGTTCCTATTCTGCCCTATCAGAGCACTTGGAGTGGGGACGGGGTGGCATTATATTACTAGAAAGTGGAGCAGGATAAGAGTCCTAATTCCTCTTTCTTTCCTTCCGTTTCAGGGAAAAAGAACTGGCCAAAGTCACAATCAAGAAAGAAGATTTGGAGTTGATTGTGAGTCTAGCACAGTGTTGATTGGACCGCTTGGGTGATGGCTCAGCATCGACAGAGGCTGCTTTCTGATGTCACTACAGGCCATTTTAGTTGTTGCCTCTTGGTAAAGAATCTTCTTCTTTTCCTTACAGATGAACGAGATGGAAATATCCAGGGCAGCAGCAGAACGCAGCTTACGAGAACACATGGGGAACGTGGTGGAAGCACTGATTACCCTCACCAACTGAGAGCCACCTGCTAGATGGACTTTTGGGGAGCAAGGGAAGGAGATAGCCTCTCTTTGGCCTGTTCTGCACTTGTTCTTTGCATATGATATTTTAAAGCTGCTGGAATAAATAGTCCAATTTTTTTGAAGTTGCTGTTAATGTGGTTTATAAGATGTTTATTATCATCATCATTTGTTAAATTTGTATACTGCCCTTCATCTGAAGATCCCAGGGTGGTTCTCAGCTGACTGAAGGACTAGTGGTGGTAAACTGGTGCCCTATTTTCATTCAGGGATCCTTTTGTTAAACAACATTAAAACAACAACTTCCAAAATTCAATCTAAAATTCAGACTTTTAAAGCCCTTGGGTGTTCTTTTCCAGACAAGGAGAAACAGTGGAGTGACATGCAGGAGACAGGAAGAGAAATCAACCAGTGGGCAGCTCCCCCCCCCTTTCCAGTTTGGGTAGGCAGAGTTGCATTGTAAACTATACTGTGGGCCCTTAATTCCCCATAGCCATTATTTTTGAGGCTACCAGTACTGGAATTTTCCTAAGTTACTATCGGCAATCCTTTAGATGGAACTCAGAAAAATGAACAGGTTTGTGGGAACAGGAGGCCAGTTTTGAAATCTTTCAGGAAACTATACCTAGATGATTTAAAAACTTGCATCTTGCACACTGGGGCGCTGGGCCATATCCAGTTGTTGCCAATTTAAACAGCACCAAAGGGAAGCTGTACCTACAAAGAACTTGAAGCTTCTGTTTGTGCTTTCATAGCTTTTACATCCCGCACCCGATGTCCTATGAGTGTGGAGCCTAATTCTGCCCACAAGCCAGAGAGGCTCCAAAATGTGTTTCTCACACAGCACTGCCAAGCCCCCTCTCTACTAGAAGTGGGTCTGACTGTTTTATTAGAGCATCACATCTGCCACAACAGGGTCCCTACTTGTTAGAACATTACCACAACAGCAACTTGGTAAGAAATACATTTAATACAGGTGTCACCTTGCTTTTCTCTCCCCCGCCCTACAGTGCCTCTAAAGAGAATGAGAAATATTTACAATAGGCAAATGCCTCCCGAAACTAAAAACAGGGCTGTAGAGGGAGCTGGCATACCTCAAGGGCAATGATGAGCCTGCTGAGCTGGTGCTAATTCCTTAAAAATGGGTTATGGTTATGAGTCAAATCCTCCATCCAAAGATGACAGAAAAAGTGGATCCAGGCCTTTGATAATCTATAGTCCCATGCCACAGAAACAGGACAAAACTGATCCAGCAAGATCCTAACAGTGCCCCAAATTATTCTTGATGACTCAGGTAACCTTCCGCTTCTTGGCAGAGGGTCTCTCAAAGACATCCCTCACACCAGCTGCCTTCTGCTTGAAGAACTTGGTGTTTTGTGCACTCTCTTGCCCCCATGCAGAGTCAAAAGAGGTTGTATCTTGGTCTACCAAGTGGGTGTACTTTGTTCGTCCAGAGCGCCCAAAATTCTTCACCTGCAGAGGAAAGAGTTTAAGAAATGGAGAAGCTTCAAAGAGAATTCACTTTACTTCAACCATTCTGGAATTCTGGTTGGAGGGGGCACATGCATACAACACCAGCAAGCCAAAGCTAGTTGGGGCTCTGAGCCCAAACAACAGAACCCCCTCCTCATGTACCTGCATGACTTTGGGTAAGATGGTCTTGTTGAAGTGGTCCTCCAGAGTTGGAGCACTGAAGTCCCTCTTGTATACATCCTCATCTTCATCCTAGAGAACAAAGAGCACAGCAGGTAAGTAGAGACATGTTTGCTCATAGCAGCCTCTCTACCCTTATTCTACCAAGCATCCCTAGGCTGGCCTTGGGAGAAAAGGTCTGCATAGTATAGCCTAAACAGAAAAGAACACCACTGTTCAGGGACTCCTTGAGAGAAGTGATGGAATTCAGCCCCCCTCTCCCCATGGCAGCTATATCCTGGATAGCAGCCTCCTTTCCTTTCCAGTGCACATTGAGTTCTTGCTGTGTATTCAGTGACAGGGCTTTGACTGGGAACTCACCATGAAGAAGGCCCCCCGATGGTAGTACTTCTGCAGGAACTTGTATTTGCCCTTCACCGCCTTATTGGTAATGACCTTGCCGTTGGCTCGGAGCTCAGCCCGTCGTTCCTCCTCAGTCAGATTCCGCACTCGTTCAATTTCTGCCTTCTCTTTCTCTAACCTGTGTGAAGCAGAACATATCCTTCACTCCAGACACTTGATCCTGCACAGGAGATCTCTGTAAACATCCCTCTCCAGAAGTGTGGATGGATCTAAATCCATTCCACTTCAATTACGGATGTCCACTCCCCAACTTTCTGCTCACTGCAGAAGACTCCGTCAGCTGGGGAATGGATATCAGCAAGATCAGACCCACACCCGAGGAACCTCTTCTTCCTGGCTGGAGCAACCCAGAAGACCTCTCCCTCCTCAAATGGACTGTGCCACATCCCATTTCACTTACGCCTCACGCTCCTCTCGGTCCCGCTTGATGCGCTTCAACTCCCGCACTTTCCAGGCCTCATACTCTTCCTCATCATTCTCATCATCAGTGTCCAGAGCATCGAGGGCTGCCAAGGAGCGCCTGTTCTCCTCCAACTCTTTCTTGGTTTCTTCTTCAACAATCTACAGTAACAGAGAGTGAGTGTTTTGGGGTACTCAGGCTCCTCTAACCCTGAAACCCATGTGCCTGCCTTTCCTAACAATACCTTCAGGGTGTACTTGCGCCTCTCCTCAGCCATTCGCTTGGCCTCCTGCTCCAGTTCCTTCTGTTTCAGTGCTTCGGCCTCACGCTCCTGGACTGTGACTCTGTCCTTCCTGTAGAAGACATTGGAGATCAACTAAACCACCCAAGCCAAACCGGCTGCTCACTAGAACCAACCGTCTCCCTTGTCATAACCTTCTCCTAAGAAGCACCCCACAGACTTGCATTTATGTGTTGTCAACAGAAGGCAACTCTGAAAGTAGCCCAAGCCGCAAAGCTCTGATAGAAGGCTCTTAACTACCAACTGTGCTTTAGAAACCAGCCTCCCCCCTCCCTGCTCAGGACTGATGGCACTTGCTTGCGGATGAAGACAGGTTTCAGGCGTGGCTCAGTCTCATCCTCACTATCTGTGTACTCCTCATACTCGGACTCTGATTCGGACTCCTCTCCAGAACGGCCCTCATCTTCCACCTCCATGACTTCCAGCTCCTCATTCTTACGTTCCTGTGCACGCTGCCGCATCATGCAACGGCGACGTTCAATTTCCTATCAAGAAAGAAGGGCTCAGTGGTACAGCATCTGCATAAATGCAGTCCCAGATTCAATCCCCAACATCTCCAAGTAAGGCTGGGAGAGGCCCCTATCTAAGCCCCTGGAGAACTGCTGCCAGTCACCGTAGATCTACTGAGCTAGATAGACCAATGTGCCAACACAGTATAAAGCAGTTTTCATATGTTCATATCTGGAAAAGGGCCATAGCTCAATGGTCCCCATCAGCATCTCCCAAGTAGAACTGGGGAAAGTGCCCATATCCTTGAAGAGCAAGGAGTCTCTTGTAAACTTCATCATCATTTCACTTCTATACTGCTTTATCATTTTTTAAGAAAAAAAATCTTAAAAGCGGTTTACATCCTACATTAGAACATCCAGAATAAATGTCATATATAAAATATACAAACGAAACAGGAATGCTTTAACAGGAAATTAATATATCATCTTAAAGATTTCAAAATCAAAACATTATAAAGGAGGCCAACTACACACATTTCCACCCAAGATTCAGAACCCAACACCAAGACTGGAAAATGTAGCTCCTCAGGCCTGCTCATACCTCATCGTCAATCTCCTCCTCTTCCTCCTCACTGGTGTCCTCTCTCTCCACATGCCAGGCCTCTCCTTCCACTTCTGAGTCACTCTCCCCTATCACTTCTGGTTCCACAATCTTACGATGCCTTGCCAGCCTAGAACACAGACACCCACCTTTTTGTAATATTTTTTACTGGTTTTTATAATTGCAACACTTACAAAATAAGATCAAAGAAAATAAAACAAGCAAATCAAGGAAAGCAATATGGAATGTGACACAAGAATACTGCTTGGGCAGGTGCTTCATGAGTCAAATAAAGCTCTACTTACACTAACCCACTTTTAACGTGACAAAACGGCATGCAGCTCACAAAACACCCCTCCTATGTCAGGTGATCACAGCCTTTCCCCCACAGATTGTCCTCTTCCACTTCATGCCAAGCGCAACCTCCCAAGCAACTCTGCCCTCAACCCTCTGCTGCCCCTCACCTCTCCTCCACATCCTCTGAGATGCGGTTCTGCAGGCGGCGCAAACGGGGGTCGCTGGCCAGCTCTTCCTCTTGCTCCTCCGGTTCCAGCTCCTGCTCCTTGGCCTTCTTGATGAACTGGAACTCCTCGTCCTCCTCGTCCGAGGACTCCATGGGGGCATAATCTGGCCGCTTCCCCGAGACGTAGCGTTTTACTTTCACCTTTTCCATCGAGATCTCCCCTGGAAGTGGAGCGAGAGGTCAGGAGGGGAGAAACTGAGCCTGCCCCAGGGCGCCCCCCCCCCGCAGCCCCTTCCCCAGGAGGGAGAAGAGCTCAGGTTCAGCTGCTTCTCCCCCCTCCCATCGTCCAGGATACGTATGATTCCCCCTATGCCCCGCTCCCCGCCCCAGGACGCCTCACCCTTCTCGTTGCGGACGGGGACGGCCCCCGCCGTCGACTGGATCGGGGGCTGCTTCATGAGGGCGCTGCTGGAGCCCGACATGGCGGCGGTGTCTCCTCCTCAGGGTCTGGCGAAAGGAGCCCTCACTGAACCAGGCACACAAATACAGACGCCAAGCTCTTGCCGGAAGCTCTGTCCAGAACAAACCGGAATCGGAAGCCAGGTTGGACGCCACTACGCATGTCAGCACACAAGTTTAGACGTCACTTCCGCTGTCGTCTGATCCCCCGACTAGGAGCTTCCGCCGTAGCGTGGTCGACGCTCCTTAAGCGCCGCCCTTGGCTCTACGTACGCACGGGTGGGCGGGGCCGTGGGGCCGTAATCGCTCCGCCTCCACACCGGGGGAAAAAGGTCTTGCTGAGCAGCGCCTTCCTCTCCCCCCTCCCCCGCTTCCCCTCGTCCAGTGACCCATTTTTCAGCTTCCTGCCCCCGCTTCGTTTTCCTGTAAGGGGCCCTTTCGCCCTCCAGGCCAGTATTCATCTTGGCCTGCACTGCAGGGGTGTCGTGAGCCACTCTCAACCAGTCCAGCCTTCGTGAGGGCGCGGGGCGGGGCAGAACTATGAGCACTTTTTGCTTCTGTATTTGCAAGGCTATTAAATAATAGTATGAAATTAAATTGTGAAACCGCTTTGATACTTCTTTAAATAAAGCCACTAATAAGTGCTATTAATAATAAACGTTTTTAGGGACTTCCTAAAAATAATGAATAAAAATAATAATAATAATGAAATAAGATCTGTGTTAGAAAAATCAGAAGGGTGTAATAAGCAAAATCTGCCCTTATTCCCTTATGGGGGACACAAGAGCCCTTATAGAGTCCTTTGTAGGTTTTCCATCGGTAGGAGAAAATAACAGAGGCCAACCAGAGAATATAGAGAAGCAAATCAGCTAGTAAGCCTGATCTTTATTGAACTGTTGCAACAGGGTGCTCCCCTCACACGCAGGAAAGGAGGAGGACCCAGAACCAAGGTGTGCCTGCCCTTATATAGACATTTTAAAGTCCCTGCCCTGGAGCTCAAGACCTCCCCTCCATACATCATACATACATCACTGAAGGGGTGTAACCCCCACAAACACCTACATCACAGAATCCATACATCATACATACATCACTGAAGGGGTGTAACCCCCACAAACACCTACATCACAGAAAAGGTGGTCTACAACAGAAATTTGAATGTTGTTTTTCCTGACTGCCAGGTTATCTGACAATGCCTTATCTGATTGACTTTCCTGGTAGTCTGGCCATTCCTTTGAGATGGTGATTTCCCAATTCCTGAGACAATGGGAAGGTTCTCTCACCCCCTCCCTCCTTGCAGAGAAAACATTTGGTCTGTTTGGGAGTTAAAATGGTTTCAGGGCGGTCTTCCTGTGCTGCTCCAGACATGTGGTCCACATATCTATGTACGTGCTTGGTTGGTACATTTATGAACATTTATTATATATATAAAAGACCTTAATTTATTTATTACGGGTGTGTGTGTGTCTTGTTGGCCATGTGTTCCCACCCACTCCTCAATCTAGAGAACACCAGAACTAGAAGCTCCTGCAGCAGGTGGTTGCCCACCCAATACTTACATGGAGGGAGAGGAGCTCACCCACCCAGTGATCCCTTCCAGAGCCAGTGGTTTTTTTGTCTCTGCTCTCTTAAGAAGTTATTCCTAGTGTTAAACTGAAACCTCCCCTTTAGCCCCATTAGATGCATTTTTGCCCTCTTCCGTGTAGCAGCTCTTCAGGTCCCTGAGGAGTGCAGTCATGTTCCCCACCCATTTTGTTTTCCAGCCTAAACATGCTCAATCTCTTCAACATTCCCTCATAAGGCTTCTTCCCTATACATCTCAGAGCATGTTTCTTGCTCTCTTCTGAACCTGCTTCAGTCTGTCTGCATATCCGCCATAGCCCCAGGTGTGGTCTGAGGGCAGAGCAAAGTGGAACGATTGTTACTTGTGACTAAGGTTTGGGCTGCAACGTCATCAGTGTGCATATAACTTGCTCTGCTTCCGTTTTCCACTTCCTGGTTCCAGAGAGGCCATCTGGAAGAGGCAGTTGTGGTATGGGCCAGGGCAAACAAGCTGAAACTTAATCCAGGTGTGGTGATGGTAGTGTGGATGGGGAAACCTATTGGTCCGCTGAGGAGGAGTCAGCAGGGACTGACTGGACAGGGTCCTCTTGAGGGATCAGGTTTGGAGCAACAGTCCTGAGGCACCTCACCTGTTCTGCAGGGTTTCTTAGACATGATACACAGAACTTCTCAGCAACCTGCTTTAGTACCAAAGGATGGAATTCATTTAATGTAACCCTGCACACCTGAATCCCGTAGGGCTTTCCTGATCAGCTTCTTATTAATCTCAAACTACACAGAGACTGAGTCCATTGGCTACAAGCCATAATGGCTCTGTACTACCTTTAATATTGGTGACAACATGTCTCTGGATACCACCTGCTTGGACACACAAGTTGGGTTAGTGCTGTTGTACTCATTTCCCGCTTGACTCCTGAGTTCTGACCCTTCCACTTCCCTCAAGACACATTTGTGGACCAGGGTGTCAGGTGGAGTCCCACCCTTGTGCAGTGTTGCCTCCTGAGGGACCATGGGGACATGCCAGACCTTCCCAGCCAGCATCTGCCATGCATAATGCATGCTTTCCCTTGGGGGTAATTGAATTTCCACAGGAACCGGTGTGTGCATATGCTCATGTTTCTCCATAGCTGTGCTGACAACATCCTTTTCAACTGATGAAAATTCCCCCAGGTGGATTAGAATCAGCAACATCCTGAACTTGTTTGTTTCTGCTTTGTGGACGAAACCACAGAGTTCCTTCACTTGGTACTGCTGTTCAGATAAGCCACAAGCCATAGCCAGTGTTGGAAACTCTCATTGTTCTAGGCGCATTTTGCGACAGGGAATTTCATTAGCGTGAGCAGTTTCTGAGCTCTGGGTGCAGTACTGTGTCTAAGATTTCAGATTAAAACTACAGAGTGGAAGGAAAGGAGGACCTTTTTCTGCATCCCCACTTCCAACTACTCTCTGAAGACTGAAGAAGAGATCCTCTTAAGAATATTAGGGGGGTGGGCAGGGGAAGGACTAGACCATGTCAAAAATGAACATAATAAGATATTTTAACTGCAGTCCATTCATTTTCAGCTTTGCATTCTTATTATAAAAAAGCGCACCTAGACATTCCATTGTTGCGCCCATAACCTAGATTTAAGGTGCCATTTAGCTCTTAGCTTTCATATTTTAGTTTCTAACACTGGCCGTAGCCACTGGGAGATACATCTGAACCTGAGCTTATGGTTTAATGCTAAACCAAACTATGGTTTCAATCAGGGTAACATGATAGCGGCAGCAGGATGAAGGGAGGAGTAAGAAGCTGGGAGTTTTGCTTCATGCACTCACTTGCATGCTCTCTTGTTCATGCAAAGCTATGGTATGCCTTCATGTCACATAGAGACTAGGCCATCATCTCTGGTTGGTGCGCTGTGTCAGGGATGTTAGGGACGCCTGTTCTTTTAACACTGCTTTTGCATTTTCTGGAGTTGGGCTTTCTCTCCCAGCTGAGCACTTGCTAGAGCAGCTGTTCCACCAGCATAATGGCTGTGTATCTTCAGGTTACTTGACATGTTACTTGACATGATGTGGAGATGCGAGATTAGGTTTTCCTAGTTGGGGGTCTTTTTGTGGCCTGGGAGCTTGCTCTATAGTCTCTCAGTCTCCCAGCACCTTTTCCCTCACTCCTTACATGCCTCACTCCCCTTCATTTCAGGCCCAAGTATTAGAAGGTCAGTTAGGGGAAATGGTACAGTTTATTAGGGTCCAGAGATCTGTGATGGAGGCAGGTTAGGCTACATTCCCATTGCTGCATGGAAAAGAAATGGAGGCTAAATTGTAGATTATGCTTGAGGATATTTATGGACGTTATCTGTGCCTCTATTGTCTAGATATCTTGTGAGATTTGCTGGAGCCAATCAGAAGCCGTGTTAGAGCAGGACAAACAACATTATGAACAGTGAGTTGTGGGGCCAGGCCCTTCCCTATCTCTGAGAGTGAGCTTGGGTAGTTAAATTAGGACATGCTGTTTGAGAGAGAACAACATTTATCTTTCCCTTTATAACAAACTCTCTGCTTTGCCTACACAGCCAGAGGCAGTAATGTTTCTGAATACCAGTTGCTGGAAACCACCGTGCCGTGGTCCTGCTTCTGGGCTTCCCACAGGCATATGCCTAGCCATTGTGAGAACAAAATGCTGGACCAGATGGGCCCCTTTTGGTCTGATCCAGACTTTGTTGTGCACAAGGAAGAAGGTACAAGTTTGTGGAAGGGGCAAAGCATTCATCCCAGGGACAGAGCCAGCACTGCTAGGCGGATTGACAAGTCCAAAGTATGTGTTTGGGGAATGTCTAGTTCAAACCACACACTAGGCAGGAACAGTTAGGTCACCTGGCTGTTTTGTGTGCTTTGTCTTTTGAGAGTAAACTAGCAAGATAAATAAACTTTAGGGTTATGATACATGATTTTGCAATTGAAAAGTCCAGAAAAATAAAGGTGTAAAGTGTTTATGAAGTGTGTGCTGCTGCATTGGATCAGGAGAACAGCAGGATAGTTTTTTATTAGGAGAATCAAAAGTTATGACATAAGTTTTGTTGGACTCTTCTTTAGACTGAATGTTTATTAAAAATCGTGGGTACTGCTGGTGGTTGGAGGCATGGCAGAAAAGCCCCAGTGTAATGTAAGAAAAGTAAAATAATTAAAAAATGGCTTTCTTTCCTGACTCATGAGAATGTAGGGATTGGGTTGTGGTATGCCAGTGGGAGGTGGTGGCCTGCGTTACCATTTTGTACTGGGTCCCCCATAGATGGTGCTCTGCTGGCTCCCACCTCAAGGTTCCTAGTGTCTGGTTCCTGTTCTGTTCACCGTTGGATTCCAAATCTGACCCTTTGATGTTTTGTACAATTTGGCTTCTGGCCATGGGGCAAAGATCTCTGTGGAAGTTGCTCCTCCCAGTGTTTGTTCCCCTCTGTCGTGCTCCACATGGCAGGCACTCCTGTTTGCATAGAAGAGGCTGACTGTATCTGACCAAAGAGGCCCCATCTAGTCTGGAAGCCAGTTTCCAGAGTGTCCAGCCAGGTGCCTCTGGGAAGCCTGCTAGCAAGACATCATCCCATCAACTGGTATTCAGAGGCACACCACCTCTGGTACTGTTGGTAAAAGAGCCACTGTGGTTAGTGGCCAATTAGTGGCCCTGTCTTCCATGAATATATCTAATCTCCTCTTAAAGCCATCCAGGTTGGGGACCATCACTACCTCTTGTGTGTGTGTTTAAGTATGTTTAACTGTATGAAGTGGTAACTGAATTTCTCAACATTCAGCTCTGTTGGATGGCCCAGAGAGTTCTAGTACTGTGTGAGGGAGAAAACTGTCTGTTTCTGTTTGACTCTCTAGAAGTGGCCACCTGGTGCCTTCCAGATATAGATATAGATGATATAGATCTACAGTGGTACCTCGGGTTAAGTACTTAATTCGTTCTGGAGGTCCGTACTTAACCTGAAACTGTTCTTAACCTGAAGCACCACTTTAGATAATGGGGCCTCCTGCTGCCGCCGCACTGCCGGAACACGATTTCTGTTTTTATCCTGAAGCAAAGTTCTTAACCTGAAGCACTATTTCTAGGTTAGCAGAGTGTGTAACCTGAAGCGTATGTAACCCGAGGTACCACTGTATAAAAATTATAGCTCCAGTCAGCATGAACAATGGTCCAAGGATGAGGGGAGTGATAGGCCAAAAGACCTGGAGGATGCCAGGTTGGGAAAGGCAGCTCTGGAGCCGAGGTGGTTAGTATTTTGTTGCCTGAGGACTGCATTGACTTTTCACTGGGTTCTTCAAGTGCCAGTGGTGAGTGTGGTCAAAGTGGTTGTAACTATCTCCGACACTTACACACATTGGCAGATCCATATGTCAAGCTCTTCTGCCAAGGTTCAAGCTTTAACACCTGAACAAAGCCGCAATTCACAAAACTGGTGAAGATGGGAGTGGAGCCTCTCATCATCTAATACATCCTGGTAGGTTTCGCAGAAATGAATGAGCTTCCACTTCTGTGGAGATTCTGTGGAGATTTGTGAGTTCATGCATGAAGCAGTAGATAAGACTGAGCAAAGGGAATCTGAGAAATTGCCTCTCAGAATTCATGTTGGCAGAGTTTGTTCCTCAACCCTGTAGCTTTGTGGTGAGAAGGGTTAGGGTTAGCTATGGCAGGGTTTGGAGCCTGGGATAATCCTGCATCGTCTCATGCTGCTGTTCAGCTCAGCAGCCCAGCAACCCTTATCACAAACCTGACAAATCTGACTCAGCTTTACTGGAACTTCTCATCCATTAACTTTGTTATTTTATTCCATGTGCAGCTGTACTCATTCTATGTGTCTGTTACAGTTTTGTTTTTCATCTTTTAATTTTCATTTGTTCTCTCTGTTTTACATACATTATTAAATGAAGAAAAAATCCACCTTCTCAGCTATTTCTCCACAAGGAGGCATTATTTCCTCAAGTCAGGCTGAGCGCTCAGCCGGGAGTCTCCTGCTCCAGCAAAATCAGCTGGCAGCTACCAAAGTGCAGGGTTGATGATGCCACAGAGGGAAGCTGAAACCTGAGCACCTGAGAGCACGCAGAGGTGTGCAGACATCTTGTTCAGGTTTGCCTGGGAATGTGCAGGGTGTCGGCAGAGTGGCGTTGTGTGGGGTTTTCTTTCTCAGTATGCTGTTCTGTAGTCCTTTCCTTGTACCCATTGAATAATCGGTGGTAAGCAGAGGAATTTACTAGCTGCTCCTTTTAATCTGTTTTAGAGCAATTTGAATTTGTAAAGTACTTTGCTGCCAGTTGTCCAAAATTTAGTTTGCAAATTCAAAGATGGCTTCACCATTGCTCTCATTTTACAGATGAAGTTCCGAGCTGACAGCATCATGATCAAGGCCACCTAGTGAGGCTCAGTGTGGCATTTGTGGATAAGCTAAGCAGTTCTTTTCAGGGGATGCCTGCCTGTGTGATTGCTTTCTGTAGGAGGGCCCAAATACTGTGGCTGTTTATAGCCTTTGCTACCACTATGTGGAGAACGTGCAAGAGCCAAGAGCTTTTCAGTGGTGGGGAAATGGATGCTGCTGCCTCTTTTTTTGGGGGGGGGAGAAGGGGTGCCTCTTTGCCAGCTTTAGGAAGGACCATTTCCAGGGGATGGGGTGGGGAGCAGGCGAGCCGTGCTTAGCAGGGCCTGCTTTCTGCACACCGAGAACTTGCTTCATTAGCAGGAAATCCTGGGACCTCTTGGGTTTCAGATGCATATCTCTGTTTTCCCCTGAAAACCACCTTGAATCAGCATTTGGGTTATGAAACAAAATTATCAGTAATTTCCAGTAACTAAGCTGACCCCAATTCTGGTTAATGTAAGAGGTTTCCTGCCTGCTTGGTATTTTAGTGACAGCAAAGCTACCTGCTTGATTTCCTGTGCACTGTGAGGAGAAGCTCACGTAAGATGCCTCCTGGAGACTGAGGGTGTCTATCACCTCTGGGTGATGGAAGTAAGAGTCATGGTAGGTCCTTGGTTGTGGCTGCAGAGGTCTAGCTTCTGAGCGCATCCCAGTTAAAGCTCAAAGTGATCTTAAGAGTGATTAGGAAAAAGATCTGACAGAATAAGGCTGCAATGCTGCAGTGTCTGCCTGTGATGTGTCCATGTTTTAAGATACCAGGAAGGGCCATAGCTTGGTGTACCCTCATATACTGTGTCAGGTAGGAGGGGGCAGGCAGCAACCTGGATCAGACGCAAGAGGGCTTGCAGGCGCCACCCATCACCTGTGCCTGCAAATTGCTTTGAAAGGGGCTTTGCATGTCCTCACAATAAACTGAAGCCCCTTTGAAAGAACTATCTAAGTGATAAGGTGCATAGTCGGAGATTGCTGTTTATATCTTGAGGCTTAAGTAGCCTCCGTGGCACAAAGGGCTGCCTATCAGCCAAGGCCAATACACTAATGGCAACCAGCCCTGGACAAGGTAGTTAGTCAGAGCTGTCCATGCCCTGGCTGTGGTTTGATTACTGCAATGTGCATGGGGCTGCCATTGAAGACAATCTGGAATGCCCCTGCTGCTTGGATTGCTGACAGGAAATGAGCAAAGAATGCAAACCTTTCCGATGTTGAAACAGATCCCAGTGAGTTTCTGAGCCAATTCAAAGGGCTCTTTAAACCCTGACATGTCTTATCTGAACCCAGTCATTTGTTGGACCACCTTTACCTGTATCAATCCATCCGCCCACTGAGTTGGGCACCTGAGGCCTTTCCCTGGGTGCCTCCACCACCCAAAATGTGGCAGATGGCAACAGGGAAGAGCCTTTTCTGTGGTGGCTTCTCACTTTGGAAGAACCTTCCCATGGTGGTCCACATGGATACCTCATTGCTGTCATTTAGAAAACTGGCAAAAGCATGTTGGTTTTCCTAGACTGCTACAACATTAACATATATTGTAAAAGAATGATGCAACAAATGCAAAATACAGTACATACAGCAGATCAACGAAAACAATATAAAACAGCATCACAACTCCAGTTAAGAACACTGGAAGATTCTGATTCTCATTTGGGCTGGCACATTGGAAGTGGCAGAAGTGTTTGATTTTACCATCTATTTAAACTGACAGTTGCTTTTCAGTTTGTTGAATTATTTTGGTGTTTTACTTTTTAATGTTTTATTTAAATTGTGCTTTTTGATTCTTACTAGTCCCTTAGCATTCTGGGCATGCTGAAGATGCAGGATATAAATTATGGACATAAACTAAGCCTAGGACTGCAGCCGCCTTCATTTTCTCAGGCCTGACAGCTTTGCAAGGGAGGAGGGCTAGGACCCTTTGGCCCCCTTCCCTTGAGCGCTACAGGACTAGCACTGACTCCCAGCAGAAACCAGCTCTCTGCTCTGTCCCACTTTCCCCTAGAACTCTGTGCTTTGCTTCTGGATATCACATTTTAGGCAACAGACGCTGTATGTGAGGGGGTGCCTGATGGCCCGCCACCCTCCAGCATCTCTGGAGCATCTCTCTGCTCACCCGCCCGTGGAGGGCGGCCATAACAAGGGGGGCTCCCTCGTGCTGGCAGCTCTAGAAGTGCCAACTAGGCACAAATTAACTGTTGCTACTTCAAACTAGAAAACACACGGAGGTCTGAAAGTTAACAAAAAGGTGGAGCCATGAGAAGTGCAATTGAGCTTCCCCGTTCCACCCGTTTGATTTCTGGTTGAAGGAAGACGAACCAGAGGGGACCGGATGGGGAAGGAACGGGTAGCTACCTGCCAAGGGAGGGAGAGGAAAGACGGTTCACCTGCTGGGCTAGATGCGGGTCTGATCTGACACAGCAGGGCTCGTCTGACGTTCTGGGGGGGGTGGGGGTAAGGGAGCCCAGGGCAGCCACGTTGTTTTGGCACAAGCACTTCGTCCCCTCCCTGGCAGTCCAAGCAGAAAAGTAACAAACAGCTGCCCTCGCAGGGCACACAAAATCGGCGGCCGAGGCCGGCGCTGCTGCGCAGGATTCCGGTGACCTGCTCGGGTGCCCCGAGGCCAGCTGCTCAGCGCTCCGGAGAGGACCGCTCACTCGCTTCATGCACGGGAAGCGCTCGGGCCAAGCCTGGGAGCCGGTGGTCAGGCCAGGCCAAGCCAAGAGCCGCAGCCTTGGCACAGGCGAAGGGCCGGCCTTGGAATCGCCGTGGCTGCTGGCAGATGGGGCGGCCCCTAGGCGCTTCCAGGTTCCTTTTCTCTGCTCGCCCGCCCGCCCGGGGGGCGCTTCCTCCTTTCGGGCAAGCGGGCAGGGGGCCCAAAGAAGGCCCGCCTCTCCTGCTCGCTGCTGCAGTCGGGAGTGACGGCATCCGGGGGCGCCCGCCCGCTTCCCTGGCTGCCTTTTCGCCTGCGCTCTCGGTGCCCCTCGTCGGGAGGAGGAGCCGTAGAGGGCCGCCCCCTCTCCGGTCCGTCCGGCGGTTCCTGGGAGTAAACAAGCGCTGCGCCTCCGCCTCCTGCTGCTGCCCGCGGGGCGGGGGCTCCTCCGGGCTGGGCTTCCCGGTCCTTCCCTCCCGTCTAGGTGACGCTGCTCCTGCCGCCGCCCATAAAGGGGCCAGACGGGTCGGGCGGGCGCTGCCAGACGCAGGAGCCCTTCGGAGGAGAGGAGCAGCCGGCGGCGGCCCGGTAAGGCAGCGGCCGGTGTTTCGGGCAGGGGCCGGGGGGGGGGGAGCGAGCTATCTAGCAGTCGGTCCGTCCGCCCTGTTGCTGCTGCTGCCCGTCCCCCTGGAGGCGACTGGACGGGGTTTTTCTCGCTCGACCCGCCTGGGCCCTTCCCGAGGAAAGCTTCTCCGACGGCCCTGGCTGGAGAAGGGCTCGGCCAGGTCTTTCCCGACGGCGCGGCCGTGACGCTTGAAGCCGAGTAGTGTGAGGTCCCCGGGAGGCGGCGCAGGTGGCGCCTGGCCCTTGCCGGCCTCCCCGAGCAATGCCCACTCGGGGCATGGCACATTCCCGAGGCCGTCTTCAGCCGGGCCTGTCGGCGGCAGGACCCCCCAAGGGCAACCTCCCCTCTTTGGCGTGGCTTGTTTTCCTCCCTCGCCGTCTCCTCCGGCTTTCCGTCTTTAACCGCGGCGAGGGGAGGCGTGAGTCACTCTGCCTGCCAGACGAGCCTGGGCGGCCAGCTGCGCTGCGCTGGGGGGCCAGGCAGAAGTCGGCGTGGACGTGGCTTTCCCGACGGAAGCGACGGCCCGGCAGCCCCGAGAAAGTTCCCCCGGACCACTTCCCCGCCCCCTATGAAACGGGGGAAGGCTCCCACGGATTGGACCCCCATTTAATAAGCAGAGAGAAGTGGGTTGCCAATATCTTGGGGTACCATACGGGGGACCTGGCTACTCTGGAGTTGTCCTAGGGTGGGAGGGGGGGATACAAGGCCACCGCTTAGCTTCCACCGGGAAGGTGGGGATGGCGGCTGCCGGCTGAGCTGGTGAGGCTGACTGCTTTCTGTCCAGCTGCACTGTCCTCCCGCTTCTAAGGAAATGAGTTGATGCTGTCATAGTCCTCGCCACTTCTGGGTGCTCTTTTCCCCAGCCCTTCCCTCTGTAGGTGTGCTGTCGCAAGAGTGCCTGGATTCTGCCTGCTTGCAGTCTCCCTGGGGCTAGAAGGCTCAGCGGATGTTCCCAGGGCACAGGTGGCCTCTTCGTGTGCCTAGGCTCATGTGGGGCAAGCTGGTGTGTGTGGGTCTGTGTCTTCAGGGGAATCCAAGTGTGCTTAAGGCGGGAGTGGGAGGGATTTAGCCAGGTGTACCAGAGTTTGCCTGGAGAAGCTCTCCAACTGGCTCTGGAGGGAAAATGTCAACCGTTCTCCCACCCCGGTGCTCTTTCTTCAGCTGCCTGGGGCCATAGCGTGGTTGTTGGGCCTCTGGTTTTCTGCCCAGCTTGGTGCTGTGCCCAAAGAGGTCACAGGATGAAAGTCCCTAAGCCACTTTCTCTCTGGGTCATGGAATGAGACTTTGGCCTCCACAGTCATTTACAGACTCATTGTTAAGACCATTTTCATGGAAGACAATTTTAGTCGGCTACAAGTGATCGCCAAAGAAGATGAGGCTTTTGTGGTGTGTCATGAGTTTGGGTTTGCATACTTCTAAGGGTTAACACACTTCCCTTCCTGCTGTAAGAGACACTCTTCTGCTGCCTTGTTGCCTGGGGATGGAAACTCCTCTGGTTTTCCATTCAGACAGACTCTTCCATCTCCTCCTGCCTGGCCTGGCATGCAGCTGCCACTCCCTCTCCTCTTTATGGCATTTCAAAACTTCCTGGCATTGAACCACAGGAGCTGCTTCTGTTCCCCTATCCCTCTGGGCCCCTCAGTTAAAGGAATAAGCTTGTTCCCATAGAGCGGGGCGTGGGGGACAACATCTGTGTCCCTCCTCTTAGCCATATGGGAGTTGTTTAGCAGTGTCTTGAGGGCCCCTCGTTTTGCAGCATTGTCTCAATGAACAAGTTTTATTGTCAGGATTTTAGATGTGGCAGAGCAGCCCTGGCCACAGACCGACCTAGAAGGGCCAGGTCATAAAGGACCCAGGAGCACAGCTGATGGCACAGGGTGTATGTGTTAGGAACTGGTTGCCATCTGCGGGGAGGGGCAAAGCCTGCTGGAGACCGTGATCTCAGGGGACTGGATTCTGCTTCAGGGGCAGACCAGCTGCTGTGCCTGCAGAATCTCCTGGGTTCAGTTCCCAGCAGCATCTCCAAGGAGCAGGAGCAGGTGGCCAGTGCTGTTGGGAAAGACCATCCTCTGTGCCTGAGACCCTGCCCATTGCAGGAAGCCATATTGAGGTAGGCGGACCAAAGGCTTGACTCTGGTGGTGGCAGCAGCAGCAGCAGCTTCATAACTGGTAGTACGGAAGCTCACCTCTGATCCGTCCCACCTTGGGTCACTTCTGGTCCTGTGTTGTTGGCATGAGGGTTTGGGTGACATAGAAGAGAGGAGACTCTGGCCTTGCAGAGAGCAAATGATCCTTCAGGTTCTGTTCCAAAGTCTAAGTTCCTTATTGCTAAGCCAACAATGGAGTGCTTTGTAGTCTCTGCTGCATGGTTAGCTTCACAGTGGTCCTGAGTCCCAGGTTCTTCTTGTTCTTCCACGCACCTACCCTCTATCAAGTGTGCCTTTTTGATATTCCCCCGCTTTCTGTATCCCTGGGAGGTGAGTGGAGCAATTTGCGTCCTGCCTGCCTTGGTGCAGAAGGTTGACAGAGCAGCATAGGGAGGTGGAACTGGGGTGGCAGCCCAGGGCCAGATAGAGCTTTGAGTTTCCCCAAGTGTTGCAGGAGGGATTCTGAGGAGGTAATTTGTGGGCGTTGTTGGTCCCTGCCCATCTCTGCAGACTTGTTGACCCCTGTTTATCTTGTGTTTCCATAAGCCCCACCTCTGCCTTCTCAGTAGCTTTCCAAAGAAGTGTGGGAAATGCGGAACTGCAAATTTCCACATTCTGCAAGTATCTGCTTCAGATCTTTTATACCCCTTCAATTAAAAATAATAATCCCAGGACAGTTCACAGTTGCCTATAACCATATGCAAATACAGTTTGCCAAAGTCTAATTGCACATTCTTCGCCCCCTCATAGAATTCCAGAGCCTCTGATGAGAGGAGGGTTAAGCTGCCTCAGCAATGGGTGTGGGGGGGCTGATCCCTTCTTGGCTGCTCAAGAACCCGAGTCAGAGCCTCCCGGCCTTGAAACCTTCCCTAAAACGTCTTTTGAGCCAAGCGTGGCTTCCTTGGGTCACTCCCAGGTAGTTCAGCTGCAGCCCAGCCTCTCTCTTTGCTCAAGGCCTGTGAAGTAGGTAGGGGAGCTCTTTTTGTCAGTTTGCCCCCAGGGCCAGCCTGGCCCAGGAGCCTCCCGCTGGAGTTTTCAGCCCTGCTAGGCCACCCAAGTGGATGAGTGCCTGTCTGGCCAAAAGAGCCCTGGACGTTCCCCGCCCCTCCTGAACAGGCAGCCTCTTCAGCTCTTGGGAGCAGGGCCCTTTTCCTGGGGAGGGCTAAGGGAGGGGACGAGGAGGAGGCACCTGATGGTCATTGGGGGGCAAGGAGCTCTGGGAAGGGATCTCAGCATGCTGGGTGCCGGAACAGCTTATTTGCCACATTTCTCTGCATCCTGGGGTGTGGGACAGACCTTTGGGGTGGTGGCACATCAAGCCTGTGCTGAGGTGCCCATGAGCAGGTCTGTGTGTGGCTCCTCCTCCTCATCCTGGCCTTTTGCTAGTCTCTGTCCAGGATCTGAATCTCTCCTTTTCTCTCCCCAGGTGCGGCACAGGTGACACCCTCGAGGTTTGCCTCCTGCTCTCCCTCTCCTGACCGCTAGCCCCGATGCTGCCTCGGACTGACTGGGGCCTTGCTGGGCGGCAGAGTGAGGGCCTGCTTTGAGGTGCTCCCTGGGCTCCCCCCTTTCCCGGCTTTCATGGATCTGAGGCCACCCTGGCTGCTGTTGTTGTGGACTCTGATTGGGGCCCTAGCTCTCCTGGCCAGAGAAGTGCTTGGCCAGCACGTCTACACCAACACCTGGGCCGTCCTAGTCCCTGCTGGGCCACAGGAAGCGGAGCGGCTGGCCAAGAAGCATGGATTCCTCAACTTGGGCCCGGTGAGTGAAGCCTGCAGCCTCCCTGGAGCTAGTGCAACCCCAAACCTGAAGGGAAGCTGAAATGGGCTAAGGGAGGGAGGGAGCAGCCCTTGATGCGGGGCTTGGAAGGGGTAAAGAAGAAGGCCAGGTGTGGTGCTGCTGCCTTTAGAAGAGAGATATTTAGTCCATGAAACAAATGCTGAAGCCAAGAACCTTGCTGGGTTTGAGGCAGACCTGCTGCTCTCCTCGTTGCTGGGGTCTGAGGGAGGGGCTCTTTTCCATGCATGGAGGCACTGAGAGGTGCTAACAATAGAGGCAGGGTGCTTGGCTGTGGTGGGCGAGCTGGAAACTCCACCTGGGAAAGTCTGTTGGGTGTTCAGAGCTAGCTGAGATTGGGATGAGGAACCAGTATTTGCCCAGGTGGGATTGGCCAGCGACTATGGTGTGATATGGCTGGTTTTCCTTCTCCTACAACCTATAGTTCAATTTGCTTTCAGGAGTTGCACTGAGTTCTTTGTAGGCCTTTGGCAGAATATTTTCATGTGCTCTGCAGTGGGGCTGGCTGTGGTGGGTGGGAGGTGTTGCTTGATGTGCTGAAGGTGGAATGTGGCTCCAGTGGCAGCAGGCTGCTCTACCTTTTTCCTTGTCCTTTCTGGTTGAATGTGCTTCAGTTAAACTCCCTACAGGTGGAAAGGTGATGCTTACGCACCTTACAAAAGGGCATTTGTTGCTGCCTCTTGGAAAGTGACTTTTGGGGGTGGCTGGTTGGCTCTCTTTGCCCCAGGAGCCTCGTATCTTGGAGATGGTGGTGGGCCCAGCTGCCCTATGTTGACGCACGACTAATGCAAGCTTTGCTTGGCAGCAGGCATGGAGTTGCCAGTTGCATCATCTTCTGGGCAGATTTGGAAAGGTCAAAAGCACAGCCTGCCCCCTGAGGCTGTTTGCACTTCACCTGCATGTGGGATCGGACACTGTGTGCCCTGGGGCTGTTTGCCTACCTTGAGGCCACCCCTTGTTCTCATCCGGTGGGATTTCATACCACGCTCTTTGCTGCCCTGCAACTCTTGAATCATTTCACCCTTGACTGGAGTGGGAAGACGTGGCATTGACCACTATTGACAAAGCATATGGGATTGAACGGTGCTGATGAGCTTCGCTGAAGCCCACCTAGGGCAGGACTGACTGCAGGGTGGGGCCGGCACTCGGGATGGATTGGATCTCTTGCTCCAGGGGGAGATGAGGGAGTCCAGCTCTTTTGGGGCTGGCTCTGTTGAAAGCACCTGACATGTTGACAGGGAGGTGCAGCACCCCATTCCCACCTCCTCCCCTGGTCATGTGGCTGCCTTAGAGGGAGGCTCAGAGGCTTCCTCACTTGCCGAGCTCACCAGCTGCTTTAGAGCTCACCCAGACTTCCTTCTGCACCACACTTTCCGGCCACAGGCCTGCACTTTCTAGGTCCGTGTCCAAGTGATTTTATATGTATGTGTTGCCGCTACCCTTGGAAAAACCGCTGAATTGGAGCAAAAGGGAATCCGTGGAAAAACTGATTACCATTTGTTCCAATTCAACAGTAAACAGTGGGTTTTCCCAGGGGAAGCGGCGAAACACACTCAAAAAACCACATGGACCTAGAAAGTGTGGACCTGTGCCTAGAAAACATGGCACAGTCTTGATAAGCCCTGACTCCAGAGTGAAGCTTGGTTGGGGGGCAGGACGGGGGCTTGGCCTGCTAGAGCATCTTCGGGGGACAAAGCAAGCTTTTCCTTTGGAGCTGAGAATGTAAGAAGAACCTGTTGGATCAAGCCAAATGGGGCCTATCTATTCAGTTTTCTCTTCTCGCAGTGAACAGTGAACGTCCTGCAATCAGGTGCCCCTTCTGGGAAACTTGCAAGCAGGACCTGAGCACAAGGGCAACTCTCTCCTCCTGTGGTTTCCAACTGTGGAGGCAGAGCATAGCCACTCTGCTAGTAGTCATTGATTGCCCTCTCCTCCCTGAATTTGTCCAATCGTCTTTTAAAGCCATCCAAGTTGATGGCCATCACTACCTCTTGTGGGCATGAGTTCCATTTCGTGAAGAATGACTTTATCAGTCTTGAACCTTCCAATAGTCAGCTTTATTGGATGTCCATGCATGAGTTCTAGTGTTGAGAAGGGAGCAAAACTTGCTCTACCCACTTTTTCCCACGCTGTGCATAATTTTTATAAACTTCTATCACACTTTGGTCTTCTTCTTCGCATGAGGATCAATCCAGGCTGCTTGCCATTTGCCAGCTCCTGGTTGCAATTGCCCCTTCACCGCTTCCTCCCTCGCCAACTCAAGGCCTCCACCGCCCAGGCGATGAGAGCCAGGCGTTCTGGCCTTGCACATGAGGTAACAACCTTTCCCTGCTGTGATTTCTGGGGGTTGAACTATCCCTTGGAGCTGGATGTGGGTGGTGGCGGACGACATGGCAACAGAGTCTTCCGTTCCGGGTGCTGAGCTTCTGCAGAGCATCCTACCCTTCCAGTCCTGGTCAGATCCTGTGAGCCCAGTGAGGGGAGGTACTGTGCAGCAGGCTGGTGCTCAGGCTCAGTTGGGCTGGGGTGGAGGGGTAGAATACTCTGCAGAAGACCCAAGACCTCTGGGGCAGGGGGCACGTGGAGGAGGTAGTTATTCAGAAGTGGGCTCTCTCTGCCACTGGGCCTTTGATTCCGGAGGCAGGAAAGAAGCTGTTCAGTGAAATTCCTTTTGTTCATCAGTGAGGAATGTTTTGCCCCTGGAACAACTGGAATGGACCAGGGCTCAGTCCGGCACAGCCTAAGGCCCAGGAGTGGAGCTAAGGAGTGGGGTGTCAGTCCTCTGTGGGTCATGCTTCTTCCTTCCTGCCCTGGCCTGTGCCGCTGTACCCCCTAAGTGCCCGTTGTGGCTCCTGGCTCCTTCCTAGGGCAGGCTGAGCAGGTTTGTGGTGCTGGCACCTGCGGGCAGCAGCCAAGGCAAGAGGCCCTGCAAAGGGGAATCCTGTTTGTTTTGGGGAAAATAGGGCAGGGAGCCAGGGCCTGGTGCACAGCCAGGCGTGGGGCAGGCAACAACTAGCTCGGGGTTCTGAGGCACTCCCAGGAAGAAGGCAAAGGGATCTGGGAAGAGGGGACTCCCTTCCTTGAAGACCTGGGGCAGGCCCCACTGCCCAGTTGAGGGCTTGTGCCACATTCAGCTAGGGGCTGGGGGACCAGAAGAACCTCTCCTTGCTAAGGCTGGAGCCCACCAGGGTGGGGCACCTCTCCCTCCTCTCTGCCTGGCAGTGACGCTCTGTCTGCGAATTGCCCCCAGCGCTGGCACAGTGCCAATTCTCGGGGCAGGAGCTGGTGTCCCCTTACACTTAAGCCCTTGTTTCTATGGCAAAATGCCCTGCAATTCTCTTCAGCTGTCTTCTGGGGAGGGGGGAATTGCGCGACCCCTTTTTTTGCAATTGAGCGTTGGGAGTGGAGGCTTCAGCCCCTGGAATGTGCAGGCTGAAAGTGTCCTGGGAGGAGCCTCTGGTGAGCCACTGTTGGGGCCAGGGGCTGCTGTTGGGCTGTGGACGCTGATAAATACTCCTGTACCCGTCTTTCTCCAAGCAGAGACAATTCCACGGTGGTTGCGGAGTTCCCTTTTTTCATCCTCACAGCAACCTTGTAATGTTGGCTAGGCTAAAAGGGACTTCCCCTGTGAGCCTTGCAGCCAAGAAGAGAATAGGGCAAGAGGGGTCAACCACAACTGCTGCTTTCTTCCTCCCCTTGAGCTTCCTCTTCGCAGAGGGCAACCCTTTTGACCTGCTGGCATACCCTATCCTCCTGCCTTTGCCTGCAGTGGTGGTCTGTGCCCTGCTAAGAGTGTGGGTGTGAGAAATGAGAGGGAACCTTCAGAAATTGTCGCCTGGGAGGCTGCACACTGGACGCTGGAAGGGAGTAGGAGCCTGTCGCTGGCAAGGCTTAGGTGGGAGTCCCTCAAGTGTCCGCTTGGCATAGCTCTCCCCCTCCCCCTCCTGTGCCATCTCTAGGGAGGCCAGCAAGCTGCCCTTTTCCTTCCTCCTCCTTTCTGCCACTTGGGCCCAGTGCCATGAGGTCACTTGAGGAGCTGCTGCTCTCGCCCTGCCCTTCTTTTGAGGGGTTTGTTTAAAGATTAGAGATTTACATCAGAATCTTCTTAGCATCTTAGCCAGGCCCTGCAGGCAGCATGTGGGGAAGGAGCAGGAGCCAGCTGGTGGCCTTCATGGGGATGGGCGGGGGGGGGGGAGGAGCTCCTGGATTTGGCCTCTCCTCCGTCCCCTCCATGTAACTGGGTGCCAGCATGTGGGGCTATAGTGACCCATGGAGAGCCTTCCCCTCTGCCTTGTGCTATCTCGGGCTGCCCTGCTTGGACCGACACATGGGAGATTTTTTGTCTCATTCATTCCTCCTTTCTCCCCCACCCTAGATCGTTGGAGACTATTACCACTTCCATCACCGAGGGTTGGCCAAGCGTTCCCTCTCCCCACACCGGTCCCACCACAGCTATCTGGGCAGAGAGCCACAGGTGAGTCCACAGAAGCAGGGAACCTGTTCCAAGTGAGAGGCAGTCACCATGGGGGTGCTACAGAGCACAGAAGCCCTGGTTCTAGTCAATGCAGGCCTGATAAACTGGAGGGCTTTGGTGCCCGCTTCTCCTGGAGACAGCTGGGGTTGGCTCCTGCTTGAGGCTTTTGGCTGAGCTCCCACGGTGGAGAGAGCAGAGGGGCTTTCTGCCTCCAGCATGCCTCGACTGGGCACTTTTGTGCTCTGCACATGGCCTGGGGCCGGTTCTGGGATAGGCTGTGGGGGGTGTCTAATCAGGCTGGTTTTAAACCAGATGGGCCTGATATCCTGGTTCCATTTTGGGCTGCAGAAGAAATCCCAGAGGATTAACAGCCTGTCTGGGCCACCTCCTCCCCTGCAATTCTGGCTCTTCATTACCCTTCCCTTCCTCCAGGGTGTCTCCTGCCACATCACCCTCACAACAATCCTGGGAGGCAGGCTGGGCAATACAGCAACTGGCCCAAGGCCAGCCAGTGATCCTCATGCCTGGGGATGTGAACTGAATCCTAGCCTGACACTGCAATAACTGCAATGGCACTACATTGCTGCCAGTCAGTGCAGACGACACTGAGCTAGGTGGGCCACTGGCCTGACCTGGTGCAAGAAAGAGATGAGAGGGTGGAGCCCACCCTGCCAGGCATTTTGGTGGCTGCCTGAGTCCTTCTGGTCTCCCTATGGGTGGCAATAGGGGAAGGGATGGGTCCCCTCCACATTTGGCCAAGGGTGTCCCTGGCCTGACTGACCCTGGTCCTCCTGGGCGTTGTGGGGTTCGAGAGTCCACTTTGTGCGTGGCTGAACTGAGCTTCACCCCTGCGGGTGCCAAGATCTTTCCGCAAAGCACCCTGTTGTTCTTGCCAGCAGCTGTGCCCCCGCCAGCCACCTCCATGGGGACCTGGTTGCTCCTTGCACCCAAGGGTGCACTTGGGAGGCTGCCCTTCAGTGCCTTTTCTGCCTTTTGCCTCCTCAGGTGCACTGGCTGGAGCAGCAGGTGTCCAAGCGCCGGACAAAGCGGGACACCTTCCTGGAGCCCTCAGACCCCAAGTTCCCTCAGCAGTGGTACCTGGTAAGTGGGAAGGGGGTGTGTGTGTGATGATGAAGGGAAGCAGAAGCCACCAGGCAACAGGCACTGGATTCTGCCCTCCCCAGGGCTGCTGCCAGCCATGCCCTTCCACCCACATGGTGGTTGGGCAAGGGCGCCCTGATGTGACTGCTAATCCCCTCCCACAGAGTTAATCACTCCCTCCCTGCCTGGAGGATTAGTGGCAGCCTGGGAACAAAGCCCCCTCCATGACTGAGCTCACAGGAGCTGCCACCGCCCCGGAACAGAATCCACCCCGGCCCTTGGACTGCCAGGAGGTCCCAGAGGCCACTAAGGGGCACCATCCGGATCCTGTCCTAAAGAATGGGGCAACATCATTGCTGTTGTTGTTGCTAATTTATTTATTACCTGCCCTTCACCCTAAGGTCCCAGGGCAGGTCATAGCATTAAAAACAATACAGGCAACTCTCAGTTTACATGTGTTCAGCAGGACTGCATACACATGCATTGCACCAAACCCGGGAGTGACTTTTAAAACAGCAAAAATGGGCCCTGAGAGAGCCCAGAAACAGTGCCCAGGAATCCCACAAGCCTTTGCACTGACCTTTCAGGCCTGTGGAGGGTTTGAATTTGAGAAAGGAGGTTTGGAGGGAGTGATTGTGGTGGATTTTGGTGGTCTGGTAAGTGGTGCTGGTTTTTCAAAGGTTTCCATAGGTTTAGAGCAGTGTTTCCCAAACTTGGGTCTCCAGCTGTTTTTTTCAGACTTTTTCAGATTCAGATTTAGATTTATTACGGCCATTGGCCCATATCAAAAACAATACATCAGAATTTATCCATAAACAATACAACCACTGGCCTTGCTAGCTAGGGATGATGGGAGTTGTAGTCCAAAAACAGATGGAGACCCAAGTGTGGGAAACACTGGTTTAGAGGGGGTTTGCAGGCATTTCCAATGGTGTTTCAAGTATATGTGATTTCACTGATGCGGGCAGTGCCTCGGAACATAATCCCCGCGTAAATTGGGAGTTGCCTGCATTACAAATAATTTAAAACAACTTCCCACCAGAAGAGTTAGAAGCCAGAGGAAAGAGGTGTGTCTTCAGCATTCTCCAGAAGCTGTGCAGTGAAAGTGCCAGGTGCACCTCTTTGTGGAGGGAGTTCCACAGCTTTTAGGAGGGAGTTCCACCGAGAAGGCTCTCTCCCAGCACTCCCAGAACTCTCCCAAAGTTCTCTTTGTGCCAGTGGTTCTCCCCCAAAGCTGGGGGTCTTGCACGGTCCATTTCCAACTGGGGACTTGTCAGGCATTGAAGGAGGTGTTGCTGCAGAGCAGATTCTCCCCCATCCCACCTCTCCACTGTAGAGTCCTCTTTGCTTAGCATAGAATAGTGGGGCCAAGAGGCTGGAGCTGGCATTCTCCTGCCCCAATGAATATGTGGGGCTTGATCCTGCCACTTTCCAGGAAAACGGGAGGGGGTAGTGAAGGGAGCAGCAGCCAGCATTCCCCAATGCTCAGCTACAGATTCTTCCTTAAAGACGTAGCTGTAATTCCTGCATGGCAGGGGGTTGGACTAGATGACCCTTGGAGTCCTTTCCAACTCTGCAGTTCTATGATTCTGTGAGCCAGGCATCTGGGGTCTAGTTAGAGATGGTTTCCTCCACCCCACCCCCTGTGTGACGAAACATGACTCTATAGCCTTTAGAGTTGCCCTACTGGCTGTGCTGACTGGCCTTCTGCTCCCCCCACCTTTGCCCCCCAGTCCAATGGGAACCAGCGAGACCTGAATGTGCGGGAGGCCTGGCAGCAGGGCTACACGGGGCGTGGCATCGTGATCTCCATCTTGGACGACGGCATTGAGAAGAACCACCCGGATCTGGAGGCCAACTACGTGAGTGGGATGTGAGCGGGCTCCATTGGCACATGCCGTGCCTACTTTGCAGGGCTGGTAGAAGGGGCCGCGAGTCTTCCTGAGACAACCCCCTCCCACCCAAGCTGAGGCCACTTTTGCACGCAAGCTGAGGGAAGCTTTGTAGCAGTAACAAAATCCCAGAGTCCTCCTGAGCCCCATCAAGCCCTGCCTGTGATGGAATGAGCCCAAGCAAATTCAGCCTCTGGTTGTGGCCACTCACAGCACCGCTTTGCATCACACGTGGACCAGTGGTCCTTTCTGGACTCTTGGGGTCACATCTGGAGCTTTTGGAACTGGGAGTTTACTGCTGATGCAGAAAACGTGATTGTGGGGAAAGAGGTGATGCTGGGCTCTTTCATTGCAATTCCTGCATCGCAGGTGGTTGGACTAGAGGGATCCCCCTGGATCCCTCCCAACTCTACAATACTGTAATTCTTTCTTCCTTCAGGATCCTGCCGCCAGCTTTGATGTGAATGATCAGGATTCAGACCCTCAGCCGCGTTACACCCAAATGAATGACAACAGGTGGGGAGCCTTTCCGGAGGGCGGTTGGGTAGGGATGGGAGATATTGGGCAGGGAAAGAGGAACACCAGTTCTGCTCAGTCCTGGAAGCTCGGTCGCTGGGGACACGTGGGCTGGGAATGGCACTGTGTAGAAGGAAAAGTGGATGGAGCTTCCTACCCCCTGGGAATGCTGCTCTTCCCCCCTCTGTCCCCCTCCCTGCCTTTGCCCATTCGAACGCTGACTGTTGCTCAGCTGCACTGAGAGGGAGAGAAGTTTGGGGCAGGTTTGCTTCTCCCCTGCTCCCTGTTTTCTCCCCACTCTAATGTATGGCCGCCAGTCCCTCCCCACCCAGCTCAAGTCAGATCTCCCTCTCTCCTTCTTACAGGCATGGTACTCGGTGTGCAGGCGAAGTAGCTGCCGTGGCAAACAATGGCATCTGTGGTGTAGGTGTTGCTTACAACGCCAAGATTGGAGGTGAGGAGGGCATCGTCTCTACCTTGGGCTCTGCTCCTCACCCAGCTTCTCACACTGGGTTAGCTGCCCAGAGGGAGCCTAAAATCATAAATTGTAGAGTTGGAAGGGACCCCGAGAGTCATCTAATCCAACCCTCCTGCAAAGCAATAATAATAATAATAATAATAATAATAATAATTTATTATTTATACCCCACCCATCTGGCTGAGTTTTCCCAGCCACTCTGGGTGGCTCCCAATCGAGTGTTAAAAACAATACAGCATTACATATTAAAAACTTCCCTAAACAGAACCCATGCCTTCAGATGTCTTTTAAAGGAACAGGAGGTTGTTCCCCTGTCAAACAGCTCTTATAGTCTCCTTTCTTGTCATTTGGATCCGTTAGTTTGGGTCCTACACTCTGGAGCATCACAAAATAAGCTTGCTCCATCCTCCATGTGGCAGCCCTTCAGATATTTGAAGGTGGCTCTCATATCACCCCTTCTCCAGGTGAAATATACCTAACTCCTTCCACCGTTCCCCATAAGGCTTGGCTTCCAGACCCTTGATCATCTCGGTCACCCTCTTAAGCACCTCTTCCAACTTGTCAATACCCTCCTTAAACTGTGGTGCCCAGAACTGGGCACAGGACCCCAAGTGGGGCCTTGCCAAGGCAGACCAGAGCAGTGCCATTAGTGATGTCCATCTGTACCATCATCTTAGGTGTCCGCATGCTGGATGGAGAGGTGACGGATGCTGTGGAGGCCCGTTCCCTGGGCCTCAACCCCAACCACATCCACATCTACAGCGCCAGCTGGGGCCCCGAGGACGACGGAAAGACGGTGGATGGCCCAGCCCGCTTGGCTGAAGAGGCCTTCTACCGGGGCGTCAGCCAGGTGAGCCTGTGGTCTGCAGCCAGGGGAGGAGGAAGGGTGGCCCTTGGGGTGAAATTGGGCTGCTGCCAAGCCTCCCACCTCCACCCCTAGTCTTGCCTCTGCCTGACTTGGTCCCCACCCCACCCCAGGGCCGCAACGGGCTGGGCTCCATCTTCGTCTGGGCTTCTGGGAATGGTGGGCGCGAGCACGACAGCTGCAACTGCGACGGCTACACCAACAGCATCTACACCCTCTCGATCAGCAGCACCACCCAGTACGGGAACGTGCCCTGGTACAGCGAGGCTTGCTCCTCCACCCTTGCCACCACCTACAGCAGCGGCAGCCAGAACGAGAAGCAGATTGTGAGTCTCCATCGAGCGTGATGGGGGTGGGGGGGCGGGCTTTGGGTCACAACCTGGCAATCACCCTGTGCCTCCTCCTCCTTCTCCCCAGGTGACTACAGACCTGAGGCAGAAATGCACCGAGTCCCACACGGGCACCTCCGCCTCTGCCCCGTTGGCGGCTGGGATCATTGCCCTGGCACTGGAAGCAAAGTAAGGGGGCTGGGAGGGAGGGGAGAAGGGCTTGTGGGGGTGCTGCTTTGGTCCCTGATGGAGATGAGGGGTTTGGCACCCTTGCCCTCTCCGGTGAGACACGGCTGCTCCTTCTCCGCAGCAAGAACCTGACCTGGCGCGATATGCAGCACCTGGTTGTGCAGACCTCCAAGCCCGCCCACCTCAACACCAACGACTGGGCCACCAACGGGGTGGGACGCAAAGGTAAGCAGGCGCCTGCCAAGGACATGCCACTCTGGGGTGGTGGCAGGCTGCAGGGGCAGGTCCTGAGCCTCTCACACACCCTTCTTTCTCCCTCTGCTTGCAGTCAGCCACTCGTACGGCTATGGACTCCTGGACGCCGGCGCCATGGTGACTCTTGCCAGGAACTGGACCTCGGTGGGGCCTCAGCGGAAGTGTGTCCTGGACATCCTCACCGAGCCAAAGTGCGTCCCCACAGTGGAGCAGGGAGTGGGTGGGTTTGGGGTCAGACCCTCCTGAGGGCCAGCCTCTGTGTGGAAGGAGGGGGCACCAGTTACTGAGGGTGAAACAAGCTTGGGGCATCGGGCTCCTTGAGGACTAGACTATTGCGTCGTCTGTGTTTGAACATCGCACAGACAATGTGTAGAAATCCTAAGGAACATCTGATCTGAAACGGGCAGTGGCCTAGAAATCGGGGAAGGAGAGGTGGCTGCAGCTTCCCTTGGCGTGGACTGGAACTGGCTGGAAGCGGCTGGAGAGAGAGAGGGAGGGAGTGTCCGTCCGTCCACATGAACCAGACAGAGGAGGCTTTTCAAGGACAGGACAGAGCTGCCTTTCTCCAGGGTGTTGCTGCAGCGGGGGCTGCTCCCATCTCTTGCCCTGCCCTCCAAACACTGCTGAGTGCCAAGGACCGGGCTGGAGTTTGCTTTTCAGGCTAATTCTGGATATTTTGCTGCTGGTGGACAACACCTTGTGGTCCTGTGGTGCTGGACCTCAGGGGATCAGAGGGTGCGGGGGGTGGAGCAGGGATGAGGCTGGGTTGGTGGTCCTTGCTAGAGCAGACCAGCCCCAGCATTCCTGCCCACTGCAATCCTTTTTTTATCCAGAGTTCTGCCTTGCACAACCTGCCCTCTGAGGCTGCTGCTGGCTGGCAAAGCCTCATCCAGCCAGGCTAGGGATCTCAGCTCCTGCTGGAAGGGGAGTGGCGGGGCTCTTGCTCCTTTCACATCCTGTTCCGGCCTTAACCATGGGTGCCTGTTGCCTCCTGCAGGGACATTGGGAAGCGCCTGGAGGTGCGGCAGAAAGTGGATGCCTGCCTGGGGAAGGCCAGCTACGTGGGGCAGCTGGAGCATGTCCAGGCCCGGCTCACCCTCTCCTACAACCGCCGGGGTGACCTAGCCATCCACCTTGTCAGTCCCATGGGAACCCGCTCCACCTTGCTGGCTGCCCGGTAAGCCCCCTGCCTTCCTTGGACCCACTCCCTTCTGGGAAGCTGCCTCTGGGCTCTGCCCTCCAATGCCTCTCACTTTTGTCCTCTCCCCAGGCCCCACGACTACTCGGCTGATGGCTTCAATGACTGGGCCTTCATGACGACGCATTCGTGGGACGAGGACCCCACTGGCGAGTGGGTGCTGGAGATTGAGAACACCAGTGAAGCCAACAATTTTGGTAACGGGGGAGGGGCACCTACTTCTCTACGCCCAGACCCACTTGTTGTGGCAAGAAAAATATTCCAACCATCCAGCGCCCCCCGCCCCTTGTCTCAAATCCCTCCAGTCCCCGTGACAGCCACCTGTCATTTCTCCACCCCCTCAGCTTCCTCTGCTCCTTGTCACATCAGCTGCAATTTGGTCTCCCTCCCGGGAGCGCTGCCTGATCTCCCCCCCCCCCCCCGCTTACTGGGCCCAGCTGTGGGCATTCCCTTCCTCCCCGCCCCCCCAACCCCAACAGCTGTTTAATTCCCTCTTGCTCTGTTTTAATTCCCTGTGACGGAAACCCCAGAAAAGTGGGGGGGGGGGGGGCTTCCCCAGCTGCCATCCCTGCCTGTTTAAGAGGCTGCTGGCTGGACAGAAGGAGGGAGGGATGGGGATGCTGTGCTGAGCTTCTGAATGTGGCCCCCTTCCCCACCTGTGGCCTCAACAGCAACGGTTCACAAACTTGGTTCCATAAGCTGATTCCCAGTGTCCCCCCCACTTATCCTATAAAAAGCATTACTCAAATAGCAGTTTGCACCACCCCCTTAATGGTAGATCATAACACAATAACATTCAAAACAATTAATTGCACCTTTATTCAAAATCCGATTAAAACTATTCAATGTAATTCCACAAAACAGATGACCTTGATCCAGCAATACCAGCTTTTCAGAGTCTGAAAGTCACCCCCTTGCCTCTTAGCGTCCCCCTCCCCCTGTAATCCCACCACCCAGTTTGGGAACCAGTGCTCCTCAGTGTTAGGCCCTTCTTGGGGGCTGTTGCGCAGCAGAGGGTGCCAGGCACAACTCCTTGAGTGACAGGGAAGGGCTCTGGTGTGGGAGGAGGGCAGGTTGGGTGGCTCTGCCTCCTCCTCACACCTTCCTGCCCTTCCACCTGCAGGCACCCTCACCAAGTTCACTCTAGTTCTGTACGGGACGGCCACCGACCCCCCTAGCCTCTCCAACCAGTTTGAGAGCAGCGGCTGCAAGACCCTGACCAGCAGCCAGGCCTGCGTGGGTAAGTTTTGTTGTAGTTATTTGTTTCATTGCATCCATATCCTACCAGGTTCTCCAAGGAGCTCAAGGTGCCACAGTCTTTCCCTTCCAACAACAACCCTATGAGGTCGAGAGGCAGCGAAGGGCCCAAGGTCACCCAGGGAACTTCACAGCTGAGCAGGGATTTGAGCCCCGGTCTCCTAGGGCATAGTCCAACCGCTACACCTCCACTGGCTCCCAAACCTGCTTCACTCGAAAAGCCTATGCTGGAGCCCTGCTCTGAACAACAACAATTATTTTATTATTATTTATACCCCGCCCATTTGGCTAGGTTTCCCCAGCCACTCTGCATAGCTTACAGCATATCTAAAAACATAAAACATCAAGCGTTAAAAACCTTCCGATACAGGGCTGCCTTCAGGTGTTTTCTGAAAGTTGTGTAATTATTTATCTCTTTGTCATCTGAAGAAAGGCATTCCACAGGGAGGGTGCCACTATCAAGAAGGCCCTCTGCAGTTGCCACCAAGGTTCCTCCCACTAGGCACTGCTCTGAGTGATTGGGGTACAGAGGGCAGCTTTCATAAGCTGTCCAATGTGTTTGGTGCAAATGGGAACCATGCCATCTTCTGCCCATGTTCCTGGGCAAAGGGGGCCCCCACAGAGGGGGCTGTGTGGACAAGAGACCCCACACCCTCTCTCCACCACAGGTAAGGGGCAGACCTTGCTCCTTGGCGCTGCCTGAATGCTTTTTCTTCCAGAGCCTGGAGGCCTGAGCCCTTCTCTTGCCCCTTCTCTCCTTGCAGTGTGCGAAGAGGGCTTCTACCTCCACCAGAAGAGCTGCCTCAAAACGTGCCCCCCTGCCTTTGCGCCGGGCACTGTGGCCCCCCCTCTGGAGAACATCCTGGAGCCCCAGCTGAGCTCTCGCCTCTGCGTGCCCTGCCACCCGTCCTGCGCCACCTGCCTGGGCCCGGAAGCCACCCAGTGTCTGTCCTGCCCGGCCCACGCCCACTACAACAGCCAGGAGCAGACGTGCTCCCACCAGACCCAGAGCAGCCGGGCCTCACCCACCCTCCTCAGGGAGGGCGTGCAGGTTGCCGGCGGCCCCTCCCGCTTGCCCGTGGTGGTGGCCATCCTGAGCTGTGCCTTCATCGTCCTGGTCTTCGTCCTGGTCTTCCTGGTGCTGCAGCTGCGCTCCGGGCTGTGCCTGCGCGGGGTCAAGGTGTATTCGCTGGAGAGCGGAGGCATCATCGCCTACAAGGGGCTGCCTTCGGACGCCTGGCAGGAGGGGCCTGAGGAAGAGGAGGAGGGCGAGAGGACTGCCTTCATCAGAGACCAAAGCACCCTTTGATGAGCCTGCAGCCCCCCGGCACATCAGGGGCAGGACCAAGGGGCCAGAGGCTCTGCACCGGTCTGCTCTCTCACCCCCCCATGGCTGGGTGGGGACCTTGGACAGAGGCACTCTGCGTGTGGGCCGGGATGCTGCTGGAGGACAAGGCGCCCAGGCACCCTAGGCACTGGTTTTAACTCGCCAAAGTGATTTTTTAAAGACTGAACCAGTTTCTCTGCCTGCCTCCGCTGTGGTTGGAGGGGCATCTGCGCGGGGCTGCCTTCCTCGCTGCTTGGGGAGGGGCAGGAAAAGCCCCTCAAGCCTTTGTCTCTTGGCAGGGGCATGGCTGAGAGTGCCCCGTCCAATGTGGGACGGGGGGGTTGTTAAAGTGGCACAGGCCCCCAGCTCCGTCGCCTTCTTTCTGCCCTGCCAGCAGCAATAAGAGCCTGACTCCTCCTCTCTTGCTCCGTTCCGTGCCCTTCCCACTGATCCACGGAGCTTGTGCCACCGTTTTGGGCCTCTTCCTTGTGCAGCCGGCCACCTGCCTACCCATGCCTTGGTAGACTGGGAGGTGAGCTGGGCTCCTCCTCCTCTTCCCCTGCCCCCACCCATGACAGTTGGGGCTGAGATGGACGATTGATGCCATGGGTGTCTCTCTTCAACCCAAGGCGGGCGGCTCCACCCTCCTCCCTGCCGGAGCAGGAATTCCTCTGGGGCCATGGGGAGGGGGCCTGGGGGCGGCGGCTGCTGCTTGACCACTGAGCTGTGCCCAGCCCCTCCCTGGATCTGCCCAAAGTCACTGGAGCTTCCATCTTTCCTCATGTGCCTTGTTCCCCCTCCTCCTCTTCTTCTTCTTCCTCCTTGATGACAATCTGTTGCTGGTCCTGGGGTTGCACTGCCCGCCTCGCCTGCCTCTCTCCCTCCGGGTCTGTTCCCTGCTCTCTGCTGCTGGCGGAGGTGGAGGCTGTGCAGTTGTGGGCAGGGGAAAGAACGGGCTGCCCAGGACTCGTTTTCTATCATAACTTTTTTGGTGCACAAATAATTTCTTGTAATTTAAACAAGGAGCCAATTCCTGTGGCCAGTTGTTTTGTTTTTTTAATTTAATGGATGTGGATATAACGCTAGAGAGATTAAAGTTTATTAAATGTTGGAACTATGCAAACTTGCTGTGTCCCGCTGTGTTCTCTAGACAGAGCTTTCGTGTCGGTGGGTTGCAGGTGCCTGGCCACAGACACAGGCCCGCCTCACACCTCCCAGGCTGCTAACAGGCCGCCTCTGGCTGATCCATATTGATTGGTTTGGGTCTCCCTGGCCAGGGTCTGCTGCAGAATCAAGGAGGCCAACGTATTGCCCAGAGACAGTCCAGTCCAGATGTAAGAACCTAAGTCAGCTGCATCAGGCCCCAAAGGGAAACCCACAATAAAAAGTTGAGCCCAAGAGCCTCCTCCCCTCCTGTGACTTCCAGCAACTGGTATTCAGAAGCATTGCTGCCTCCACCTGGAGGCACAGAGCATAACCATTATGGCCAATAGTCTCCGACATCCCTCTCCTCCATGAATCTGTCTAATCCTCTTTTAAAGCCACACAAGTGACCCTGCCTGCTCACAAAACTGCTTCACTGTCAAATGTGCATCATTTACGTTACCTGGAGATTTGACATTTGTTTAACCCAGTGGTTATCAAACTTTTTTTCCTCTTAGCTGCACTTTCAGAATAAAAATTTGCTCGCGCCACACCGAATTTTTTTATTGAGTAAAGCGTGTAGGGAAGAGAGAAAAGCGACAGAAGTTTATAAAATTGCCCATGTCTTAGAGAAAGTGGACAAGGGCAACTTTCCCCAATGCATTCCAAAATGATACTGAATGGTGGAAGATTCAGGGCAGGCAAACGGAAATACTTTTTCACACAGCGTAATAGTGAAACTGGGATCTGCTCCCATGACATACAGTCACAGCTGCCAACTTCCCATTTTTAAAAGGGGGGTTAGGCAAATTGCTAGGGGCAAAGGCTCTCCGTGGCCACTAGTTACGATGCCCAGCGCGCACACACACACCCACACACACACACACACACACACACCCCTGCTTCTGAATATAGCAGTAGGCACTGGGACCAAACAGCTGGAGAAGGTGATGACACTTGTGTCCTGCCTGCAGGCATCTTGCGAAGACCATTGGTCACCTGGTGGAGCTGAGTTGATGGATTGTCTCACAAGGGCAAGACTAGATAAAAAGCAGTTTAATTTGAAGGAGCCTCTTGGTGCTTAAGGAGGTATTGCGTACAAGTGCCTGGGTGGGGTATAAGCCACAGAGAGAGTGCAGGAGACAGGAAGGGGGATCTTGCAATGCCTGGAGGTTTTGTGGAGTCTTCCTGTTCCTCTTTAGTGCTCACGGCCCAGGAAGGAGTCAAGCGCTGATTCAGACAGCACCCCAGCAAGGTATGTCCAAGGGCAGAAGGGAGCTTCCTCAGGGATGCAAGAGAGGCTCCACTGACCCCCAACCAGCCCCCTTCCCTAATATACCACCAGCCAGCATGGGGGGGCCTTCTACAGAAAAGGTGATGTTTGGAGACTCCTCTTGCCTTCAAAACTGGAGACAGACCAGCAAGCCCCCTTCCCAAAACAGGAGAGGGAGTTTGGGTGGTCCTCAGCCATCCAGGGCATCAATGCGCAGCAGGCGCACTTGAGTGCTGGGTACCACCGCAACACCACAGTGTAGCCTGGGTGAAGCCTCTTGCAAACTGGAGTAGGGAGATGAGCTCTGAACAGGTTGCAAAACTTGCTCTGGTGGGGGAAGGGAGCTCTCGGATACCAAATCTGACGGTGGTGAGTGGGCGGGGGTCTCCTCCGAGCCGGACCGGCACCTGCCTTGAGTCCAGTTTCTCAGAGTAGGGACTTGGGTTCTTCGCGGGCACTTTCCGGAACAGCTGGGGTGTTACGTTAGGGAGCGCCGCGAGGCTGCGGCCGCAAAAGGGAACTTGCAGCGGCCCGGCCGCTTCTCAGGAAAACTATGCTGGGGCGTCGGGGCAGGCTGACGGCGCTGGCTCTCACGTGCAGGGCGAAGGCTGCCAGTCTGCCTGCCGCCGACCATGGGTTTCGAGCTCGCGCTGGGTTGCCCCGAGGGCCACAGCGCCCTGCTCCAGCTGCAGGAGGCTGAGCTGCGCCTGCTGGAGGGGCTCCGCAAGTGGATGGGCCAGCGCGCCAAGAGCGACCGAGAGTACGCCGCCCTCCTACACCAGATGCACATCCAGGCCGGCAAGCAGGAGAGCGGCGGCCAGCCTAGCAACAGCCAGGTCGCACAGGTAGGCTCCCAGGACCCCCCCTCCATTTGGCGCGGAGCCCCCTTGACCCTTCCCTCCATCCTCACCTGGGGAGGCTCCCCGTCCCCTTTCCATTAGGAGGGGGGTGGCTGGGCAGCTTCTCCCTCTCTGCGTCTTTCTCTCTCTCCGTCTGCCCTCCTGGTCCTTTTCTGCCCGCAGTGCTGGTGGTCGCTGGTAACACAGACGGAGGCACTGAGCCAGCTCCTGCAGCGACACGCCGAGGCGCTGGTCTCGGGCCCCCTGCACAAGCTGGGCCAGCTCATTCGGGACAAGCAGCAGCTGCGGCGGAGCTACAGCGAGCAGTGGCAGCACATGAGCCAGGACTTCCTCCGGGTACGGCAGCCCACCAACCCTCGCGCCCGCCGCCCGCCCCGTCCGGGCTGCGCAGCAGCGGCCCCTGGTGGACACTTGCGGTGGCGCTCTATCGGGGCTTTGGTGCCAAGGTTGCATGTGGCTGGAATCTGACTCAGACCCCAAAGGACGTCAAGTCCATCCCTCCGCAGGAAGCCCGCAACTGCAAACCCCCTCTGTATGGAGACCTCTAAGCCCCCTTTCTTCCTTGGCTCTTCCAGACCACCCAGCAGGAGCCTGAGCGCCTGAAGGCACAGTACCGCAGCCATGTCCGGGAGAGTGCTCAGGCCAAGCGCAAATACCAGGAGGCCAGCAAAGGTGGGTGTGGCTGGAGACCCCCACAGAACCCAACTGGGTCAGCCCAAAGACCTGCCTCGGCCAGTGACCTGTTCTGGAGCATCTTCCTCCCATCCTCCCTCCAGCCAAGGGTCTTCAGAGGAATGCAGCGTCCTCTGAACGCAGCTTTTGGCCTAAAAGGCAGCTTCCAAATACTTGCCCATTCACCTAGCCTGAAAGAACTCGAAATAGTTATGAAATAGTTGGTATTTCAAAAGTCTGGAGGGAAGTTTTGCTCAGGATGTCCTGTTTCTCCGTGTGTGTTTGCGTGTGAAAGTCTAGGAGCCTGGCAATTAAAGGGAAACACAAATGTAACCAGATGTCCACTCTCTATCCGATTGGTTAAAAGGTTGGGATGGGGAGTGAAAATATTGTATGCAAGTTGACCGGGAAAATCAGTTGCAGAACTAAAGAAGGAAAGAGCAGTGGAGTCAGAACCTTCAAGAGCTTCATGATGCAGGAGCCGGGAGTGGACCATTAAAGGATCCAGAAGGTTAACCAAGAGATGAGAGTTGATAAAATACTGACATGGTTAGGGAAACTGTCTAGAATAGGCATAGCAGGATGCATTTGTATCTGTTTATTTGTATTTGTGTAACCACCCAAACTGTAAAGGTTTTAGTAAAGTAACAAGCCAATCTAAGTTTAGCTAAACTTGTTGCCTTACTTAAGTAAGTGGTTTATTTATTTATTTTGGTTCCCCCCCCCCCCGCCAAATCTTAGTCTTGTCATTCATCCCATTCATCTAAGTCTTGTACTACTCTACCCATTATTGGGAGTGGGGTAGGCCAGTTAGAGTCCGGAAGGCTGAAGGACTGCCTAGTGGAAACTGCGCGATAAAAATGGAGAGATCTACTTGGTTCATAGCTGTCAACGTTTCCCTTTTTTAAAGGGAAATTCCCTTATTCCAAATAGGATTCCCCTTTTAAAAAGGGAAAAGTTGACAGCTATGCTTGGTGGCAGTGGTGAAGTTAATCATAAGAAGGGGGTGGTTTGAGTGGCAGGGTTGTTTCCCTCCCTCCCTTCTGTCTCTTGGGGCAGGCTATAGCCTATGCCATGACACCTAGTTGCCAGCCCCAGGCATCTTAGCCGTGTCAGCCACGGGACACAAATCTCTTACTGTGCACGACTGCATTGGCACTCCTGACCCTCCTATGCTTTTGCGCTCTCCCTGCAGAGAAGGACCGAGAGAAGGCCAAGGACAGATACGTCCGGAGCCTGTGGAAGCTCTACTCTCTGCACAACCAGTATGTGCTGGCCCTGAAGGCAGCTGAGGTACAGCACAACCACCACTACCAGCACACCCTGCCTGGGGTGCTCCAGTCCTTGCACAGCCTGCACCAGGAAATGGCCCACATCACGTAAGAGGGGCTCCAGAAGGGCTGGGGGGGGGTGAGATGGAGAAGGCCAGGGACCTTGAGAAAAGGAGCCCAGCGGCACCAACCATAGTAGCACATTTGACTCCATGTAAAACAGTCTATAAGGACGCGGGTGGCGCTGTGGGTTAAACCACAGAGCCTAGGACTTGCCGATCAGAAGGTTGGCGGTTCAAATCCCTGCAACGGGGTGAGCTCCCGTTGCTCAGTCCCTGCTCCTGCCAACCTAGCAGTTCGAAAGCACGTCAAAGTGCAAGTAGATAAATAGGTGGGAAGGTAAACGGCGTTTCTGTGCGCTGCTCTGGTTCGCCAGAAGCGGCTTAGTCATGCTGGCCACATGATCCGGAAGCTGTACGCCGGCTCCCTCGGCCAATAAAGCGAAATGAGTGCCGCAACCCCAGAGTCAGCCACGACTGGACTTAATGGTCAGGGGTCCCTTTACCTTTAAAACAGTCCCATGCCCTCACAGCTGATGCTCTCAAGATTGCCAAGAACAGTACATTTCAGCCATCAAAGGCCTGGATGAACAGGAATGCTTTTAGAATCATAAAATTGTAGAGTTGGAAGGGATTCCGGAGGGTCATTTAGTCCAACCCCCTGCAAATCCTGCAAATCTAGCCCAACCCCTGAATGATGATGATGATGATTTGATTTCTCATCAACACTTCGCTGCGTGTTCCCACCGTTGTTGTTTTTAAACAATATTAAAAACAGTTTAAAACAATCAGGAGAGAAGGAAATACACCCCACCAGGGAGGGCATCCCACAAATGAGGACCTGCCATCAAGAAGGCCCTGCCATGGCTCAATGGCAGCAAAACAGCCCCAGTGGCGTTACTAACAGAGCCTGAGATGGTTGCTATTGGGGGGACTGTGCCTTTGGGTACGCAGGTCCCAAATCATTTCAGGCTTTGTGTACTAGAACTAGCACCTTGAATTAGGCCCAGCAGCTCAGTTTCTCCACTGACAGTTTCCTGTTTCTGTACTGGCAGGAAGGGGACCCTCCAGGAGTACGCAAGCATCACCAGCCTGGTGCAGGAGGAGATGGTGATGGTACACCAAGCCATGGGCAGAACCATTGAGCGCCTCCGCCCGGACGTGGAATACGAAGGCTTTCATCCCCAGTGCAGGTAGCGCCTGCTGTGTTTCCTCTGAGATTCTGGGGGCTGGATTTCCCAGCCAGCAGCTTCTGCCACCTTCCTCTGGCCTGTCTCTCTCCAGGTGTGGGAACGAGGCCCCTGCTGTGGTGACCTTTGACACGAGCCTGCTGGAGGAGATGGAGACAGAGGGCCTGAAAGCCGGGGAGCTCCAGCTGAATGAGCTGACACTGGAAAGCATGCAGCACACGTGCGTTGGGGGCAGTGTTAGAAATTAGCCAGGAGCGTTTTGCTACTGACACAGGTTCCAATTGTGACTATGTGGAGATTTCTGGGCGCTAGGTTGGCAACCACAGTTTAAAAACCTCTGCCTTAGCCTATAGTTAATTCCATTTCCACTGTGTGTGTTTCTCCTTCTTGCATACTGGGATAAGTGAACTGCTGTAAGAGTAAGCTGTAGTCAAGCGATGTAGTTGAGGCAGTGCCAGATTTACTTATAAGCTGAACAAGCTATAGCTTAGGGCCCCACTCTCTTGCCCCCCCCAATATTTTAAGGGGGGGAACTGGATGTACATTTCCAAAATATAAGATAAAAAATAAATAAAATGGCTTTAGATACCTATTAGGTCCATAAATTACCATATAGCATTTATTTAACACAAAAAACAGCAACAATTTGTTGTTGACAAAGGACAGCTAGACATATAAAGGGCCCCATTACCTTCAGTAGCTTAGGGCCTCATCAAACCTAAATCTGGCCCTGAGTTGAGGGCATAGGAGGGAATACAAGGGTCATCTAGTCCAACCCCCTGGCAAATAGATATTCCGTTGTGGTGACCACAACCTAGTTTTAAGGTGCCACTTGGTGAATAGCTTACATATCTGAGTTTCCAATACTGGTTGGGGGAGTAAGGGTGGGTTTTTGCAGGCTCAGTCCTAACCACTGAGAGCAAGGGCAGTGTCCCCCACTGCTGCAGTGCCGGGGGAGAAGCTGTGCCTGTAGAAATTTTCCTTCCCTTTCTCCTGTCAAAAAGGGCGCAGGTGGTCCATCTCTGGGGAGATCCACTCCAGCCTCATGGAGCACAGATCAGGGCTCGGCACTTTGGGTGGGAGAGCAGAGGCTAATGATTTGGGCAGGTGGGGCAAAGATGGAGCTCTGGCTCAGCCAGCTTCCTTCTTTTCTGTGCTCTGGGTGTTTCTCTTGCCTTGCTGAGAGCCCAGAAGACAGAGATGTTCTGCTAAGAAGTCGGCAGAGCGTAAGACTTTTAATCTCAGGGTTGCGAGGGTTCAAGCCCCATGTTGGGCAAAAGATTCGTGCATTTCAGGCAGTTGGACTGGGTTACCCTCGTGGTCCCTTCCCACCCACCATTCGATGGTTCTATAACCTGGAGGCGAGTTGCAGCCAGGCAGAACCCTCTGCGCCATTGATCCCTGGGCTAGCTGAAGCCTCCATGCCTTTCTCCTGTTGCAGCCTCACCTCGCTGGAGGAGGAGCTGGCCAGCGCCACAGAGAGCACCCGAGGTCACCAGCAGCGCACCCAGATTCTAAAGGCTGAAATCCAGAAGGAAGAGGCAGCTGTGAGCCCTGGAGAACGGTGAGGCTGGGTGTGAGGCCAAGGCCTTGGGCACCGAGGGAAGGGGCTGGCAGGAGCTCTGCTGTGCCCTACCAGCTTCAACTGCTCCACTGTGCATGGGCGTTTCTCCCTCCCCACTTTTCTCTCCTGCAGGATCCTGCTCCTGGGAAAGCGCCAGGCCTTGCATGAAGCCCAGCACCAAAGCCACCTGGCCCAGGGCATGCAGGACAAGATTCAAGCACAGCGGGATTTGCTGTGGCACAGGCTGGACAAGCTGGGAAGCTGTGAGCCTCCGCCTGCTCCAGCCCTGCAGGAGGACAATCAATCAGTGTCGTCTGGGGTGCGTGGAGCCACTGTGGGTGCGATCACTGCGAGCCCATGGGGCGAGCTCCTTGCAGGGGCGTAGGAAGGGGGGTGCGGGGGCGCGGTCTGCCCTGGGTGTCATCCTTGAGGGGGGTGACAAAATGGCAAACCGTTGGAGTTGTCACTTACCGCGGGGCCTGGCCTACAGCACGCCCGAGCCACGCGTCTCTCTGGGAGTGACGCGGTGGCTCGGGGCCCCGCACTGCCCGAAATGGCAGCTTGTGGCTTGCATCTGCCAGGTGGACTCGGTTTTGGGTGCCGGAGCAGCTGGCTATGCTCCTGGCTCCTTGGCCTTTGGGGTTGGCAAACCTGGCAAACGTTTGACTTCTATCCCACCTTTATTCCAAGGAGCTAAAGGTGGCATGTGTTTTCCCCCCTGTTCCCATTTTATCTTCACAACAACCCTGTGAGGTAGGTTAGGCTGAGATTGAGTGACTGGCCACCCACCCAAGGAGAGAGGAGGTCTGAACTCTGGCCTCCCAGGTCCTAGCCTGATGCTCTAACCACTATGCCACACTGTCTCTAGCTTGGTTGAGCCAGTGCACAGCAGCCCACCCTGACCTTGACACTCACTCTGTGCCTTCCTTCTTGGACAGGAGGCGGAGCGTGATGGGGGTTGGATCCCGGCCTTGGAGGTCCTGAAACAGCACTTCTCGGGCATCTTCCGACCACGTCTCACAGTGAGTGCCTCCCACACCCTGATCCGCCCACCCACTTGTGTCCCTTCTCTGCCCTGCTTTCTGAATCAGCACTGCCAAGGATGTGCTGGGAGCAACTGGGAGGAGTGGGGTGAGTGGAGGGAACGTGGGTGGAGATGTTCCTCCATACGCTCTTCCTTCCTGGCCTTCTCTGCTAGAAAGGGAGCTGGCACTGTGGCTGGCTGTGCCCATTCCCCCTCTCTCCATCCGCAGCTGCCGCCCCCAGTGCCCCTCCTGCCTGAGGTGCAGAAGCCCCTGGGCCAGCAAGCCTGGTACCACGGCGCCATCCCCCGCATGGAGGTGCAGAGGCTGCTGCAGGCCAGCGGAGACTTCCTGGTGCGCGAGAGCCAAGGCAAGCAGGAGTACGTCCTCTCAGTCTTATGGGATGCACAGCCTCGTCATTTCATCCTCCAATCTGCTGATGTGAGTGTTGTAAATGGGATGGTGGTGCTGGGTGAAGTGGGCAGAGGAAACAAAGAAGCAGGCAGGCAGCCATTCTAGCCCAAATGTAGCCACTACAGTTGTGGCTCTGGTTACATGGCGCCCTTGCTAATACTTCCACCTGGAATCACAATCCTTTCTTCAGTCAATTTTTGCAGAGAACCCAGATGACAATGTGACCATCCCAAAACATTCCTATGTTTTTGGGCTTGTACTCTAGTCTTTTTTTACACTCAATTTGTGGGATTTTAAAAGAAAACTCTGGGCTTTCTCCAGGCCACTGGCCTTTTAATTAATAGCTTCCTCCCTGGCCTTTTCATTTTTAGTGGTTTCTACTTCTAATCTTGTGCCCCTTTAATTAATTCCTTCTTGTTCACTTGCCCAACCAAGACATTCCTATAATTAGTTTCTGCCAGCTGTTCCCTGTAGAATGAGACTGTAACTGCTGGTTTATTCTCTGCTGCTAGAGCAATTGCTTATCAACTTTTCTCTTAAAAAACAACAACACATTGCAACTGAACAATGAATGTGAATGAACAGGAAGAAATTAAGTCTCCTCTTGCCTGTGGTAGCTTTTAGCACAGTGGAGATTTATCAATTTATTTTTATTTCATAAAATGTATACATCGTTTGATTGTATACACCCATCAAAGTGGTTTACAAGCACAATAAAACAAAGTTATCGGTAAAAATAATTAATATTAAAAAGGTAAAATCAGCCATAAACTTAAAACAGATCAAAACATACATCAACATTCAGCATTCTACATATCTTGATAGGCTTGTCTAAACAAAAATGCTTTTAGTAGATGCTAAAGTACTATCTGATGTCAGTAGGCAGGGAGTTTCAGAGTTTAAGTGCTGCCATATTAAAAGATTGCATTGGAGATGCGAAGCAGTGGTGTTTGCCTTAGGACTGTGCCAGAACTAAGACGGCTGCTCTTTGTGGGATTTCCCCTTAGAACATGTATCGCTTGGAGGGCGAAGCTTTTCCCACCATTCCGCTGCTGATTGACCATTTCCTGAAGACCAAACAGCCCATCACCAAAAAGAGTGGTGTTGTCTTGGGAAAGCCCATCATCAAGGTACTGCTCTCTGCCTCACCCTCTGCTGCCACTAGATTGGGCCAGGCTAAGGAAGGGAGGGTTGGGCTTGCAGAGTTCCCTGACCTGTGACTAAGTGGCTGCTCTTGCTGCAGGACAAGTGGGTGTTAGACCATGAGGACGTGCTGCTTGGGGAGCGCATCGGGCAGGTGAGTGACTCCCTGGCAATGGTGGTGGCGGTGGAAGGCATGCTCTTGTTAGGCACCACCTTCAGGAGTTCCACTGTTGGACTCTTGACAAAAGCTGTGCACTGTGGAGCAGCTGACTGCCTCTCCCCCTCAGCCTTCCTTTTGTTAAATGGGAATAATCCAGGCAAGAGAGGCAGAGCAGCAGCCTGCCTTCTGGAGGCCTGGCCAGGGGCAAGCCTCCCTGCTGTCCTGTTTGCTGAAGGGAAGCAGTCCAAACCGACTCACCCTTAGAGCCATACCTTGGCTGGCTCACCACCACCACAGGGACACTTTCTTCTGTGGTCCCTGGAGACACCCAGCTGTGTAGGTTTGCTGTGCAAACTGGATTCAGAAGCACTGGACCCTGCTGACTGCACACCCAGGAAGCAGCAGGGGAGACTAGATTTTGCAATCTGTTTCTGTGGGCAAAAGGGCAGGGAGAGGAAAGTAGTGCCATCTGTCTTTCTCCAGGGCAACTTTGGAGAGGTGTTCAGTGGGCGCCTCCGCTGTGACAACACCCCGGTGGCTGTGAAGTCCTGCCGTGAAACTCTCCCGCCAGAGCTCAAGGCCCGATTCCTGCAAGAGGCCAGGTGTGTAGGGAGCAAACTCATGGGCAACTGGGACTACATTGCTAGGCTGTTCCTGAGTCTGAGCTGGACACTCTAGGGCATGTTGTGGGGGCAGGATCTTCCCTCCCAACTCTTTGGAACAAATGTAGGAAGTTGCCTCTAGCTGAGTCCACCTGGCTCAGTGCTGGCAGCAGCTCTCCAGATTCAGGTAAGGATCTTTTCCCCCAGGCCCTGCCCGGAAGTGCTGAGGATTGAACCAGGGTCCATCTGCATGCAGGGCAGGTGTCCTAATCCAAGCTGAGTGGTGCTGGTGGGAGATTCCATGGTCCTCACTACCATGGTTTCTTTGAACAGAGCCTTTTAAAGGCAGACATCCCACCTTCCTTGGGAAAAGTGGCAGAGATTTCAGTCTTCCAGAGATGGTGGGGACTGATCATTTTGCCCTGACCCCCCTTTTTCTGCTGAATCTCATGACCTGCCTGGCTGGGGGAGCTTCAAGACCAATGCATCCTCCCAGTGCTGCTGCCTTGCCACAGAGTTGCAGCATTGCCCACCCTGCCCCTGCCGTTAGCATCTTTGTACTGGGGGTAGGGTAGCGAGGACAGGTGAGGTGCTGAGGACGCCCCTTGGAATCCCTTACCTGGCTGGCACTTGGCATGCCCTCCCTTCATTGTGTCTCCTCTCACTCCCCTTGCAGGATCCTCAAGCAATACAACCACCCAAATATTGTCCGGCTCATTGGTGTCTGCACCCAGAAGCACCCCATTTACATTGTCATGGAGCTAGTTCAGGGTAAGCCCAGCATTTCATGGCTTTCCATAGCCTTCAGGCTTTCCGTTTTAAACTCCCCCAGCAGTATATAGGGTGTGTCTGTTTCCTGGGTGGAAGATTTCTGCACTGCAGCTGGGGGAGGGAGAAACATCTGCCCATTACATTTGCCATTACGAGATATATGCAAGCTTCCTGGTTTTGCAGAGGCCTCGAGAGCAGGCACTCTGTGCTGCCTTGAAGTCTAGAGGAATTTATTCACAAAGCTCCAGGTGCCCTACTTCTCTCCCTGCTGACTTCAGCAGAGCTTGGCAGCTGGATAAGTCCAGGGGCCCAATTAGTTTGGCATCCTGTTCTCACTATGGCAACCCAGATGCTGATAGGAAGCCCACAAGCAGGACTTGAGGGTCATAGCCCTCTTCCCATCCTGCAGTTTCTGGCAATTGGTATTCAGAAACATTTCCTGCCCCTGATGGTTTGTCCAGGAGGGAATCTCAACCAGGAGCTCTCAGGCTGAGCTCCAGAGCCTCTGCTCCCTATCCTGCCATGGCTCCCAGCTTCCCTGGTGTGACACTGGCCAGCTGGCTCCCAGCCCAGCATCCGTCTCTTATCTCACAGGGGGTGACTTCTTGTCTTTCCTGCGGAATGACGGAGCTCAGCTCAGAGTCAAGGACCTGCTCAAGATGATGGAGAATGCAGCAGCAGGCATGGAGTACCTCGCCAGCAAGCACTGCATCCACCGGTGGGTACCCCTGCCCCTGTCTGTGCAAAAAGGGTTTCCTTCCTTCCTTCCTCCCTCCCTTACTTCTTTCCTTCCTTCCTTCTCTGCTTTGGCAGAGACTGTGCTGTGGGATTGGTGGCACTTCCAAACCTGAAGGGTGGAGCAGGCAGGTGGAGAGGCTTTTTCCCTGGGGAAGGAGGCAGACTTCCCACCTGTGGGCTTTTCCTGTCTTTGATCAAGGAGGGAATGAGCTGCCTGCAAATCTGCTACAATGTGCACAGGCTAGTTTACATGTAAAAAACCTATCAGGTGATGTTTGGAGCTGGAGCCGGAAGTCTCTTGCCTAGGTAGCGGGAAAGAGCTGGGAGTTAAGTTCCAGGCATTGGTGTCTGGGAAACTGCCTCCCTCCCTGAAGTCTTTGGCACCAGTCAGACATTTGGATCTGCTACCCCTTGCAGGGACCTGGCGGCCCGGAACTGTCTCGTGACAGAGAAGAATGCCCTGAAGATCAGTGACTTTGGGATGTCGCGGGAGCAGGAGGACGGCATTTACGCCTCCACTGGTGGCATGAAACAGATCCCTGTGAAGTGGACAGCCCCAGAGGCACTCATTCACGGTACCCACAGCTGTGGCTCCAGGCCCACCTGCTTTAGTAGTACCCTCCAGCCTGGCTGGCAGGCAGGGGGCAGGGCCCCTTGTCCTCCAGACTCATATACGGATACCCTAATGAGCTTTTGGATCATACCAGGTCCTAGGTACAGATGTGTAGCTTGCCAGAGACAGGTATGGGTTCATGGGAACCCAGCCTGGGACCATGAATCTAGGACAGCGATGGGCAAACTTGGCCCTCCAGCTGCTTTGGGACTACAATTCCCATCATCCCTGACCACTGGTCCTTCTAGCTAGGGATTGTCGGAATCTCCGTTCGACCGAGCTGATAAAGCTCATCTTCCAGAATCGCCCTCCGACGTGATTAATGACCTGAGCCTTTCATGAGGCTCCAGGCACATTCCCATTCAGCAGAGAATCAAAGCAGCACGCTGAGGTGATGAGATTTATGGCTATATCGCTATGCTTTATTTTCTAGCTGCGCAGACAGAAAAAAATACATCCTCTCTCTGTGAGAGCAGAAAGCAACTGAACAACAAAGGAACAGGAAACCAGTAACGTCACATCCATCTCCCGTCTCCCATGAGACTTCCAACAGTATGGAATCTCTGGAATGTAAACAGGGATGATGGGAGTTGTAGTCCCAAAACAGCTGGAGGGCCAAGTCTGACCATCACTGATCTAGGAGAAGCCACCTCTCATGCCTGCTCTCTCTTCCTCCTTCCTCAGGCCGGTACTCCTCAGAGAGTGATGTTTGGAGCTTTGGGATCTTGCTCTGGGAAGCCTTCAGTCTGGGAGCCCCACCGTACCCCAACATGACCAACCAGCAGACCCGCGAGGCTGTGGAGAAGGGTGAGAGCCTAGCACAGTAGGCTAGGCAGGAGGTGGGGGGAAGCTGTGTCTCTGGTCTCCTTGGAGGGTCTGGGTTTCTACCAGCACCCTTCTTCTCTTGGCACTCACTGAAGACATGCTATGGACTGGCACCAAGCAAGATGAGTGGTAAGTATTTTTTAATAAAACGGAAGGAGGTGTGCATTGTGCCTCTCCTGCCTCTCAAAAGTCTGCTCTTTGAAGGTGAGCAAGAATGGGGGAAAGTACCGATGCACAGAAATGTTAATGGAAAAACTTTTGGCCTGCACTTAATCCACACATTGGGAGTCCCAGGAAATTGCAACCAAAACACATTATTAGCTCACCTGCCAGCTCCATCCTCCTGTGACCTGGCTGTGTCTTTTCCAATCCCAGGAATGCGTCTGAGCATCCCAGTCTTGTGCCCTGAGGTGGTGTACCAACTCATGCAGAAGTGCTGGGAATACGAGCCACAGAACCGGCCGAGCTTCAGCACCATCCACCAAGAGCTGGTTGTCATTCTGAAGAAGCAGCGGTGAGAGAACTAGCTCCAGAACCCACTGGGTGGCAGCAGGGGTGGCAACCATCTCCTGCACCAAGGCTGCACCCACTTGACCTCCTGCCGAGCCTGCAACCTTCACGCAAAACCTTTGCTCTTGGCACCCCTTTCTGGCCATGAATACCTTGCCTGCCCCCCTCCAGCGAGTCTTCCATCCAAAGTCAGCCAAATGGTCTCAGCTGCGCTGTGGCCAGTAGTTTACCCCAGTGGTTCAACCCAGTGGTTCACAAAGTGTGTGGTGCGCCACACTGGTGTGGCAGGAGAGGATGGCAAGTCTGGCAGGAAGATGCAAGGACAGTCAGATAAATTAGTACATAATTAAATTTTTGGGGATGATTTTTATGATTTTCAGGTTTATGCATTTCAATAATTTTACAGTAATTTTAACATTTCAAAACTTGACTTCCTTCCCCCTCTTTCTGCGGTTCCTTAAATGTATTTTTAATATCTTCTGCATATCCAAATTAACGTAATTTGTTCATTTATTCATCTACTTTAATGTTTTGATCTGTTTACAATTTATCTGTAAATATCCAATAAACCATTTCTATTCTTTTATAAAAAGTTTGTTATCTTGATTTCTTATTTTTCTGGTACATTTTTCCATTTCTGCATATTCTATAATTTTTATATCCATTCTTCCTTTGCTGGGACTTCTACTTAGTTCCATTTTGGGGCAAGTAACATTCTTGCCACTGTAGTAGCATACATGAATAAGTTTCTATACAGTTTAGGTAGTTCTGTCCCTATAATTCCCAAAAGAAAAGCTTCTGGTTTTTTTTTACAAATGTTATTTTAAACATCCTTTTCAATTCATTATATATCATTTCCCAGTAAGCTTTAACCTTACTACAAGACCACCATATATTATAAAAAGAACCTTGTTTCTCTTTACATTTCCAACACTTATTTGATTTAGATTTATGCATTTTACATATTTTCCCCATGAGGAGAAAGAAGCCCTGATATAAAGTAACAGGGTGGGAGGCCGAGGAAGGAAGTTGAGGAGCAAATTGCTAGAGATGGCATTTACTACTACTACTACTACTACTACTACTACTACTATACTGCTATCATTAATAGCAGCAGCAAACACTATTTTCGTGTGCAATAGTATTTGCTGCTGCTATTACTGAGAATTTAGTGAGAATGCCTCAAAAAAGGGCAGAAAATGGCAACTACAGTACAGCAGTGATGCTCTTCTGCCTTCAGAAGGCATGGATGACTGAGCAGCACCTGACCTCAGCCGTTTTAATTTAAGGCAGAAGTGGAATAGCAGGCTGCTTCTGGGATCCAAATAACGTTCTGTAGCTGACTGGACAGTCCCAAATATTGAGGGAGAGGGGTTTTAATTGCCACCGGTGCATATAGGGGGAGAGATGCTCCTCCCACACTTAATCAGGGGATCCCTTGCTGCAGTAGATATAAAGTACAGTGGTACCTCTGGTTATGTACTTAATTCGTTCCAGAGGTCCGTTCTTAACCTGAAACTGTTCTTAACCTGAAGCACCACTTTAGCTAATGGGGCCTCCCGCTGCTGCCGCACCGCCATCACACGATTTCTGTTCTCATCCTGAAGCAAAGTTCTTAACCCGAGGTATTATTTCTGGGTTAGTGGAGTCTGAGAACCTGAAGTGTATGTAACCTGAGGTACCACTGTACTGTTAAAGCAACTCTACAGTATTTGCAAAGGGAAGGGGTTAAAGTGATAGAGCTGATGCCTAGAAAGAGGGGATTATGCTGAAAACCCAGTGAATGTTGCTGCTACCACCGACTTGCCATTTCTGAAGGTGATATAGATCTTTCCAGAAATCACAGGTGGACAGGATGCTGCTGCCTTACACAGAACCCATCTAGCTCAGTATTGTCCACACTGACTGGCAATGCCTGCTGCCCTCTGCCTGGCAAAGCAGCTGCCCTTCTCCTGTGCCCAGCCCAGCGGGCTTCTCAGGAGGGCTGAGGAGGAGGAAGGGAAGAGTCATTCCGTAGTCTGACAAGCAGGATTGCCATGGGCAACTAGTCTGACACTAGAGTCAGGGGTGGGTCAGTGGTCAATGTGTTGAACTAGGAAACCCCCATTCAGCCATGAAGCTCAATGGGTAATCTTGGGCCATGCACTGCCTTTCAGCCCAACCTTCCTCACAAGATTGCTTTGGAAGGCGGGAGAACCATGCATGCCACTTTAAGATCCTTAAAGAAAAAAGGTGGGATTTAAACGCAATAAATAAATAAATAGCTACCCACCCACGCCTGGTTCTGCCTGCACGCCTCGTCCCTTCTGCACATGCGGGGTGGGGGGAAGCCACAGGGCCCCAATTCTATGGGGAGAAACCCCCAAGCAGGAGCAGGAGGGTCTTGGGAGCGGGGCATCCAGAAGACACCAGGAGGCTCCTTCGCCTCCCCGCGATCCCGCTATTTCGGACTCCGACTCCCAGCAGCCCCCGCCCGCCCAGCGGCCGCCTCCTCTTCTCTTTCTCCCTGCCTGAAACGTGATCGCCCGGCCCGCCGACGGCGCCCTTCGCCAGCTTGGAGGGAAGAGCCTCTCTATTAATAGCGAACTGTTGGCAGGCTCCGGTCTCCGTCTTGGGACTCGCCGCGGGCTTGTGTGGAAGGAGCCTGGTGGCCTCCGCGGGTGCGGGGACTGCGCGCTCTTGCTGCGCCTCCGCCATGGCCAGCCCTGCGCTGACAGGCCGGTGGCGGCGTCGGCTGCACGCCGGGGCTGCTCCGAGGCGCCTGCTCTGAACAAGACCTGCCCCGAAGTAAGCCTTCTCCCCACCCCAAGGCCAGCCCCGAGGCGGGGACGGGGCTGCGTGCGGCCCGGGGGACTCCAGCTCGGGAGGCGCAGGGCCGGGAGGGACCGAGCAGTGCCCGGCGACGATGCGCCTCCAGCTGGCCCGAGCCCCGGCCCTTCCCTCTCTCTCGGAGCGCCCGAGCAACCTGCGGCGCTGCCCGCTCGGGCACAGGCGAGGAAAAGCGGGTCGTGCAGCTCCCGAGCCGCTGTGAGCGCCCCACCGCCCGGGCCCGGCTCCGCGGCTCCTCCTCTTTTTCCAGGCCCGGCAGCTGCTAAGAATATCGCGGCCGCTGCGGCCGGCGCTTGCTCGGCCTGCGGGAGCCGCGCCTGCTGCAGGCAGCGCTCGGGCGCCGAGGGAGAGGCCGCGGCTTCCCCTCCAGCAACAGGCCAGGTGAGTGGGCGCCGGTGCCTTCCCAGCTGGACAGCGCAGGCCTGGCGGCTTCGGCTTCTAGCGCCTCTGGGTTCCCTCCTCGGCTGGTGGGGCAGCGAGCTGAAAGGCCCGGCGGCCCCACCAAGTCCTGCTGTGGAGGAGCAGGGGCTGGGCAATGCCAGGCAGGCTTCTTTGCCGGGGCAAGGCCTCCCCTGGTACAGGGGAGATCTCGAGGGAGATGGGGGTCCTTGGCCTGGTGGGGTGGGAGGGGGCTGCGCTGTTGCAAAAGGGAGCCCAAAGGGGGAGGTGGGGGCTCAGAGTGCCCAGAGAATGTCCCTGCCTGGACTGATGCCTACACCTGTCCTGTCCTGGCTCCGTTGCAGATGTTCCCTCTGGCACCCCCGGGATGAAGCTGAAGAAGCAGGTGACGGTGTGTGGGGCAGCCATCTTCTGCGTGGCTGTCTTCTCCCTCTATCTGATGCTGGACAGGGTCCAGCATGATCCTGCTCGGCACCAGAATGGGGGCAATTTCCCTAGGGTAAGTGCGTTGCGGGCAAGACCTTCCTCCACCTGCTGCTTTGCCCTCTTTGTGCCCTTTGCAGAGACACAGGAGCCACTGCCAAGGGGTTCCAAGAGTGACTTGGTGGGTTGGGGTCCCTGACTGTCTCCACAGCAGTGGCTCAATCTCTTGTCCGAAGCGGCAGGGTCAGAGAAGAGCGGCAGCCCCCCCGCCACACTCTAAAGAGCTCTCCCCCAGTCCTAGTCCCTTGGCTGCACTTGCACAACTGCTGGCAAGAGTGGGAAGGGGGCTGTGCCACGCTGGACGTCCCTTTTTGCTCAGCCGGGCAGTGTTTGGCAAAGGGAGGCAAGGAAGAAGGCGGGCAGGCTTGAGTGTTGGCAGGCTGCTCACAACTTCCTCCTACTTGTGCCACCTCTTCTGCTCCTCGTCCTCTCCCCCGCCCCCGCACAGAGCCAGATTTCGGTGTTGCAGAACCGGATTGAACAGCTGGAGCAGCTCCTGGAGGAGAACCACGAAATCATCAGCCACATCAAGGACTCCGTCCTGGAGCTGACAGCCAATGCGGAGGGCCAGCCGGTGGTGCTGCCTTTCCACATGCCCAATGGCTCCTGGGTCCTGCCTCCCGAGAGCCGGCCCAGCTTCTACTCCATCTCCGCTCAGGATTGTCAGTTTGCACTGAAGAGCAACAGCCAGAAGGAAGACCTGCAGGTCAGTTGGGTGGGGTGGGGGTTGGGGGACAGGACTGTATAAATGGTTCTGCCTGGAAAAGTTGGAGGGGGAAAGAGGAGTGAAGAGCATGAGAAGCACCTAGTTGCTGCTGGATCAGCCCAAAGGGGGCCCCATCCAGCCAAGCACCCTGTTCTCGCAGTGTCCTCCAGATGCCTCAGATACCTCTGGGGCTGAAGCTGAGCACAAGAGCACTCTCTCCCCTCCTGCCATTTCCAGCAACTGGTGTTATTTGGTGGAGGGAGAGGGAGAACACAGCACTTGTGATTGGAAGCAGGACCCCAGTGCCTTTGGTGTTCACATGACAGCACAGTGGTTCCCAAAATTATGCTACCCTAAACTCCTTCCCAGTGACATCTCTATGAAAAGGAGTATTCAGAACCGTAGTTTTCACAACACATTAAGGAAGATAATCAATGCTTTTTCTGGGGGGAACGCAGGGGTATGCATACCCCTAAACATTTTGTGAATCTAAGTTTGGCCTCATTGAGGGGCAGTATTTCAATATGAGTAGGAAAATAAGTGTACCCCTAAATATTATTTTTTTAGAAAAAAAGCGCTGAAGATAATAATACAGATAAATTCAGGACAGTAACAATTAATTGCATGTTTATTCAAAATCCAATTAAAACTATTAATTCAACAAAATGGATGAACTTGATCCATTGAGCTTTTCAAAGTATGATAGTCATTTACACCTCCAGTGACCCATCTTGTCCTGCATCTGTTTCTCACGGTAGCTACCTAGATGCCCTGGCGGGAAGCCCACAAACAAGACCCAGGGCCTCCTAAGGCAAGGGGAGTAGCTGGTGCCCTGAGCTGCGAGGCTGCTAAGGGCAGATTGGCTTGGGGTGGCTGGAAAGGAGACTCTTCCATTGCTATGCCTTGGTTTGACTCTCTTGTCCTTTCCCAGATGTTGGCTGTGTCTGCGTTGCTCCCCTATGACAACCAGGATGGTGGGGTGTGGAAGCAAGGCTTCGATATCACTTATGAGCCACACGAATGGGACGCCGAACCACTGCAAGTTTTTGTGGTGCCACATTCCCACAATGACCCAGGTAAGCAAGCTGGGCCGTGACAGACATCATTCCCCCATTGCTTGGTGAGAGGCTCATTTGTAGCCAGGAGCATCTGCAGGGAAGGCAGGGGGTTCAGTTGCAACCTCCTCACCCCAGTGAGCCACAATCCCCAGAGTCTCTAGCACTTGTAGAACCCAAGATAGGAAGCAAAATGTGTGTATAGGTGGAGGTACGTTGCCCTTCTTCCAATCTGGTGGCCGTTGGCTGTGCCATCAAGGGGTTGATGGGAGTTGTAGTCCAGAGTCCCTGAAGGGCAATTTGTTGAGGAAGGCTGCTCAAAACAGGCCTGCAGTGATGTTCCCTTTTCTGCTTCCCCAAGGCTGGATCAAGACATTTGACAAGTATTACTTCGACCAGACGCAGCACATCCTCAACAGCATGGTGGTGAAGCTGCAGGAGGATCCTCGACGACGCTTCATCTGGTCCGAAATCTCCTTCTTCTCTAAATGGTGGGACAACATCAGCGCCCAGAAACAGGCTGCTGTCCGCAGGTAACAAGAGGGGAGGAAGGGGTTAACTCTCATCATTTCCCCTGCTCTTAGGATGGTTGGTAGGAAGATGTTTAGGACAATATTTCTTTCATTTTTTAAAAAAGGCATTTATATTCCACCTTTCCTCCAAAGAGCTCAAGGTGTGGCGTACACAGTTCTTGTATTCTTATCTTGTATTTTTATGTTGTGAACCACCCTGACATCCACGGACAAAGGGGGCTATAAAAATTTAATAAATAATAATAATAACAACATAAATGTTTATGGAAAGAACATACTTCATGCAAATGAGAAGTCCTGCTGAAGTAAGTTTTTTTAAAAAAAAGAAGATAATTTTTATTAAAGATTTTCCCCATTTACAAAAGTACGTGCATTGTCTCTTTTTTCACGTTGTAAAGTCTTTTCTACAGATCAGTTACATTTGATATGAGATATTAGTGTTGTATTCTGAAGTAGGCTTTGTATTCATGTGGCAGACTTCATTGATTGCCTCCTCTGTGGGAAGGTCCACTCTTGGGCTGCTGCTGCTGCTGCTGGTGGTGGTAGTTGCCTCTAACCTTGACCTCTCCTTCACAGGCTTGTGGGCAATGGGCAGCTAGAAATGGCAACTGGCGGGTGGGTGATGCCAGATGAAGCCAATTCCCACTACTTTGCCATGATCGACCAGCTCATTGAGGGTCACCAGTGGCTGGAGAAGAACATTGGTGAGTGCTGTGCGCAGACTGGGCCAAGTTTGGGGAGCGGGTGGTGGGGTGGCACCAGCCACATTTGTGCTGACAGCCAGAGCTTGAGCCAGGCAGAAGCGCTGAGAGTGGTGGGAGGTATAGAATGGAGAGAAGCACCATGGAGGTCTGCAGACTGGATGGGGATAGTGAACCCCTCTGCTGTGTGTAGTTCTGCAGAGCTTCTGTTGCTTTGCCAGACCCAAAGGATAGAAGATACAAGGCATGCCACATTATAACTTGGGTCTGCATAGGAGCATTCAAGCCTCCTGTTTCACATGGCTCTTCAGAATCTCGAGTGTGTTTGAAGTGGGGCAGGTTACAACGACTGAAACACAGGCCCTTGCCTTTTCTGCTGCTGACGCCTGTCTTTTCTCCTTGCTCTTCAGGGGTGACGCCGCGCTCTGGCTGGGCAGTGGACCCCTTTGGCCACAGCTCCACCATGCCTTACCTGCTGCGTCGTGCCAATCTGACCAGCATGCTCATCCAGCGGGTCCACTACGCCATCAAGAAACATTTTGCAGCAACCCAGAATCTGGAGTTCATGTGGCGGCAGAGTTGGGGTGAGGGGTGTGTGAGTGGAGGCCCCTGGATTGTTTATGCCCCAACTTGCCTTTTAGGCTCTGCAGAGTCTTGCCTGCAAACCCCTCACAGCCTGGCAGCTGGAGCAGCTGGCTGCCAGTGTCCTCCACCCCCTTTAGAGGCCAATGCGTCCTTTGTCCCTCGTCCCCCACAGTTGGGGCTTCCTCCCACTGCAGTCAGCACTGGCCACCGGGAGTCATTTGCTCCACACACACCTTCTGTGGGGCTCTGGACTCCTCCCTTGCCTGGTGTGTGCTGTTGTGGGTTGCTGGTGTGTCTGCATTGCGGGTGGCAGGCGAAAGTTCTTCCTGACAGTTCCTGAGTCTCCGTTTGCCCGGGGCCTTTCCTGAGCAGCACAGAGTGACCCTGGCATTGACCCCCTCAGATCCTGACTCCAGCACCGATATCCTGTGCCACATGATGCCCTTCTACAGTTACGACGTGCCCCACACCTGCGGTCCCGACCCCAAGATCTGCTGCCAGTTTGACTTCAAACGTTTGCCAGGGGGCCGCATCAACTGCCCCTGGAAAGTGCCCCCCAAGGCCATCACCAGTGCCAATGTGGCTGAGCGGTGAGTGGCTTCTCATGATCACCCTTGGCTCCTTGGGGTGGTGGGCCTGCCCCCTTCCTTCCAAGCCCGCTCACACGCTTGCTTCTTCCATCGACCACCTGCCCTCTGCTCTCCTAGCTGGGTTCTGTGCCTCCAGGAATGATGCAGCCCCCACAGAGCCCAGAGTGCTTGGGGACCGTTTGACCAACTGCCTCCTCCTCCTCCTGATTCCAGCATCTCCTAAGAAGAACCTGGCTGCTGGGACAGGCCCATCTAGTCCTTCATCTTGTTCCCACAGTGGCCAACCAGGTGCTCTATGAAAGCCTCCAAGCAGGGCCAGAGCGCAACAGCATTCTCCCCACTTGTGCTTTCTAGCAGCTAGTATTTAGAGGCAGAACATAGTCATTGTGACCAGCACCCATTGATAGACCCTTCTCCCCTGTTGAGTTTCTCCGACCCTCTTTTAGAGCCATCCAAGTTGGTGGCCACATGTGGCAGCATGAAGATCAGACCATGTCAGCCAGGCTTACAGGCATGTCCTGGTCCTGGTTGTTGACCACCCGTCCTCTCTGCAGGGCACAGCTCCTGCTTGACCAGTACCGCAAGAAGTCCAAGCTGTACCGCAGCAAAGTGCTCCTGGTGCCGCTGGGGGACGACTTCCGCTACGACAAGCCCCAGGAGTGGGATGCCCAGTTCCTCAACTATCAGCGCCTCTTTGACTTCCTCAACGCCCACCCGGATCTCCATGTGCAGGTACAGCCACCTTGGCTCGAGTGGGGTGCTTCCTGGGAAAGGGTGGGGTGGTTTGCCCCCTTGGGAGAAAGAGGGGGCTGCTGCTGAGTGCCCCACTCCAGATCCTTGGGGCGGAGTCTTCTTCTGGGGCTCTGGGGGGCAGTTTCTTCTCCTGTCATGCATGGGGCCTCCCCACCATCCCAAGGTACTGGGTGTCTCCCCCCCCCCCAAGGTTTCTGATGCAGTTTCAGCTTATGCCTCCCCCACAGGCACAGTTTGGGACCCTCTCGGATTACTTTGACGCCTTGTACAAGCAAGTGGGCATCGTCCCTGGAATGCGCCCACCCGGCTTCCCTGTGGTCAGCGGGGACTTCTTCTCCTACGCGGACCGAGAGGACCACTACTGGACCGGCTACTACACTTCCCGGCCCTTCTACAAGAGCATGGGCAGGGTGCTGGAGGCACATCTCCGGTGAGGGGTCTGGGGGGGTGGTGGAGGGAGGGAGGAGCCTCCCTGCCTGGCATCTTCTCCTGGGAGAACAAAGTTTACTCACAGCCTCTTTCTCCCCCCGCCCCATCTTTGCCCCCAGCGGTGCCGAGATCTTGTACAGCCTGGCTCTCAGCCATGCCCGCCATGCCGGCATGGACAGCAAGTACCCGCTCTCAGACTACGCCATGCTGACGGATGCACGGCGCAACCTGGGCCTCTTCCAGCACCATGATGCCATCACTGGCACTGCCAAGGAGGCAGTGGTAGTGGACTATGGGGTCAGGTGTGTGTAAGGCCTGGCCTGCGTTGGTAAGGCCTGGCATGGGTTCCCTGCAACCAAGGTGTGGCAGTGGGGCTCTGTGCCCCATGGCCTCATGGTCATCTTTCTCTCCCCCCATCCTCTTCTAGGCTGCTCCACTCATTAATGAACCTCAAGCGGGTCATCATCAACGCTGCCCATTACCTGGTCTTGGCAGATAAGGAGGCCTACCATTACGACCTGGCGGTGCCCTTCCTTGGCGCAGTGAGTCACAGCTCACCCCCTGCTCCTCTGTGCCCCGAGGGAGCGATCTAGAAGATATGGGGTGGGGAGGCCTGGCTCTGCTGCCCCCAGGGAGAGGGGACCATGGCAAGGGGGCTGCAGCTCATGAGCTGGCCCCAGCCAGGTCCTACCCTGTGCTTCTAGCCTGACCCATTCTCTCTTCCAGGATGAGGCCCGTCTCAATCAAGACTCCCTGCCAGAGAAAACCATCATCAAGCTTGATGCAACACCCAGGTGGGTGAGTGGGGCGGGGGCGGGGGGCTGCCCTTGAGAAAAGAGGTGGGGAGCAGGCAGGAGACACAGCAGGGAAGCGGGTCTTCTGGGCCCTGGGCTGGGACATCATGGGGTTATGGACTTGAGCCTGGGAGGGACGGACCAAACTGGCCAGTCTTGCAACCTCCCTGTTCTCTGTTGCAGGTTCGTGGTAGTGTTTAACCCCCTGGAGCAGGAGCGGCTGAGCATTGTGTCCCTGCTGGTGAACACGCCTCGTATCCGGGTCCTCAACGAGGAGGGGCAGCCCCTAGCGGTGCAGCTCAGTGCCCAGTGGACCTCTGCCACAGACATGGCACCCGATGTCTACCAGGTAGAGCCTGGAGGGAAGGCAGGCGGAAGTGGGGACAACAGTGTTCAGCCACCTGGGGCTTGGGAGCAACATAGCTTGATAATCTTCTAGATGCCACCAGACTCTTCGTTGTCGGAGGTGGAAATTGGCTGGAGAAGGTGCCCAGGTGCCCTTCCATGCTGACGGGCTCCCATCTTCCCATTGGGCTGCTCCTGTGAGTTTACCATTGGGGCGCACTAAGGCTTACCAGCATGCCTCTTCTCCAAGGATTTGTACAGAGAATTCTGCTGCTCACCTGGTGGCTGCTGGGCCCCTTGTAGTGCATTGAATGTGTGTGCTTGGGGGGAGCAATGGGAACTGCTGCTGCCCTTGCCTGTGCTTCGTTTGACAGGTGTCCATCAACATGCGCCTGCCGGCCCTGGGCCTCAGCATCCTGCAGCTGAGCAAGTCCTTTGACAGCCACAACACGCTGAAGTCCTCGGTGCGCCTCTTCCTGCACGGGCGCGACCTCCCCGTGCACAAGCACGAGGCCTTCCCGGTGCGGGTCATTCCTACAGCCACGGAGGACTTTTGCCTGGAGAACCAGCACATGCGAGCCTGCTTCTCTGGGGGCAGCGGTTCCCTCAAGGTGAGGGCGGGCCCACCAGGTGGGCAGGTGCGGCTTAGCTTGACGGCCAAGGGGAAGGCCCCTTGTGGATCCCTGTGCTCACCAGGACTCCACTTGTTCCCTGGCAGAGTGTGCACCAGGCAGGCGACGCCCAGGAGCAGAAGCTGAGCAGACAGTTCCTCATCTATGGGACCCGGAGCACCAAAGACAAAAGCGGTGCCTACCTGTTCCTGCCTGACGGAGAAGCCAAGGTCTGGGCAGGGCTAGCCCCCGTGGGAGCTGGGGTTGGTAGGACATCTCCCGGGTAGGTGGGCTGGTTGGGGGGAAATGATTCCCAGCTTAGACCAGGTGTTGGTGTCTCACTTTCTGTGGCTGGCATTATTATCGTCCTGGTTGGCACAGGAGACAGCCCACTTCCTCTCTTTTGGACTATAAACGCAGTTCAAGACAAAATAGCCAGGCCACACATTTTGAACCACAGTTCCCATCAGCCCCAGCCAGCACTTCCATATGGTACCCTGTGGCTAATGAGAGATGTAGTTCAGAACATCTGGAGGGCACCAGGTTAGGGCAGGCTGGACTCCTGTCTTTAAGGGAGGTGGAGTCCTCCATGCCAGTAATTCTGCCCCTGAAAATCTCCCAAGTAGACCAATGTTCCTCACTGTCTGCTTCATTCTTGGGCTTCCAGGCAACCTGTGTCATGTTTGGTAAAAGAGCATCTTTAGTAAGAAAAGGGAGGTAAGAAAAGGCAGGTTAGAAATGGTGGGAAATGAAATCCAGACCCTCTCCCTGGTAAGAACACCTGCCTGTTCTGGTTAGTTAGTTAGTTAGTTATTTAGAATGTTAAAGGGACCCCTGACCATTAAGTCCAGGCGAACGACTCTGGGGTTGTGGCGCTCATCTCGCTTTACTGACCGAGGGAGCCAGCGTTTGTCTGCAGTTTTTCCAGGTCATGTGGCCAGCATGACTAAGCCGCTTCTGGCGAACCAGAGCAGCGCACGGAAACACTGTTTACCTTCCCGCCGGAGCGGTACCTATTTATCTACTTGCACTTGATGTGCTTTTGAACTGCTAGGTTGGCAGGAGCAGGGACTGAGCAATGGGAGCTCACCCCGTTGCAGGGATTCGAACCGCCAACCTTCTGATAGGCAAGCCCTAGGCTCTATGGTTTAGACCACAGTGCCACCATGCTGCTATTTCATTAAAAAAATCAAAATCAAAGTGGCTTTCAACAAAAATACATAATACCATACAGTGAAAGCAGAGCAAAAGTTAAAAACAGACAATCAGATAATCATTGTGGGAGGAATTGCTCTGAATTGCTTACATAGGCCTGGCAGAATTAAAAAAAATAATAATCAGCAGGTGTTTAAACAGTTTGCTTGGGAGGCATCTGCTGAATCTCTAGTGGCAGAGAGTTCCTTGATGTTCCTCTCCCTTGCAGCCCTATGTCCCCAAGGACCCCCCTGTGGTGCGGGTGACGGAGGGACCCTTTTTCTCAGAGGTGGCCGTTTACTACCAGCACATCCAGGAGGTGGTCCGGCTGTACAACGTGGCAGGTATGGGGCTTTGGGGACTGGGAGAGAGCAGCAGTGGAGAGCTTGTCCCATCCCTGCCTTAGGGGCGATGCATCCTGTTTTGCCGCCTGAAGCGACAAGGGAAGGTGCCACCCCATCCCACTGTGCTGCCCCCGCCAAAGCCTCCCTTACCAGGGTGGCAGCCATAAAGTAGCAACAACAATGGCAGAAGCCACTGCCAGCGCCACTTCTCCGCCAACGACAGTGGTGGTGGGGCAGCTGCGGATCCCATGGGGGCACCTCCTCTTGGACTTCGGTCACCCAAGGCGGCTGCCTCCACCTGCCTCATGGGCAGGCAGGCAAGCCCTGCTTCCCATCATTGCTTGATTTGAGCTCCTCCCTGCAGGGGTCGACGGCCTGTCCCTAGAGATCTCCTGCCTGGTGGACATCCGAGACCACATCAACAAGGAGCTGGCCCTGCGATTTAGCACAGATATTGAGAGCAAAGGCACTTTCTTCACTGACCTGAACGGCTTTCAGGTAATGGGCAGGGAGGGAGGCTGAAAACACACACACACCCTGCCGCCCTTGCGAAGAGGCTGGAGAGGGACTGCCTGCCCCCTTGGCTTCTCAGCACTCTCCTCTCCTGGCAGATCCAGCCCCGCCAGTACCTGAAGAAGCTGCCTCTCCAGGCCAACTTCTACCCCATGCCGGTCATGGCCTACATCCAAGATGCGCGGAGCCGTCTGACGCTGCACACGGCCCAAGCCTTGGGCGTCTCCAGCCTCAGCAGTGGTTAGTGGATTGGGACAGTGGGCAAAGCTGTCTCTCCTGGGGTGGCTGCAGACAGGAAGCACCAGGCCTGGGACTTCTCCTTCTCCCAAGACACTAGGATGCAGACATCCTGTGAAGCTGAAAGCTGGATGATGCAGAACAGAGGAAAGAAAGTCCTTCTTCCTGCAAGGCAGATTCAACTGTGAAACTCGCTCCCACAGGAGGCAGGGATGGCCACCAACCTAGATGGCTTTAAAAGATGGTTGGAGAAATTCATGGAAGAGAGGGCTATTGATGGCTACTAGTAGACAGGTTGGCTGTGCTCTGCCTCCACAATTGGAGGCAGCAATGCTTCCGAATCGCAGTTGCTGGAGACTACAGGAGGGGAGAAAGTCCCCTTGTGCTCGGATCATGCTTGCAGGCTTCCCACAGAGGCATCTGACTGGCCACTGTGAGAACAGCATGCTGGACTAGATGGGCTGCGGGCCTGATTGAGCAGACTCTTAAGTTCTTCTGATGTCTAGGCATAGTAGGGTCTTCTGGGACTGAGCCAGAAGCCTGAGTGGGGAGGAGGAGCAGTTTGTGGGATGGGAGGTCAGCCGCAGGGGGTCTGTGTTGGGGCTTCAGCAGCTGCTGCTGTGCTGGCAGGATCCCCCTGTGTGTCAGAAGTGGGCCACCTGTCTAGGTTGGAGCTCCTCTTACTTCCCCCCTTTTCCTTCCTCTCTCTTCCCCGGCTCAACTTCCAGGCCAGCTGGAGGTGATTCTGGACCGGCGCCTCATGCAGGATGACAACCGTGGCCTCGGGCAAGGCCTGAAGGACAACAAGCGGACCTGCAACCGCTTCCGCCTCCTCCTGGAGCGACACAGCGCGGCAAGCAAGGTACAAGGACTGGGTGCTCAGCACCCCTTGCATCTGGCCACTCTGCCCAGGCACCTGAATCTCCCTTGCTAGTTGGCTGGGGTTTTTCAGAGTGCCAACAAACGTGTGCAGAGTTTGATGCAGGCTTCTCTGATATGTTCAGAAGGACACGAAATCTGAGGCTCCTTTGGGGCCCAGGCCAGCCCTACAGCTCAAGAGTGGGACTGGGCTGCTTCTGCTTGCCAATCTCCTGGGCACCAGCACCTCTTGCAAGCACCCCTAAGGAAAGATTTTCCTTTGTGTTTGGGAAGCCACAGCAGTTCCCACACAGATGATCCCATAGCTGGGAGTTCATCTTGCATGATAAAAGTCTTATGTTCTACCACCCGTCCCAGGCTGATGGAACCTTGAGCTAGCTCAAAAGCCCCACATTTGCCCTATTGCACAAATTATTCCTCTGTGCCAGGATGTTCAGCATATTGCCTTTTCCCTCGCTCTTCCTTGGAACTCCTGCCTGCAACACACTGCAGAGCACCCATTTGTTCATTCCAGCAGCGCTTTAGTCAGATCAAACAGGTTAGACACAAAACGCTTCCAATCTTTGTCTGCTGTGTTTGGGAAGAGAAAGGAGAAAGTCTCTTCATCCTGGGGACAGGATTCCTTTGTTGTGTTTCAGCCAAAAGGCTCCCAAGAATAAACAGATGCATGCAAGTACAAAATAATGCTGGATGATACAGATTCAAAACATTCCAACAGTGTTTACAATAGTGATTTTGGCTCTCAGAGGGTAAACTGCAGGGTCTCCTTCAGAACAATTGCAGTAGAGACGTAAAGGTGGTTCTATCCATCAGCCGCTGGTGAAAAGGTAGAAGACTGAGTGTGGAGAGAGTGGTGTAGTCAGTCTCTCCTAGGGAGAAGCATGAATGCCCCCAGAGATCAGCCATGGGTTGTGTGAAATGGAGCAGCCGAAGAAGGTTGCTGAGCAGTGAGGGGAAGAAACACCATTCAGAGTCAGCAGAAGGAAGTCCCTGGCAGGCTAGCTTCAAAACAAGGGAAGTGGGAAGCACACTGTTTCCTTGAGTAGCATGTAAAAGAGAGGGGTTTTGGGGGGGGAACCTGCCCCCCACATGTGCCAGGAGCTCCTCCATCCCAGGTGAGACGGCCTGTTCCTGGCCTCCTTGCTCTGCAAGGGCTGTGCACCTTCGGATCATGTTGTAACATGGCTGTTCTCACCGCCCCTCTCCCTGCCCCCATTTCCACCCAGAGCTCCAGCTTCTTTTCCAAACTGGCCTCCATGCTTAGAGACTTGGTCTTTCCCATCCACAAGGCCAACAGCCAAGAGGTAAAACCCGGCCCTGTCTGGTGTGCTAGCTGGTGGTAACGTAGCTGCTGGGCCCACCTCTGTGCCAGTGTGTGCGTGGTAGCCTGGCTTCTAGCTCAGTGGCCATCATAGCTTAGAAGGCGGGAGGGCGGGCTTCCTGTGGGTGACCTCCTGGCCCCCAGAGCATCTTTGGCCCCTGGGGGTGGGACACACACCTGCCTGTCATTGCTGGGCTTTCCTTCCTTCCCAGGCGGAAGCTGGCCAGGCAACGAGTTTCCCATCTCTGCTCAGCCACCTGACCTCCATGCAGCTGAATGCTGAGGTGCTGGTGATGCCTGTTGCCCAGGAGAAGCCACCGCCCCCCACCCTGAGGCCCTTCCTGCCCCTCTCGGGCCCCCTGCCTTGTGACTTCCATCTTCTCAACCTGCGCACCCTGCAAGGAGAGGTGAGTTGCCCCCTGGGTGGGAGGGCGCTGATGGGGATCAATCACAGCTTTCTAGAAGCGTAATAATAATAATAATAATAATAATAATAATAATAAATATACCACTCCCATCTGGCTGGGTTGTCCCAGCCACTCTGGGTGGCTTCCTTAACATAATAAAACATCAAACATTAAAAACCTCCCAATGCAGGGCTGCCTTCTTAAAGTTTTCAGTGTCTTCTAAAAGTTGTATAGATATTTATCTTCCTGACATCTGATGGGAGGGCGTTCCACAGGGCAGGTGCCACTATCAAAAAGACCCAGGTATACTGGGCTGAGGCCATTTAGGGCATTAAAGGTCAGCACCAACACTTTGAATCGTGCTCAGAAATGTACCAGGAGCCAGTTGGAAGGGACAAAAAAGAGTCATTTGCCCAGTGTGGGAATCACAGCTCACCCTGACCCAGCCTCTGCCTGTTTCTCCCCTGCACTGGGCCCTGCTTTCTCTCCCCACCCCTTCTATGACCAACACCCATGCCTTTCTCTCCAGGACGATTCACTGCCCTCCACTGAGACGGCTCTGATCCTGCACCGAAAGGGCTTTGACTGTGGCCTGGAGGCCAGGAACTTGGGATTCAACTGCACCACCACCCATGGCACAGTAAGTGGAGAGATGCCATGATGCCTCTGAGGGAGAGAGGGGCAGGAATGGGCAACCCATGGGAGAGCAAGAGCTCTGGTGCTGTGGGGAGGGTGGAAGGATGGGTTCCTTGGGCTACTGCAAGAGGCAGCCAACGGTGCTGGGTTTTGCTGTCTTGGAGCTTTGCTTTCTTGACTGAATGGTAGGCTGCTTCCCTCTGGCATGCATGGACTGGAGTCTGCTTTTGCGCTGACCCCCCTCTCTTAACCTCTTGTGTCCTCACTAGCTATCCCTGGGCGGCCTCTTCCAGGGCCTTGAACTGGCCTCCCTGCAGCCCTCCTCCTTGACGCTTATGTACCCGCTGGCCACGACCTCCCCCAACAGCACCTCTGTCCACCTGGACCCCATGGAGATTGCCACTTTCCGCCTCCGTCTCGGATAAGACGTCTCGCTGGCCCAGACTGGATTTCATTGGCAAGTCAGGCATTGGACTGGACGTTAGCACTTCCCCCACTGGTATCCAGGGCAGACAGGATGTGGCCCAGCACCAGGAGGCTGCCAGGATCCAGAGACTCATTATTTATTTTTCTGCTCCTAAAAGACAGTATGGCACCAAAGGCCCGGCCAGACCAGGCTGGCCTGGCATGGTGACGCCTCCTGAGCAAAGACTCCACAACACCCCTTGCAGTTGGGTGCCAGATGCTGGAGGTGACTGGCTGTGCTGTCAGGATGGGATGCTGTGGCAACAGGTGCAGCAGCAAAGATCTTGGCTCAGTCCCGCCCTCTCAGCTTTCAGGAAAGGAGATCTCTACGTTCTCACCCTGGAGGCTCCGTTTCACAGCTCCTTCAAGAGGGAGGCAGACTTGATGTAGCAAACACTGGAAGGATGTTACAACTTGTGAGCTTCCTGGAGTTCAGAACAAGTTTTTAGGAAACAAAAACAAAATAAAATGTTTTTTAAAGTGTTTGGCTCTCGAGTTGTTGTGCTTTGGGCCTGGCTTCTCGTGGTCCATATCTCAGGAAGGGAACGTGGGGGCGGGGGTAGTTCTGTGTGGGTGTGCACAATCCTCTAGATCTGCAAAGCCAGAGCCGAAAGGTCATGGAGGACGTGTGACCAGAGGGAGCCACTTGACCCCTCTCAAATCCTTGAGACTTGCCCCTTCTCTATGGGCATAGCCGGGGGGGGGCAGGGAAGGACAGCTGCCCCCCAATCAATACAATTCAATAAAAATACATAGCAAAGGTTCTGCCCCCCCCAAAAAAATTCTGGCTATGCCCCTGCCCCTCTCCCTGCTTAATTTCCAAAATGAAAAGTGCATGAGTACCATTGCCTTATCAGAAAGACCTTCTCCTTGAGTCTCAATCTCCCTGCTGTGACTGGATCCAGAGCAACTTTGGATGGCAATTTCCCTTCCCACCTCCCGATTCAAGTTTGCAGTGGAAGGATTCAGAATGCAGAGGCATGCTGGACACTTGATGCTTTTTCCAGGGCAAAATGCTACTGTTACCACAGCCCAGAACAGCCATTTCAAACTGGATGGGGAAGGGGAACGCCCTCTGCTTCTTTTTGCTCCCCTTCTCTCTGTCCCAAGAAAATGATGGCCAGGTGGGGGTAGGGATTGGGGGGTGGGATGGGAGAACAAGCAAGACAGTGACAGAGCGTGTCTACTGCTGCCTGTAAAGCCAGGTGGTTTAAAATCTCTCTCGGGTGGTTTTTAACAATTTGTCAAGCAGGTGCCGGCATTCCCACTTTACAGGTGGGAAAACTTTCCATACTGCGATTTGCCCAAGCCATTACGCCCAGTGTGGGGGTTCAGCACTGCCACTCCCTTCCCGCCTCTAGCCATTATGGCTCAATATGAGGGAATCCCAAATGACACCCTGTAACCCCAAGCAGTGCATGGGATGTTATTTATTATTATTATTATTAATCAAATTTATATATTGCTCCATACCTGGAGGTTTCAGGGCAGTTCACTTGAGTAACTGGCTAATTACTCCAACAAAGGTTAGGTTTATTTGGGGTTACGGGAGAGAGGTGTGGGAAGGATATCCCCCTGGCCACTTTCCTTCCCCCCAGGTACAGCTGTTAAGGAGGGCCTCACTCTGGCTGCAGGCACAGAGGGCACCTGCCAAGACTGCAGCCCTTGCTGGGGATCTCAGGCACCAGTTCCCTCCCCTCTTGGCAGCGCCTGCCTCTAGGGCACCTCTGGTTGTCATGGGGACCAGCATCACCAAAGCTCAGGCAACTCCCCAGGAAGGGACAGAGGCAGCGCCCGAGAGCGGCTCTCTCTGTCCAGCGGGCACGCTGGTCACTGCAGAGCCACGTTCCACCTGCAGCACTGATCCAGAACCATGAAAAGTCTTCCTGGGCATGCTTTCAACAAGCTGGATGGTCTCTAGTGGTTCCTGGATGGTTGCTTCTTGCTGCACAACGGGACAGTGGATAGAACACCTGCACTGACACCAGGATAGGAACCAGAAAAGGCGGCTTCCCTTTGTGAGGGGAAGCGATCCGTGAATCATGGGGCAGGCACCAAGGCAGCCAGAACAAGATTATACCTGGGTTTGTAGAGACTCTGGCCAGGAGGAGAGCAAACTGATGTGGACATCAGCTGCGGAGAGGCTTGGGCTGTGATAGGTAGGCTGGTTCCATGTGCTGCGGCTGCTTTTTGATGGTTGAGAGGGGAATGGCACCTCTGAGCTCAGGCATTGTGGGGTGGGTGGCAGCCACTGGAGGATGGGTGAAGGAGCAAGAGGTCACATGTGTTGTTTCCCAGGCCCTGTGCAGGTTCTCAACTGGGGATCAGGAGGGGTGGCAGGGCAAAGGTAGGGCTTCCTAGGTTGACTGGAGCACCTGTCAAGCAGCCAGTCTCTCATTGCAAGGAGCAGTGCCTGGCAAGCTAGCAGCTTCTTGGCCTCAAGCCTGCCTCCCCTGCCCCACAGTCAGTAGACAGGCAAGAGGACTCCTCTCTCCTTGCAAATGTGCTCAAAAGGTGACAGACACCGCACCCATCCCATCCCATGCTTTATTCCCTAAACTCCTAGTATAAACAGAAGGCAGGAGCTCTCTCAGTGAAGAGCCAATCCTGCAGGAAGTGTGGAGGGGCATCCCTTACGAAAAATCATGCTGGGAGCCCTGAGGGGTTAGGCCACTGGCAGGAAAAGCAGTAAGGGAGTTCTCAGGATGTGCCTCGCGGGGTTTTATGCACCTCCAAAAGGAAGGAATGGAAACTGGGGGCAGAGCAACCGCCTTCGCACATTGAAAGGTCCCAGATTCAATCCCTGGGAGCAGCTCAAGCTTAAGGGAAAAAACAAAAAGGTCAGGTAGCAGGCAGTGGAAAAGGTAGAACTGCAAAGTCATTTGAATCATTAACTGGAAGTATGACAGGACATAGGCAAGCATGCACAGATCCCACCCTTAAAAGAAATACGGCCAATTAAGAGAAAAAAGAAGCCCTAATTACAAACCATTCTGAAAGGACTTGTGCCAGCTTTATGAATGATTAATGCAATCTAATTCTGATTGCGGTCAATGAGAAATGAGGATCTGAGCAGAACTCCTGGAAATGAAGTATGGCGTGGTTATGGCCCAAAACCTTTCGGGGGAGATATCACCAGGGATCGAGCCTGGGACCTTCTGTGTGCAAAGCCTGAGCAGTGGTCCTCCACTGCCTTCCTTCTCAGTCAGCTTATTCAGAGCAGAGGAGGTCCCTCTGCAACCCACATCTGTGATAGACAACAGGTAGATAATTCACACTTAAATGCAGTCTTCAGTTTGGCAGCTCCCTCCACAACTTTCAAATAACATAACCAGGAATGAGTCTAAAGGGATTCTATATCCAGTTACTTCTTCAGTTTGACCCAGTGTTTCATGTCCCAAAATTTAACAATAATGGATTTTTTTTTAAATGGACACAATCAATGTTTTGATTCTATAGGGCAGCATCCAGCAAAGTAGGTTCATTAGTGTGAGAATCTCTGGTTGTATCACAGAGCTCCCTCCTCCCTCCCTAAATCTGTTCCAGAATCCCTGCCCCACTCTGAACAGCATTAGGGGACAACACAGGCAGAGGGAGGGGAAGTTCCATTGCACAAACAGAACAATGGAACCACACATAATCTCTCCTGAAGAGTCAAACCGCTGCATTGATAGCTCTGAAGTGACCTTCCATGGAGCCCAAGCCTGGGCATACAGAGGTCCTTATCTCCCAGGTGACAAGACCACCCTCTTGGCCTTGCTGATGTGGTCCAAAGGAAAGCAGAACAATACATTTGGCATCAGCTTGGCTGCAAGTGTTGCCAGAAGGAAGTGTACGAGGTGCCATTCATTCTTTGTGGGGTTTACTCCTTGCCCTGAAAATATCCCACAAGGCAGTGGAGGTTTAGGATCAGTGTCTTCCTTCTCCTAGGTAGGCTACCTTCCCAGGTTGACGAGCCACATCTGACCCTCACTCCCTCTACTACAGCATGTGCAAAAACAGTCTCCTGACTGTTGGACCCACTATTGGTCTCGTCCGCTCAATCCGCTGGAGCCTGTCTTCACATGCAGGGAAAGTCCCTAACTCATGGAGGGTTTGAGACCCATCAGTTACCCTCATCAAAAGCCGTAGATCTAGACAATGCCCAAACCCTGAGTGTTACAAATCCAACCGAGAACACCAGTGACACTATTAGGAAGCCAAATGCAAACTTTTGTTGCCTACAGCTTGGGGGTTTCCCACAGGGTTAGGGTTCGGTACCTGGTTGGCCACTGTGAAAACAGGATGCTGGCTAGATCCAGTAGGCTCTTCTTACATTCTTACAGTAGATGAATGTTATCTAGCCCAGTAAAACCCATACCCAAGAGAAGTGCTCCTGGATTCTTGGCTGTTTGTTCTGTAGAAGCCTGCCCCCCGCCCCCGCCAATATGGGACGCTGCCCAGAAAGCGCTTGTCTGTCTTTCCTGATGTTGAACACAGCAGGTGCCTGGATTCTGAGTGGAGGCCTGCCTTGGCGTAAAAAGCCCCCTGGGCCTTTCTCCTGAGCTGAAGACCCCGCTGGGGAGGCTCCTGACCACATCGTTTCCCCCCACTACTAGGCCAAACTCTGGCCCCTCCCATTAGCCAGGTCGCTTCCCTAATGGATCTTCCCTGCCCCCAGCTTGGCAAGGTCCCTGCAGAGGCAAGCCGTTAAGTGCAGCCTGGCCTAATGGCGCAGGGAGGTGCTTGATGGTACCCGGTAATGGATGCGGGAGCCAGGCAGCTCTGTGTGGTTTCTCTGCTTTCCCTCCCTAGGAGGAGACAGTCAGAGCTGCCTCAGCCTTCAACACTGCTGCCGCTGCTGGGAAGATGCTGCTCTTGCCCTGCCTGCTGCTGCTGGCCTTTCTCAGGACAGGTATCTGCATCTGGTCTCCCTTCTCTCCCTTCCCCACCAGCCCAGTAGCCCCCCAGGAGCTCCAACTTGCCATGCCAAACCCTCACTTTGAAATTGCAGTCTCTATAGCCTCCCAGGGGCTTCTCAGCCCATGTGCAGATCTGCTTCGAGCAAGACTCTCACTCTCAGGGGCTTCAGGGCCATCCTCGAGCTAAGTAAAAGCCCTGTTTGCAGGGCGCCACTTGCTCTGGGGTGTCCCATCAGCTGGAGGAAGGAATCAACCCAGGATCCAAGCATGTTGACAAGGAATGATGGGCCTGTGTTTGTGTGCATGACAATTGGAGTGCGTGCGTGAATGTGTTTGAGACAGAGAGTTAAGCTTGTGTTCATAGGCCAGTTTGCCTGCAAGTGCTCTGCTCAGTTTCCCAGTCAGTATGAGGAAAACCTTTCCCAGCTCCTTGCATCTTCCAGCCCAAGGACAACTTCACCAGACAGACTTTTGTGCGTTGCCAATGCAGATCTGTCTGATCAGAAGTGGGTACCCTCAAATCCCTTAGCACAGAACCAGTCACCTTCAGTCTTTACTGGGTTTGGCTTTACTCTTTATGGGAAACAAATGTCCCTGGACCCTGGGTGCTGGTTGTTTGAGGTCTGATCTGGCTCAGGGCAAGAAGTGGTTCTCCTCTAGCAGGAGTGTCCGCGACTTTGCAGCCTTATTTATTAGGATACTTTCCCTCGCTGTTCAGCCCGCTTCCACAGGACTGCCAACCACTCTATAGCCATGCGACCGAAGAGACGCTGAAACGGCATTCCCTGGGCTCGCCTGCCCCCTCCCCGGGGTCCTGCTGTGTGGGCTTTCAGCAGAGCTGGAGTGGCAGTATCCTCCCCCCTCTCCGCAATTCTCCCGCGACCCCGGCAGGGAGGGCAGCCCCCCGAGCACCCAGCTTGTTCCAATCGCTTCCTCTTTCCAGCTGGTACCCAAAACGTGCACCTTTGCGAGGGCTACCTGGACCCCGCCGGGCTCCACCACGCCGGCTTCTACTGCCCACGCCTCACCGACCCCCCGACCCACGCCTACTGCTGCCTGCCTGCCGCCTCTCGCCGCTTCAAGTCCTGCTGCCCACGGCCCGAATTTGAGAGGCTCCGCGGCAATGCCTCGGCTTCTGCTCCGCCAGCCGCGCCCCGGTGAGATGCCCCTGTGGGGGGATAGACGGGGGGGGGGGCGGCGAGAGGGGTGTTGTCGGTTCCCCTCTGCCTCCTGCCCTTCCGTCTGAGCCCGCTTTCCCTCCACAGGAGTCCGTTGGGGCCGCTGCTGGGCGTGGGGCTCTACGGCTGCCTCGTCCTGGCCCTCATGACCGTCGACTTCCTTCACTTCTACCGCCTCCACCAGCGCAGCTTCCACCGCCTCCTCCACCGACGAATCCTGGGGAGGTGTCCCTGCAAGAAACAGGAAGCCGGCAAGAAGGCATGCGGGGCGGGCGCGGCGGGAGGTGGAGCAGCTCCGCTCGCAGGCCGCCCGGTCTCTTCTCCGCTGGGCGCTCCAAGGGAGGCGCTGCCAGCACGTGGGTCGGCTAGGGAGCGGCTGTCGCGCTCGCGTGGCGTCACTAGAGCGCGCCATGGAGGAGACGGCGGTGAGTGGGGTGGGCGGTGGGAGCCCAGCTGACCCCCAAACCGAATCGCTCATCCACCCCGCCCCTCTTATCTCCGCAGGTCCCGGAGCTCCGCCGGGAGGGCAACCAGCTCTTCCAGACAGGCCGCTATGAGGAGGCGCTGGCCGCCTACACCCGGGCCCTCAGCCTCTGCCCTGGGGATGGCGAGGAGCCCGACCCGCACCGCGCTGTCCTCCACCGCAACCGCGCCGCCTGCCACCTCAAGCTGGTGAGTGGGGAAGTGGGGAAAGCGGGAGGGTTGCCTGACTTATGGGAGCCCCCCAAGGGGCATTGCCAGCCTGCCTACCTGCCGCTCACTTATGCAGGAGGAGAAAAGCTGGACACTCTTGGGGAAATTTTAAGGGATTATTCCCACGTGTCTTTTCTTCTCAAAACTCTCAAGTGAACGTAGCACGCATCAGAAGGTAGCAGGCATTGTGTGAGTTTTCCCCTAAATGGCCACAGAGCTTCCCTGTGCCCCCAGTGTCAACGTTTCTGTGCCTCTCTCATTTTAACTGTGCTGAGCCCCTTTAGGTGGACTTCTTCTCACCCTACTGCTCCTTAGAAGCTGAGGTGCCTTTATGCACAGTCAAGGGGAGCCCTCGGGCATGGCTGTCTGGCTATGAGGTACTGAGAAGACAGTGGCCATATAGTGAGAGGCCAGCCTGATGCCTTTTCTCCTCCTGTAACCTGCAGAGAATTTAGGATTTGACAGATGTCCCCCAGAAAGGTGGTTAGGGCTGTCATTTTCAGCCTTAGCTCCTCTTGAGTATTTTCTTCTTCCCTCACCCCCCCCCCTTACATCTTTCACCAATGCCTCTCTGGCATTCTTTTTTTGCAGGAGGACTATGTCCAGGCAGAACTGGACGCTTCTAAAGGTGAGCTGCAAGGGGTGGGGTGGGGGACTACTCTCCTTCCAAAAGTCTCTTTCTCTGCAGAAGCCTCTTTGCTACATCTTAATACTTCCTTGCCTGTTCACAGCCATAGAAGCTGATGGGCATGACGTGAAGAGCCTCTTCCGGCGCAGCCAAGCCCGGCAGAAACTGGGCCGCTTCGACCAGGCCCTCCTGGATCTGCAGAGGTGTGTGAGCCTGGAGCCCAAGAACAAGGCCTTCCAGGAGGCTCTGCGCAACCTTGGCAGCAGCATGCATGAGAAGGTAGGAGAAGCATCGGGGCAGTAGGGACATTGCCAGGGTAGGTGCCTCCCTTGTGGGGCAGCCTAGCTCTCCACCCAGGAAGGATTCTGGGCTTCAGGTGTGTACTGGGCTTCTGAAGTATGACTGTGGGGTTTCTCACCAACTGCCTGTTTGCCTCAGATGACAGCCATGTCCCGCACAGACTCCAAAGTGGAGCAGATGTTTAAGTTGCTGCTGGACCCTGAAGAAAAAGATCTGGACAAGAAACAAAAGGTACCCCTCTAACCAGCAAGCAAGTGGGAGGTGTGATGTGCCTTGATGAAGACCAACTTTGGGTGTGCTGCAACTGTACATATATGGGATGCAGTTGTAGAATTAGGCAGTCTCCAATTCTGTTTTCTGTTTCAAAATGCAAGTTTTGCATTTCCTTTTTGCCTGTAGGCAAAAGCCAGAGGGAGGGTTTCTGATGCCTGGATCAGGATATCTGAGGGAGGAAGGGAGGAGGACTTTGAGTCATTGTACCGTAACTTCCTTTTCCGTGACTGTCAAAACCAGAATATATTAGGGTGGTGCTTATTTTAATATGATAAGTCTCAGTCAAGAGTGATTCATTCTGTCTCATGGGATTTCTATACCGCCCTTCAGCCAACAATCACAGGGCGGTTCATAACATAAAATCATGCTAATGTTGATGGGAGTTACAGTGCAGCAGCACCTGGGGGGACTCTGCAGGCTTCCCAGCTCTGCCCAATGAGGAGATCCCCACCCCCATGGCTCTTAGAGAAGCAAGGACAATGGAGTTATTATGGGCCAGAATCCCCAAACCTCTCCAGCTCTGACTGTGCCCCTCCATCAGCTGTGTGGCCTGATGGGGAGCGGTTAAAGCAAGCCCCTTTGTCCAGCTAACTGGCTCTTCTCCTGTCCAGGCAGCTCAGAATTTGATTGTTTTGGCTCGTGAGGAGCCTGGTGCTGAGAAGATTTTCCAGAACGACGGGGTGCGCCTCCTGCTACAGCTGCTGGATACGGGTCGGGCGGACACGGTGCTAGCAGCTGTGCGAACCCTCACTGGCCTTTGCAGTGGGCATCGTTCTCGGGTATGTCCACTTTTTAAGATGAAAGCTTCTTCACCCTTTTTTGCGGGGGGGGGGTTTAACAGGTTCAGTCCATTTACTGACATGTTATGCATAAAACTCTCTCCAAAACCTGTTGCTTCAAGGGCATGCCACTTCTCTGAGGGTGCGTGTGCCTGGAACTTGCCCCTGACATTGTACTGCATCTTTGAAATGCCTCAGGAGGTCAGAGGCAAACCAAGTGGTCTCTTCTGTCCCCCTCCAGCACAGAGCCAGGGAGGGGCTGCAGAGGCACCCGGGCTTTCTCTGCCTCTGCACCTGCTTATAGGTTGCCACCCCATCCTCCTGGCAGGCACAGAGTTGAGTTTTTGCCCATAGTTCAGGCTGGGGAAGGGGATGGAATCACCCCTCCCTCTCTGCTGCTCCAGTGTTGAGAGGAAACCTTGGGCTTCCTATTTGCTGGAGTCTGGCCAACCACCAGTGATTCACCAAGAGTGCTCCCCAACAGTTCCTTGTCCAGTGACAAGTGGGGTACTGCAGGGTTCTGTACTGGGCCTGGTGAGGTTCAACCTCTTGGAATGGACACCCTCCAGATGGTGGACTCTCCTTCATTGGAGGTTTTAAAGCAGAGTTTGGATGGTCACCTGTCAGGAATACTTTAGTTGTGATTCCTGCATTTCAGAGGGTTGAACTGGAAGACCCATTGGGTACCTTCCAACCCTACAATTCTATGATCACTTACCATGGGGGACAGAGGGTTAGCAAGACTGTTGAAACCTCAAGTAATACATGCTGCAAGATAACCTAGATATTCCTCTAATATATATAAAAAAAACCTGAACTCTGTCTCCTTGGGTAAGTTTATAGGTCCCCAGAGTTCCTACTGACAAACCACAGTTACACTTGTGGAGTTGCCTACTAGGCAGGTATCCAGCTCTGCTCTGAGCATTGTGGGGGAGGTAACTGGTTCTTGAGAGACAGGCTCCTGGATTCCTCCCCAAGTCTCAGTGGATACTGCCCTTCTTTCAGACTGCAGTGATCCTGGCTGAGCTGGGGCCGCAGCGCCTCTTTGCTATCCTAGAGATGGAGGACGAGCAAGTCTCGCTGGCAACCTACAACCTGCTGCAGGTTATGTTTGATGCCCTGAAGGAGGGGCTGCAGAGGGATGTGCGTGGCAAGGAGGAAGCTGTGGTCTTGGGTGAGTCTCCCTGCTGGGCTCAGCATCCACTTTGTGTCATGCCAAGCTCATCTCTGTGCTGATGCCTTGGGTGGAGCTGGGCTGCGAATGCTAGCCTGGAGAGAGGAGGCTCAGACCTCCTCAACGCTGATTCTGCTCCTGTAGATACATCCAAAGAGCTGAAATTGCTCCTCAAGCAGCTGCTGGAAGCCCTGACACGGGAGAGCATTTCCTCCTATGGCCGGGACAGCATCCTCAACCTGCTGATCAGTGTGGTGCCCCGGAAGTCGCTGAAGGACCCCAACAACTGCCTGACCCTCTGGGTCATTGACCAGGGTACGTCTAGCCCATTCCTGAGCCCCTCCTCTTCCTGGCCTGGGTCCCTCGCCAGCGCCAGTGAGCATGTCTGTCCTCACTAGGTCTCAAGCAGATCCTGGAGGTGGGGGGCACAGTGAGCACCAGTCCTGGGGGCCTGCGGGTGACAGAGAACACCCTCATGAGCGCAGCCGTCCTCCTCAGCAAGCTCTATGGGGACCTGAAGTGCGACGGGGAGCGGGAGAATTTCCACCGGCTCTGCGAGGACTATGTCAGGTAGGCCTGTGACTGACTCGGGGGCCACCCCCTGCTGCTTCTGGTAGGGGGTGCTGGGAAGGCATGGGGGGCAAATGAAGTGGTGGGGAGTGATGCTCAGCACTTAGTTGCTGACTAGCTTCACAACAGCCCACCAGCTTGGCCAGAGAGACCCAGTTACTGTAGTTCATGTACTGATTGCTTCAAGACTGGATTATTGCAGTGTGCTCTATATGGGGCTTCCCTTGCACCTGATCTGGAAGCTGAAGCTAGCGCAGAATGCTGCAGCTTGATTGCTGAAAGGAGCAAAAACTTGTCAGCATATAGCACCTGTGCTCAGAGATCTGTACTGGTTGCTGATTTGCTACTGAGACAGGTTCAGAAGGTTACTATTAGTATGCAAAGCCCTTAATAATTTACCTGTGAGACTGCCTTAACCCAGATATGCTCACTCAACCACTTCCATCTGCAAAATTGGCACTGTTCCAAGTGCCATCTAATACCCGTTCTGCATTTATAAGAAATGGATCTTCTAGTGTGATGATAGCAGGCAGGCGCCTTCATTCTACTCTTTTTGACGTCTACTGAAAGCATTTTTGTGTAGGCAAGCCTACCCATTATTTAAAACGCTGGTGTGTTTTTAGTTTATTGCTGGTTTTAATTTTTAGAATGTGTTGTTTGTACTAATAATCTTACTGTTTTATTCTTTTTATAAACCACTTTGAGGTTTTCTACAATCACGTGATATATAGATGTTATGAAATAAATACATAATAGTGGGTGGGAGGAGGACTTCTGCTGCCAGAAGGTGCCGTTGGTTGATCTCGGATTTGAGACTCCAGCCTTCTTTCTGGTCCAGAGCTTGGGGTTTCAGCTTTGGAATGTCTGTGGCAGCTTCCTGGCTTCTCCTGATGAGCTGCCTTTCTTTCACCTCCCAGGGGCTGGTTCCAGGACCACGGCGTCCCTGGGAAATTGCGGGCCATCCAGACGGCCTCCTGTCTCCTGCAAGGCCCCTCCGAGGCTGGGAACAGGGTGCTGGAGCTGAGTGGCATCATGGAGAGCATTCTGGCCTTGTGCGCCTCGTCACGGGAGGCCGACCAGCTTGTGGCCGTGGAGGCCCTGATCCATGCTGCCGACAAGGCCAAGCGGGCCACCTTCATCACTGCCAATGGGGTGACACTACTGAAGGAGATCTACAAGCACAGCGAGCGCGACAGCATTCGCATCCGGGCCCTGGTGGTGAGCAAGAGGCAGCAGATCTTGGAGAAGGAGGGAGCCATTTTCTGGCTGCAGTGGGACCCAACACTGTTCCTCTTCCATCTTCCCAGATTGAAGGAAGTTCTGGGGTCAGGTGGCAACTACGGCACATCACGGTTTCTCTTTCCAGGGCCTCTGCAAATTGGGCTCGGCGGGGGGCACAGATTTCAGCATGAAGCAGTTTGCGGAAGGCTCTACCCTGAAGCTGGCCAAGCAGTGCCGGAAGTGAGTGAGCGCTGCTTTCTTCCCCCATGTCCCAGGCGCTTTAGCCTCTTCTGTGCCACGTGACTGCCTTCCCCTTTAGAAGGAGGTCAGGCTGCCTGTCCCTTTCTCAAAATCTTGGGTGCTGGTGGGAGCTGATGGATGACAAGAATGAGTCCTTCTGGCAGCTGCGCAACAGACCATGCCCCACTGAAGCCTGGGGTGGTGGGCCTTCCTATGCTCCTTGCCCGCTAGGGTTTCAGCTGGTAGAGGCACTAGGGAGGGATCCTGATTCTCCTTCTCCTGCTTCCAGGTGGCTGTGCAATGAGGCCATCGATGCCGGCACCCGCTACTGGGCAGCTGAGGGACTGGCCTTCCTCTCCTTGGATGCGGACGTTAAGGAGGAGCTCCTGGAGGACAAGGCTGCCCTGCAGGCTCTCTTCTGGCTGGCCAGGGTGAGGTCCTCTTCCAAGAGGGAGGGCAAAGTGGGTGGGTGGGGTACCTGTGGGAGGAATGGGCAGCTGGGCATGTCCAGAGGCTCTTTTTGCCTCTGCCTTGTTTATGTTGAATTTCCTTTGCTTAGGAATAGCAACCCAGCTGTAGTATGTGGTACCCAGTAATTTTTAGAATTGTAGAGTTGGAAGAGGTCCCAAGGGTCATCTAGTCCAACCCCTGCAATGCAGGAATTACAGCTAAAATCCCTGACAGATGACCATGCAGCCTCTGCTAAAAAAACTTTCAGTGAAGCGAGAGTCCACCACCTTCCGAGAGAGTCTGTTCTATTGTCAAACAACTCTTACCATCAGAAGGTTCTTCCTAATGTTTAGTGGGAATGTTCTTTCTTTTCATTTGAATCCATTGGTTTGGGTTCCTACCACTGGAGCAGCAGAAACCCACCTTGCTTTGTGTTCAATGTGATAGCCCTTCAAATATTTGAAGATTTAAGATGTAAAATGCTGTTCTGTAGCAAAATTTCCCAAGTCTCAGTGAAGTGTCTCCGCTGTACCACTTCAGACCCATAACTGGAGCTTCACTACTCCTCCCAGCACTGCTCCTTCAGCCTCCAGTTTCCAGAGGTTTCAAGAGCAGGGCAGGGCAGCTCCAAAAAGCCTTTCACACAGTGCCATGCTGTGCTTTGAAGTCTGGGCAACTGAGGTTTTAAAGTGCAGCATCACCATTACATCTGGTGATTGACAGGTGGGTGGCCCCACCTACCTGCCCAACTCAGTCCGTCAGGGGTGCAGAGATATTAAGAGATCACTTCTGATCAGCTTCTGGTGTTCTGTGGCTGGGCTGTCTTGTTCAGCATCAGCTGACGCTTCTTAATAGTACTCAAGGGCGGGCACACTTTACTTTGCCTGGCAGTAGCCTAGTCTTGAGGTAACAAATGCACAAGTGGTGGTCCCTGGTCCCAAAGAATCATGAAGATCCCAACTGACCACCTTCTTCTGCTTCTTTGTCTTTGTTTCTGCCGCCAATCTGCTCCCCTCAGTCAGAGAACCGGAGTGTCCTCTTTGCAGTGGCCTCCACGCTGGTGAATTGCACCAGCAGCTATGACCAAGAGGAGCCTGACCCCCAGATGGTGGAGCTGGCGAAGTACGCCAAGCAACACATCCCTGAGAAGCACCCAAAGGTGAGAGTGAGGAGAGGGGTGCCATGAGGGGGGCAGTGGAAGCCTTCTAGCAGGCTGGGGGGGCTGTGGCTGGGCTGGGCTCCTCTGCCCTCTGCAGGAATGTTTTTTGGGTAATGGGGAGTTGAGGTTGGAGTGGGAAGCTTTTAGAAGTTTGTGATGCAAAGACCACAATTATTGTGTGAGATGCTGGTGGATGGAGCAAGGAGGGCGAGAGGAGGTGGATAATAGTCATCCCACGGTCTGTTCCCATCCTCTCTCTCCATCTCTTCCTGCCCAGGACAAGCCAGAGTTCGTGCGCCAACGTGTGAGGAAGCTGCTGGCCGCCGGTGTGGTGTCAGCGCTCACCTGCATGGTGAAGAGTGAAAGCCCCTCCCTGAGCCCCGCCTGCCGAGAGCTGATCTCCAGGTGAGGCCAGCAGGCCACAGGCCTTGACCCCTGCAGAGCTTTCATGGAATAATAGAAGGGAAGCGACCCAAAGGGTCATCACACCCAACCCCATGCAGGTATCACCGTTAAAAAATCCCTGACGGATGGCCATGCAATCACTGCTTAGAAACCTCTAATAAAGGAGCATCTGCTACCTTCCAAGGGAGTCCGTTCTGCTGTGAAAGAGGTCTTTAACGTCCCAAAGCTCTTAGTAATGTGTAGTCGGAATCTCCTTTCTTGTCATTTGAACCTGCTGTGGGGTGAGCTGGTTCTGGACCTTCCAACCCTTCCCAGGTTGGGGGGAAAGGTGACTTTCCCTGGCTGTCTTGCCCCAAACATCATTGATCAAGCTGAAGCCAAACATGGCTGCAGGGAGTTGGTCCTGTCACATACCTACTGTTGACATTGCAGGGCAACTTCTCTGCTTCTAAGAGCTGCCCTTGGACCATACACCCCTGAAAGGAGAGGGTATCCCCAGTGGGCTGTTTGAGAGAACAGTAAGATAGAAGTGTAAGGATATGAATAGATGCTAGGAGAGGATATATTAGACATTATCCTTCTTTGCTCACGTTTGTGAGTTCAGCAGAGTGCCATCCCTTTGCAGCTTGAAAGGGAAGCTTAGATAGGCTAGTTTTAACCTTTTAGTTTAAATAATCCAGGATGCTTTAAGGCAGACTGGATTCTCCTGGTGTTTCTCCATTTTCTCCCCCTTAAAATAACAATCACACAAAAAGTCTTGTAAAAGGTCAAAATAACATTTGCTCACTCAGAATATTTGTTGAAGAGTAGCAGCCTTGTTCAGGCAGGTTTAAAATGGTAATTCAGTTACAAAGACATATTTTGGTCTAGTTTAAAATGGTGTCTGAGCATTGGAGCTCAGACACAACAGATGTTCTTCACATTTCTGGCTTGATGGAAAGTGCTGAAAAAAGAGGATTTGCCCAAACAGCTATGCCCTTCCCCTGTCACAGCACAGTGGGAGTGTCTCTCACGGAGAGAAAACTCTTGTGAGTTTCAGCTCTTACCAAGTGCCTACCTAGCAATAATGAACTGTTGGTTTTGACTGCATTGTACATATCCCACATGAAGCAGTAGAATAGAAGAGTCTGGCCTGAGCCTGCCCTTTCCCCTGAGCCCTGGGTGCCTTTTCACTCCTCGCTACCCTACTGGCCCCTCTGAAGTTGCTGTTCACAGGCAAGTCCTCCAGACCTGCTACACAGAGGAGACATGCTGGCCTTCTTACCTGTGGGTTTCTGCTTAGCCAAAGAGCTCAGAAAATTTGATCGAGCCAAGATGACGCCTTCCTGTAATCTCAAGTTGCTGTGGTGTGTGTGTGTGTGTGTGTGTGTGTGTGTGTGTGTGTGGAGAGAGTTCTGGGTCCCACATTCAGTGCCTGCTATTGTGTGCTTCAGGGTGTTCCTGGCTGTCGTGGAAGACCCTGAGGACCGAGGGGCTGTGGTAGCTGCTGGAGGCGGGAAGGTGAGCCTCACACATGCATACACACCCTCTCCTGTTTGGCTTTGCCCTGCAGCAGCACTGGGGCATCAAGGCTTTTTCACAGTCAAGCAGAATATGGATTTTATTCCACCACTAGGCACTCATCCCTCTGGCCCTGGAAGGCACTGAAATAGGGCAGACGAAGGCTGCGCAGGCCCTGGCTAAGATCACCATCACCACCGCCCCCGAGATGGCTTTTCCGGGCGAACGGGTCAGTGTGGAGTGAGGGCAGCATCACAGCAAGGCAGTGGATGGGGTCGGGTTCCCCTTTCCTCTTCCCACCGCCCTGAGCCTTTTCTCTCTCCTCCTGCAGATCTACGAGGTGGTCCGGCCCCTGGTGGGCCTCCTGCACTTGAACCGCAGTGCCCTGCAGAATTTCGAAGGGCTGATGGCTCTCACCAACCTGGCGGGGACCAGTGAGCGGCTCCGGTAAGGCTGGACAGGCAGGCAGGCAGGCTGGCCATCTCCCTGGGTCCCAGCCCTGTCCTCTGGGAGGGTTACATTCCTTGGAGGCAGGGGCCATTACCTTCTGCCTCCTCCTGCAGGCAGAAGATTGTGAAGGAGAAGGCCGTGCCCATGATCGAGGGCTACATGTTTGAGGAGCACGAAATGATCCGCTTGGCAGCCACTGAGTGCATGTGCAACATGGCGCTGAGCCCAGAGGTGAGCAGGGGTACTGGGCCACCTGGCTGTGCTGGGGCCCCGGGAGGTTTATCTCCACTCACATCTCTCTTTGGGCAGGTCGGGGAGCTGTTCCTGGTGGAGGGCAGTGACCGGCTCAAGCTGCTGGTCCTGTACAGCGGGGAGGACGACGAGAGGCTCCAGCGGGCAGCTTCAGGGACGCTGGCCGTCTTGACCTCGTTGCTGCCCCAGATCTGCTCCCGCATCCCTCAAGTGGTGAGTACCGCCTGGAGGGTGGGCTGAGCCCAGCAGCTGCCCGCTGGGCACGGCAGGCCTTTGGAGGGTCTCCAGGAACTGGGTGGATGCCGGGTTTCCTTCTTGCTTGCTAACTGACCTCTCACCCTCTTTCCCCAGACGACTCACTGGCTGGAGATCTTGCAGGCCCTGCTCCTCAGCCCTGGCACCGAGCTCCAGCACCGCGGGGTGGTGGTAGTGAGGAACATGGTGGCTGCTGACAAGGAGGTGGCCGAGAAGCTGATGGAGAGCGAGACGATGGAGATCCTGTCTGTTATGGCCAAGGCCAAGGACAAGCCCCAGATTGCCCAAGTGGCCCAGGAGTGCCTGGCCCAGGCCGTGGCTTATGGCTTGATCAAGCCCAACCCTCCCGCAGCTGCCGAGAAGGAGGAGGACTGAGAGCTGCCCCCTCCCAACCTGCTTGGGCACACTGCGCCGTCGCTGCTGCTGGGCACAGGCACCAGGGCACAGGAGGGAGGGGGCTTGGGGCTGCTGGGACCAGGGGAGTGAGCCACAGCGATTGCCGCTGGCACCCTTCAGAGCCACAGGGGCTGGTGCCACCATTTTGTGGCACAGAAGGCAGCTCCAGGGGCTGCTTTGCAGCCTCTTGGTGCTCTTAGCTGTCTCTCACCTGGAGGAGGGTCTTGCTGGGCTGCTGCTGCCACACACCTTGGCAGCGCTGGTGGTGACGGGTGGTGGGCTCCCCAACTACCCCAAGGCTTGGGGTCACGGAGCTGCTTGTGCTGCATGGCTGCCTTTTTAAAATTTCCTGCTGCTGGAAATCACAGCCTTCCTGTCCCTCTGGAGCTGTTCCTTCACGGTCTGAGGCTGCAGCTCCTGAGGCCTCCTCCCCTCCCTTGGGGTAGGAAGAAACTGCCTTACTGACAATCCATTCCTCTTGCCCTCTGTGGCAAACAGGACCACTGTTTATTGTAAGCAAAGATGATGTGGGAAAGAATGTAAACTGTATGAAAAGATTATGGGAAACTATACAGATGACTTTTTCGGTTAATCTGATTTCATGTGTTTCTCAATATTGCATTGATTGAATGGGGAGGGAACTGAACTAGGCTGTATGTAAATTGAGGGGACGGGACCCATCACCATTTAGGGATATGTCTGACCTCCAGAGTGACTCAGGCAGAGGGAGAAGATGATCAGACCCCTTCCCACTTGGACCAACCTCCCTCCCACAAGGAAGAACAACCAAGCCTTTGTCCTATGGTGTTGCTAGGCCCAGGAGTGAAGGGTGAAGCCCCTCCCTCCTGCTTTACATTAAACTCTTGAAAGCAACCACTCACTTGCCATGTACTAATAGATGGCATACTTCTGAGGGTTTTAAACTCTCCCTCCCCATTTTACTTTTAAAAACCAAGCGGGGGCGGGGCGGGGGCTTTGCAGCACATTCATAATTCAGGCCAGCTGCCTTTGCACTTTAAAACTGGGCCTGGAGCTGGTTCTAGGTGTCATTTGCAGGAAAGAGTAAGATACAGTGGAACCTCAGGTTGCAGACATAATCTGTGACGGAGGCACGTCCGCACCCCGCAGCGTTTGCATCCTGAAGCATCGTGTCTGCACAGGCGCTGGTGCGATTTGGCACTTCTGCGCATGCGCAAAGCGTGATTTAGCGCTTTACATGCACGAATAGCAAAACCCGGAAGTAACCCATTCCGGTACTTCCAGGTTTCCCGCGGTCTGTAACCCGAAAACATGTAACCTGAAGCATCCGTAACATGAGGTATGACTGTAAAGGCCTCATATCACCTCGTGCGTTGGGGAAAGAAAGATTTTAGTTTTCAACCCTTGAGAGAGCCATGGACTGATTTGATGTGGGTGTAACGGGTTGCTGTCAGGTTAAGTTTCTCAGGTGATCTGGAGGGTCTGCCATCCCACAGAGGTTTTTGAAACTGCAAAAGAATGAATAATCCTTCTAACTCCTTTGCGAAGAAAGCCACAGAAGTGCTCCTGGTTCTCTCCACTGGCTGTTTTCTTCACTAGCAATACCATCAGCAGTAGCTGGGCAGAGGTACTTCAGCCCCCGCCCCCTCTCCTGCCAAAGCAGCGCCTTTTGCCAACCAGGGAAAGGGGACCTGGTTTCAGGCTTGCCCTGGTTTTCCGTGGTCCAGCTTCACCAGCTGCTTGGCAGTAGTAGGAGCATCGTAATAGTTCCTCTCTGCTCCTGGTTTGAATTATTTAGGATATTCTCTCCACAGCTTCATTCAAGGTAACACATGTAACACAAGCATCAAGCTGTTTCTCTGGTAAGGGGCAGGGAAGCAAAGCCTTGAGTGATTTTAAAAGCAGAGTTAATGTGCACTCTTAGGCTTGCCTACTGAGCAGGAAGCCCAAGGGGACATAACCCAGGTAATTATCGCAAGGACTGTAGCCTTATGTTGAGGAGTTCCTTCTACCACTGTCTCTCTCAGCTTCATTGTACTGGGCTGGGGGTGGGGAGGCAGTTACTGTGCTCCTGTGTGCCTGCCCTTGGGGCAACCTGGATTGCTTGTAGCTTATGACAGATGTGAAGGAACAACCATTACCTTCTAAGAAGCAGTATAAGTCCAGTACTGCCCCAGTTCACTGCCTCAGGCACCTACGAGGCTAAGCTGTTCCTTGTTCCAGGTCCGATTTTGTGAATCTTTGGCAGAAGTAAGGTTCCTTCAGTTTAATTCTATTAAAAGTTGTCATCATGGTATCTTGTGCCCAGGGCGTTCCACAAGTTAGCTGGAAGACAAATCCCAAAAGCTCATTTTCTGATTTGTCCTGCATTCTGAATATTGGAGGAGAAACAACTATATTTTGCAGGATGATGTTAAAACCTATGCTTGCCTGCCTATTTCTGAGGCCTCAGCCTACATCAAAAGCAGAACTTCCCTCAGCACTCTTGCCACCACTTCTTCTGTTTTCGGGGGTGGGAAGGGGATTCCTCCAGTTGATTCCTCAGAGCAGGGGTGCCAACTTGAATAAAATATTGGGCAGGCCAGGTAAGCCCCACCCCACACAATCAATCACATGATGCAGCGCCCGCACACCATTTGAATGGCAATAGCGGGACTGGGTTAAAGGCGGATCTACACGGATCCTCCACTTTTTAAAAAATAACTCCAACAAATCCAGTGTCCTATCACATCTGGAAGGCACGCCTACAGACTGAACTATAAAAAAGGTGGATCCAACACTGCCACGCTGCAGCACCACAAAAACATGGATCCGAGGCATGGATCCTCATGAATTCATATGATTTTTATATTGAAAGAAAATAAAACCACCATGATACACACTGTCAAATTACACATCGTGCCCATGGAAGCCGTGGATCCGAGTTTTTTGTGGTGCATGCTGTGCCCATGGCCATGATGTTTGATCTGATGGTGGCTTCGGACTGCTGTAGTGCAAAAATCATGAGGATCCGTGTTTTTTAACCATGTTTTTGCACCATAGTGGCCCCACGAAACAGTGGGTGCGTGATTTTTTTTTGTTCTGCCTACAGACATGGTCTACAGTATCATGGTGGTTTTATTTAATTTGAATGAAAAAATCATATGAATTCTGGATCCGCCTATTACCCAGTCCCGGCACTAGCCATCAACTTTGAGCGGAAAGAGCAAGAAAGAGCCAGGGAAAGGGTGGAAACTGCCGACTGAGGCGCCTCTTCTCCCCGACCCGCCGCAAGAGGCGCTCGCCTTCCGGGCGGCGGAGATGGCGGAGGGAGCTCGGGGAGGTGGCGGTGGCGGCTGGTTCCAGTTCGGCTTCTGCTTCGGGAAGGCGACGGAGGCCGGGCTGGAAGTGGCGCCGCTGCTGGTCGGGGGCGAGGCCGGGCCGGTGCGCTGCGTGAGGCCGAGCTGGAGCTTCTCCGGGATCGTCCGCGCCGGCGGTGAGAGGCACCCGCCAGAGTCCCGGGGCCATGCGGGGTTCATGCTTCCCCACCCCTTTTTCTTAGGCTGAGCAGGAGCGGGGAACCGCGCGCTCCAAGGCATATAGAAGGGACAGACTAAGGGGTCCCGGCCGTGGGGGAGATGCTGCTCTGCATCCCCCGTCGTCACCTCAAACTCCTCCCCTGCTTGCTGGGGCTGCGGGAGATGCAACCCCACGACGCCAGGCAGCTCACAGGAGCCCCATCCCGTCGATAGAGGAGAGCGGGAAGTTTCTCCATGAGCCTTGATGGTGGCCCCAAGCCGCCTTTCTAGGTTGCTGCCTGATCGTCCCTGGCGGGGGTGGGTGGGGTGATTTCCTCCTTTTCTGTGGCCCCGATATTATTTCTTTGCCTCCTGCTCCGCATGGACTGAGAGCTCCAATCCGCCCCATCTTGCCTTCTGCCTCCCGCAGGGTCCCCCCCGGTGCTGTTGCAAGGCGCGGTATGCGCGGCGCTGCCCGAGGACTGCCGGGACGTGCTGCCGTCGGAGACGCACGTGCTGGTGCTGCGGGAGGCGGCGGTGGAAAGCTGGCCGGTGGAGGGTTCGGCCCTGGTCCTGGAAGGAGAGCCGGCGTGGAGGTGCGAGATCCTCCCTGAGGAAGCAGCCACCGTAGGTAGGTAGGTGCGCGGGCAGAAGCGAGGCCCTGAAAGAAGAGGAAGCTGTTGCTGCACCCCATGAGGCTCATCCTTTCTGCCCCTAACCCTCTTTCTCTTCTGCCCCAGAGCTGCCCCTGGTGCCTGGTGGGTACGTGGCCCCTCGGCCCCCTTTCTTTTTTTTTTTTAAAGCAATTTATTGGGTTTTACAATAAAAATAAACATAATAAACAATATAACATTTGTCTTAACATAGTTTCACATTTTCTTTGGACTTCCTCACATCCCCCGCTCCCACTTTCATCGTTATAACATTTTGTCAGCAATTTATTATCTTATTTAAATTCTTATATCTCTTCAATGTTTCATAATCTTATAGTTCTCATAAAGAGTTAAACTTTCACAGTCTTACTTGTTTTCTTAAAAACTTCTAAGTTAAGTGGTGCTCAGTTATTTAGTCTAGCATCTTATTTAGCATTCACTCAAATCACAATATTTTTGTAGATAGTTCTTAAATTTCTTCCAATCCTCCTCGATTCTCTCTTCTCCCAGGTCACGGATTCTGCCGGTCATTTCAGCCAGTTCCATGTAGTCTATCAGTTGCATCTGCCATTCTTCCAGTGTGGGTAAATCTTGAGTTTTCCAATGTTTTGCAAGAAGTATCCTTGCTGCTGTTGTTGCATACATAATAATGTCTGGTCCTTCTTTGCCACCCCTTGGCTGACAATACCCAGAAGGAAAGCCTCTGGTTTCTTGGTAAAGGTATATTTAAATACCTTTTTCAATTCATTATAAATCATTTCCCAGAACGCCTTCACTTTAGGGCAGGTCCACCAGAGGTGGAAGAACGTTCCCTCACACTCTTTACATTTCCAACACTTATTATCAGACAGGTGGTAAATTTTTGCAAGTTTAACTGGGGTCATATACCATCTATAAATCATTTTCATTACATTTTCTTTCAGAGCGTTACATGCAGTAAATTTCAATCCATTACTCCACAACTTTTCCCAGTCCTCAAACATAATATTATACCCAATGTCCTGTGCCCACCTTATCATAGCCGATTTAACCATTTCATCTTGTGTATTCCATTCCAACAGCAAGTTATACATCCTTGAAAGTACCTTAGTCTTTGGTTCTAACAATTCTGTTTCTAATTTCGATTTCTCCACCTGGAACCCTAGTTTCTTATCATTTTTAAAAACTTCTTTAATCTGAGCGTAGTGTAACCAATCTCGCACTTTGTCTTTCATTTTCTCCAAACTCTGCAATTTCCAATTGTCTCCATCTTTTCTAGTATTTCCCAATATTTTGGCCATTTAGCCTCCATATTGGGTCTTTTTCGGGCCTTAGCTTCCAAAGGTGAAAGCCACCTTGGTGTTTTATTTTCCAGCAAGTCTTTATATTTTGTCCAGACATTATACAATGATTTTCTGACAATATGGTTCTTGAAGGCCTTATTTGCTTTAACTTTGTCATACCATAAATATGCATGCCATCCAAAAACATTATTAAACCCTTCCAAGTCCAACACATCAGTGTCTTCAAGAAGTAGCCAGTCTTTTAGCCAGCAGAACGCTGCGGCTTCATAATACAACTTTAAGTCCGGCAGGGCAAAGCCCCCTCTTTGTTTTACATCAGTTAATATCTTAAACTTAATTCTGGGCTTTTTGCCCTGCCAGACAAACTTCGAAATATCTCTCTGCCACTTCTGAAAGCACTCCGTTTTGTCCAAAACCTGAAGTGTTTGAAATAAAAACAACATCCTTGGCAATACATTCATCTTAATAGCAGCAATTCGGCCTAACAAGGAAAGTTTCAATTTTGACCAACTGTCTAAGTCTCTCTTAATTTCTGTCCAACATTTTTCATAGTTATCCTTAAATAGACTTAGATTTTTTGCTGTTATGTTTACCCCTAGGTATTTTACTTTTTTAACCACATTAAGTTCCGTCTCATTCTGAAACCGTTCTGACTCTGTATCAGTCAAATTTTTCCCCAAAACCTTAGTTTTCTGTTTATTTAATTTGAATCCCGCCACCCGACCAAAATCATTAATCAATTGTAATACTCTTTTCGTACTGGGCTCTGGCTTCTGCAAGGTCAAAACCAGGTCATCTGCAAAAGCTTTTAGTTTATATTGTTTCTGACCAACCTGAATTCCTTCCACCAACCGATCCCCTCTAATCATGTTCAGTAGCACTTCCAGAACCGAAATAAATAACAAAGGGGAAATAGGGCAACCTTGTCGTGTCCCTTTTTCAATTTTAAACTCTTCTGTAACGGGTGACGGGTGGTGGGCTCCCCAACTACCCCAAGGCTTGGGGTCACGGAGCTGCTTGTGCTGCATGGCTGCCTTTTTAAAATTTCCTGCTGCTGGAAATCACAGGCTTCCTGTCCCTCTGGAGCTGTTCCTTCATGGTCTGAGGCTGCAGCTCCTGAGGCCTCCTCCTCTCCCTTGGGGTAGGAAGAAACTGCCTTACTGACAATCCATTCCTCTTGCCCTCTGTGGCAAACAGGACCACCGTTTATTGTAAGCAAAGATGATGTGGGAAAGAATGTAAACTGTATGAAAAGATTATGGGAAACTATACAGATGACTTTTTCGGTTAATCTGATTTCATGTGTTTCTCAATATTGCATTGATTGAATGGGGAGGGAACTGAACTAGGCTGTATGTAAATTGAGGGGACGGGACCCATCACCATTTAGGGATATGTCTGACCTCCAGAGTGACTCAGGCAGAGGGAGAAGATGATCAGACCCCTTCCCACTTGGACCAACCTCCCTCCCACAAGGAAGAACAACCAAGCCTTTGTCCTATGGTGTTGCTAGGCCCAGGAGTGAAGGCTGAAGCCCCCTCCCTCCTGCTTTACATTAAACTCTTGAAAGCAACCACTCACTTGCCATGTACTAATAGATGGCATACTTCTGAGGGTTTTAAACTCTCCCTCCCCATTTTACTTTTAAAAACCAAGCGGGGGCGGGGCGGGGGCTTTGCAGCACATTCATAATTCAGGCCAGCTGCCTTTGCACTTTAAAACTGGGCCTGGAGCTGGTTCTAGGTGTCATTTGCAGGAAAGAGTAAGATACAGTGGAACCTCAGGTTGCAGACATAATCCGTGACGGAGGCACGTCCGCACCCCGCAGCGTTTGCATCCTGAAGCATTGTGTCTGCACAGGCGCTGGCGCGATTTGGCACTTCTGCGCATGCGCAAAGCGTGATTTAGCGCTTTACATGCACGAATAGCAAAACCCGGAAGTAACCCATTCCGGTACTTCCAGGTTTCCCGCGGTCTGTAACCCGAAAACATGTAACCTGAAGCATCCGTAACATGAGGTATGACTGTAAAGGCCTCATATCACCTCGTGCGTTGGGGAAAGAAAGATTTTAGTTTTCAACCCTTGAGAGAGCCATGGACTGATTTGATGTGGGTGTAACGGGTTGCTGTCAGGTTAAGTTTCTCAGGTGATCTGGAGGGTCTGCCATCCCACAGAGGTTTTTGAAACTGCAAAAGAATGAATAATCCTTCTAACTCCTTTGCGAAGAAAGCCACAGAAGTGCTCCTGGTTCTCTCCACTGGCTGTTTTCTTCACTAGCAATACCATCAGCAGTAGCTGGGCAGAGGTACTTCAGCCCCCGCCCCCTCTCCTGCCAAAGCAGCGCCTTTGCCAACCAGGGAAAGGGGACCTGGTTTCAGGCTTGCCCTGGTTTTCCGTGGTCCAGCTTCACCAGCTGCTTGGCAGTAGTAGGAGCATCGTAATAGTTCCTCTCTGCTCCTGGTTTGAATTATTTAGGATATTCTCTCCACAGCTTCATTCAAGGTAACACATGTAACACAAGCATCAAGCTGTTTCTCTGGTAAGGGGCAGGGAAGCAAAGCCTTGAGTGATTTTAAAAGCAGAGTTAATGTGCACTCTTAGGCTTGCCTACTGAGCAGGAAGCCCAAGGGGACATAACCCAGGTAATTATCGCAAGGACTGTAGCCTTATGTTGAGGAGTTCCTTCTACCACTGTCTCTCTCAGCTTCATTGTACTGGGGTGGGGAGGCAGTTACTGTGCTCCTGTGTGCCTGCCCTTGGGGCAACCTGGATTGCTTGTAGTTTATGACAGATGTGAAGGAACAACCATTACCTTCTAAGAAGCACTATAAGTCCAGTACTGCCCCAGTTCACTGCCTCAGGCACCTACGAGGCTAAGCTGTTCCTTGTTCCAGGTCCGATTTTGTGAATCTTTGGCAGAAGTAAGGTTCCTTCAGTTTAATTCTATTAAAAGTTGTCATCATGGTATCTTGTGCCCAGGGCGTTCCACAAGTTAGCTGGAAGACAAATCCCAAAAGCTCATTTTCTGATTTGTCTGCATTCTGAATATTGGAGGAGAAACAACTATATTTTGCAGGATGATGTTAAAACCTATGCTTGCCTGTCTATTTCTGAGGCCTCAGCCTACATCAAAAGCGGAACTTCCCTCAGCACTCTTGCCACCACTTCTTCTGTTTTCTGGGGTGGGAAGGGGATTCCTCCAGTTGATTCCTCAGAGCAGGGGTGCCAACTTGAATAAAATATTGGGCTGGCCAGGTAAGCCCCACCCCACACAATCAATCACATGATGCAGCGCCCGCACACCATTTGAATGGCAATAGCGGGACTGGGTTAAAGGCGGATCTACACGGATCCTCCACTTTTTAAAAAATAACTCCAACAAATCCAGTGTCCTATCACATCTGGAAGGCACGCCTACAGACTGAACTATAAAAAAGGTGGATCCAACATTGCCACGCTGCAGCACTACAAAAACATGGATCCGAGGCATGGATCCTCATGAATTCATATGATTTTTATATTGAAAGAAAATAAAACCACCATGATACACACTGTCAAATTACACATTGTGCCCATGGAAGCCGTGGATCCGAGTTTTTTGTGGTGCATGCTGTGCCCATGGCCATGATGTTTGATCTGATGGTGGCTTCGGACTGCTGTAGTGCAAAAATCATGAGGATCCGTGTTTTTTAACCATGTTTTTGCACCATAGTGGCCCCACGAAACAGTGGGTGCGTGATTTTTTTTTGTTCTGCCTTCAGACATGGTCTACAGTATCATGGTGGTTTTATTTAATTTGAATGAAAAAATCATATGAATTCTGGATCCGCCTATTACCCAGTCCCGGCACTAGCCATCAACTTTGAGCGGAAAGAGCAAGAAAGAGCCAGGGAAAGGGTGGAAACTGCCGACTGAGGCGCCTCTTCTCCCCGACCCGCCGCAAGAGGCGCTCGCCTTCCGGGCGGCGGAGATGGCGGAGGGAGCTCGGGGAGGCGGAGGCGGCGGCGGCGGCGGCGGCGGCTGGTTCCAGTTCGGCTTCTGCTTCGGGAAGGCGACGGAGGCCGGGCTGGAAGTGGCGCCGCTGCTGGTCGGGGGCGAGGCCGGGCCAGTGCGCTGCGTGAGGCCGAGCTGGAGCTTCTCCGGGATCGTCCGCGCCGGCGGTGAGAGGCACCCGCCAGAGTCCCGGGGCCATGCGGGGTTCATGCTTCCCCACCCCTTTTTCTTAGGCTGAGCAGGAGCGGGGAACCGCGCGCTCCAAGGCATATAGAAGGGACAGACTAAGGGGTCCCGGCCGTGGGGGAGATGCTGCTCTGCATCCCCCATCGTCACCTCAAACTCCTCCCCTGCTTGCTGGGGCTGCGGGAGATGCAACCCCACGACGCCAGGCAGCTCGCAGGAGCCCCATCCCGTCGATAGAGGAGAGCGGGAAGTTTCTCCATGAGCCTTGATGGTGGCCCCAAGCCGCCTTTCTAGGTTGCTGCCTGATCGTCCCTGGCGGGGGTGGGTGGGGTGATTTCCTCCTTTTCTGTGGCCCCGATATTATTTCTTTGCCTCCTGCTCCGCATGGACTGAGAGCTCCAATCCGCCCCATCTTGCCTTCTGCCTCCCGCAGGGTCCCCCCCGGTGCTGTTGCAAGGCGCGGTATGCGCGGCGCTGCCCGAGGACTGCCGGGACGTGCTGGCGTCGGAGACGCACGTGCTGGTGCTGCGGGAGGCGGCGGTGGAAAGCTGGCCGGTGGAGGGTTCGGCCCTGGTCCTGGAAGGAGAGCCGGCGTGGAGGTGCGAGATCCTTCCTGAGGAAGCAGCGACCGTAGGTAGGTAGGTGCGCGGGCAGAAGCGAGGCCCTGAAAGAAGAGGAAGCTGTTGCTGCACCCCATGAGGCTCATCCTTTCTGCCCCTAACCCTCTTTCTCTTCTGCCCCAGAGCTGCCCCTGGTGCCTGGTGGGTACGTGGCCCCTCGGCCCCCTTTCTTCACCCCTCTGCCCTCCACCTTGCAGGCTCGCAAGCTGGCCCTGGGCTACGAACATGCGGTGCTGCTGAACACAGAGGGGGCCCTCTTCTCGTGGGGAGGCGGCAGGTGAGTCTGGCGCAGGTGAGGACTAGCGTTTCCTTCCTGGCAGGGCTATGGTTAAAACTAGCAACCGACCTCCTGCAGGAGGCAGTGATGGCTGGCAGCTTTAGAGGAGGGTTGGGCAGCTTCATGGAGGAGAAGGCTCACAATGACTACTAGCCATTGGCAAGCTCTGCCTCCATAGTTACTGGAAGCCAGTAGAGGAAGGGGAGAGGTGCTCTTAGGCTCAGATCCTGCTTGTGGGTTTCCACAGGCATCTGGTTGGCCAATGTGAGAACAGGATGTTGGACTAGAATGGTCATTGGCCAGATCTGGCAGGTCTCTTCTTAGGTTCTTACCTGGTGCCAGGTGGGCTTCTGCATGGGGGGGGGAGGGGAAGCATGGTGGTTCCTCCTCTTCCTCCTGTCTTTTCTTCCCAGGCATGGGCAGTTGGGCCATGGGGAGCTGGAGAGCAGGACAGAACCCCAGCTGGTGGAAGCCTTGTACGGGGTGCCCCTGGTGGATGTGGCAGCTGGAGGATGGCATTCAGCTGGCATTAGTGGTAAGGGGGCAGGAGGGCATGGTCTGTAGTGGCCCATCTTAAGCAGTGACTAGCTAGGGATTCCAGCACCCCAAAATAGACTTGCTGTTGCTTTTTTGTGTTGGTAATAACAATAGCAACAAAAATATCAACAGAATTGTTGTTGCCAACCTTTTGAGGCTTGTTGATGTGGTGTCAGGGGTTAACTGGGCTCCTGCTCCTTGAACAGAGGCAGGGATCCTGTGGCTGTCTACATATTTTTGTTGGACCTCCTCCCTCAATGGCCAGGGCTGACCACCAATCAGCCACTGCCACTGCCTAAATAGTTCATGGGGGTTTGAGAGATGCATATCCTACAGAAGTGAAGTTCCCTTTTCTTCACAGCTGTTAAAGATACTTCTAACAGTTACCTCCTTTGCCCTTATTTACTTTTTCTGTCTTAATCTTTCTTAAAGTTATAAACCCAAAAATATAAAGATGGGGGTGAGGCTTCTGATACAACCTTTCCCATTCCCATCGCTTTCAAATAATAAACTCCCCTCTGCATGGGAAGCCAAATCCCTCATAGGGCCAGAATCAGCTTTCGCTAGAGAATACATTTTGCCAGCCCTATGAGGCCTCTTCCTTGGGAAAAAGGCCACGTTGGTCCTGGACTGAGCTCCTAGCTGCTCTCTTTCTCGCTCTTTGCCAGAAGCAGGTGATTTGTATGTCTGGGGCTGGAACGAGACGGGACAACTTGCCCTACCTTCCAAATCTGTGGCTGAGAGTAGAGCCACCACGGCAGAGGTGAAGAGAGGTGAGGCCACTTCTGGGACAGAGCTAGATGCTATTTTGGAAAACTTTGCCCAGGGCAAACATACACTATACCCCGTGGCTGTTGTTGGGGTATGAGTTGACTTTGGCAGTTTTATTTACCCTATACTGGGTTGTTTCTAGGGGACATGGAGTTGAGATTGACAGAGCAGGAGGCAGCACAAGGACCCTGCAAGGCTGCATTCATTTCGATCCAAGCCTTCCCTGCTTTGCTGGATATGCCAGATGGGGCAGATGTCTGTAAGATCAGCTGTGGTTCACGACACACCGCTGCTGTGACATGTAAGAGGATGCTGGGTTTGTCTTTCAGTGAGGGGAGCACAGGGACAGCAGGATGAAGGCTTCACTGCCCAGTACCTGAAAGATATCCTGGGGCTGTTGCTGTCCACCTGAGCCTCATTTGTGGAAGGGGCAACATCCAAGAGTGAAGGACAAATGTGCATAAAATGTGTCTGACATCTAACACAATTTATGTGTAAGGATGTCCAGCAGCCCTCCCAAAACTGCTTACTGTCAAAATTGCTGCACATGGAGTTCCTAAACAGCACAAGCTCTTTGGTTTTTGCATGGTTGGGAAATCACAACATAGCGTAAAAGGGTCCTGAAGGTTTTTCCTTTTCCATTGTTTCTTGGATCTGCCCCATTCCCCCAAAGAGGTGCTCAACTGTTATCCTTCAACAACCTCAGTTAAACACAGGTCATCCTTGTATTTCAGGTACAGGAGAGCTCTACACCTGGGGCTGGGGTAAGTAAGCTAGGGGGTGGATTATAGCTGCCCTTGGGGTTAGTACTCCATCTTCTCCTTTTCCTGCTCCAAGGGCAAACTGGTGCCAATAGCTCTTCTTGGTTGCAGGTAAATATGGCCAACTGGGGCATGGGCAGACAGCCAGCTCTGACGAGGCAAAGAGGGTGTCCTGCTTTGTGGACTGGGGTCTACGTGTAGTAGACGTGGTATGTGGACCATGGACTACCTATGTACATGCTGTGGCCCGATAACAGCTGAGATGGAGGGCAAGAATCCAGAAACCTTTGGGAAGACAGCATGAACAGGACCTGCTCCTACTGCTGCTCCAGTTCAGTGCTCTACTGTCTGAGTTGAGGCTTAATCCGACTTTATCCAAGTCCCAGATCAGGTGTAGTGGCTTCATCTAATCCTCCCTCCACCTGCCTTCCAGTAACAGCTACTTCAATGGACAACACAAGGGCATCTTTAGATAAAAGAGGGAGCTGTTTTAGCAACTCCAAGAACACCACAGAGACAGAGTTATACAGAGCATATTTTATGTAGCGCTAAATTGCCATGATGGACAAAACAGATGTTGGAACAGTCATTTTGTGAATAAAGCTGTTGCTGCCACTGTCATCCTTATTAGCCTGCATCACAGTCATGGTTCTTCGGGCAAGAAGCCAGATGCCAGGCAGCAGGACATTGCAGTAGAAGTGGAGTAGAGTTAGACTGCTCTCCTCAGCTAAGAGCCCTCATCAGAACAATACAATTGATTAGTCATTATACAGAACAGCCGATAAACAAGATGTGAACATACTGCCATACAAATAAATAAAGGACACTGTAGTGAAAACAAGGTGCAAATCTAGCCACGATGATGGGGAGGGTGGGGGTGGTTGGCAGAAGCCTCTCCTCCTCCTTCCCCATCCCCAAGAGGAAGCCAGGACTAGCCCAGCTCAAAGGCAGCAGCAAGAAGTCAGCCCCGTCCTATTTGTCATAACTAAAGGTGAGCTGTGCTTCTCTCCAGTGGAACAAGACCTCTGGAGCAAGCATGGGGACACGTCCTAAAAAGCCCCAGGACCTGATCACTTTTTCCTACTGCAAGCAAGTTTAGGGGCTGCCTGCTTTCCCTCCCCACTTCTGTTGCAACTACTCCCTCCCCCAAAAGCAGCTGCATAAGCACCACGGAGGACAGTAAATATTCTCCCCACATAAACAGGATGGACGGAGTGCTGCCACTGTGGGCTCTCTTGCACCCTTTGCCTAGCAGAGGGCAGGAGCGAATGTTCCAGAGGCTTGCAAGAGTATAGGTTGGGGTGGGCCAGGATCCCTCTTCCCTTGCTGCTGGAACCCTAGACTAGACAGCAAGTTGTGCACTAGAGTAGGCTTACTTATAAGAAACCCTTTGCAACATTTACATTTTATTCTTTTTAATATACAAAAAAAATTGTTTAAAAAAATCATTGTGGTAAAAACAAGGAACAAATAGTTAAAAGTGGCCCTGCCTCCATTGCCACGGGCAACAGGGCCAAGCAGGGAGGCACACGGCTTTGCCTAACCCCAGGAGGGAAGTCCAGTGGTGCCAGCTCCTTTGGCTACCTTCCTTTGCCGCTGTGTACAAGCTCCCCGTCAGCTCTCAGCATTGGAAACCGTGGAGTTAAGGATGCGGGATTTGAAGTCAGATCTGGAAGCCTTTGAAAGTTCTTGCTGTGAAAAGATAAATTCTATGTGATGTAACTTAGCAAGCTAGATCAAAGAGCAGTGGAGACCCTCTTGTGAGTGTGGAAGTCCCAGCCCAGGGCAGAAGGGAAGGTGTGCCAACACCACAAAACCCAAGGACACCTTCCCCACTGACACCAAGCTCCATGCAGGTATATTGCAGGCAAACACATGCAAGGGGAATAAAGAGGTGCTCAACCCCTTTCCAAATGCCCCCCTCCCAGTGTCCAGGTACACTCTTTCCCTCTCCACTGCTCTATGCTTGTTCACACCCCTCCCCGAAGTTGCTTTCCATTCCATCAAACACATACATGGGGCTACGGCTTTATTACATAGGCTCACATGCAACCTGAGTTTATCCATAAAGTGCCACCGCAAGCCAGGTGTGGGGCCAGGTGCCGTCCATGTTTGAGACCAACCAAGCAGAGGAGAGTGGACAGCTGGCTCGTTGCATTAGGAGGTTGGCTCAGCTAGGGAGGGGGTGCTCTTGGGAAGGAAAATGTGAAATGATTACCGTTGTACTGCATGCTTCATTACAGTTCAAGGGTGGCTCACAGCATCCTGGGTGGCCTGTGGCTCCCCAAGGGAATGAGTGGGGCAGGCAAGGGCAGCTGGCAGCCCAGTTGCTGAGAGTGGTGGCTGTCAGGTTAGAGGCGTTGAGAGAAGAGGGAAATTACCGCAAACTCGGAATAGGTGCTGGCAACAGAGTTAATGCTGCAGGTGCTCTGGGCAGGGGCTGCAGGGATGCACCCACCGCTCAGAACTGTTCTGTTGAGCTGAGCGACGTTCTCCTTGTTGTGTTCCATGGGTCCTGGGCGAGGGGACTTGGGGGCCATGCGGCTGGGAGTCCGGACAGGCTGCGGAGGCAGCGGGGAGGAGCACTGGAGGTTAGAGCTTTTGACAACAAGCTTCCGGGAGCCCTGCAGAGAAGCAACACAGAAAAGGTTACTGAGCAACCAGGAACCAGTAAGCCACAGGGGTGGGTGGGGGACAACACAGAACAACATTCTACGAGGGCACTGCATTCTTCTGACTGGGCATAAAAGTGGCAACAGAACTTTTGCTGAAGTGTTAGGAAGATGGCCTCTTTTCTACTTGCAGTACCCGTTGCTTAAGAGGATGGTTGGGAGGAATAAATGTATGTTGCCTAAATAATGTTTTACAAAGCAAGTAATAAACATTAACACTTTTTTAAAAATAAAAAGTTTTCTTGCACTTCAGTAAACCATGAGGTTGCCCCCAGCCCTTGCTGATAATTTCCCTCTTGGGTCCATGCATAGCTATAAAAAAGATTTGCACTCAGGAAATGTTGGAAACAGGAAGAATTTAGATACCAGCAGCTGCTGCTTACTTTTCCTCCAGAGAGTGCTGGGTGGGGTGTTGGGGAGTGGAACAGAGAGCCCCCAAATGCTGAACGGATGGTGCTGTTCGGGGTAGCTGTGGTGTTAAGCTGCAAGAAAAAGCCATGAGTTAACACAAGTGCGCTCTCCCTAACTCCAGGTGGCAAAAGCACTTTTTTCCCACCCCAAGCACCTAGCAATAAAACATCTCTTCACAGTGGAGGTGCAGCTCTCCCCCCCTTTTTTTACACCATCTCCAACCCTATCAAATATCAGAAGGGTGTGTGGATACATATTAAGAGCAAGCAGAACTGTGTATAATGCTCTGGATGTGGCTGCACCATAGGACTTGGTTTTTTTATATAAAAGAAAATATTGTGCAAAAGGTCAGGATTAATAAAGGGTTATAGCTATGCTATTTACTATTACATCATCTCCTGAGGAGTATACCTTGCTAGACTATCAATCAGTAAATATACTGTAGTTCTGCAGAAATTTATTAGGTTTGCCTCCTTTCCTCTTGTGTGAGCTTTGTGATTCACACATCTTTGCTTTTTATCTCAGCTATTCCTGGAATTTGCGTTTCCACTCAGTATTTTGCAAAAACAGGTTCTTACAGCCACTGTGATGGATTCTCAATTCTCTTTGGCTCCTTGGGCATTTTTTCCTTGGTCAATGAAAATCATTTGGTTTTATTGCACTAATGTTTACATTTCCAGCATTTTTATTTCATTGCTAATTTGTACACCACTTTTCTACATTACTGTGCAATCGAAATGCTCAACAAAAGCCACACTGCCATCCCATAACTATTTCAAGAATAACCAAAAAAACCACCGAAATTCATAATTCATTGCACATGTGGTACTAGGGAATGAACAAACTAACAAAGAAAGTGCCCCTTCTGCATGAAGCATCACATGGCAACACGGACCTTCCGCACTTTGCTGGGTGTGATGAAGCCCAAGCCCCGTCTCTTGTTGGGGGTCCGTGGGGTGCTGCCATACATCATCTCCTCCTCAATCTGGCGGGACTTCTTGAGTTGCTGGAAGAAAAAGGAATTGGGTGATTGGTATCCACAGAAGCCCCAGAAGGGGATGGCAAGCAAGTGAGTTAAATCGGTCACAAAAAGGGAAGGCAGCAAGAAGTCCTTCATGTCTGGCTACAAGACTGGTGGGACTGAAGTCCTCTGCAGGCATCTTCTCTTCAGCCTACCTACCCACTGCCAGAGGGGTACTGATGACTCCTGCTCAGGTTGCCCAAGATAGCCCAGCAGCTAATTTTAAGCTTCAAATTACTGGGTGGTTCTCACAGCAGCATGTGTCAGCTTTGGGACCATTGCTCCAAAGTATATCCCCCTCTCCCCTGTACTTCAGACACACAAAGCAAGGCCTCAAACACCCAGTGCGGATGGTTCAGCTCATTCCCATCCTTTGGAGACCTTGGTTAAGCCGCCTGTGATCTCAGTCACCAGCCAGAGAAAAGAAAAAGGAGTCCATTTTTCAGACTAAAGCAAGAAGGACAAAGGGGTCCTAATGTTAAGTGATACGGAGATGGAAGATGCTTGAGGGCTCTCAGCTTGTTCACTCACTCTCTCCTGCTTTTCCTTCTCCTTCTCCATGTGGTGGAGCTGCCATTGCTCTGCCACGTACTCCATGAAGCGCTGCCCATTCACCAGAAAGGCCTGCTCCTGCTCTTGCTCCCAAAGCTCCACACGCCCCTTTAGCTCCTCCTCCAGCTGCAACGAGAGACAACTGGCTTCAGCTAAGCTACACAACCAGGGTGCAAAGCAAACAGCAGGCTGGTTGGCCTTCTGCCTGTCCCTCCCAAGGGCAGAAAGGGCCACATGCCTTTGGAAGAGTCTTCTGAAGTTTCGCTCGCAGCTTCTCCTCTTTCAGAAGGTTACCCCCTCGGTTGGTGAAGCGGCTGGGGTCCGTCGCCTTCCTCTGAAAAGGGAGAAGTTGGGAAATGGGTAGGCCTCTTGTGCTTGGGAAGCCACCCTAGGCTGGCCCTCAGTGGCTTCCCACCTGGCCCAGCACCAGACATCTGGCCACCTGTGTGGCGTCTGGCTGTACCTCAAGCTCCTGGAAGAGATGCCAGTTCTTCTCCCACTTGTGGATGGATTCAAACAGCTCTTGATGCCTTTCGTAGCACTGCTTTAACCGGGAAACTTCCTCTTCATGCTGCTGCAGCAGCTCTTCAGTGAAGTCATCTGGGAAGGAGGGGGAACAAACAGGATGCCCAGTAGGAAGAGGCCACAGCCAATCAATCTATACCCAGCAGCAACAGCTGGGGAGGGGTCTACTTGCTCACCTTCATAGTAGGGGTAGAAGGCTCGCCTCTGCTCATCCCCATAAAAACACTTGTCCCAGTAGTCTGCCAGCTCGGCCCGGGTGGCCTCCACCACATTTCTGATGTTCTGAAACTTCAGCTCTTGCAAGCGATCCACTTCCAGTTTCAGCTAGATGGGGAAGAACAAAGGGTCAACACATGCCCTGATGGCACTGACCCCCTCTCCCCTCCTGCGTGCACCACAGAACATGAGAGGGGCTGTCTTATGGTGCACTGGGATTTGGAGCAGGCAGAGGAAGGTTTGAAACAGCTCCCCTTTGATCCTGAGAGCAACAGCCCAGCATAAAGCACCCCTTCTCCCTGTTGGCTTGGCACAGGAACCACTGCTGCTGGTCCGAGGTCTCAGGCCTTTAGTATTCCTTACAGCATCCATGATGGCGGCTTTGGCTCCCACCATGTAGGGGGCAAAGGCTTCCCTTTCCTCCGCAGGCACCTGCAGCCGCTCCCACAGCACCCGAATCCTGGAACGCAGCTCTTGGCACAAGGCTTCCTTCTGAGCTCTCCTGCTCTCGAGCTAGGGACAGAAAGACCAGCGTGAGCCAAACTAAAGCAGCAGAAGAGATGGGATGTCACAGGCAAGGCCCCCCAGATCCTTCTCCCAGACCCCACCCTCTGACCTGCTGCAAGAGATCCTTCAGGGCGGCAATGTTGTCCTCAGAGAGACAGAAGGCATCCTCCTCCTCACACACGACATCTCGCTCAAAGCTGGTGTCTGGGGTGTGCTCCAGCTCCTCCATGCACAGGATGATCTGCCTCTTGGTGTCCAGGAACTCCTTCTGCCGGCGCTCCTGGAGGAGCAGGACAAAGCAGGACATTACCCATCAAGCCCCAACCTCAGCCTCTCCCCCTTTGCTCATGCACACACAAAGTGTGCCCACCTTTTCAGTTACTAGTCCTGCCAAGTGGCGCCGAAAGTGGTCCAGCTCCGCCAGGCTGGGCACAGCCTCACTGTCAATGTCATAGGGAGCTGTGCAAAGCAGGTCGCACATCTCCCGGTCTCGCTCCTGCAGCACCTTCAGCTCCTGCTTTCTCTCCCGCTTTTGCTTCAGCATTACTTCCACACGGGTGCGCAGGTCCTTCTCTAGCTGCAGGATGGTGGTCTCCTCGTCCTCCTGTGAGAAAAACAGTCCTCCTGAGCTCAGCAGGACCACCCTCTAAGAGATGGCATCTGAGCCACATTCGCCAGCCCACAGCCTCACCTCAAAAGGAGCCAGTTGTAGCTCCTTGCAGAGTATCACCAATTCTTTGCGGCACACTGCAATGCTCTTCAGGAGACGCTCTTTGAGGTTTTCCTCCTCCGCAATCATCATGTCAAGCAAGCCCTGATGGCACAAGAGCAAGCAGCATTGAACCCAGAGCAAGCAACGACACTACAGCAGCTGCAGAGCCCAGTCAGTTTAATCTAGGAAACCCCCTCCCCTGGTGCTTGCAGCTCCATATCAGTAGAGCATGTCAGAGGCCCCCGCTGATCATTCCCAAGAAAGCCCTGCACATGTGGGCTTGTTTTTCGTGATGATCATGCACAAGTCCTTCACCAAAAAGAAACTGTTAGGACAGGGGCCAAAAATAAAATTGCCTATATTGTAACATCTTCATACAAATGTGGTACAGCTGAACTTAGACTGTAAGGTTGTTTTGGTTCCTGCATCTTAGAAAAACTGTAGAGAAAAGGGCAACCAAAATGATCAAGGTGCTGAAGCAACTCCCTTGTGAGGAAAGGTTACAGCATTTTGGAAAAGGTGATAATGGGAGGCAGGATATTGTTATAAGAATTTTAAGATTTTAAGGTCTTAGAGATATAATAAATGTTCATAAATGCACCAAGCAAACACATAAATAAATAAATAAATAAATAAACCACATGTGTGAAGCAGCACAGGAAGACAGTCCTTAAACCATTTTGACTCCCAAGCTGACCAAGTGTTTTTCTGCAAGGAGGAAGGAGGTGAAAAAACCTTCCCATTGTCTCAATGTAATTACCATCTCAAAGGAATGGCCAGACTACCAGGAAAGGCAATCAGATAAGGCATTATCAGATAACCTGGCAGAACAGCATTCAAATTTCTGTTGTAGATCGCCTTTTCTGTGATGTCGGTATGATGTATGGAGGGATGGTTTTGAGCTACAGGGCAGGGAATTTCAAAATGGCTATATAAGGCCTTGCGCGCCATTGTTCGGGCTCCTCCTCCTCTCTCTTGCTTGTGAGGAGCACCCTGCTGCAACAGCTTTAATCAGGCTCACTAGCTGCTTTGCTTCTCAATATTCTCTGGTTGGCCTCTGTTATTTTCTCCTACCAATGGGGAACCTACAAAGGACTTTTTAAGGGCTCTTGTGTCCCTCATAAGGGAATAAGGGCAGATTTTGTTTACAATATAGTAGTAGGAAATTACACACGGTGTGGAGAAAGCAGACAGTGATAACCAAACAGGTCATCCAATGAAGCTGAATGTAGGGAGATTCAAGACAAACAGAAGGAAAATTGTTCACGCAGTTAAATTGCGGAATTCTCTCCCACAGGAGGCAGTGAGGCTACTATAGGATGAGAAGGGCCACAGTTCTGGTAGAACACCTGCTTTACATTCAGGTGTTCAATCCTTGGTATCTCCAGGTAGGGCTGGGAAACCTGAAACCTTGAAGAGTTGTTGCCAGTGAATAATACTGAGCTAGATGGACCAAAGTACTAAGGCATTTTCCTGTGTTCTGTTTCATGACAAGATGGGCTTTTGGTCTAATCCAGTCACAGGACTCATCTTACAGGTCTTGACCTTGAACCGTGAGGCCAGGTGAGCCTCCTCTATTCTCTGTTCCCCCCACTCAGACTGCTTAATGATTTTTCCACCTTCTGTAGAAATTGTAATGCTGTATTGTCAAATGCTGTATGATTTTATTCCACAGTTTGTTCTGCTCTGAGATGAAGGGTGGTATATAAATCAAACAACAAACAAACAAACAAACAAACAGACAGACAGACAGATAGCAATACAACAAAATACAAAAAACACAAACAAATGAAACAAGCAATTAAATTATGGTTAAAAATCAATATGAACAGTTAAAGTAGACATGCCACAGTGACCTGAATGAAGAGCCTCAGACCAGTTTGGGAGCCCCTGATCCAAAACAGCATTTTTCAATTTTCAGTCTCCAGATATTTTTGGAGCTACAGCTGCCATCAGCCTCTCTGACTACTAGCTAAGATAACTGGGGAGGGTAGAAGTTGTAGCCCAGCAGGAGCTGGTTGAGCGGTGCAATAGGGAACAGGGATGGCGTGTCTCATTTAGTCACTTGAGGCAAAATGGAAAATGCCACCCTGCCCTGCCACTCTGGGGGCTATGAGGCAGCCTCACCCTGCCTAATATCTATGCCAGCCCTGGTAGGAAAGGACCATGTCAGCTCAGTGACAGTGCACCTGCTTTTGTATGCAGAAAGTCCAACCCCCAGGTCAAGCTGCGAGAAGACCCTGTCTGAAACCCCGGACTGCCATGGCTGCCAGTCAGTGCAGCCAATGCTGGGGGAGATGGGCCACTGCTCTGAGTCAGCATAAGGCATCGCATGGCCTCGCCCTTGCTCAGCTGGCAGGATCTCTCGGCCCTGCTCACCTTGACGTGCTTCTTCACCACTTCGGTGCGCTGCAGGCGCTGGTCCTCGGGGATGCCGATTTCCTCCCAGATGTCGCGCAGCTGGAACAGCGCCTGGTTCAGGCAGGCCACCGACTCGCTGGCCAAAACCTCGCTGCGAGAGAGGGAAGGTAGTCCATCAGGGGCGGGAAAGGAACCCTCCCCATGACCGACCAGCCACCTGGGAAGAGAGCGACGCTCCGGGGCAGAGGCCGCTCCTGGCCAGCCTGGCTCGCGGCGAGGCGACTGCGGAGTTACACCGGACGGGCAGCCGCCTGCGAACCAGAGAGCGCCCCCTACTTCGTCCTCCAAATGCCCACCTCTTCCTCATGGCCGCGGGTATCCGCCAAGGCCGGCCAGCCCACTTCTCTCCTTCTTGCTCTCTCCCTCGCTGCTGCTGCTGCCACAGCCGCTGCTTATTCGGCTCCGCGTCGCGCAACTCCGCTAGCCGTTGCGCCTCCGCCTAGAATTCAAATTCTACCCCGCCGCTCCCTGATTGGCTTCCGTATAAGGCGCCGCCACGCCCCCAACTGCCAGACGGACGACACCTCTCTGGCGTTTATTCCGTCCGAGCGTTCGTTCTGCCCAATGAGAGGGAAGCGCTGTTTTCACTGTAGCCTATCGGAGGGTAGCGACGTAGAAGGAAGAAACGTAACACTTGCCCAAGTACGGTGCTTGGCGCGAGGCGAATCTCAATGCGTCAAGCATCTCCTCTGACATAGCGCTGCGGAGGAGGAGCCGGCCCGGTCCTGCGGAGCATGGATTGGAGTGGGGACCCGCCCACCGGCTTTTCCAGCCCCTGCTTTAAAAGTAGGGTGGGGGCCGGACGGAGCGGGTCCCCCCTCTGCAAAACTGGGCCGGGGATTCCCCGGAATGCGCACTGATTTTGCTGGAGGGGACGGGGACGGGTGCCACCCACCCATCCCCTGTTCTCTGCCCAGGCCAGGGGGAGGGGAAGAAAACGGCAACGGCCAGGCGATTGCAGCCAGCACGGAGGGAGCAGTTGCCATAGCCCCGGGACCCCTTTCGTGGGCCATGGAGGCAAATGGGGCGCTGCCCCACACCCTCAGGCTACCCCCCTACCTGTCTGCCTCCTTCCTGACGACCAGAGGGTGGTTCTAGCCCAGGCTTCCTCAACCTCGGCCCTCCAGATGTTTTGAGACTACAATTCCCTGACCACTGGTCCTGCTATCTAGGGATCATGGGAGTTGTAGGCCAGAAACATCTGCAGGGTCGAGGTTAAGGAAGCCTGTTCTAGCCTGTCAGTCCTAGAGCGCCAGTGTGCTGTAGTGGTTGGAGGTTAAGTCTCCGCTCAGCCATGGTCTAACCTACCTCACAGGGTTGTTCTGAGGGTAAAATGGAGAAGCGGGTAGAAGCACACGCACTGTCTTGATATCACTGGAAGAAGAAAGATGGGATAGAAATGTAATCAATAAAAGAAAAAATTGGCTCTGGTTCTACCTACTTGGTCTTCCTGCCAGTCCCAGTGGACACCAACCAGCAGCGTTTTGCATTGCCCAGCATTCTTGACAAAGGCACTCTTTCCCCTTCAGGGGGTCTTGAGTGCTTGTCCACAAGGCTGCACATCTCTTCTGCCAAAGGACCAAAGTCTATGCTGTGCTGTTCCTCCCAAAAATGGTGTGACTTGCACTCCTGTTTGCTTGCACAGCGGATGGCAGGCACTACCACCATTGCCATAGGAAGGGGATGCTGGAGTGCCATTGCTGTGTACAGTGGTGCCCCGCAAGACGAATGCCTCGCAAGACGGAAAACCCGCTAGACGAAAGGGTTTTCCGTTTTTGAGTTGCTTCGCAGGACGAATTTCCCTATGGGCTTGCTTCGCAAGATGAAAATGTCTTGCGAGTCTTGAGATTTTTTTTTCGCTTTTCCCCCCTTTATCTAAGCCGCTAAGCCTTTAATAGCCTTTTAGCAGCTAATCCGATAAGCCAATAAGCCTTTAATAGCCGCTAAACCGCTAATAGCGCTAATCCGTTAAGCCGCTAATAGGGTTGCTTCGCAAGACGAAAAAACCGCTAGACGAAGACTCTCGCGGAACGGATTAATGGATTAATTTCGTCTTGCGAGGCACCACTGTATGCCAAAGAGGGAAGATAGTCCTGGGGCTGCCACCCTCCATGGGGTGTCATGACCCTGGCAGCTGATGCTTGGTGGGCACTGCCAGTCTTGCTATCCTTTTTGTTTTTGGTGCATTTCCTTCCGAGGGTTGTGTTTGTTCCACCTGAGCCCCCCTCCCCCATGACTGTAGGATCTGGCTGCCAGCCATTCTCTCCACTCCTTGCTGTAGCTTGTGTATTGGATTACTCACCTTCCTTCCCAAGGGAAAAATATCCACACCTTGTCTGAGTAGGCAGCTTCTCCTGCAGCAAAGAAAGTCGAGAAAGCAAGCAGATAGAGGAAAGTGCTGCTGTGTGTTGCCCAGAAGCAGAAAGCATTTTTTGACATACTGTCCTAAGGTCTCATTTGGCCAAAGGTCTGAATGGCCTATGACTCTTATCTTCCACAATACACCAGCAGACATGAGCTTTCTTTGCACCATTATGCACAGTTGTTTTGTACGGTGACAGTTTCTCTTATCCCTTCTGCCTCTTCTAAACAGTGGGGGGGGGCAGGGTTCCTCTTTTTCCTGCTCTTTTATTATTACCTGTCCTTCACCCTGAGGTCCCAGCGTAGGTTACAGCATTAACAATCTTAAAAAACAATATAAAACAACTTACAACCATAAAATTAAGGTGCACCCTAAAAACACACCTCAAATGTCAAAAGCTAGGACAAAGAAGTGCATCTTCAGCATTATCCAAAAGCTGTACAATGAAGGCACTGGATGCACCTCTGTAGGGAGTTCTACAGCTTAGAGACTGTTGCAGAGAAGGCCCTCTTCTGGGCTGCCCCCCCCTCCACCTTTGATGGTGGAGGAACTACCAAGAGGGCCCCCACTGCCCCCAAGACGGTCTGCAGGGAAGGAGGTGGAATTTCAGATATTTGGGAACCTCCCTTCTCTGTTGCTTTTTCACTCTTATGCTTTTATGTCTTGATCTATTTTGTTTGGAGTTTTTATTTTTATATATCCCCTAGCCACAACACTTTTACTAAAAAACAGGATATAAAACCTTAGTAATAAATGTAAATATTTGTGTAGAGTTGTCATTTTGGCAACTGCAGCTCAGTTTTCTTTTGGATCTTGCGCAGATCCTGAGGCTGAAAAGAGGCTCTTCTTTGTTGAAGGGAGACGGTCTGCAATGGCTTCCTCTTCTCTCCTGTGTGCTGAGGCAGTCTCCCTGAGGGCCAGGGCCCTTCCCAGCTCCCACTTCAAAGCTGGCTTTGTGCCACTCCCCTACAGCCACAGCAGCCTGCCTTCCCTCCCCCTGCTTCTTGGTTGGCTTCAGTGATTTGTTGGCAGAAGCTCCAAAGCACCTTAAACCAGGTAGTCAATGACGAAAGCAGTTTCCCTGCCAGCACACGTTCCCCATATTAACACGGAGGGAGAAAGAAGAGCAGCTGCTCAGACCAGTTACCAGACACATCTTTATTGCACTGCTCGAACTGGCAGGAGGAGTCACATTTGCAGGTGACCACCTCTCCCTGCATACTCCCAGTGCTATGGCAGGCCAGGAGGAGTCACAGTGGAAGGGGGCAGTGGAAGGCCAAGTGTCTCCAGGGTGGGTGAAGGAAAGGCCTCTCACTGGACAGGAGGCAGCCCAAAGTTCAAAGCAGTGGAGAGTCAAGCTCCTGAAAGAACAGCCCGTTGCCTGCCATGGGTGGGCTGAGCAAGAAGGAAGAGACGTCCAAGCCCAGATTTCTTGCTGGGTAGAGAAACAAGTCTCCAGCTGCCGGCCTACAGGAAGCAGTGGGGAGACTTTCCAGGTAGCATTGCTGCAATATCCAAGGGCTGCTACAGCTGCTTGAAGTATGCTCATCGCCCATGCCTTGCTGCAGAAGCTCTCATGCCCTTGTCTCTATCATTGATTCCAGCAGCCGGGCACTGTTGGTGATGGCTGTCGTCAGGAAGATGAACCTGATCCCTGCAAAAAGGGGAGCCAGAGAGTGAAATTGCAAAAGGCAAACACAGGCTGCCTGGAGTCTGGTGAGAACAAAAGCCTCCACTGGCTTGCTCTAAGAGAGGCAAAAATAGCTAAATTCAAAGCCTTGAAAATATGTTAATTTAGGAAGCTTGCATGTGTTTGCTTATCTGCATAATTTATTAAGCAATGTATTACAAGGAGCTATACACAGAGGCCTCTCCAGCTTCTAATCCCTTTTTCAAACTTCGTAAGGGCTAGATCTTTGATTTCCTCTTACATTTAAAATAGTTTTTAAAAAGATGTATTATGCCAAACAAACAGTTGTCTGGGATCATAAACTAGGGCAGGCCCACTGCCAGTTCCCAAGCCGCTGCTGCCTCTGGCTCAAGGATTGCTTTTACCTCTTTCTCTGCCAAGGAAGCGAAGAGCTGAGATCTCAGAGAAGGTGCAGCCACCTAAGAAGATGGCCAGAACGATGCGCTGGGAGTCCCAGGCAGGATTCTCCTCCACAGTGGTATCTGCAAGGAGAACAGAGGAGGATGCAGCTGGTCTCCCTTGGTTTAATTCCAAGGAAATGCTTAAGCTCTAGGCAGGCATGAACACACAACTGAAGCAGGTGTATTTGTGTGTGTTAGTGTTATATATCAGGGAGGGCTGGGGGGGGGGGGACTCTGCCTCAATCCCCAGAGAGCTGCTCTCAGTCAGTGTCCTAGATGGTATGAAGCACCTTCCTCACTTCAAGCTCTGGTGCTTGATAATGTCGTGTTTTACAAAAATGTATTAACCACCTTGGTTAGTTTTTTCAAAAAGTCAAGAAGGCATGCTGCATTTTTAAAGAATAATGAATATACTATCTATCCACCACTCCAGAGATACAACAGAGGGAACGTACACAGTTTTCTGTACTGCTCAGGCTATGGCAAATCCCCACACCACTCCATGCCCAGAGGATGTATGTTATCACACGTGGGTGAAATGAGAACAAGAGAATCCCCCATGTTGGTGCTGCCCACTCTTTGCTCCCAGCCACTGACCTGCCACAGAAAATTCATTTCCCCCGAGGAGCCGCACCACCTCCTCCAGGCCCAGCCAGCTCTTGCGCTCCAGCACCTGCATGAGGCAGCCAAGATGGCAGCAGAGTTAGCAGAAGCCACAATAAGGGACATGGGCACTGGGGCCTCTCTTGGGAGGCTGGCCAGGGCCACAAGGGAAGAGGGGAGATCTGGTTTGCACCTGCTCTATCAACTTGCAGCTCAGGGGGATGTAGGCACCGCTGAAGACGTACGCCATGTCCCGGGGCACTTTCAGGTTGTACTCGCCATCCACACGGGGGATCTGGAACAGGGGGAGAGATTTGTCTTATCAGGATGCCTGCTGCCCCACACCAACCTCACGGCTCCACCCCCCGCATAGCACTCACTAGTCCCAGCTTCTTGCTGATGCCTCGGAAATTGCTCTTCCTGGCTAGTGAGTTGAAGGCATCCGAGAGCTTCCCTGGAAGAGGAGGGCAAAAGGAAGCTGGTCATTGGGGCCAACAAGATTTCAAGGAGCACTGAGCTCTTGTCTGCTCTGCTGAGGAGCTGCTCCTTCCTGGCTCATCAGGATGCCCCTCCACAGGACACACAGAGGCTCCAAAGGGAAACTGCTGCTGCAGGATGCTGTACCTGCCGCTCTGTCTGTCACCAGCTTGCTGACTTTGTTCTCCACGGCTGTCAGCGTCTCCCCTGGCACCTGCTCTGTCAGGAGCCCCAGGTGCTTCAGGTTATGGAAGGTCAGCAAATGCTCTGGTCCATAGCTCTAGAAGGGAAGGGTGGGGGGAGATGAGCATCAGGGCAGAGGCATTGCTGAGGATGCTCTGTCCCAAGAAGAGGAGGACTGCAGGGGATCACAACAAAAGGGACCATGAGGCCAGTAGGACCAACACCAGCCAGGAGGAACTGCACAGCTACAGAGGCTCAGGAAAGCCAATTTCCCTCTCCTCCTGCCCAAAGGAGGGCTGCTTCCTTCCCGCCTCACCTGGAGGTACTGGGTTTTCAGGGAGCGATAGTCCTTGGGGGCGAACCCTGGAGCAACCAGAAGAAAGGAGATGTGAATGCACTGCAGCACACCCCTGCACGCTTCCATGGCTCCCCTCCTCCTGCAGCAGAGCACCCACCGTTCTCCGTGATGGACAGCAGGCACAGCATGCGCAGACTCTCAAGGGGGGAGACCTGCAAGGAGGGAGAGAGAAATTGTAACTTTTTATACAATTATATCTTCTGAAAAGCTAACCATGTACTAGTGGGGACTATGTTACTGAATAACAATGAACTGAAACCCTTCTTTTTAGGGGAGTGGATTTCTGCTTCTGATTACATGGTCTGGTGAACCGAGACACCAACTGAGGTCAGTGCTTGCATTTTCTCCCCACCCCGGGCCTCTCCCTTACCTGTCGGTCAATGTGCTCTTCAATGAAGCTGATGCTGTCGCGGAGGTCAAACCCTTCCAGGAGGGCTGCAAAGGCAAGTGGGGTGGGAGGCAGGGAGAGAAGAATCAGCCCATTCTTTCTAACTTTACTAGAGAGTTTCAGTATGCTCCCCCTCCCCTCAAAAAAATCCCTTTGTTTCTCAGCAGCATATCTTGCAACAGCCATGCTCAGAGACGCTTGTAAACTTCTGGGTTAGAAAGCACAAACTGTTCCATAAGAATCCATCAGTTGAGGCTGAGGAACTCTCTTAACTGTACCGGTTTTGAAACAGAAAGGAGCCCTGAGATTGGAAAGCATGGGGGTTCTCCCCCCTGATCACCCCATTGTGTCTCTCTCTTGTCTTCCAGTCTAACTCCCCAAATTCAGCACCTGACTATTATCATCAAGTTCAACTGCTATAGGTCTTCAACTGCAATAAGTAAATTCTTGAATGTTTAGTGGTCCAAATATTGGGTGTAGCAAGCATGGAATTTCAGTTGAGGGGAGAGAAATAGCAACAAGAACATCAAAGGCACTGAGGGCTTTTGGTTTTTTTCCCAAAACTCAGGAGGCAGTGAGATATTCTAGAAGCCCGAAAAGATGTAAAACCAGCTTCCTGGCTTCTTCAGTGATCCAGATGCCATTTGTCAGAGGCATCAACATCTACTGAGCACCTGGATTTTTACATGCCTGAAAATGTGGCTCAGGAAGCTAGATCGAGTGGGGAAAGGTCAGAATCTCACCATGCTCTGTCTTCAGCAGCTCCTGGAAATCTTGCTTGGTTTTTTTCTTCATGATGGATTCGCATGCTCCAATATCTGCAGGCACAAGGAAGACTCTTGAACTAGGGCAGCACTAATCAAGGGAGGCACTGACCCAGAGGAAAAGATAAATCACAAGCTGTTGCTGACAGGGGATGGAGTTTACAGCACTGCAGGGGTGCACAGCACTCTTCCCACCCTCTCTCCTTTTGCCACTTCATTCCCATTGTTCTTCTGCTCTCCATGGGCAAAAGGCAGCATGTGGCTCATGGGCTACAGGTTCCCCACCCCAGAACGAGGCCACCGGGCCAGGTCAGTGATGACACTCTGCTGCTCCTAGCTGCTCCTCCCCCATTTGATGTTGTTGCCCCAGGAGGGAGAGGAGGAGACCTACGGAGACTCAACAGGCGATGCTCTTGCTTCAAGCCTTTCAGCTCCTGGGAGACAAAGTTCTTCATCTGCTTGATGTCCATCCCTCGCCGTCGCTGCAAAGGGAGAACACTTCTTGCATCCTGAGGCATCCAGGAATCCTACCCGCCCCCCACTGCCCCTCTCCGCTTATCCCACTCACGTCATACTGCGCCTGCAGGTTCCGGGCCTTCTGGCTCAGGAAACCGAAGACGCTGGAGAAGTGCTCATTGCGGATCTGACTGAAGACCTGCAGAGAGAGGCAAGTAGGGTGGCCAGACAGCACCTAGCTCCCCCCACCCCCATTTAGGCCAACCCTCAGCACACAGCACTAGTGCTCCCACCACTTGCCCCCACAACAGGGCAGCACCTTCTGCAGCTATCGAGAGGCCTTAAATTCCCTGACCAAGCCTGCCTTCAGGAGGAGAAGGGAAGGCAGACACTCACCTTGTCCTGAGCATTTAGCAGGACTTTGATGCTCCGATCGGAGGAGGTGACATCTGGGCCAAAGTCAACGCTCCCTGCAGAAAGTGAATTCACCAGGGTGCTCGCTTGACAGGACATCTGGCCTGCGAGCAGCCTCTGCCCCCAAATGTCAGCTGATCAATGACTGTTCTGGGAGGCAGGCAGGCCCTCCTGACCTTTGGAGAGGTAGCAGGTGGGGAAGCAGCCCCCCCAGGAATGGAAACTTACCACACTTGATGCGGAAGGTATCGTCCACCAGGCCTTCGTACACAACCTGGGAACAAAGGGCTGTGACATAATCCACGTCTGAAAAGAGAGCCAGGAGAGGGGTGAGATGGGCAGGTGGCAGAAAAGAGTATCAGAACAGAAGGGGACACCTCCTGGGAGGAGAGGGGGTGTACACCCTGGGCTTCTTCCCCACCCACACCCATAAGAGGGAAGAGCCATCCTAGGCAGAGAAACTGCCTTGCATGCAGAGGGTCTCAGGTTCAATGGCATCTCCAGGCAAGAGCTGGGAGAGAGACTCTGCCTGAAATCCTGAATAGCTGCCCCTAGAGCTAGGTGGACCAAAGATCTGAATTCACTGAAGACAGGGTCCCACGTCCAGGAGATCTGTTTTGTTTTACAGCATTTCGTGCATCTCAGCTTAGCAAAAATAGCTGTACTTGCTTGAATTACACAGATGAATGCTTAGGCTCTTTCAGAAACTTCCAGTCACGACCTTGGGCCAAGACTCCAGGCATGACACCAGGCCCCATCTGCCCGTCTAACAGAACCTACTTCTCATGCCCTTACCTCTGTCCACAAGGAATACATGACCAATCTCTGGCTTCCGGCCCACACTGTCAACGTCGCTTTCCTCCACCACTTCGCGCCAGAGTTCATGGACCATCTGGGAGAAGATCAGACCTGCCCGTCAGCCCAACCAGTGTAGCTGGGAGGGGCCCCCATCAAGGAGGCAGGAATCCTGCCTCTGACCCCAACAGCCCCGTTTAAGTGACTTGACAGAATCCAGCTGCTTGCTTGTCTTGCACTAACTTTGCTACCCACTATGATATGATTCTAAGGTCTCACCAATGTGGAGGAAAGCTCTTGGAAACATCTGTATTCAGAGCTCTTTCTGCTATATACTCAATACATGCCCACCCCATCCTACCCAGAGACATTCTGCTCTCTGGACCAGGCCCCTCTCACATTCTTTCAGCTGATCCTCCTGTACCAACAAGGCCCCACCTTAGCACACCGGCCAATTCCGTAGGTCCTGCTGAATGGTCCATAGAGAGAGTTCATCAGTTGCAAGGCCTGGGCCACGGTGCTGATCCAGCGCTGGTCTCCTTCCTACTGGGGCACAAGAGAAGGAAGCTGTGATTGACACAAGAGGGTGGAAATTGAAGGTGTGCCTAAAATTCTTGAGCTGGTACTTGCTGTGTGACACTGAGGCAAACAAGGGGGAGGAGGGCAGTGTGAATAGATAAGGACATTGCAGGAGTCAATACTGACCAGGAAATAGTCACGGAAGAATTCCGGGAGCTCCATGCTGATGATGTCATCGTCCAAAGGGAGTAAGTAGAAGGACCACTCATCCCAGGTCACGTCTGCCAAGGAACCAGGACAACACAAGGGGGATTTTGCCTTTGACCCATGATACAACCTCTCCACTGCCTTAAATTAGCTGCTTGGAGTAACTCAGGTGACTGGTCAGAGGTGTTTTTTTAATTTTATTTTAAACATAGCAATATTACTTATTCATTCATTCTTCTTATACCCAACCCTTCCTCCTGGTGTTGCCCAGCATAGTGAACAATCATCTTAAAACATGATCAAAATACCTTAAAAGATGAAAAACTAACCACAAATTAATACAACACAGATCAATCCCATACACGGAACAATGAACACTGGCATATTCAGACTGCAATCTTATGCCATTTAACTGGAAGTTAGCCTTATGAAACACAGTGCGTCTTACTTTTGAGTAAGCATGAACAGGACAGCGTTGCTCAAAGTTTCTGAGCTTGGGGAAGGGGATGCCGGGGAGCCAATCACCAGCTGAACTGCTGCTTTCCTCAAGTACAGCCCCCTCCCCACCCGCTGACTTTGATCCTGATGTTCTGCCAAGCAAAATCTCTGTTCTCCGTCTCTGAAACTCACCCCCATAGATCCCCTCTTCTTCCAGCACCATCTCACATGTGTAGAACTGGAAAGGGTTGGAGAAGACAATCAGCTCCAGGCAGCCTTGGGAACAAGCAGTCTAAGTGTCCCTAGAACCCCCTTCTACTGAGAAAAATTGAAGAGACTCCTCCAAGGGCAGAGGAGGGTGTTTTACAGGCACAACCAATTTTAGCTTCTAAACTGTTGCAGAGAGTGAAATTGGTGGTGGCTAAATTGAAACATGTTAAGCTCAACCAAACGTCTGGGGGCTTGGGAGATAAAAGAGACCCCCCTAATTCTACACCCACTGCCCAGACTACACAGGAAGCTGCCTTATAACAAATCAGAACATTGGTTCATCTAGCTCAGTATTGCCCACAAATCAATGCATCTTAGAGCTGGGCAGCCCAGGCAGCAGCCACAGCCCAGACTGGGAAATACCACCCAGCCAGAGGGACCAGCCAGCCAGCAGCACTTCAGAAGGTCCACACATCACATCATTGCTGAGCTACCCCTGGACTACTTGGAAGGTAAGTCCCAAGAAACCCGACCCCAAAACTCCCGGCTACAAGAGACTCGCCTTCTGAGGACTGAAGATAATCTTGTACTTGCGGGTCCGGCCAGCTGCCTTATCGGCGTTTACTATGTCTAGGAAAAAAAATATGAGTCAAGGAGCAGGCGAGGCTGGCCAAGCCCTTTCCAGGCAATCAAACAAAAGGCTGTCCACATTTTTTTATTTAGAATATTTTTAATTTAATCTCAAGGCAGCTTTGCAACAGATTGTAATAATACAGAACACCCCAGGAACTTGCCAAAGACCCCTTAGTCCCATACTCTTCAAGCTTGGGGTGTGTGGTAGAAATACCTGTTGAGATAGATGCAGGTAGGCAGACTGCCAAGAACCAGGAGAAGAGACAAGCTGAAACCCACTCCCCAATTACCCAGCATCCCCCTGAATTCTGGTAGCAGCCTGAAACATTACCATAGGCAGGGTAGATGAGACTTCTGCTCTGACCTAGTCATGTTACTCTTCTTCCATAATTCCTCAGGGCACTGCTACAATCAGACCACTACACAGTTCATATCCCTTTCAGAGGTGCTCAGTACAGAGTGTCCATACTGGGACCTCCTGCTAAGCCTGGGAGCTAGGAAGCAGCCTTATACTGAGTCAGACCCTTGGTCCATTTAGTTCAGTATTTTCTACACTGACTGGCAGGAGTTCTCCAAGGTGTGAGGCAGGGAGACATTCCCAGCTCTACCTGGAGATTGAACCTGGAACTTTTGGCATGTAAATCAGATCTACCACTGACAACTGCCATTACTGCTCCTCCCTCAGGCCAGCACATGCAAACCACCAACTTACCTGCCACGTACTTCATGTTCCTGATCCGTGGCCGCACCAAAAAGCACAATCTTGGGAGAAAGAAACAAAACAGACAACGTGAAAGGAGTAGTATCGGAAACAGCTCTGCTCTGTCTGCTTTTGTCCCATGGCTCAGGGATGGAGAAGCACCGCCTTTCCCTGGCAAGCAGAAAAGAGACAGGCAGGCAACCCCATGCAGCAGACTCAGTCAGCCCTGGCCAAACAGGGCAGGCCTCCTGCCACACACTTACTGATCACTGGTACTGTGGGCTGGTTTATTCTCCACTTTGTAAAGTTTGTCCACTTCATGTTGCTGCAAAGAGAGATGGAAGCAGAGAGTGATCAGCTCCACATCCTGCACAGCACCCCTGCTTCTTGAGGGTGGTGGTGGGGATGACTCCCTTTTCCTCTTTCCCCATTTCCTCTGATTTATGCAGCAACGAAATTGGACAGAAGTTGTGAGTAGGCACAGCTCAAGTGGGATCCTCCAAGTTCAATTCCTCATCCCAGCATCCTCACGTCAGCCTCCCCGCCCCTTGCCCTTTTCTCCTAGGTGAGCTTTTGTGCCTTCAGCAGCTGCCTTAAAGCCCGGGCAGTCACAACATGGGAAGCCTCCCCACCTCTGTCCGTACTACACCCCTAAACGGGGGCGGGAGTGAGAAGCTGCACCTGCCGAATTTCTGCCTGCCTGAAGGAACAGGAAGAGGGAGCGAGCGGGGAGCTCCTCGCGCACCTTAAGGATGGAGACGTTGGCGATGCGGTCGAGCGGGCTCATCAGGTCGGCCTCGATGAACAGATCTTTCTTGCCGGGGAGCTGCAGGGTGAGGGAGAAAGAGGCGAAGCGTCATTGCCAGGCAAGGGCCATGGGGAGCAGCTTTCGCTTTCGCCCCAGTACCCGCCCATCCCACCTGCTCCAGCAAGTAGACCAGCTGGTCCCGCGCGAGGCGCTTCAGAAGACCGAAGTCCGGCAGCTCCGGGGCGTCGCGGTGGCCGGGGGATGCCATGGCTGGTAGGGTAGGACGTCGCCCTTCCTTCCCGGAACCCTCCACAGCGAACGCTGTTGTTGACGGGACAGCCCGGAAGTGGACCTGTTGCCATGAGAACGCGGCCCAGCCGGCTTCCGTTCGCGCCTTCGTCCGCTCTTATTATTGTTCCGACTCCCCATTTCCTCGTTGAGGTGGTGGGGAAACTTCTCATTGGCTGCCCGATGATGCTGGGAGGGCAAAGCCAACCGCGGCCGCATTTGTTTCCTTGCTAAGAGGGAACGCTACTTGCCTCCCTCGCAGCAGACTGGTTCGGTGCATACTGCCCCATCCCCGGGGGAGGGGGGCTGGCCCCCAAAACCCAGCCAGCTCCCTTCCTAGGCGAGCGTTCACCTCGCGGAGATCTCTCCCCTCCTTGGTCCCAAAGCAAACTGTGACCACGCTTGGGGCAGTTTCCTTTTCCAACGTTGTCAGGGCAGCCACTTCATTGCTGCATTAATGCCTGGTCAGCTCCATGAGCCCAAGGAGAAAAGCATTATCATCCGGAGAAACTTTGTTTTGGTGATTTATACCAGGGGCAGCACTTCCACCCACCCCATCCTTGAAGCTGGAAACCCTCCCTCTACCCCTCAGATAGCTAGGGAATCAACCCACCTCCTTGCAAGTTTTATAGACTGATGCCAATGCGGAGTCACAAATTGCTCAAGGCTTTTATTGAGAACCACTCTCAACATACATGCTTTCGCTATCCAGCCAAGCAAGGTGGGTGGGTGAGATAAGTAAGATCCCGGGAACAAAGACACTCCATTACGCTCCAGGAACCATAGTGCAAAGTGATCTTCTGCAAATGCCCATAATGAGCTGAGAGGAGGAGGATGCTGTGCTTGAACTGCAGGTGCGAGAGAGTTCTTTGTAGTCCTGCCCTCCAAAGGTGCTGCAATAGCCAGGCCACGTGGGGAAAGGAGTAGGCCAAGTGCTACCCTTAGGTTGCCTTCTTCTTTATTTGCAGAGACTGGGGGTGGGGGGCAGAGAAATATGTAGAGGGCATCACTTTACACTGAGAGTACCTAGTGAGGCAGGATAAGAGTAAGTGGGACCGCAGACAAATTGGCGAAATTCTTCTCCATTTTTTACCTAGTAGCTCAGCAAGGTTTGTGGCCTCCTTTCCCTTCCAGTGGATTTGGCTGCAGCTTAGCCATGTCACTCAGGTAGCCCTCTGGCTTTAAACAGCAGCCACAATTTTTCCTCCAACACCGGGTTTGTCCCGTGCAAGCCCGTCACTACCTTCGAAGCCCAGTGGAAGTACTCCTGGACTCGGTTCTCGGACCAGCCTGGCCAAAGAGAGACAAACCCACAAGTCAGAAATTCACACTTGCATCCATACACAAGCCTGACTACTGTTTTGCCACACACTGTGACAGCTGGACTTGCTTTGCTACTTTGAGGAGGGGATCAGAGCCACCTAAGAAGTGGGGTGGAGACTGTGTGATCTCCCTGACCTGTTCCAAAACAGCATTGATGTCTACTAGCTAAACCTGTTCTCATAGGTGCTTGACTCTTCAGTTGACAGCAGTGCTCACCAGAGACTAATTTGGGAAAAGCTACATGATTTTGATATTTGAACTCATTTTTGTGTGTGGCTGGAACTGTGTGCAGCATATGAAGGTTTTATATTATGTTTTGTCCAAGCTCAATATTTTAATATGCTGTACTGGATCCTGCCCCCACCAGATTATAGATACAGAGCAGAAGTCTTAATAAATTAGTTATTGAGCTCCTGTTCTGTAACACAGAAAAGGACAGCAAGGACCTTGCCATCCCATGCCAGCTACTCTCCCTCCTTTCAGAAGGGCTACCCAAGGTGGCTGGCCAGAGACAGACCTTGGGGTGTGCAGCGGTTGAGATCTCGCAGGTTGTACAGTTTGTCTGCCAGTTTCACCAGCTTGGCCTCTCGGCTGCTCTGAGCAGCTTGTTCAATCTGCAGCCGCTTGCGCTCCTTCTTGACCAAAGTCTTGTCATCCGTCACTTCCTCCACAATTCGCCTCACTTCCTCCCCAAAGTGCTCCTCGATCTCTGAGAAGGTGGTGTCTGTGTCTTCAACAGTGTCATGGAGGAGAGCAGCCTGGAAATAGGAGGTTCTTGATGCTCAGTTTCTAAAGGACTTTGATCCCCAATACCCTGCCCTCTTCTTTGAAGTACTTCTCTGCAGGAATGCAAGGACATTCACACATGCTTAATGGCACACTTATTATGAGTTTTCCAGGCTAAGCCTTGCCACACTGTGCTTGGAAGCTTTAAACTAGGACAGGGAAAATATCAGGGAGGGAGAGGGGGTGCCCTTACCTGCAGTACTGCAATTTCCGTTATTCCAGCTTCCTGTGCCAGTATCTGGGCTACACCTGTGGGGGGTGTTAGACAGAGGGGCAGTACTTAGCTTCTAAAAGGAATAATAGAATTGTAGAAATGGAAGGGATCCTGAGGGCCATCTAGTCCAACTCCCTGCAATGCAGGAATCTCAACTAATGCATCCACGACAGATGACGAGCTGGAAGTGAAGCCCCCGTCCCCACTGCATTGCGGAAGAAAGCACACACTGCACATGCTTAGGAGACTGCTCACCGATGGGGTGGTTGATGTACGGCGTGCCTTCCGGGTCTTTGCGCCGCTGCGCCGCGTGCTTCCGGGCCGCGAAGTCCGCGGCGTCCAGCAGGCGCACCGCGTCCGGGGCACTCATGGCCACCGCCGGGGAAACGGTTGCTCTCCGCGGATGCAAAGCGCAGGCGGCCTAATGCCCAAGAGCAAGCGGGGCGGGCAGGCGCTCCGGTAGCCCTTTTTTGCAAAGGCGATGGAAGGAGGTCGGTGGGCTGGTTTGGCTGGGAAGGGAAAGGGCTGCCAACGGGATGGAAAGGCCCCTTCCGGGTTCTTTTACCGCCGTCCCCTCCGCAGGGGTGGAAATGAGACGCAGAGGAAACTGTGGCATCAGCTGGACAATTGATCTCCCCCACCGCTCTCAACCAAATGGTAGCAGCCAGCAAAGGACTATTAAATCCAATACGTACTTCGACCTAGGCAGGGAAATCCAAGCTTAGTTGTTTGAAAAGGGGCGTGCAGATTGAAGGGGGTTTGTGCAAATTTGACTGCAGCAGCACGCGGCCGTTTTCGCAATTAAGATCATCCCCAACTGCTCCCCTATCTTTAAGCAGCTCTGTTTCTCTATGCACCTGGGAAAAGAGCTGGGGAGGGTAGCATTGAGGATAAATCATCCTACTCTCCGTGTTGCTATCAAGTACACAACCTACATTAAACCAGAATTTCCATTAAAAAACACAATCACCATCATGTATACTTGGAGCCTCAAGGTTGTTAAATGTGGCTTTAAAATGCTGTGGTGGACCATAACCGCTGCTCCACATTCCGTTTCAGCTGAGGGTGTTTTGAACGCCCTGCAAAAGGCCTGGACCCCAAAGGCCAGTCTTCCCCAAATCTCTGTCTTGGCTACCTACAGTAATAGGTCTTTTATTGACTCAGCCTGCAGCCACACTGTTCCTTTTGTTCTCCACAAAGTGTAAAACGAACAAAGGCATCACAGAAACAGGGCAATGTATGCAACTCTAGCCCTGGTAGTACGGTATGTTTGGGTCATGCTATTCAACAGATGGACATAAGGCTGACTGATACTGACAAGACTAGTGGAAACAAAATAAAAAAATTCCATGTACATGAAAGTTCATACCAATAACTAACTTAGTTGGTCTCTAAGGTGCTACTGGAAGAATTTTTTGTTTTGACTACGGCACACCAACACGGCTACCTACCTGTGACAAGACTAGGTTCATCTAGCAGGTAGCATCTCCAACAGGCAGCCACTTTTCCAGATCTCTGGCAAAATGTATTTCCCCTTTAGAGATACAGGAGACTGCATGCAAAGCAACCGCTGCTGTTCTGCTACCGAGTGGTGGCCCCTCCCATCTTGAAAGCAATGAGGGTACCTGGAGGTTCTGCAGCAGAAGTTCACTAAAATGAATAAAAGGGCAGAGCCCTTTCACAGATCGACTGCAATAAAGCCTCAGAGGTAAAGGTAAAGGGACCCCTGACTGTTAAGTCCAGTCGCAGAAGACTCTGGGGTTGCGGTGCTCATCTCGCTTTACTGGCCGAGGAGCCGGCGTTTGTCCGCAGACAGCTTTCAGGTCATGTGGCCAGCACACTAAGCCGCTTCTGGTGAACCAGAGCAGTGCACGGAAACGCCGTTTACCTTCCCGCCAGAACGGTACCTATTTATCTACTTGCACTTTGACGTGCTTTCAAACTGCTAGGTTGGCAGGACCAGGGACCGAGCAACGGGAGCTTACCCCTAGACTCTGGTTTAGACCACAGTGCCACCCACGTTCCTTACAATAAAGCCTCAACCCCCACCCAATTAAAGGGAAAAAAAACCCTTCTTGCTGCTTTATATAAGAATGCAGTTAACTGCACATTTGTAGAATAAAACAGAAGCATTAACTTGAAATATTTAAGTATTTTATTACTTAAATAAGGATTTGAGGGTAGAAAAGGCTGTAAGAAACGCTAGGATAACAGAAAAAAACCTTTGAGCTGAGACTGTCTCATATCTTTATTGCTTATAATTCACTCATGAACTTGGAAAGTGTAAATTTATTTTCCTGCTTCCACTTCCATGCCACAGGAGTAGTAAAGACTTTTAATGTAGCATATTGTTATCCCATTTTTTTCCAGTCCCATGAAGTCCTCCTAAGAGCAATGCCAATTCCACAAAGGTGAGCCTTGCCCAGTATGCTTACTTTCTTTTCGTGGGTTTTTCAGCCTCACTCATCTTCTTCTCTGCCCTGAGGGCAGAGGGAAGCAAAGACCATCATGTGCTTCCCATTCACCAAAGAGACATGCAGTGGAGCACCCCCCCAGCTTGGCTTCACCTCCTATTGATTAGAATGGGAACTCTGAAACCTCAACTTTAGAAACCCATAAGAGTATTCCACCAAGCCAGCAAATGGAAGACCCCTCTGCCTGTAGCACAATCTTTTACATTCTGTAAAAAAATAAATATCAAAAAAGAGAAAATTGAGGTTTTTAAGGGTAGAGCACACTCACATCTTCTTCACTCCTCTTACCCTACAGATCTTGCACTTTTATTGATCATCCCAAATCATTGATAAGAGGATCACAAAGTCATTTCCCTCTGACAGCAGGAACTTCCCTCTGACACACAGGAATTCCCTCATGCTCAGGATGAATTGGTTTGGGCTTGTTTGACATGACAGACATGGGTAGGAGCACAGAATATGGATCCCTCCTATTAGGCTGAGAAGAATTTTATCCATCAAAATCCTTTTAATTCCTTGTGCTGTGTCCTGCCACCAATCCTGCCCAGGCAACATTATTTTCATGATCTGAAGGGCCAAACTGTCACCAAGGAGCAGGGCAGGAGCGTTCTGGCATCCAAATGAGGCCTCAAGGCAAGAGCACAGCTTTCATCCAGCTCCAAGTAATTGGAGGGAGAGGGCAGGCAAGGCACTTCCAAGCACTGGGCCTATGGGCTACCCTTTCACACACCAGCCACGAGACAGACATTCAAGAAGGGCCTCGCTAGCCCAGCTTGGTACCCTCCAGATATTTTGAACTATAGCTCCCATCAGCTGTGTTGGCTAGGGCCAATGGGAATTATAGTCCTGAACACCAGGAGGGCAGCAGGTTAGGAGGAGCTGGGTGCCCAGGTTAACTGGGCAGAATTACTTCTCTGGCATCAGCAAAAAAAACCAAACAACAACATACCAACTTCTACACTAAAAGAGCAAGTGAGCTTCCCCGACCTGCTTTTCATAGTAGGTGGCTGGGGCTTCCTCTCAAGAAGGGGTAACAGGCATCTGAGGAACTTTAAGAAACCCAAGCTATTAATCCCTTCCAAAATGCTTTCAGAAAGGCATGGAGGCTTATCATCATGCACTTGCTTTCATAGCCCTGGGAGACCTTGCTGCTGTTGCTGCAGTCACTACCGCTGAGTCCCTGCAGGGCCACATGGCTCTTTCTGAGTCTCTCATCTGCATGTGTCCAAGGGAAATTCTAACCACCTGCATCACAGCACTTTGTAAAGGCGAAACTCAGCAGGACCCTTTATATAAGCCTGGTGTCCGCCTCTCAATGCTTGATGATTCTGCTCTGAGCAGACAGCAAAGAAAAAGTCTAGGTAAGGATGGTCCCTTGTACTGCAGGAAGCAGAGTTCTCCTAGCTGCCTGGGAGCAGAATCTGAGCAGGAAGTCCCCTGAAGGGCCAGCTTTTGACTCTAGTGAGGAGGGGCCCCACAACACTTTCCACCACAACAGGATCCCCCCCTTTTCTTAGGGGCTGGGTGTGGCCATTTTAGCTACAGGGACAATCCAGACAAGGTACTGCCCTTGACACGCAAAAAGAGGCCAGCCTGCCTTCCAGCACTGCCAGATGCTCAAGCCTGCTGGGTTTGGGGAAGCCTGTAGAGGAAGTTCCCATCGCTGTCGAAGAACTCTCGGCCCTTCTGCACGACTTTCAGCTGGGACTCCCAGGTGCCCTCAGCCACCATCGCTTCCAGCTCCGCCGGGCTCGGCCCCCGCCAACCCCGACCTTCCTCCTCGTCGTCGTCTTCTTTCTGCTGCTGCTGCTGCTGGGGCTGCTTCTCCGGCGCAGAGGGGCCCGCACGTGCCGCCTTGGGGGCGACTGGCCGGGAGAGCGCCATCGCAGCGCCGGGGGCGGGCAGTAGACGGCCGGCGGCCTCGGTGGCCACGATGATCCTGGGGCGGGCGCTGCTTTCGGGGGTCGAGGCTACGGCGGCGGCGGCCTTGGCGTCCTGCTTGGCTCTCCGCTCCGGTGAAGGGGAGAAGCGGCTCCGGAGGACTCTAAGGACGACCCCGGGTTCCACCTGGAAGCTCCGCGCCAGGCGGGAGACGGGCCACTCCTCCGGCAGCTCCTGGCTCAGGTACCTGGCGCAAAAAGGAGAAAGAGAAGTTGCAGGGGCGCGTTGGAGAAGCGTCGCCCGCGCCCCGCTTGGGGCGGAGAGAGAGACGTGGCTCGTCGCGAGCTGCCGTCGGGGCTCCCCTTCCTCCTCCTCTGCCGCCGCCGCCACCTTCCCCGCGGTCGACCTCCCTGGCCTCCGCTCTTACCGGATCTGCTCCATGGCCTGGCGGGTCAAGGTGCGCTCAGGGGGCCCGCGCGGTTCCATCAGCCTCTGCATTTTTCGCAGGCGGATCGCCTTCTCCTGGCGCTTCAGCAACCTGTCGGGGAGGGGGGGAGAGATGAGCGTCTCGGGCAGGGGAGCTCTTGGGCCAGGGAGGGAAGCTGTCGAGGGATCGGGCCCTACCTCTCCACCTCCTGCTCCACCTCCGGCTGCTCCTCGGGCAGTTTGCCTTCTGCCTCTCTCGCCGCCAGTCGAGCAGCCACCCGCCGCAGACCCACCAAGCGCCCAGACCCGGCCATCGTCGCTCAGAGGAAAGAGACTGGCGGGGCCGCACCGCCCAGGAGCACGTGGGGGCGGGGCGGGCTCTTCCGGAAGGAGGGCGCAATCCGGAACGGGAGCCACGGAGGCCGAGCTTAGCCCATCTGAGTTTCAGTAGGAAAAGCGCGCCTCCTAGGTAATGGCCTGATGCGGAATCCCTGTAGCTCAGTGTTGTCTACACAGACTGGCAGCGGCTCTTCAGGAGAGTCTTTCACTGAATATACCTAGCACTTGCTGTATGCAAACTGGATACACTACCCCTAAAATAAGGTCCATCCCGTTTTCCCCCTGTAAACCTCGTGGGCCCAGAGGCTTATGCTTTCCATCCCACCTAGGAGGCCAGCCCTGGGTGGGGTAGGGTCTGCCACAGTTTGCCTAGAAATAGTAGAGCCCCCATCCATGGGCATAGCCAGGATTTATTGGGGGGGGGCAGAACCGAGCTATCTGCAATACAATTGGTCAGTTAGTTAAGTATTTTTATTTATTTACTTGATTTAGGGGGCAGCTTCTCTGCTGCCTACACCCATGGCCCCCTTTGCATCCCTTTCACGGAAATTCAAGTATGATGACGGGCAAAGAACAATGGAACTCTTTGTATTCATTTGCCTCTTTGAAGAGCTTGCTGGATCTACCCACCATCCTGTTCCCACAGTGGCCAAACAGATGCCTTCATGGTAAGCCTGCAAGCTGGATCTGAGCTCAAGAGCCCTCGCCCCCTCCTGTGGTTTCAGCAGCTGGTATTCAGAAGCATTGCTGCCTCCAACTATGGCTGCAGAGCATAGGCACTGTGGCTAGTAGCCATCGATAGTCCGCTCCTCCATGAATTTGTCTAGTCCTCTTTTAAAGCCATCAAATTCAGTGGCCATCAGTGCTTTCTGCCCGAGGGAGTTCCATAGTTTTAACTCTGCACTGTGTGCTGGACATCCTTTTATCTTCCAACATTCAGCTTCATTGGGTGTCTGCAAGCTCTACTGCTATGAGAGAGGGATAAAAACTTTGGGGGTAAGGAAGTCCCTGTTCCTGCTCCCAGCAAAGAGGGTAGCTGCTGGGAGAACAAGATGCTGTGCTTTGTGAGTCAAAGGAGAGAGAGAGAGACCCCAGATTGTATAACCGTATAAAACTTTAATACAAAGTTGGTTAAAAAAGAAACTCCGTTCCCAGCCCATAGTGCTCTTCAGGATTGGGACCTGGCCTTTGGCAGGCTGACTGGCATTGGCGGCAGGGGAGTTGGCATGGAGGAAGTGGGGGCACGACCAAAGATGTCTAATACTGTTATTAGAATTTGTTGCTGCTGCTTTGGAGTGGGGAAAGGGGGAAATGACTTTGGCATGGAGGAGTAGGTTGGCAAGGGGCTCCTGGACAACTGCCTGGCTCGGGTGGATGTGTTGTGTCCAGGGCCATGGCACCAGGCCACTGCTGCTGCTGCCACTGCCTCCACAGGGCAGGGGCTTCACCTCCTCTACTGCCCCTCTTGGCACAGGCTGCAGCAGCAAAGTCCCCCAGCTCTTCTGGCTCCTGGAATGCTGTTCCGCCAAGAGGTCAAGTCAAGTGCCTTTCCTGGGGGAGGAGAAAGACAAGGAGATCATGAGGAAGTTTGGCTGGAGGACCTTCTTAGCAGGGTCCATCCTGCTGCTGTCTGAATGGGCCTAGGATGAGGAGGCTACCTGGGCTGGTTGAGATGCAGAGTGGCCATGTTGCTGGAGCGGTGTGGGCTGGTGCGCCGGATGAGTGGAGCAGACGCAGAATTGATGGCCAGTCCATGCAGGTCAGTGCGGTTTAGCGGAGCTGCCGCAGAGGGGAAGGGAAAGCTGCTGTACATGTGGCTGGTAGCTTTGCCACCGTGCGACAGGCAGTTCAGGGAACCGGAGCTCATGTACAGGGGCCGCTTGCTTGCAGGGCTGCCTGAAAGAGGAGGAGGAGAGAAGCATGGGTGGCCGGGCTCCATGCCTGTATGGCAAGCAACATGCTGGGGGAGGGAGGAGGAGGTGGTGGTGGTGCTGAAGAAGACCGCCTGTGCTCCCTGCTCCTCAGTGGTCTGGCTGCCCCTTGGCACCACTGCTGGACACACCTGCCAAGATACTTGCTTGCCCTGTCTCCACTGCAGGCTGTGGCCCTCATGTTGCCCCTGTTCCTGAGTCTTGGGGTTCCTGAGCACGCAGACAGGGAAAGGTTACATTTCCTGGTGTCTCAACCCTCCTGCTGCTGCTGGCAGTGGTCGTGGAGCAACTGGGGCAGCACCAGAGGACCACAAGGCTCTCACCCGCAATACTCACCGACTTCCAGCTTGTTCTTGGCGCTGCCAAACCGGCGCCCTCCTGCCTTCAGCATCCGGGCCAGAGAACCCGGCTCGCCCACCATGGCCGCACCCAACCAGCTCATGTTCTTGGGGGGCTGGATGTGGAGCTGCGGCTTGAAGTGTGTGGAGTAGGACTCATGAGAAGATGAGCCCAGGCCCGACAGGGCGCCCAAAATGGTTGGGATGAAGCCTTGGTTTCCCAGTAGTTGGACACGGGCTGTGGGCTGTTGCTGCATGATCTGCTGGCCGAGCTCCTGGACGGAGCCCCCTAGGAGGGAGAGGGGGACGAGGGTCATCAGATTCTGGGGCTCTCGGTTATTAAACATATCCTGGAGAAAGTGAGGCTGGAAGAAAAAAGCAGCAGGGTGAGGCTTAGAAAGGGGACCCTACAGGAGTCACCTGTGGCTGCTGTCAGGTTTTAAGGTGTCCCCCTCCCACACTGACCGCTTCTTTACAAAGACCCACATAGCACATCCAAAGGGAATGGCAGGTATCCACTCCCCATTGGTCATGTTCCCCCAAACCAGCCATTAAACATTTTCGTAGCCTTGGTAAGGCACAACAGTTGGCCCTTTGAGACTAGTCAGAAGGATTTCTGCTTTGCAAGCAGAGAACAAAGCCGGAGAGCAAGGCAGTCTGATTGCAAGGCAGGAGCAGGAACCCAGCTCCCTCCAGAGCCAGGGAACAATGTTTGTTCCAACCCTCCTCCTTTGCTGGAGAGAGATCTCCTCCAAGACTTTCCACCCAGTGTGCATTTTGGGGTCTGGAAACAGCACCTGCATACCTGGCTTTCTGAGATGTTAATGTGTGGCCTCTGGACCTCCACAGGCTTAGGTTCCGTGTTGCGGAGCAGGCGTGTCAGCTGGTCGACGATGCCCAGCCCTCGGATGAGGTTCTCCCTCCGTAGGAGGGCTTTGACCCTCTCCACTTCCTCTTCCTCCACAATGGCCTGGGGGGTCATGCTGTCATATGGTATGGAGGATATCTAAGGAAAAAGGCAGCCTGGGTCAGACTTGAGAAGAGGAGCTGGGCTCATTTTAGATATTTAGATCCTCAACAGCTCACCAAGCAGCTTACAGAAAACAAAACAGCACACTTGCTCCTCCACATAAGAAGCAAAACCAGATCTAATTCTGTAAGGCCAAGATTGGGTACGGTGTGTTCCAGCTTTAGCCCCCAGATCTTATTTTGCCCTGCAGCTTGTATCCCACAGAGCCCTCTGGCCAGCTCCTCTGCAGCCATGCCAGACAAAGCACAAGGCCCACCCTTATCGCCAGGCTTGCCGGGACTCAAGCTATTTCAAGCTCCAGGTTGCCCAAAGGCAAATAAGGAACTTTCTGCAATTGCATTGCATGCGGAAAGCCACTGGCTCCCTCAGAACTGCAAACTCAGTTCCAGCAAAAAGAGGCTGCTTGCATTTATGGCTGAATATATGTGGGCTATAGCTATGGAAAGGGGCAGGGAGGCTGGGGTGGGACTATGGGATCTCTCACCTCTCCCTGGGGCAGGCAGAAGATTTAAACCATGCAAGTTTAAAACAAGAAACATTCACCAGGCTCCTAAAGTAGAATAGTTCCATCTCAAGGTGCAACAGCTGGCCTTGAAAGTCCTTCTTCCTCCCTGGTGTTAGAAGAGGAAGGGGCTCAAGAGCTGCTCCTCACTCCCCCATGAGGTACCTTTGGGTTCCAGGTCTTGCTGTGGCTGTAGGCTATGCGAGTTAGGGCTGGCTTGCCCTTCCCCTTCTCCCCTGCTGACTCCCCCTGCAAGTTCTCCTTCACGTCCCTCTTCTTCTTCGCAGCTGTGCTCTCCCTCTGCTCCTGCTTCTGACGAATCTCCTCCAGCTGTTGCCTGACAGAAGACACAAGACACTGTATGTGGGTGTGTCATCCTTTTGCATGTCCATGTGTGTATACATGCAAGGACTAGGCCTGGCTCAGCCTGCCCTGTGAGGAATGGCTTCCCCTTGCCCTACCTGGCACACTCTTCCCTGGCCTTGGAGGCCACAGTCTCTTGGAAGAGGGATCCACTGTGCTTGAAGAAGGGGTTGTACTTCTCTGTGCCCCGCGATGGGAAGATCTTTCGGTAGCCACCCAGGTGGCTGCTCTCGTACTTCTCGGCCTGGGCCAACCAGGCGGCTTGACTGCTCTCCAACTGCTCCCGCCTGCAGATTGAGAAAGTTCAGGCTGGGGCCCCGGCAGCAGAGAAATCCTAGGTTCTGCCAGGGAGGGAGAGACTAATGGGCACTGCTGTCCTCTGAGTCCCCCTTGGCCTCCCCTGTCACTGGTACCCAAGCCACTTTCCTCCCTCTCTTCCCCCTGCTCCCCCACTTTGTCTGCATGGGGTATTGCACAGCTCCAAGGCAACCAATGAGCCACATGCCAGGATCCAGGACTCCTGCACTGCCACATGGCCAATTACAGGACCATAGAAATAAAGGCAAACCCATCTGATTGGCTCCTTGCTCCATTTTCTCTGCTCCTTTGTGGTGGTTGGAGGCTAACGTGCAACCTGACAAGGCTGCAGGGGCTGGGTGTTGGGCGTCTCAGAAGGCAAAGCCAGGAAAAGCTGCTTCTGAGGGAGAAGGAGGCAGCATGGCCAGGGCAAGGGAGGCACTTAGTACGGCCACAGTCAGGCTGGGGCCCTCCCAGGGTTACCTGGCTTCTCGGGGCGGCTGGTGGGCTTGGAGGAGGCGCTCCTTCACCCGCCGCTTGTCCTCTTCTAACACCTTCTTCTTGTCACAAGCACGCAGGTTGATAAGATTGATGGCATCGCAGAGCAGGGCATCCTTCACTTCACGGTCCAGGCGGGAGTCAGTGGTGAAGCTGGGGGAGTGGTTGACCTGGAGCGGAAAGGCCTGGGTTTTACATGCAGCTTCCTTACAAGGTGGCCACTCTGGGATCTGGTTTGATCCCATGAGACTTCAGGATCTCCACTCCTTCTAGGACAGAGACATCTATTCTGATGCTTAGTTTTTTCCAAGATATAGTTTGCAGTTTTTTGAAGTGGCTGGACTGGAAATGAACGACAGGCTGGCATACCCTGGAGGGTGTGGGGAGAAGTTTGACATTTGCAGCCAATCAGGATTGACAATTTTAATTCAGATCTGGAAGAATCCCAACTCAGCCTCATGTGCCTGTTTGTGTTACTATTGTCTGAAGATACCCACCCCACCTCACCTCTGACTTCCAAGGTATTTGTAGACATCTTTCCTGCTTCTTTCAAGATACAAAAGAGTAGACATAGGAACAAAGGAAGCTGCCTTATACCGAGTCAGACCCTTGTTCCATCTAACTCAATGCTGTCTACACTGACTGGCAGCAGCTCTCCAGGGTTTCAGGCAGGAGTCTCTCTCTCAACCCTACTTGGATTGAACCTGGGACCTGCTTGCATCTACCATCTACCACTGAGTGATGGAGACTAGCTGGATCAGGGAGAGGGAACTATCAAGGAAGAGGCTGAGACTCTTCCCAGGCTTCATTGGGATCAAGAACAAAAGAGTGTTGAAGAGGGGGCTGAGAGTGTTCTTGGGATTAGAATCATAGAATTGCAGAGATGGAAGGGTCTTGCTGCAGAGAAGCAGTGCAGGCTCCCGTTGGGAATTCTGCTTCAGAAGGACCACAGCACCCCACGTACCTCCAAGAGCCAAGGCTTGAGCTTCCTGTCCAGGAGGATGTCGAAGCCCAGGATCTCGAAGCAAGCGCAGCCCGATATGTGGTTGGGGAAGCAGGTGCGGTAATTGTGCTTCAGCACTGGGTGGGCAGCAATGAGGGTCTTGATGATGATGTCCTCAATGTCCCGCCACAGCTCGGCCGTGTCATAGCTGTGCTCCCGCATCCAGCTGTTCAGTGTGGACAGCTTCCTATGGGGATGAAAATGGGCTGCAGGGATGTCAAGGCCAGACTCTGCTCCTGAGGATGGCCAAACCCCAAACCCTGATCCCCACATCCACAAAGAAAGGGGCTCAGCAGGACAACCAGGACAGTCCCCTTGTGGCAGGGCATATTTCCAAACAAGCACTAAGACCCTTCCCACCTTCAGCCATGTTTTTTAGTTGGAGATGCTACCAGAAATTGAACATGGGATCTTCTCCATATGAAATGTGTCCCCTCTACCCCTCCTCCATAATACTGATGGCCTGAGTGGTCTTGGATAAGTTTCTGGCTAAGAGGAACCTGAACCCATGCATTGTCCCCTGCACTGTCCTTCCAGCTTGCATTGCTTCCAGCTGCCTCTGCCCATCTAAGCATTCACTTTAGCAGAAGGCAGCTTCCCCCAAGCAGAAGGCCCAGCTCTGCTCCTGCAGGGGGCTTGGCAAGGAAAATACCTCTTACTGCCTGTATTGTCATCACGCACGAAGTTCTCGTTATGCTTGTTGATGGCGTAGTTGGTCAGGTGCATACATATGTCTTCCTGCAAGAGAGACAGTGGAAGGGTTTACTGTCTGCACCTGGAGGCCCGTTCCCCTCCTGCCTAGGTTCCCTGGACCAACAGCATTCATCAGTCCTGCCTGAGCAGCGCCAGAACCCTCTTGCCCCCATGCCTCAGTGCTGCCTGTCATGGGATGCAAGGAGGGCAGTTCATTTTCCTGACAGCATCTCTCAAGCAAGACTCCATTGATCTTTCACTTCCAAAGTGCCTCAGGGACGACATCCATCCACCCCCTCTTGGAGAGCTCCCAGAAATCACATCAGGCACCACAACAGCTTATTATTCTACAAAGCAAATGCCAGTTCCTGGGAAACATCCCTTCTTTACCAGGTTGCTGCTGCTGGGCTCGATGTACCTCATGGTGGCAAAGCGGGCCAGCCCCTCCTCATAGACAAAGATCTTCAGTGGGTCGCAGGAGGTGACCAGGACATAGATGCGCATGTCAAACTTGAAGCCATCAATGAGGAAGGGCTGCAGAGAGAGGGGTGGGTCTGTGGTTGGTGGTCAGGGGCAGACAGCCAGTAAGCTCAGGAGTCTTGCACCAAAAATCCCCAGGCGAGGCCAGCTTTCTCAGCCAGCTATGCTAAGAGGGCAGGAGTTGTGCATTTAGGCAAAGGGAGGCCGTTCTCTCTTGGTGTCCGCCAGGCCCACCTTGGCAATGTACTGCTGGCAGATCATGTGCTCGCCGTGCTTGATCTCCTTGGGATTGCGTGTGATGAAGATGCCCCGTCCTTGGCAGCCGCTATCTGGCTTGCAGATGTAAGTCCTGTTCTTTCTCATGCGCCCATACGCTTGGAAGTCCCCATAGCTATAAAGGCACAACACAGAAGCTGGCATATGGGAGATTCCACAAAGGCTGCCCTCTCTCAAGCCAGTGGCAGGAATTATTCATCTGAATGAGGGTGCATGTGTGCACTCCAGAACTGGCATAGGATGACTAATTGATAGAAGACCCTCCCCAACAGTGGCCCACTGCTTGCCCTTCCCCCAGCATCACCACTTGGATCAGAGTCCCCTCACTCACTCAGCTGGCAGGCACCAGGTGCGTGGGAAGATGCTGTACTCCTTGGGAAAGAGCTTAAGCATGCGGTTGAGGTTGCGGGCAAGCAGGTCCTTGCGGCAGATCTCTGCCATGCCTGGGAAGTGGTTGATTTTCTGAAAATAGAGCAGGGACAGGGGAAGAGAATCACCAGCATCTCTGGAAAGGAGTGTTGCTGTTTGTTTAGGGTATTTATTTATTAAATCTATATGCCACCTTCCATCTGAAAATCTCAGGGCAGTTCACAACATAAATGTTGACAATCTAGCTGCTGTATTCTGCACCAAGCAAAGGTTCCAAGTAAAGGGAGCCCATCTAACAATGCTTTGCCATTGGTAGTCTAATTTGTGGCTAAGCAGTGTTTGTCTAGGAGGGGTTGCAGCCAGACCTTGCCCACCACCCTCTCCTTGTGATAATTTGGATCAGAGCAAGGCAGTGGAGTGTACACAGGAATGCCCTCCTGGTATTTTTTAAAAAAAATAATATTTATTATTTTTCCAAAAACTTAAACACTAAAAAGAAAAAAAAAACAATACAATATAACACATCAAATTAACAAAACAAGACAAAGACAATAAAATAAATCAAACAATTTTCATTATCCCATCTTTCATCCACTTATTTCCACGACCTCCTCACACCTCCCTTTTCGTATTCCACTTCTGCTAATTATTTCAGCAATTCCTTTCCATCTTCCTCTGTTTTCTATCCTATAATTATCTTAACTCATTCTAACCTTATTTTTTCATTTAATGCTCTATTAACCTATCTGTACTTAATTCCTTATATTATTTCTACTAAAGCCATATAACTTCATTTCAACATTTTTCTAACATTCATTAATTTTACAATATTTCTGTAGATAGTCTTTAAACTTTTTCCAATCATCTTCCACCGACTCTTTGGGAATGCCCTCCTGGTAGTGGCAAAGCCATGGAAGAGCCAGGGCTTAATCGGACAGATGCATGGGCAGCTGCCCCCCCAATCAATAAAAATCAATAGCCAACTGAAGTTCTGCTCCCACTAACGAACATCCTGGCTATGCCCATGGACAAATGTGTTGATTGACACCAGGGGCTTCCCCCAGCAGAGGAGCACAAGCCACTCTAGTCCCAAAACTGCCTGAGGCAGCATAAGAGATCAAAAGTGCTGTGACATGTCAGAGACTAGCTACCTCCCTTCCTGACTCCAACCTGCCTGCCAGCCACAGCTCCCTCCCCTTTGGCTCTGCTCCAGTTACCTGAAACCTCTTCATTTCCATGACACGCTCCAGGGAAACTGAGCAGTCAGTCCAGCAAACGGTCCACTCTTCGTCCTCCCCCACTTCTTTCAAACCACAGCGTCGAGCAGCACGCCTAACTGCAGCAAAAGAAAGAGGGCCACATGGATCCAAGAGGCACTGGAACCCCTCTGGATCTTGCCGGGGGCAGCGGGAGTGCAGCAACCATCTGAGCAGAAGGAGTCACCCCTCTGGTGGGGGGTGGGGGGGGGAAGCAACCCTCCAAAACAAAAGTGACCCTGGGAACTTCTATCCTAATGAAGGTGCCTCACAGGTCCCCATTCCCAACCAATTCAGAAGCTGCCTGGAGTCACCCTGACTGCTGTTGGTTCCTTCCCCTGTGAATGGCATAAAGCCAATCCAGGAGACCAAGCAATAACCAGGGCCCATGTGATGATGCTCTCAGGGTACAGGAGAAAGCCACCAAGAAGCAACCCTAACTTACCACTCTCATATTTGCAGCTGGCGAGGTTGATGGACAGCAGCCTGGAATTGAGATGGAACAGTGGCTCAGTGGCTGGGGAGAGCAAACTTTCAGCTGACAAGCAGCAGCTGCTGGGAGGGGAAATGCTTATGGAAACATGGGGCCAACCCACCAGGCCTTGACCCCTGTGGCCTTGGGGCACAGAACACAATGACTTGGGGGGGGCAAAGTAAAGAACTGGGATTCCAACAGCAGCGGTGTCTGCACTCCTAAGTGCGAATGGAAACTGCATAGCTTGCCCCGAAGAGATTCACAAGGGGGTCCAAGGGGGAAACCCGGAAGTGGCCCACCTGTGTTTCTTCTTCTTCCTCCTCCTTGCCTCTTCCAGCTCACATTCTTCTGCCAGTTGCTCCTCCAAATCGATCAGGGAGACCCCTGGCTGGTCACTCTTCTGCCCTGGTGGCTTAGTGCCTTTCTGGCCCTGGGTTCGCTGCTTTTCCTTGTTTTCTGCATCCAGCCTCTTAAGGCATTCATTGGCAGACTCATCTGACAGGCCCCCTTCGTCATCCTCATCTTCGTCTTCATCAGTTTCGTTCTCAGACTCACTGCTTTCGTCTGTATTGATCTTCATTCTCTCAGGCACTCTTGCAAAAGAGCACAGGGAAGAAGGGTTGTCAGCAGATCCTGCCACTCTGACATTTCTTACTAGTTACTGATAATCCAAAGCAAACTTGTCTTCTTTATAATGCTCCTTTGTATTGTGGTATTTTAATGCTTTTGTTTTACTGGAATGTTAATTATTTGTAAGCTGCCCAGGGATGTTCCTGAATGTGGGGTATAGGTAAATTTTAAAATGGTAGCACCATCTTTGTGGGTTTCTTCCAAGCCTCTTCAGCCACCTAGGACATCCTCCCTCCCTCTAAAACTTCCAGCCAAAATGCCTCATAATGAATCAGAATGGCAGGTCCACTTTCATATTAATACCTGCTCTGACTGGCAGTAACTCTCCAGATTCTAAAACTGAAGCATTTCTAAATCCACATTTTACTTGCAGTTGATTCAGTTTACCAGCAGAGCACATATCCCACAAGTTACTGGAGAGGCTTGGATGCAGTTTAGCAGCCAAAGACAGAGGAGGTGCCCTGCTTGAAGACTGGGACATCCAGAGACACTGAACAAGAAGGGGACAGGGAGAGGGCAGCTTGGAGAGGTTGGACAGCCAGACTCTACAGCAAAGTGTGGCAGGGAGTGGCACAAACTTGTGCTGGCCTTAGCAATATTAAGCATAGATTGAGCACTACTGTACTAGTATAATATTCATTGTTTATTTACTATATTTCTAGGCTGTCTGGATCACAGGGTTGTTTACAATATTCATCTTAAACAAAAGTAAATGATAGTAACTAAACCAAAAGAATACAACCAAAGAATTAAAATATTATTTCTGTAGCCAACTCTGCGTTTCCAGTTTCAGCACAACTTGCTCTCCTTGCAAAGGCATGGGGGGGGGGGAGAGAAGGAAGGCATTAAGGCAGCCTTCCCCAACTGGCCACCCTCCAAAATGTATTGGATGACAACTCCCATCAGCCCCAACCAGTATGGTCAATGGTCAGGGATTATGGAAGTCATAAAACAGTCTGTAGGGCACCAGATAGGGGAAGACAGCCTCCAGGAGAGGAGCCCATACACAAGTGACCTGCATGTCTGCAAAAGGGGAAGGGCGGTGTGCCACAGAGAGAAGCTCTGGGGAAGCAGATATTGGGGAGAGGAGGGGCAGGGGACCTTCTGTAGCCCTCTAGATGTTACTGGACAAATAGCAGCAGGCGGCAGGTAAGCCAAGAGTGGGTGGGAGCTGTTCCCAGCTACACCTGCAGGGTACCAGCGACCCCATCTTTGGCAGCCTTAGCCAGCCTGGCGCCGCCCTCCAGGTGTTTGGGCCTGCGAGGACCTCTAGTGGTTCCGGCTGCGGTTCTGGGCTCCGAGGCGCCAGGCTGGCCGGGGTTGCTTTGGGGTCTGACCGGTTCACATCCACACACTGCCTCGGCGTGTAGGACAGCACTAAAGCGGCCTCAGGTTCACCCTGCGAGGAGGAGGGTCCTCGACGGCCCCCTTCCGCAGGGGCGAGAGGAGTCACCGGGGGCGGGAGAGGGGTCGGCGGGGCATCTTCGAGGCTTCCCAGGCCCGCCCGGGCGGGGGAGACCCCAGGGCTGCGCCGCCACCGGCAGGCCTGTGGGCTCTTTCGCCCCACCGCCACTCATTCCTCCTGGCGGCTCCTTACCGGCCCCGCGGCTTCCCCCGGGGCGGCGGCGGCGGCGCCTGGGCCTCGGGCTGCCTGGGGCCCTGACGCGGTCACCATGCCGACAGCGGGCCCCGCCCCCTCGGGCGGACGCGGACGAAGGGGCGGGGCCGAAGCGCCACAACCATAAAGGGCGGTTCGAAGGACGGAGCGCCGCTTCCTTCCCACTGCGCTTCCGCATTTCGTCATCGCCTGGCGACCTGCTCTTTGTGACGTGAGGCAGGATCTCGCTCGCCGTTGGCCCGCGTTGTGATTCGATTTACATGGACAATCAAGCCGCGCTTCTCGGATTTGCTCATTCCTATTGGACGTCTCTTCCCTGACCTGGCGGTGGGGAGAGAGAGAGAGAGAGAGTGTGGAAGCGGATATCCGGTCTCGGAGATCCCGGTTTAGAGTCCTCGCTGCCTGTGACAGCATTAGAAAGCCAATGAGCAGCATCTCTCCTGTCTTCTTTCCTTGTGTTTATCTGGACATTACTTGACCTTGTTTTAAAAAAGCGTCATTAAATAGATAGATGTAAAATAAAAAGGTGGCCCTGAAGGAAGCCGAAATCACCTCTATCATGCCAAGTGTGCAAGTTTTAGAGTTATCCAAAACTCTTCTTCACGGAAAGGACCATTAATAGCTACTAGCCACGATGGCTTTCCCCTGCCTTCATAGTCGGAGGAAGCAATGCTTCTGACTACCAGTTTCTGAAAGCAACAAGAAGGGATAGTGCTGTTCTTGTGCTTAATCCTACTTGCCAGCTTCTCACAGACAGATGTTCAGCTAGGATGTTAGACTAGATTGGCCATTGGCCTGATCCAGTAGGTTCTTCTTATGTTCTTAATTGGAGGTGTACTGAGCAAATAAATACCATCAACAGCTGCAGAACCTGTTATTCAGGGGTGGCTCAGGCAATACTAGGGCATTTTTCTATAGACAAGATCTCTACAACCAGTGCCCAAGGCTCATGCTTATCCCACCCTGGCTTTCAGTAGCATGGCATTGTATACAACCCTACTTTTTTGCAACAGTTTGTTTATTTATGAAGATGTCAAATTAAGGATGTGCCAAATTAGATCCTTGGTCCATCTGGCTTAGTATTGTCTACACTGACAGGGGCTCTAACTGGGAATGCTTAGGGATCACACATATTCAGTTTAGCACTCAAACAGTGCAGAGCGGGATTCCTAGTTCAAGTGCGGGCAGCATCTCCCAGTGGGGCCGGGAAAGATTCCTATCTGATACCTTAGAGAGCTCACACCTGACATTGTAGACCAGGGGTAACAAGCGTGGTGCCCACCTAGATGTGGACTATGATTCCCTTAATTGGCTATGTTGGCCACTCCTGGGGTGGACAATACTGAGCTAAATGGTCTGATTCTGTGTAAGCGCTTTAAGGAAAGCAAATATTGTGTTACAGCTTGTGAGTCAAATGAACAAAGGCGGGAATTCAGTTGAATTTATGCTTTATTGACCAGCAATTTTGCATGTCCTCCTACCATGGCATTTGTGGGTAAACGAGGTCTCTCTCCTTACTGAACAGGCACACATTAGCAGAATTTCCAGAAGCACAACCATCCCTGTGACATCACTCTTTGAGGAGGGCCACCAGCTCACACTGGAGCTGGGAAAACAGAGAGTCTGGGAGGAGACATTTCTGAAGGGTGTGAATGGCCAGTGCTTCTGTGAGACTCTCAAAATCCTGGGCAGTTTTGATGGGCAGGTGCCCTGCCAGCTCGCAGAGAGCCACATTGAAGGCAGACTCTTCTTTGGTACCAAAACAGGATTTCCTGGCCCAGACTATGATCCGGATTCCAGGTCGGGCTCCTGAGTGGATGGGCCCCTCTGGTTTAGCACCCCTGGTTATGAACAGGTTGTGAGCGATCTCCTTCTTTACCAGATAGTTGGTGACCTGGCAAACACGCTGTGCCAGCTCCTCTAACTGCTGCCCTTCACTATAGAAGACGAAGCAGGGAACTGGGACCTCCTGCAGCAGATAGAAGTTTGCTTCGGGCAGGAGAGGCTCACAGGGGGCTGATTCAACCAGCAGCTCCCAGTTCAAGTAAAAGCCATGCAGGTGCAAGTGGTTGACCGAGGCAAAGGCCCCAAGGCTGTTGAAACCCACACGGAAGCCAGGGTGGCCACTGAGGAGGACAGCATCCAGGCCAAAGCAGACGACCTGTGGGGTAAGGATCTGTGGCAATGAGAGTGTGGGATCAGGGATAAGAAGGATGTGCCCAAACTCCAAAGGGCTGACATTGATCACTACAAGGACAAAGGCAGAGCCAGGCGGAATCTGAGCACCTGCCAAGCAGGGCCTGGAGGAAGTCTGGCCCCTGGACATGCCAAAGAGAATCTCCTCAGGCCGGATCTTGCTGAAGTTGAACTGCTGGGGATCAAATCTCTGCTGGATGCTTTGGATCTCCTGGGGTCTCCTTCTCTCTGACCCCCTTTGGATGTTCAGCTGGGCCACAAATCCTACCATCCCTGGCAGGATCCGGGTCTGCAGCTCCTCCAAGTAGTAGCGGAAGAGTCCCCGGTTCTGTCTGTCCTTCCAGCCTGACTGAAGAACTCTGTCAAAGTGGGACATGGTGTGGACAGGGGGTCCACGACTCCCTCTGTTTTCCTGCCACTCTACTCCACTCAGCACAAAGTCCCTCTCGTCATAGGCAAAAACCTCTGCAGGGGAGAGATCAGAGCCCTTCTGAGATTGGGGTCTCGGAGGTTCGTGGCTGGTGGGGCCAAGCTCCATGGTTAGGGCGGAGGCAACCAGAGGCTCCTCTGCTGCTCTGAAATAGAACTAAGAAAGACAGAAGAGCCCACATTAGAGAGAGCCACAATGAAGCCCCAAAGAGCTGTTCTTGGTGGCTTTCAGTGCCTGCTGTTCGGCTGGGTAACTCAGCTCTGGACTGGGAGGCCAAACATATGTGGAGGAAGAGTCTGAGGCTGGCACCACCAGCCCTTCCTTTGCAAATGCCAACCTGGTGCCCTCTAGATGTTTGGGGGCTGATGGGAGTTGTAGTCAAAAACATATGGAGGCACCAGGATGGCAAAGGCAGACTTACTGGGTCAGTGTGAAGGATGAAACTCCCCACCCCATTGCTGCTCTGTGGCCCTGCTGGGCTGTACGTTTCCTGAAAGAACAAGAAATGGGGGGAGCTCCTCATGCTGGGAGTCCAGGCAGCGCCAGTGGGTGCCCTCCACTCCTCGACCATGGCGTCCCCCTCGGGCTCCTTAACGCACAGGGGGCTCGCCAGCCCCAGCCTCTGTTGGCGAAAAAGCCCGGCGTGCTCCGGGTCGCGTCCAGAGGGCCGCCGTCTGGGGGATCCGCAGCAGCATTGCCAGGAGGGGACGCCGCCCAGGGCCCAGACTGCAGCCTCCCTGCTGCCCCACAAGCAACACAGCCCGGCCCGCTCCTAGCCTCCTACCTCTCCTGGGCGCCGTAGACGAAGTCCGGCCGGATTCCTCTCTTTTCTTCCTCACCTGCCGCCGCTGTGCTGCTCACGTCGGACTGCCGGTGGGCCACGTGGCCGCGTCCCGGGCGGCGCTTCCTTAGTTGCGGTCGTCGGGCGGGACTGGCAGCAGCGTCGACTGATCTGGGGAAGGAAGCCCATCACCGGCTTGGCCACCGCGCGGGATGCCATCGCTGCTGATTCCCCCGCGACGGCTCCGACCGCCGGAGCTTATCTGGTGCGGGGAACGGTGGGAGAGGGGGCCTCCATCCATCCTGTCCTAACTGGCCGGCCGGCGAGCGGAGGAGGGAATGCCTCGGAGTCTGCCAGCAGCGAAGCATCCCGGGACACCCCCACTCCCCGCAACGGGCCATGCCGGGCTCCGCCTGCCTCCTTTCAGAATGGGCGGGGCTACGGGGTGGTTGCCTGGCGACAGTGACGTCCCGTCGAGGGGAGTGGGGAGGAGGAGGAGACAAGGAAGTTCCCGGAGTTTGTCTCAAGTTGTACCGTCGTCGCCATGGGGGCCTCCGGCAGCCGCCTACCCCGAGACCTCCTGGGGGAATACCAGGTACCCTCTCCCGCCTCATCCCTTCGCTGGGCTGCCTTCGTCCGAGTAGGGGAGGGGACCTATGGACGTCTTCGCTGGGCTCTCTAAACCTTTCTCGCTTGGCGGGGTGGGGGTGGAGCTGAGGGGCAGAAGTTGTGTGTGGGCGTCAACTTGCCCCCCTCCAGGGGGCTTCCCTCCAGATGTGGCGGGACTCCAGCTCATCCCTGTTGCCCGTAGATGGTGCAGGCTTCTGGGAGGAGTCGGAGTCCAGCCACGTCTGGAGGGCAGCCCCGGGGCGCGGGGCAGACTGGTGAGGGGGGCATGATGGGACCCCTCCCCCCGCTCTTCTCCAGCAGACTAACCTTCTCTCCCTCCTTTCCACCCTGTCCCGCTTTCCTAGGAGCTGACTTTCTTGACCAAGCAAGAGATCCTGCTGTGAGTATATCCCCCCTCCTTCGTGAGGCTCTTTCTAGGGTGCCTGGGTGTAAGCGGTGGGGAGACAGGCTTCCCAACGACCCTGCTATTGCTGAGCAAGCTTGCCTGACTCCCAAGAGCATTGCAGGGGGTTGGAGTAGATGACCCTTGGTGTCCCTTTCCGCTCCGCTCTGCAGTTCTGATTTTAAGGTATTTCTACTGGCACAGGGAGGGGCTGGAGATACTAGCAAGGGTTGAACTGGGTGTCCCACCACTGAGCTGCCATGGCCCTCCCTCTCCCCTGGGAATGCCAAGGTCCAGTCCCCTCACCCTGGCCTCAGCCCTGGGTTGACAGGCGGACTTTGCTCAAGGGTTCAGAGGCACCTGCAGTTTCACCTGGAGGGATGTGGCGATGACAGTGGGAATTCCCCAAGCTGAGTGTGGGTAGATAAGTGAGATGAGGAGGAGGGCATTGCCAGACATAGGGCAGCACAGGGAAAACATCCTCCCCCCCCCCCACCAAAGAGAGGAGGAGCTGGTGCTGCAGGGCTGATGGAAAGCTGGCGCCAGCTGGGCAGGGCATCCGTCCAGGGAGGAAGGAACTTGGCTGGCATTGCCCGCTGTCTTCTCTTCCAGGGCCCACAAGCGATTCAGTGAACTGCTGCCCAAGGAAGACCGGGATCAGGCTTTCACCACAAGGATCCCCAAGAGCAAGATTTTGATGCTGCCTGAACTGCGGGTATGCTGGGAGGGGAGGGGAACACCGTTTGCCTCTCAGGAGAGGCCCTGGGCAAGGTCTGTACAGGATACATGTATATTGTTCTGTGACCCGTACAGAAGACTGCAGCTGGGTGCATCCAAGAGCTGTGGCTGGGCTGCACATCCCATCTATTTGCTAGTGAGCCCAACTCATTGTTTTGTTTTTGATATGTAGAGCCCTAAAGGGCCCAGAGCCCACCTCTGAAGGCAGTCTTCTCCCTCCCTGTATTGTCCAGCCTGTGATTTGAGATCTGCCAGGATGGCCATCTTGGGGGTACCATCACAAAACAAGGTCCTGGGTGCTGGGACTCAGGATAGGGCTTTCTCGGTGGTGGCACCCTGGTTGTGGAACAGTCACAGCTGGTGCCTTCCTCTAGGTCTTTTGAGTTTAGGCCTGTATAGTGAAGAGGGAGCATGAAGGGAGTGATCTTTGTACTATACCATAAGCTGCAGATTTTTGTCCCAATTTTTGATTGGATTTATGTAGTTTTTACTGTTGGGACCTGTCCTGAAATCATTTATAATGAAAGTTGGGATGTAAGTATTGCAAATAAATCTAATCTCTGATAATTGGTTGTGTAGGCTGGAGATGATCACTGGGGGCAGGGGACATCCAGCATCACTTGGAGGGCCCAACACATTTCTCCATCCCTGCCATGGGTAGATCTGTAGGGCCAGTTTGCTGGGGTGCCTTTAGCCTTCTGTTCCTTTCCACCTGCACTGGCTTTGGATAACACACTGGAGGAAGCTCCTTACAGTCCCCCCTCCCCTCTTTGTGCTTCCAGGCAAACCCCTTCCGGCACCGCATTTGCCACGTCTTCTCTACCACGGATGACAGGGAAGGCGGCCTGTCCTTTGAGGACTTTCTGGACATGTTGAGCGTCTTCAGTGACTCTGCAACGCCAGAGATCAAATCGCATTACGCCTTCCGCATCTTTGGTGAGTTCCAGCCTGGTTGGGGCTTAGTCTGCGACAGAGAAAGCGGAAGCACTTTGTTGGGAGACTTTCTGTGAGTCGAGAGTGCAGCTGTACTCTCTTTGAAAGAGCTGAAATGCAGAGCCGCGCGGGGATACAGATTGGCACACAGTGTGCAAAAGGAGCTTATGGGATTCAAAGTCTCAAGACAGGATGGCGCTGGCTTCCCAGCAGCTTGGTCAAAGGATTAGAAAAAATTGAGGATTGATGGCTACCAGCAGGCATGGGTGAAGGACCCTCTCTACATCTGGAGGTGGCATATCTCCTTGCTTACCCCATGTTAGGAAGGGGTCAGTTGGGAAGTGGCTTTTATCTCCCTTGCCTGGGCACTGCTGGACTTGATGAGCAATGGGAAACCCTTCTGACCCATCTACAGCAATTATTAAGTTTGTGGATGACCATAGCTGTCAACTTACAGATTTGAAAATAAGGGACCAGCAGCCAAAATAAGGGACCTGCAGCCTCACCTGTTCCAGGCACTCCAGTCTTCCTGTCCTCCTGCAGTCTAGACAAACTCATGCTGGTAGCTCTGAGAACACTGTCCAACCAACTTTGTAACCAGAGGTTCAACTGAATAGAATCTGAATCACATGCACCACAAGGCCTATGCAGCCTCAACTTAAGATGGCTCCCCAGCCTGGCTTTGCACTGCAAAGTTTGCAGCAGCACGTGCAACAAAATGGCGTCCAGCATTCAAAAAACCCCTCAGCTTGCATTAACTAGCCACACACAAGGCATGCAAGCTCCACCCCCCAGTCGTTCTTAGACGACTCCACAGTTGGAGCCTCCCTCCTCCCTGGCCGGCAGGGAGGGAGGGAGAGGAGCTGCTTCCTTTGAAATTTAAGGGACATCATTTAAGGGACATCCATCAATAAGGGACAGCAGTGGGACATGGCGCTGGAATAAGGGACTGTCCCTTCAAATAAGGGACACTTGACAGCTATGCGGATGACACCACCATAATGGGTTTAATAACAGGTGGAGACGAATCAGCGTATAGAGGGGAGGTCTAAAAAGTATCTACATGGTGCCTAGGGAACAACTTGCACCTTAATATCAGCAAGACAAAGGAGATGGTGTTGGACTTTCGGAGGAAGAGAGGATAACTAGCCCCGCTGTACATCGGGGAGGGCTGTGTGGAGAGAATCTCTTCCTTTAAATTCCTAGGAGTTTATCTCAGTGAAGACCTTACTTGGAAAATAAATACAACCCAGGTGGTTAAGAAAGGCCAACAGAGACTCCATCTCCTCAGAGTCTTGCGGAAGAACAATGTCAATCAACATCTGATGATCTCCTTCTACCGGTCAACAATAGAAAGTGTCCTTTCATACTGCATCACGGTGTGGTATGCTGGTTTGACATCATCTAATAGGAAGTGCCTACAGAGGGTGGTGAATACAGCACAAGATATTATGGGCTGTCCCGTGAATCCACTGGATGAAATAGCGGAATAACGGTGCCTCAGGAGAGTGAGGAAAATTCTTAGGGATGATTCACACCCTGGCCGGCACTTTCTTGATCTCCAGCCCTCAGGCAGAAGATATAGAAGCATGATTAGTTGCACCAACAGGGTAAAGAACAGCTTCTATCTGTGGGCTGTTAGGCTGCTGAAAGAAAAGATAACAACAGGGCAACTGACTTTCGGGTTTGGTGTGTGTGTGTCAGTAAACGAGGGGAATTAAGACTAAGAGCTGAGTGGGGGGTGCTCGTGTAATCTCACTGTATACAAGTTGTACAAGTGACAATAAAGTATTTCAATTTCAATTCAATTTTCAAATTCAATTTGAAGTAGCCTGGGCTGGCCTTTGAGTCCCCAAGGAGCACTACTAAGGCTATTATGGTATATTATGTCTCCACGGTCAGGCAGAGTAATGCTTCTGAATGCCAGTATCTGGAAGCCACAAGAGGGGAAGAGGGCTCTTGTGCTTCGGTCCTGCTTGTGAGCTTCTGTTTGGGGCACCGGGTTGGCCACTGTGAGAACAGGATGCTTGAAAAGATGGGCCATTAGCCTGATGCAGCAGGTTGTTCTTAGGCTCCTGCCTGGGGATACCTAGGTGGTCATTTCCATGGAGGCAGGAAGGTGGTCTCTGCCTCTTTGACCCCCACACCAGGGATATATGAGAATCCATGTTCCTTCAGACTTGGTTGGAATCCCAGCACGGCCAGTGGGTGAGGGATTACCCAGAAACATATTGAGGGCCACAGGTTTGATTTTGAGTTTGATTTTGCAGACTTGGTTCTCCAGGACTGCCCTACACGGCAGGGCTGCTTCTTCCCCCCCTTGCTATCCCTTACAGTATCCTTTTGTCCCTTCTCAAAAGCAGAGCAGTGGAGAAATCTAGAATACCCCTCAGAGCTTTGCTGAACGTGGCCTGCTTCTTTCTTAGAAGCAAAGCAGGCCGCCCCACTCCAAATAAAAGGACCCCCGGGAGCAGGCAAGTTTGGTAAGCTCAGCAAGTGCCAATTAATGGTCCGTTCTCCTCCCGCACCCCCAGATTTTGATGATGATGGAACTCTTGACAAGAAGGATTTGGAGAACCTGGTGAATTGCCTGACGGGGGAAGGTGAGGACAGCAGGCTGAGTGCCATGGAGATGGACCAGCTCATCCAGAACGTGAGTACCAGCCAAGGTGGGGCTACTGCTGCTGGGGAACTGGGTTCGAGTTCTCACCTCTCTCCCTGGGTGGGGTGAAGAGGAAGGTCAGCCCAATCTGGGAACTGCTGCTGCTCTTGCCCCACGAGGCTCCTTTGTTTCCATCAGATCTTGGAGGAGTCCGATATCGACAAAGATGGGACCATCAACCTCTCCGAGTTCCAGCACATAATTTCCCGCTCCCCAGACTTCACCAGGTACCTTCTGCCCTTCCCTTGCTTCACTTGGGGTTGGGCTTGCTCCCTGGTTGATCAGCTAGCTCACAGCCAGGGGTGTGTGCATGTGTGAATGCTTCAGGAGCCTGCTCTGGGAGTATTCTGCCTACGAGCTCCTGCGGTCCCAAGTTTGCAAAATCAAACTCATTATTCCTCCTCTTCCCTTTTCTCTCCCAGTTCCTTCAAAATTGTGCTCTGATTCCTCCCTCCTTCTCCCTCCTGCTGGAAGATGCCTCCATCTCTCTACAGAGGGAACAAACCACTTCTTTCTAGCCACCCGAGGACAGCTGTGCCAAGGGGAAGATCCTGCCTTGCAACCCCACCCAGGCTCTAGGTCCGGACAGCAACCAGGCTCTTGACAGGGTGGGGTGTCTTTGAGCCTCACCCCCCACACTACTGTTCTTGAGGAGATGGGTGTGGAGCAAGGCATGCTGGGAGCCATGGTCTGTACTCTTGACTTCTTGCTTCACTGCAGCCTGGGACAGGGAAGACCCTGGCTGAGTGCTGAGCACTGGACTCATCTTGCCTGCAGCAGGGAAGTCACACTCCAAGGAGGTTTCTATCCTGGGCAACGACGATCATTGTTCCCTGGCGCTGCTGTACCTACACTGACATTCCCACCGCCTCCGTGCCTTTGCTGCAGCAGGGACTGCCTCCAACTCTGCCTGTCTCTTCGTGGGCCCTGGACTGGCTTTCACACCCTGGGAAACGGACAGCAGCTCCTAACGATTGCCCATGCCTTTGCAAACTCCAGCTTCTCACCTTCCCCACTTGGAGATCAGCTGTTGGGAGAGCCGTTGGCGCAAAGACAAGTACAGTCAACACTGCTGGCCCACTTGTGATATTGGCAGGTTGGGGTGTTGGATCTGAATTTTCTGGCCAGTTATTTGAGCTGGCAGGGGGTTGGGGGGCGCACTTGCAATCCCGAGGCTGGTGGCTGTTTCCAAAAGCCTTAAATATCCACCCTCTTTTTACAAAACCTGTCGTGATCTCATCTGGTTTCTACACTGCTACTAATAAAACTCAGGACCTGGCACCTGTAAGTCCCCTGGCCTGCTTTTGTTTACCCCCTCAGTGGAGAGAGGACTAAGCCCAGGTTGGCAGAGTGCAAGGAGAAGTGACTGCATCTGCCCCTCGTGACAAGAGTGGGAAAGGCTGCTGGAGCAAGCTCCTTTACTGCCTCCTCCAACAAGGCTTGTCCCCTGCTCCTTCCACCTGTTTCCTTCTACCCTTTGATCTTTGCCCCATTCGGAACCACTTTGAGTCATGCAGCCAGAAAGAGATGGGGAGTGGGGAGGATTGCTGCCTTGCCCACAGGGGCAGCAGTAGCAGCCATTCTGCCCGGATTCCCCTGGTGGTAGAGGCTGAGGCTTTGCCCATAGGTATGTGCCACAGCTCCCAGTGCTTCAAGGGGCACACAGGGATGCTGGTGGGACCTGGAGGCTTCAAAGCACGCACCCAGCCATTGGGGCTGCCAGGGAGGGTTGAGAGGCAGGGATCAGGGAGCCTTGGCTGCTGTGAGAAGGCTGGGCAGCGTCGAGAGAGGTCAGGCTCAAGCCATTGTCAAAGGAGACGTCAACTTTTATGTAAAAATAAACACAACCAACACACAAGGCTTGTGCAAGTGCACTTGTGGGAAGCGTGGGGGTGCGCTGGGGCTGCTGTTGTGAGTGGCCAAGCCAGGATCTGCCCTTCCACATACCTGGCCTGGGCAGGAGGCAGCTCTGTCCTGGAGCCCAGGCAGAATTCACAGTGGCAGACAGCCAAACCTAGAGTGCGCAAGAGTCAGAAGGGCAGGCCTGGTATCTGTGTTCGGTGGGCGTGTGTCCCTCCCCGCTCGCAACATGGCACCTGAGCCCCACTCTCGCACTTCCACACACCAAGCAAACACCCTAAACATTCAACAGGTTCTCCCCCTAACCCCACAGAGTTCACAAGAAGCCAGACTCCACCCCATGCACACAACACAACACACCCACCCATTGAGAGCTCGCAGGTGCCACTCCTTGGCCCAGAGGGTGCTCTCTTTGGAAGGAAGTGCAGGAACTGGGCAGGCCAAGGACAGGGCCTCCTTCTGCAGCCTCCTTGCAGTCTCTCGTCCTGCCCCAGCCCAGTGGGGCTTGGGTCTGGCTCCTCTGACCTAGGACGACAGCCCGGGCCAAAGTGTCTCCCCTTCTGCCCAGCTGAGCATCCTTGCAGCAGCCAGGGAGCAGGCCACCCCTGCTCCTCAAGGCTTAGGAGTGCCCGCTCTGCTCTCTGCAGGTTCCGGCCATTGTTTGCAAGGAGTCCAGGGCAGCGCAGAGAGACACAGGTGCCCCAGCGCAGGGCGAGAGGACGCAGCCCAAATGTCCAACACTGCAGGGCCTCTTCTGTCCGTTCACAGTCCATAGGGCAGTTCTGGTTTGGGCGGGGGCACCAGGAGCTCCTGGTTCCTCGGAAGGCTCAGCACAGCAGGGTCTGTGGATGCAACAATGCGGCTCATACAACTGAGTCCCGGATCTCGGAGCCGAGGCGCACACGCGGCCGCTGGGTGGGAGTCAACACCTCCACGACGCTTTCGTGGACGCTGAGCGGGCGTCGGTCGGACTCCGAGAAGGCCACGCTGGGCTGCGCCGCCGGACCGGCATGCAGAGGCGTGTTGGCCGCGTGGCTGTCATGGAGGGCCTGGTAGCCCTTGTGGTCTAGGATGGCACTGGGCGTATGGGCCCCGTTGAGGGGCAAGTTCTCTGCAGGAAGCCCCATCTTGCGGGGTTTCTTGGGATGGGCGCTGGTGCACTTGCCCTGCTTGAGGAAGGTCTTCACGGCGTTGCGGTGCCGGTGCAGAACGAAGAGGGTCAGGAGCGTCACGGTGACGGCAAAGGCCACGCACATCACCAGGAACTCCGTCCAGTAGGTCTTGCCCTCCAGCAGAGCTGACATGCTGCTCCCCGCCGCTGCCGCCGAGACGCTCCTGGAGGTGCTGATGGTCTCCAGGGGGTTCTGGAGGGGCACGATCCGGGCTCCAAGCGTGGGCTCGACCCGCACACAGTAACTGGCCATCAGCTGCCAGAAGCCGCCCTCCTGCGACCAGCAGTCATAGCGTCCCGCCTGGGCCGGGCTGCCCATCAGCACCAGCTCTCCTTCGGGAAGCACCAGGACAGCCGAGGTGTTGATGGCAACCCCATTGTGCACCCAGTGCCGAGAAGCCAGGTTGGAGAGCTGCGGGCAAGGGAGCATCTGCACAGCGCTGGAGCCCAAGATCACCACCGCCTGGCACGGGGGCTCTTCTGCAGAGGGGAGAGAAGGGACACCCACCAGTCAGGCCCCGGGTGCCACAGGGAGGCTGCCAGGCAGCCGAGCCCAGGAGACCCAGTGTGGTGTCGGCCTGGGGCCTGGGAGACCAGTGTTCAAATCCCCTCTCACCCATCAAATTCACTGGGCGTGGCCTTGAGCCAGTCACTGTCTCTCAGCCTAGTCTACCTCACAGGGTTGTTGTTCTGAGGATAAAATTGCGGGGAACAGAAGAATGTATGCCACCTTGAGCTGCTTGAGGGAAAGGTGGAATATAAATGTGATAAATAAATAAGTTGCCAGAGAGACTCTAGGCCAGCAGGCAGGACAGAGCCAGAAAGAGAGTGCCTGTAACCCCTCATCTCATTTTCCCTCTTTTGTTGCCAGAGTTCTCAAAGCCCCCACCCCAGCTTTGTTCTTTACCTGTGGCTGAGCGGCTGGGCTGCCCATTGCCCGTCTGGCAAAGCTGGGTGGCATCAGCTCCTTCGATGTCCTGAAGCCAGCTGGGCCTGGTGAGAGATGGAGGCAGCAATGGTGAAGGGAGAGGCAAGGAGGGAGGGGGCAGAGGCCACCCATGGGTTGAGGGGGAGGGGGAGGAAGGAGATGGGCATCCCCACTTAAGCCTGGTGGAAGAAGCACTCACCCTGCATGGGGCCATGAGCGGTCTGGGAGAAGTGGAATGCAGGCCCCCCCGCTCCAGATGCAGAAGGGGTCCCGAGACAGGATGCATTCAGCACAGGTCCGGTACATGCTGCAGTTGGAGAGCGGCACTTGGACGAGCGCAGTGTAGGAGGCAGCGTAAAGGAGGCCCTGCGGGGAGGACAGGGGGAGCTAAGTCAGGCTCGTTCCACAGAGCAGAGCCACCGTGCCTCCTGTAGGTCACCTGTCAGAGGGTCTCCAGCGGCCACAAGCCAGTCATGCAGCACCTGACCCCTGTGGGCAGAGCAGCTGGCCACCAGGCAACAGAAGCGCTCCAAACCAGCCCTTGTCCTGCCCACTGTGCCTAGCTAAGGGGGTCCCTGCTGGTTCAGAAGTATCTGCCTGAGTCCAGGCTAGCACAGAGCAATGTTTCTGGGAAGGAGTGGAGGAAAGGTATGACACACCTTTCCCTCCAGAGACCCCAGGTGCCCACGCAGATCAAGGCAAGGGTGGATCTACAGCAGCCACTGAGGAGGGAACGCTTGCTTTGAAGCTCAGGGCTGGGTCCTCTTGGAAGGCACACAATCCCCAAACTGGCCACTTCTCTCTCTCGTGTAGACGACTTCCCTCTTCTGATGAGGATGCTGACGGGAGTTTCCCAGGATGCCCCTCTGTCTTACCTGGGCAGGGTCCAGAAGCAGCTTGAGGACAGGCTGCCCAGCAGGGAAGAGCTGGATCTCTTCAATGATCTGGACCTGCTGCTCCATCACCACGGCCTTGTGCAGCCAGCCGTCATCTGCAAGCAGAAAGGGGAGCCCAGCGATGAGGGCCAGGGCAAACAGCTGTCTCCCACCTGCCGGCCAGTCCCACACAGAACAGCTCCATTCCCTCCCTCCCCACCTGTCCAGGGCCAGCCACAGAGAACCAAAACCTGCATGTTTGAAGTCTGGAGGTCCCAACCAAGAGCGGCCAACAGCCTTCCTAGATACCCAACAGCCTGCTCTCTCTCTCCTGTTGTTGGGCATGTTTCCTGCCTGCTATTCTGAGTAAGTGGAAACGGCACAGACTCCCCTTTGTGGCCAGGCTGGTCTTAGGCTGGGCTATACCAAGGTTTCCCAAATTTGGGACTCCAGCTGCTTTTGGACTACAATTCCCATCACCCCGACCACTGGTACTGTTAGCTAGGGATGATGGGAGTTGTAGTCCAAGAAACAGCTGGAGACCCAAGTTTGGGAAACCCTGGGCTATCCCGTCAACAGCCTTTAAGACAAGATGTGCCTCACTCTGCAACACTCTCCCACTTTTAAATTCAGCATAGTCTCTAATTCCTCCCCCACATTTTTTGGCCTGATTCAGACCCCTCACTAGGCATCTTAAAGAATCGTAACACACATGGCAAATTGAAACGGAAAATTCTGAAGGCAGCAGCAAGAACAAAGAAGCCAGCTGTAGAATGAGAGACTTTGAGTATAATAATAATAATAATAATAATAATAATAATAATAATAATAATGTATACCCCACCCATCTGGCTGGGTTTTCCCCAGCCACTCTGTGCAGCTTCCCACAAAATACTAAAAATACAATAAAACATCAAACATTAAAAACTTCCCTAAACAGGTCTCTCCCATCCACCATAGGGCAGCCACAGCAGCGCAGGCAATGGAGAAGGTGGAGGAGGTCACTACCACCACCTTGCTGAAGATAAGCAGGCCCAAGCCTGGTCAGGGCGGGTGGGGGACCTCCTGAGAGCCAGGTGCCTGCTCCCTTGGGTTCCATGATAGGCAGGATAGAACTGAATGTCAAGAAAGGGGGCAGCCTGGTGCGCCTCCAAAGAGTACTCAGGATGCAGCTGTGCTCTCTGCAGGATGCCTCCTCTCTAAGGACGCTTGGAGCAAGTTTCCAAGAGAAGATCTAAGCCAGTTGAGAGAAGGAACATAAGGAGAGACCTGCAGGATCAAGCCAATGACCCATCCAGCCTGGCCTGCTGTGTTCACAGCAGCCAACCAGATGCCCATCGTGGGAAACCCACAAACAGGACCTGAGCACAAGAGCCCTCTCCCCTCCTACAGTTTCCAGCCACTGGCATGCAGAAGCATTGCTGCCTCTCTCATGAAAGCAGCACATACCCATCGTGGCTGGTAGCCATGGAAGGCAGAGGACCTTCTCGGTAGTGGCGCCTGCCCTGTGGAACGCCCTCCCATCAGATGCCAAGGAAATAAACAACTATCTGACTTCTAGAAGACATCTGAAGGCAGCCTTGTATCGGGAAATGTTAATGTCTGATGTTTTACAATTTTTATGTGCTGCAAGCCACCCAGAGTGGCTGGGGAAACCCAGCCAGATGGGCAGAGTGTGTGTGTGTGTGAAAAATAAGGATATATTATATCCAGGAAGCGCAGGTAAGAGGCAGCCAGCACCTTGGGGGGTCCATCCTTCCTCTTGCCCAGCTATGAACCATCTCTTCCTCCTCCTGACATTCCAGCCATTGCCAGAGGGCCTCCCCCTGCCTCCCTCCTCCCAGCCGCCACTGCCGCTGCTGCCACCGCCCACCTGTGCCCAAGAACAAGACATCGTAGGCCCGGTGCAGGCCTTGGACACGCTGGACGCTGATCTGCTGGTAGCGGGCATGACCCTGCAGGAGGAAGAGTGGCTGGCTCCGGATGGGGCTGCTCATCAGGAAGTGGTCCTTGAGGTAGTTGAGCACCCGGTCAGGCATCTGGAGTGAGGAGGTGATCTTCATCCGCCGGGCCTGGCTGTTAATGCACTGTGGGCAGGGGGATTGAAAGGAAAGAGCTGTCTTGAAGTGAGGGGGTGAGAGGCAGCAGCAGCTTACGTTGTCCAGCACTGGTCTCTGGCAGCCCCTACCCTCTGCAGGATCTCAGGCAAAAGCCGAAGGCAGCCTGGTAGCCTTCAAGGTGGAGGGCAGGCAGACCCACCAGAATCAGTCCCAAGGCCTTCCCGCCCCCAAGCCCATGGAGCTGGTCGCTGGGTGACGGACATACCGCTCCAGGCCGGGGCTCCGGCACAGGGTGGGTGTCCGTGTACCACTGTTGGGTCTCCCGGTTGACTTCCTTGTACAGCCCACTGAAGGCTTCCTCCACATCCGCCATGGAGAAGGCACAGACTGCAGCGCCCCCAGCGCCCTTCCTGTCCCTGGGAGAGAGGAGGAAGGAGAAGGAGGATCAAGGATGGGACAGTCGAGAAAGAGGAATGAAAGATTTAAACTACTATAACCTCACTTGTCATTTGATATAATTTTGTTTGATCTATATGCAGGAGTTGGTAAAGGCACAGCTGAAGGATGAGGAATTTGCTAAAGAAAAATAGGTGTTAATTAGAGATAAATCTGTAAAATAAGCAGCATGTAAAAGGGTAAGAAATGGAAATATCTGAGAGAGTGCAAAGCCAGTTTTTTTTTGGGGGGGGGAATGTATTAGTTTTAATTTGGCGTTGATGTGTTATACATTTGAAAAATGAATAAAAATTAATCGACAATAAATATATAAATGGGGCAGTCAAGGACCCACAGGCATGCAGAAGTAATGGGGCATGCACCAAGTGCCCTCTGCCGAGGGAACCTGGCAGCCCACAGAGGCAGCCTCCTCTCGCTGCTCACCACTGAGAGGTGAAGACCCCGTAGAAGACGGTCTCTGCCAAGCTCTCGCCTGGGGTGAGCACAAACATGTCCTGCAGCACATTGAAGGGGAAGCCATCCTCGGGGTGTGAGCACAGCAGCTGGGCCTTCAGGAAGGTCGTCCACCGCCTCTGGAGAACCCGCTCACCCCCAACGTCGCCCTGGCATGAAGAGAAAGGAAGGGAGGGAGGGGTGAGGGGTGGTGCTGTCATGCCAAGTTGCAAGAGCTGCGCCTAGAAAAGCCACAGTGTGGCAGGAAGGACATCTAATGGGCTTTTAATTTTGGACTTGAGACAGGCTTGGTGGAAGATGGTTAGACTTGGGGCCAAATGAGATGTAGCTAGATGCAAATTGTACTTCCCTCCCCTCCCCACCCACCCACCCACCCACCCACCCATTGGGAGGAGGCAAGTTCCTGCACCCCAGATGCTCACATCTAGCTTGGTCCCAAGTTGTATTACGTTACAGAGCAGAGGCCCAGGATGCCCAGAAGAATTTTTCCTGGCAGCCTATTTGGAAACACCTGCCTTGTTTTGAGTCCTTTGAGGGTATAACTTGGTTCACTTTTATTTGTAAGACAGTCTGGGATTACACTTGCAGTAAAGGGTGGTGTAGTGGTTAGAGCATGGGTAGGCAAACTAAGGCCTGGGGGCCGGATCTGGCCCAATCATCTTCTAAATCCGGCCTGCAGACACTCTGGGAATCAGCGTGGTTTTACATGAGTAGAATGTGTGCTTTTATTTAAAATGCATCTCTGGGTTATTTGTGGGGCACAGGAATTTGTTAATTTTTTAAAAAAATATATAGTCCGGCCCTCCCACAAGGTCTGAGGGACAGTGGACTGGCCCCCTACTGAAAAAGTTTGCTGACTCCTGGGTTAGAGTGTCGGGAGACCAGGGTTCAAAATCCCCACTTGACCACGAAGCTTACTGGGTAACCTTGGGCCCATCACAATCTCTCAGCCTAGCCTACCTTACAGGGTGGTTGTGGGGATTAAATGAAGAGGAAAAGAAGCATGTAAGCCACCTTGAGCTCCAGGGAGAAGAGGTGGGATTTAAATCCAATAAATAAAAAATGCTTCAATAAAACTTTGAGAGGAACTGGTCGAAACCTGTTGTACATAAAAATCGAGTTCTCCACCTGGGACAGAAAGGTGGCTTTTTAATTTTTTTAAGCTCTCCTTCCACGCTGAACCCAGCTGGGAGCTCCTCCCAGCTGCCCCTTGCTGTTCCTGCTGGTGCCAAGAGAAGGCATGAGAGAGCAAGAGATGGGCACCAGGGGACGCTGCAGGCCCAGAGAACCATCAAGGGCGGCAGCATATTGCTAGTTTATTAGTTTATGACCATTCTTCTCCCAGGGAGATGCGCTTGTAGAATCTCCTGCCTCAGGCGCCAAAATAACTCGGCCAGCCTTGGGCACAATGAACCTTGACTTAAGCGGGCGGGGAAGGACCATTTACTGCTCTGGCTCAGGCAGCAAAATGTATTGGGCTGGCCCTGGCTCAGCAGAAAGGGAGGTTTCCACCTTCTCCAAACTTTTGCAAAGAGCAAAAAGGGAAAGGGGGAAAAAACATCCCGGTCCCCAAACAGATGAAGCCCTCCTCACCTTGCACACGCGGGCGATGCGTGACACAACAGTGTCTTCAAAGAAGTCAAACTCCTTGCCACTTTCACTGAAGAAGAAGTAGATCTTGTCGTCGTCCCCCTGGGGGCTGCTGGGCGGGTGGCTCTCTCGCAGGTAGGCCGAGCCCACAAAGAAGGGGTCTGTGGCACATAGGAACACAGGAAGCTGCCTTATATGAGACAGACCATTGGTCCATCTTGCTCAGCATTACCTACACTGGCTGGCAGCAGCTCTCCAGGGTTTCAGGCAGGAGTCGCTCCGACCCCCTCCCTGGAGATGCCATTGGGGACTGAACCTGGGACTTTCCGCATGCAAGGCAGATGCTCTGCTGCTGAACTGCAGCCCTCCTGATGGCAGAGGCAGGCCTTTCTGCAGTTGCTCCCTCATCCCATGGATCTGGATCCAAGGAAGAGGCTTGGAGCCCCCCATCCCAATGGCGAGTCCAAACCAGAGCTGCAGAGGGTCTAGCTAGTGGAAGACCACCTTGGCTTGAAGAAGGCTCTTGCAAATTCACTCCTGCCCCCAAGACCATGGGAAGGACCAGTGAAGGTCCTGATGTCCAAGCCATTTGAGGCAATAAACATGCTCCCCAGTCATCTCACTGAGCAGCAGAGCTTCCCTGCTCACCCATCTCTATGAAGGAGAGGACTATGGATGCCTACTAGCCAAAAGGCTCGGCTCTGCATCCGCAGTCAGAGAAGCCATGCTTCTCAATATCAGCTGCAGGAAACCGCAGGAGGGGAAAAGGCTATTCTGCTCAGATCCTGCTTGCAGGGTTTCCCTTTGGGGCCTCTGGTTGGATGATTGACTAGATGGGCCTGATCTAGAAGGCTCTTCTCATGTTCTTATGCTACCCCACACACCTTGCAGCCAGTTGAGCGAGTTCTCGGTCTTGATGGCCGGGCGACTGCCGTGACTCCGCAGGATGGTTGGCTCGTTGCCTTGGAAGTTGCTCACAGTCCCCGCGTACAGTTCTCCATCTGCCAGAAAGCATCCCCATCAGGGAGACCCTCAGAGCCCTTTACCAGACACCCAGGGATAGCCTCCTCTTCTTCAATGCTTTAGAAAAACTTGGCTGGCTCCCCTCTCCCTGCTGCATTGCAGGGGACTGGACTAGTTGACCCTTTGGGTCCCCATCCCCCCGTCTATGATTCTATGACTCTTCCAGTCCTGGGGGTGGCCCAGGCCCTTCCCTCCTTGGTTCCATGGAATGGAGGGAGGCAGCCACTGGCTATAACCCAGGATCTCCTTACCAACCATGATGGCCGTGGACCTGTATGCAGGATCAAAGGGGCAGCGCCCTTTCCCATCTTCCAGCAACAGCTTCCCAGAGGCCTCTCGCTTCAGGCTGAATTCTGGAATGTTCTAAAGGGGAGGATGGTGCAGTCAGGAAGATGCCAGGAAGTATGTATTTGGGGGTGGTGTTGAGGCAAAACCGTTTGATTTATTTTTTTTAAAAGGTGGGGGGGCTCAAATAGGCCAGGAGACAAGACCTAGCCTAACCCTTCCCACTAACCCCAAATAGTAGGGGCTGGGGCTCCCTGAACATGTAGACTCTAGGGCCTTCAAGAAGACCCTTGCACAGCCTCCAGCTGCAAATCCTGCCAGGGTCTTGGCCTGTGAGAGCACTGAGCTGTGTTTTCAACACTACAGCAGTAAACAGCACTGGCTCCTTCCCAGAAAACAGGACTCCATCCAGGGTCTGCCCACAACTGGCAGCTGGAGGCTTCCTCATGAATGGGGCTTGATCCAGTGCGAGAAGGTCCATACAGGACTGGGCCAGGCTGCCCAGGGAGGTGGTGGAAACTCCTGGCAGGACAAACATCTCCAAAAGGCATTTGCTTGATCCTGCTGAAGGGTGCATGGGAGAGTCTCTTGAGATAGCTCAGCCTCTGCCAACCTGGTGCCCTCCACGTGCTTTGGACTACCACCCTCATCAGCCCCAGCTTGCATGTGACACAGGGGTTGATGGGGGATCTGCCGCACTGGCTGGGCTGCTGGGAGTTGTAGTTCGAAATACCTAGAGAGCACCAGGCTGGTGAAAGCTGAGCTGGTTGGCCCAACCTGATAGTTCTGATTCTCCAAGGTGAGGGGTCCCATACTGGCAGCAAGGTGTGGCTCCCCCCACAAGCTTACTCACAATGTAGGTGCAGGTGGGGCTGAAGGCGCTGGTCCCACAGGTGTACAGGTGGGTACTGTTCAGCTGCAGCAAGATCTTGATGTAATTGTGACAGTCTCTCTGCAAGGGACAAAAGAGGAAAGCTTTGAGCTCTGCCTAACTCAGAATGCCCCCCAGCAATGGAGGGGATGCCTTGAGCGGGTCACAGCCCAATCCAAGGGGCAGAAGGAGCCCCCCGGCACAGGAATGGCAGACCCACTTCTGGTAGGGAGGGGGGTGTCACATCCCTGGCACTCACCTGGGGATCTTTGCCCTTGAAGACACACTGACGCTTCTTCTCCTCCTCAGCCCCCCACAGCAACTGCAAGACAGCAAGAGAGGTGGTAACCAGGGGGCTCAGTCCAGACACTCCCCTTGCCTCCCTCTAGGGCGGTTTCTAGAATAGCATTTCAGAGCCATCCTTGGCTGGCTGTGAGCCCCAGCAGTGCTCCTCTTGCCCCGTTCCCAATGGACCCTTGATTTCCCAATCTTCCTTGATTTCCCCACTGGTACTTTCTGGGGCCTCTCAGTGAACCTCAGCTTTGGCAGTCTCCTGCCCCAAAAGACAGCTCACCCGCTGCAACGGGGGCCAGCCCAGTGATGTCCAGTGCCAGGGCTGCAGATGCATTAAATGGAAAAACCCAGCATTCCCCTAAAGTGGCCCAAATATTATGCCAAGAGCAGGACCCTGGCATCTAGAGTAACTGCCATGGGGCAGGGCCAAGGGAAGCAGCAGCAGCAACAGCTGCCCAGCCCTCCTTCGGCATTTCCAAACTGTCCTCCTCAATCAATGGCTGAAGCAGCTTGCTTTTAGAAAGACCACAGGTTCCAAGATCCTCAGGTTGCCAGTTTCTGTGCCTGAGCCCAAAGAGTGAAGTTGTGTGTGGCAATGGTTAGGAACCCTCCCAGGCTAGGAACCCTCAGAGGGGGAAGGAGACGCAGCCTCTGCTGCCAGTGTTGAGGATTGGCTCCTTGACTGAGGCCCAAACTGCTTCCAGGATGAGTAGGGACTTGCTGGTCCCATCAGACTGAGAGGTACAATGGAAACAACCAGCCAGTCCATCAGCCAGTGATGTCCTTCCTGTATATTTCCACTGCACATCTGAACTGGGGGGGGGGGGCTCTAAAGTGGCCAGTGGGCACCCTGCACTTACTTTTTGGTGCTGTGGCCCAGGAGAGAAGGAGGTGGTGTTGAGGGCAAGGAGCCTCTCACGGGCACCTGCATACAAGGTGCCCCCATCTGGGCTCAGCATCATCGTGGTGTAGTTGGTGATTCCAGGCTCTTCAAAGCGGGTCAAGAGTCGGAGGGGGGAGCCTGGGGGGAAGGAGATAAGAAAAGAGAGATGGCCTATGAGTGGCAGGTTGAACCCCAGTGGCCCAAGCAGTCCTGCCCCCACACAGAGAACAAAAGTGCTGCCACATTTCAACAACTTATCAAGCATGTCTCTACTGCAACTTCATTTGTCAAAACAAAGCTCAAGGCTATCCTGGTCTGTGACCGTAATAAAGTTCATTCAGCAAAGCTCAAGGTAGACATAACAGGTCAGAACACTCCAAAAAGGCATTTGAGTGTTGCAAACAACATTCAGTATTGCAGAATGCCCAAGAGCAGCATTTTGCTCAGGGAATTGGCCACACACAAAGACAGAAAAGGTGAATGAGTTTCAATAATCCACCCGAGCAGTAAGGCAGAAGAGAGGAGTCCAGCCTTTTCAGGTCATCAAAAGCAGTTACTGGTACTTGCTCCCAGTCTTTTCTACCCACTACAGGTTTTGCAGTTACTTTTCTCTCATGTCCACCTCTGTGCTGATACAGTAATGGCAAGGTTGCAGGTTTGATCCCCATATGGGACAGCTGCATATTCCTTCACTGCAGAGGATTGAACTAGATGATGCTCAGGGTCCCTTCCAACTCTACCATTCTATGGTTCTTGGTGGCGCTCGTGGTGTCGTCGTCTCCACAACAGCCTTGGGCAAGGCAACATTCCCAGAGGCTGTTGTGTGGCACATGCCAAAATCTCCACAACTGGCTTCTGGTTCCCTCTTGCATGTATGATGGAGTTTTATATGGGGGTGGGGGTGGTGAGGGACAGAAGATGAATGACTCCCCAAGGCAGAGATGTCTGCTGCTCGAAATTCCCCTCCACCTCCACACCTGGGATGACTCTGCCTGTGCTCCTTTCCCCTTCCGCTTCGGAGCAAAGAGGTGGTACCTGACTCTGGGGGAAAGACCCTCCTGCAGGTAGCTTCCAGTCAGGGCTCTTGCTAACAGGAAATGACTCACCTCTGCCTGAGGGTACCTGAAACTGCTGGATGATTCAGCTGCAGTGCAGGATAGGACCCTATTGAGTGGTGGTGATGGGGGAACCCTGTGAGTCACCCATTGCCATTCTTGGCCCAACTCCATTTGAACTGGCACACAGCTGAGGCCTCCAGGGCACAGCTTTCAGCCCCAGGACCTCTCATTTTGGAGCGTAAGCCAGAGCTACCACGCTTTGGACGCCTAGAGGACTGGCTGGGGAGGCTGGCAGGGTCTGTGTAGCTTCAGCAGAAGGGAGGGAAGGGCAGAGCACCTGGGTGTGGCACCCATCACAGGGACTCTCCCTGGGAGCTTGCCTGCAGAGTCTGGGAAACAGCCTCGGTGCTGGATTGCGAAGCCCAACCCAGCTGACCTTGGGTGACCTTCCCTGTTGCACGACTCCAGCTCTGCAGCACAGCCTGTTCTGTGTGTTTCAAGCAAGCCTGTGCCTGATTGTTTGCCACTGGACAAGTTCCAGCCCGTTCCTGCTCCTGCTTCACTAAAAGGCTGAAAAGTTCTCCCAGCCCTGCTCTTTCTCCTGGGTGGCAACACAGGCCTGGCGTAGGTGAGGGCGGCTGGTGCTCCGGCCCTGCCAAGGGAACCCGGAGCAGCCCACACGTGGCTCAAAGAGCCACACAGTTTGTTCCCAGCCAGCCATAGGCAACAGCCATCTCCCTGCAGCTCTGTGGACTGTGGCTGAGAAAGGAGGAGCCTCTGCTGCTCCTTTGATAGCTGAGAGGCTATGGGAGTTTGGAAATTCATAGAATCATGGAACTGTAGAGTTGGAAGGGACCACAATGCAGGAATGTAAATTCCTCTTTAATAAACTAGAGCAGTGCTTTCCAAACTTTTTCAGGCTGCCGCCCCCTTGGTTCCACAAACTCATCCCCAGTGCCCCCTACCTTACCCTATAAAAAGCAGTATTAAGAAAAGCTGTTTGCATGATCCACTAAGGAAGGTAATAACACAGTGACTTTCAGAACAGCAACAATTGCACACTTATTCAAAATCTAATTAAACTGCTAGTTTAATTAAGTCAACAAAATTGATGAACTTGATCCAGTGATACCAGCTTTCCAAAGTCTGATAGACAAGGGTCCCCTGTCATCCCGTTGCTTCTTGGTGTCCCCCTAGGTAATCTCAATGCCCCCCAGGGAGTGGTACTGCTCACTTTGGAAACCACTGAATTAAAGGATAACAGAAGGGTGGTCCACTTATGGGCCACCAAAACAGACCGGAAAGTAAATGCATCTCCCCAAAGAAAGAGGACACAGATCTGCATAAAATGTGCATACTCTAGTTTAAATGTACAGATGCAAATTTAGAAACAATTGCTGCCATTTAAATAAAACTACATCTCAGCATAACGGGGAAGTCTGCGGCCACTTGAGCACCCTCACTCTGCTGCCCAGGTGTCATGCCCCCCCAAGCTTCTCCGTCTTTAAACTTGACTCTCTGATGATCTTCAAATAGAGAACACATGACCACTTTCAGATTACACTGCTTACCCCCCCCCCGCATTCAAGTTTGGAAGCTGCCTACTGAAACAGGCAGTGCTACACGAACACCCCATGCATCAATCACCTGAGTGCCTGCACACCTCCATCAATCCGCCTTGTGACACTCTTCCCATTCCACCTGGCTCTCCCACAATACAAGCCTCATCTAAAACCTGCCAGCCAGCCCTAGCCAGGAGAAAATGCTTAAATCTGGTTGAGAACCTGAAAGGTGACACTTTGAGCACTGGTGTTCCTATGAACTGAGCAAGGAAAACATTCCCACACAGGTGAGTGTGAGAAAGATTCAACGATAATTGGTCTCACTGGTGAGGCTGTGTGGGTGAGCATCTCACAGGTAGAGTGAGGGATCAAAAGAACACCTGGGAGGACATTCAGACACTGATGCCTCTTCCCAAAGACTTCCCAGCTGAGAGCTTTGGCAGGTGCCCGTCCCCCAAGGATGACTAATGGCCTTGAGCCCCACAGGTGGCACAGGTGTGATACAAAAGGGGCAAAGGGACAGCAAGAGTCTGTCTTGCCTTGTCTCCACCACTAATTACTCATCATAGGCAAATAAGAGGAAAGAGAAGGAGGCCAAAGGAGCTCCCAATATCCCCTCAGGTGACCTGCTCTCTTGCAGCTGAGTCACCCCTTGAATGTGTGACAAAAGGTGAAGAGGACTGGAAGAGGGACTGTCCCTGGATAACTGGCCATGCTAAGAAGCAGCTGGCCAGAGTATCAGGGTACTCTGTCTGTGGGGATACCACTGGGCCTTTATAGATCTCATGGGCAGAAGAAGCAGGAACACATTCGGACAAACTCTGGAATTAAAAGTGTAGTTGGTCAATGGAGACCTGGAGGGATGGTGAGGATCTCTCTCTGAATCAGAGGCTGGGCAGCCATTTGAGCAGGGGGCAGATCCTGCTGGCTCTGTCCAACCCCAGGAAGCTACAACATTCATCTATTAATCGAGTTATTCATCACTTTTCACAAAAGATGCCTCAGAGCAACATGCAATTCATAAAATACGCATAGTGTAAGAAACACTCAAGCCAAATACACAAATACCAAAAAGTGCCCATCCATCAATACGCATGAAAAGGTCAGAAATCTAATTTCAAGATAATAAAAATCAAGATAATAAACTTTTCATAAAGGAATGGAAATGGTTTGTTGTATTATTGTAATAACTGGCAGTTTCAAAAAATGTATTATCAAAGTAGATGAATAAAAGAATAAATTAAGATAACTTAAAATATGCAGGGAATGATGAAAATTAATCTAAGGAATCGCAGAAAGGAGGAAGGAAGTTGAGGTTTGAAATGTTAGAACTACTGTTAAACTATTGTTGAAATGTATACAACTCAAAATCATAAATAAAAACTATAATAGAAATCAAATTTCAAAACAGTACAATTTTATGAGCCAGAACCTGGGGACAAAAGCATCTAAATTTAGGGACTATAAACTGAGCATGACGGAGTCAGGTGGGCCTTCCTGGGTAGAGCATTCTACCAAGGGGGCGCAGGATAAGACACCAACCAGGCTGCGCACAGCTCCTCTCTTCCCTTTTTCCAGTCACATCACCCTCTGTCCTTCAAGCTGTTCTTCCTTATCCCCAAGAAGCAGGAAGCTGCCACCTGCCTGGACCTAAAACAGGCATGTACAAAGTCCGTTTTGGGGGGCCTAATTTGGCCTGCCAGTTGGTTTAATCTGGCCCCTGTGGCAGTTTATTTCCTGGGGTAAAATCGTAAAAAAAAAAAAAAATCAACAACCTCAATCCTAAAAAAAGGTCAACAGCTTTGGTGTTCACTTCATTAAATCTGGCCCTCTTTGGAAAAAGGAAAAAGTTTGGGCACCCCTAAGGCAAACTTTGCAGGAAGTCCTGGGGCTCCTTCAGCAGGAAGGTCAGGCTGGGCTGAGAAGGAACAGCTGGCTCAGCCTCTTCTGTGTAGCACAGAGAGTCCCTGGTCCACAACTAGGTGCCAGCATTTCCAGGGGCTCCTCCTCTCCTACCCAAGGAGGCACAAAGAATGCCTAGTTTGTCAGCTGGTTCTCACAGGCAAGATGTCATGTCCTCCCTGCCTCTCTCTCTCTGGCAGCCTTCACCAACCCATAGCCTTCCAGATGTTTAGAACTACAACTCCTAGCAGCCTCAGCCCCCATGGCCAGAAGATGGGAGTTGTACTCCAAAGGATCCAGCTTGGCAAAGGTTATGCAACTGTGGAAGCCAGGAACTGAGGTGCAAGACACTGGCCACGCTTCTCTGCCTCTCTCTCTCTCTCTCTCTCTCTCTCTCTCTCTCTCTCTCACACACACACACACACACACACACACTTTGTCTCTCGCCACTGTGCCCTGAAGCCTTGGCTAAGCTTGAAGCAGGCTTACAGACAGCACAGAGAACTGCATCAGCAAAGAGACCCAAGAGTGGCTAAAGGTAGACCCCTTGGGGGTGGGGAGGAAGGCAAGGCTTCCCATCCAAGCAAAGCAAAGACAGAATCTCCCTCCAGCTCAGCAGTTGCTTCTCCTATGGGATTCTCCCTAAGATTCAAAGACTGGGCCAACAAGCTGCGCCTGGCAAGAGATCTGTGAGCACAAACAGAGCCGGCTGGGTTTTGCTGAGGGCAGCACAACACTTTTTGGCAGGCTGGATGAGCGGGTGGGATTCAGCAAAGCCTCTTCTATCCCAGGAGAACAAGTTTAGCTGGGCTGAGGGGAGGAGAGGAGGGCTATGAAATCACAGAGGGGCTAGCTAGAGACCATGGACTCCTTCTGGGTGACAGACAGCAGCATTCTGGGAAGGGTGGAGATGTCCCAATTCTGACAATTTCCACCAACAATTCAAAGTTAGGCTTCCCTGCCAATGCCCTCCTCCATGGCACCAAACCTGAATAAAGTGGGGCAGAGATTTCCCCACTGCTGCACTTCTCCACGCAAAGTTTACCTTTAGAAATGCCTCGCTTCATAAAGTTAACCAGCAAGCGAATGAATTGGATGAGTGCGGCAGCACAGTGGCAGGCCGCAGCTTAAAGTCAAAGTTGCAACTAACTTTTGGAGAGGGGACTCTCCATAGGAAGGGCAGATATTATTCCGCTCAGTTCTTCAAGCAGGCTAAAATTCCCTTCAAATCCAAATTTAACATAAAAGGGAAGTTCAAACTGTTGAGCTGACATCTCTTGAGACATTTACAAGTAAGTATTCCCATAAAATCAGTTTCCAAGAATTGCTCTCGTTTCATTTGAATATAAACCACACTGTGCCCTTTATTGATCTCCCCACCACAGTCAAATGTTTCAGCTTAACTACTTTTGGCTATTGAAAACACATTTGAAGTGTCTGTCCGTCTATCCACAAATGTAAAATTAAATTACAAGTTTTGTTTACTAAATGTAAGTCAAATCAACATCCTAAAGAAGAGCACAATCAGGGCAGGGTTCCTCCCATCCCTAAAAAAAACCTCAATTCAGAATATTCTGAAAATCCCAAATCAGTGCTAAGGAAAAGAGGGACAAATTCACAGAGGAAGAGGAGGAGAAGTCTTATCGTTAGTTAGTAGTCATCCGTCGTAATGGCTATATGCAACTGTGCCTAAATACCAGTTGCTGGGGAGCAACACTCCCACTCCCTCCCCTGCACTAGGAGAGAAGTTGTTGCTTTCATGTCCTGCTTGTGGGATGAAGGTATCTATATCTTTGGCTACTGCAAGAAACAGGATGCTAGCCTAGATGGGCAGGGCAAAGTATGAGGAGGCCACTTCAGCTTGGGGTATCAGGAAGACCCAGGCCAAAGACCTAGAGCAGGTGTGGAGTGTACCTGTGGTCCTCTATCAGCTGCAGTCAGGGTGGCCAAGGGTCAGGGAGGATGGGAGTTGTAGTCCAACATCTGGAAGGCCCATAGATTAGCCAGTCCTGATCTAGGGCATTTAAAATTCTCAACCCTGAAAGTATGGGGGAAGGAAATTTACCAATACCCCCAAACCCCATATCTATGAGGATGCTTTCCTGGTCATCTCATGACCAGGTGATGGTGACAACATGGAAGCAAGTCTGTTAAGCCATCACAACCCCTGGAATGCCCTCCCCCTGGGTAATTTGTGAGGAGACAGGAATGACCTTTAAACAACTCTTTTAAAATTTTATGTTTACTCAAGCTGTCTTGAACTCTGACTCAAAGTTCTCTGTTTTGCAGATTACTCAGTTTTAGTTTTCTCTAGTTTTGGGACATTTTTCTGAGTTGTGGTATTTGTATAGTTTTTGTGTCAACCATTTAGAAACATTTATTAAATTAAGCAATGCAATTTTGTCCAGCAGGGATGGGGAACAACTGAAGCCCTCCAGGTGCTGAACTTCAAATCCCAGCAGCTAGCATGGCTCATGGATGATGGGAATTGTAGTGCCTGATCCCTGAGAAAAACTGTTGAAATCCCTGCTTTTCTGCAAGTGTTCATAGAGCAGGATAACAGCAAGTTTGAGGGGCAGTGCAACAGAACGGCTGAGAGGCCCAAGCACAGTGTAGCTAGCGGGAAGGTCAGGCATGAAGAGGTGAAGGAGAATTACCAGAAATTGCCTGCTGGAGCTGGGCCGCCCCATGACTTCCTGCCCCTTGAATGGCCACAGCAGCAGCTGGACAAATCAACACCTCCCAGACCCAATGATAACACAGCCAGCTTGTGTTTACACAGAAAACAGCCAACATCTCAGAGGGCCACTGCAGGCATTGCGAAAATGTTTAACAAGGGACAGAGAGGGAGTGTCTCGGACTACCCATTCAGGTGGTCTGTGGGGACCACCATGGGGCAGAGAAAGGCAAAGTCCATCATATTTTAATGTGTAATGTTTTATTATGTTTTTATATATGTTGGAAGCCAGCCAAAGTGGCTGGGGGAACCCAGTCAGAGGGGTGGGAACAACAACAACAACAACAACAACAACAACATGAAGAACCTGTTCAGGGAGGACCAGGAAACTCCCTCCAACCTACCTTCCAATGGGGATTGGACACAAAGTGTGATGTTCTATGGAGAGGAGAGATGTGCACTCCCCCCTCCAAATACTTGTGCAGTTCTGATATTCAAGTATCATGCACAAGTTGTATTATGTTACTGCTGTAAAAAGTGAGGGCATCTAGTGAGCAGTCTGGCCTCTTCTAGAACCCAAGAGCCTGATCAGGCCACCCATCTCTCTTCCCCTCTGCAAACACAGTCACTGCAGTCTCCACACTACTCTAGTCCTCAAGAGGTTCCCCAGTGTTTCAAAGTTGAAGGGATCCCTTCCAGTATAGAGTCATGAGCTGTCAAGTGTTTATATGAGGGTGGTGGTGCCAGGATTATAGCAAAATAAATAAACAAATAAATAAATAATATCCTGGTGGCTTCCAGATGTTTTTCCAGATGGGCTTGAAGTGAGCTGTAGTCCAAAACTTCTGGACAGCTCCAAGCTAGGGAAGACTGAAAACAGAGCAGTCTTAGCAGGGACCTTATTGAAGGAAAGCGACGTGAAACATTTGTGTTTTAAAGTGGTTCGTATTCACTGTGAACCTGGCCAACTTGGATGCAGCTCCTATGAAGGTGTCTAGTCTCTTTATGGGATCAGTTTCAACTGAAGCAGCCTGAGGATGTGGATAAAGAATCTGGCAAAGGTGTGGCTGACCACACCCTTGATCCTGTCTTGGCTATTGACCGCTAGTCAGGGGATGAGTGGCATTGGCTAAATCTGGCCCGCGGACTGTCCAGGAATCAGCGTGTTTTTACATGAGTAGAATGTGTCCTTTTATTTTAAATGCATCTCTGGGTTATTTGTGGGGCCTGCCTGGGGTTTTTACATGAGTAGAATGTGTGCTTTTATTTCAAATGCATCTCTGGGTTATTTGTGGGGCATAGGAATTCGTTCATTTCCCCCCCAAAAATATAGTCTGCCCCCCCCCCAAGGTCTGAGGGACAGTGGGCTGGCCCACTGCTGAAAAAGTTTGCTGATCCTTGGGCTAGTTGGTCTGAGAGATGAGCAACACCGCTTTCAGAGAGTGGGTAGTCCTAGCTGTCTTGAAAGAGGTGGCTGAGCAGCCACATCTTAAGAAATCCACTTTGGACCCCAGAAATATGGCCATTTACTGTCCAGATACTCTCTTGGGGCAGGGGCTTGGAGAAACTCAGCTGCGGGCATCTTGGGAGGACACTGAGGATCTAGATCCATTTCAAGCTGGGTGTAAAGCTCAGTTTTGGTAATGAAAACACCTTGGTTGCCCTGATAAATGACCTCTGTGACTCTCTTGACCCTCCTAAAACTCTTGATATCTTTTGATATCACTGACCACAGTGTACTGCTGGACCGAACCTGTAATTGGCAATAGGGGACTCACAAGACATGGAGGTTCTGCTCCTATCTGCGGAGGCAGTTTCAGAAGATAACGTGGTAGTTTTCCACTTAACTCAGTTGCATTTGTGCTTTGAGGGTCCCACAATATCCCCCCACCAGCTTTTTATTATCTTTACAAAGCTGCTTGATACCATCAACAGGGGATTTGCAGTAAGGTGCTATTGATATGTTGATGACACTCAACTCCACTTCTCCTTGTCACCTGAAATCACTCTTGTGCAAGACCTCAGTATTATTTTTAAAAAACTCAAATGGAAATGGATATTGCTCCCCCACAAAAGCACAGCCCTCCATTTGGCCTGTTGTGAAATGTGATAATTAACAGCTGCTGACATTTGCTTGTGTGCTTCTGGTGATTTTTTTTGATTTTATTTTTTAAACCTGCATGTGCTCAGGTACAGAAAAACCTGTGTGCATGTCCAGAATAGCACAAATATATTCCATCAATCTCTGCCCACCAGAATGTGCAGCAACCAATACCCAAACAGTGTATGGAAGAGAATGTACCAAGAAACTGGATCTGAATGGCTCATTTGCAACATGACACCCTCATCTGGAAGCGCCCCAAGATTCCTCCAAATACTACAAGACGATAAACATTCAGGAACAACACTGTTCAACTTACAGAAATCTGCTGCCTAGATTTGTCACTGCAATGAGGAGCCAGCCACATCCTGACTTCAAGGAGGCCCCAGGGAAGGATGTTCTAAGCTCTTGCAATCACCCTCTTCACACATGATCTCTGTCTCCTGACATATAACAAGAGTAAACCATGCCCGACCCTTCCCACTCCAACACAGAGCGACAACAACGTCCTCCAATCAAGAGAGCAGCTCACGCAGGCCACCTCTGTAAACACTGGGAGCTCCTGCAACTGCCCTAGAAGGCGATTGTGTCTCTCAAGGCAAGAGAAAAGAGCTTTCTTCCAGCCTGTCTCAGTTGCCCCACTTCTCCAGCCCTGTGGCCTCCCAGAAGCAGGAAGAAACTAGCTAACCAAGCTGACCACGTGCCTGGGAGGTTACTAACACTTTCGTCTCTGGGTGATGAATGGGATCTGTGATACCAAAGATTACTATTTCTCTAAGAGCTGACTTCCTGGTTCCAATATAGTCTGTGTATTGGGAAGTGGGAGAGCTGAGCTCAGTTGTACTGATGTTTCTGCATCCCTCCACTTTTTAAAAATCTCTTATTCCAAACATACAGTGGTACCTCAGGCTAAGAACTTAATTCATTCCAGAGGTCCGTTCTTAACCTGAAACTGTTCTTAACCTGAGGTACCACTTTAGCTAATGGGGCCTCCTGCTGCTGCTACGCCACCACCGCACGATTTCTGTTCTCATCCTGAAGTAAAGTTCTTAACCCGAGGTACTATTTCTGGGTTAGCGAAATCTGTTACCTGAAGCCTCTGTAACCCGAGGTACCACTGTAGTTTTGTTTGAGTTCATGACATCTCTTGTGTGAAGTTGAATACTGCAGCATAATACTGACAGTGAGACTGGGCCAGCATATAACAGATGTGCTCAGAGAACTTCATTGTTTGTCGATTTGCTACCAGGCCAGGTTCAAGGTGTTACTATTACTATACAAATAAAGCCCTTAATAACTTGGAACCAGTCTACCTGCGAGGTTGCCTTACCCCATATGTGACCTCTTGACCACTTTGATCTGATGAAATGGCACTGTTACAGGCGGCACATACCGGTAATATCTGTTCCACATTTATAGAAAATTGATCTTTTAGGGTGGCAGCACCTACAACTTTGGAACTCCTTGCCTATTGACATTAGGCAGGTGCCTTCGCTGTACTCTTTTCAGCGCCTGCTAAAAACATTTTTGTTCAGACAAGCCTACCCAGACATGTTAGAATACTGATGTGTTTGTTAGTTCATTGCTGCTTTCTAATTTTTTGAATGTTTTAATTGCTTTGTTAATGCCCTTGCTGTTTCATTCTTTCTGTAAACCACTTTGAGGTTTTCTACAATCAAGCACTATATAAATTTAATGAACTAAATAAATAAGCCTGAATATAAAACGTCTCTGCATTAGCGCTGCCAGATTTCCCAGTTCTGAGGATTCTCTGCTACTCTTGTGTTGTCCTCCAAATGCCATTGGAATAGGACTCCAAGCAACAGTGTGTATGCACACACTCACAGAGAAAATGCAGAGGTGTGTGTTGCAAACTACAATCAGGTAGCACTTGTGCAGTTCTGAATAGCCCTTAGAAAAGCCCCAGCGCACATTCACCAGCTATGGGAAAGGCAAGAGGGAAACAGCTGAGCAGGGAACAGGAGGCTTGCCTCTCGCTGGGGAACAGGCACCTACCTGCCAGTCTGGATGAGCCAGCTTCCGCAGGATGGTGATCCGTGGGCACCAGCAGAGCACACATCTGTGACTCCATACCTCGTCACAGGGTTGGGCAATCTCTTGCCCTCGCTTGTGACCCAGAAGGGGCAGAGGCTGGCAGAGGGCCACTCCCACCAGTCTATCCAATCCATGAATTTCCTGGTCTGGACTCCAAAGTATTACACAGACAACTCTGTTGCTGCAGCAGCTCTCTAGGAAATGAGTGAATATGAGGGGAAGGACTGGGCTGCCAAGTTCCTACACCAGCAAAGGCACAACCAAAAGACAACAGTGTCCATGAAAAGGACCGTCTGTGATGCACAGTCTTTTAGGGACACACACCTATGATCAAGCAAGAGGAATTCAGCCCATGGTGCTGTGGGGTTCAACATCTCCATGGACACTGAATACAAGGCCCTAAGAAGAATGTGGCTGCTGGATCAGGCCAAAGGGGGTCCATCTAGCTCAGCACCCAGTTCCCCCAGTGGCCAACCAGACACCCCAATGGGACCTGAGCGCAACAGTAGTAACTTTCCCCAAACTAGCATTTAGCAACATTCTGTTGCCAACAGCGGAGGGAAAGCATAGCCATTTGGCTGAGAGCCACTGGCACCATGAATTTGGTATCCTCCTCCATGAATTTGTCTAATGATCTCTTAAAGCCTCCATAAGAATGTAAAATCAGGCCAATGGCCCATCTAGTCCAGTATCCTCTTCTCACAGTGACCAACCAGGTGCCTGTGGGATTTGGGAACCAGCAGAATTTGAGCACAAGAGCACCCCCCTGCAGTTTCCAGCAACTGGCATTCAGAATCATTGCTGTCTCCAACTGTGGTTGCACAGCACAGCCATCATGGCTAGTAGCCATTGACAAGCCACCTCCATTAAAAACTGAAAAAGTTGGTGGCCTGGCTGTCACCAATGGAAGCGAAAGCCTTGAAAAAGCTCAATATGGAGGTCAAATGGCCAAAATATTGGGAAATTTTGGAACAAGATGGAGATAGATTGAAATTGCAGAGTTTTGAAAAACTGGCTTCATTATTATCAGATAATGGAGGCATACAATTTGGATAAGAAAATTGGCTTCCAGGTGGAAAAATCAAAATTAGAAACAGAACTGTTAGAGCCCAAAACTAAGAATTTGTCAAGAATGTATAACTTGCTGCTGAAATGGAATACTCAGGATGAAACGGTGAAATCTGCTATGATTAAATGGGCACAAGATGTTGGACATAACATTATGTTCGCTGACTGGGAACAGTTATGGACCACAGGTATGAAGTTTACGGCATGTAATGCCCTAAGAGAGAATATTATGAAAATGATATACAGGTGGTACATAACCTCAGTCAAGCTTGCAAAAATCTACCATTTGCCTGACAATAAATGTTGGAAATGTAAAGAAACTGAAGGTACATTTTTTCACCTTTGGTGGACGTGCCCAAAGATTAAGGTTTTCTGGGAGATGATATATAATGAATTAAAAAAGGTATTTAAATATACCTTCTTGAAGAAACCAGAGGCCTTTCTCCTGGGCATAGTCAGCCAATTGGTGTTAAAAAAGGATAGAACTTTCTTCATGTATGCTACAACAGCAGCAAGAATACTCATCGCAAAGTATTGGAAGACACAAGAGCTACCCACACTGGAGGAATGGCAGATGAAAATGATGGACTACATGGAATTGGCGGAAATGACTGGTAGAATCCGTGACCAGGGAGAAGAGTCGGTGGAAGAAGATTGGAAGAAATTCAAAGATTATTTACAGAAATATTGCAAAATTAATGAATGTTAGAGTGATGTTGGATTGAAGTTAAGTGGCTTCTAGCTGTACAGGTTTTAAAGTTATAAATATATCAAGATTAAGGATTAGGACTAAAAAGGCTAAAAGAATGGAAAAAATGGTTTTTAATAGGTAAAAACTTAATGTTATAATATATTAAGATTAAGGATTGGGATTAAAAAGGAGGGAAAGAAACTGCTGGACTAACAAACTGAATTGGAATACAAAAGAGGGAGGTATGAGGAGGTCCGGGAAACAAGTAAATGTAAAAGAAGTTATGAAAAGACGGAATTGTTTTTAACTGTTTTTTCTTTTATCTTCTTGTATTTTTGTATTTTGTATTGTGTATTTTTCTTTTTTATTCTTAAATTTTTCTTTCTTATTAATGTGATTCTTTTTTTGTGAAACTTTAATAAATATTATTTTTTTAAAAAAAAAATTGGTGGCCATCACTGCCTCCTGTGGAAGCGAGTTCAACAGTTTAACTATGCACCTGCTCTGAACCTCAAACTGAAGCTTCACTAGAAAACAACTGCCCCCTCTTTCCCTTGCAAGCTGTGAGGAGGGAAGGAAATGCAACAGCTTGTCTGAACTGACTGCAGATGCTTCCAGCTTGGGTCCTCCAGGACATGACAGGTCTTCCTTACTGCTGGGGCAGCCAACTGGCTTCAGTGAGGGGAGTAACAGCAAGAGGGAGCAGAGTCTTCCAAACTCCAACCCCTACCTGGTCAGCAAGAGGTGTTTCCAGGTAGAGGTGAGCCCATCTCATTTCCCAGTGGCTTATTCCTAAACAAAGCCCTGTGAAGCACCCTTATCAGAAGGGATTGTTTTTGAGGTCACATAGGGCTGTGCCCAGTGAGGAGCGCTTCCTATGGGCAAGTTGTCACTTGATGTGGCAGCTGTCGGAGGGACAGGTGCCTCTTCCTCAAACCCACTCAACCTGCACACCTGGCCCTGTGTTGGAAGAAGCAAGCTGCAAGCTGAGACAGCACTTTGTTGCCTTTTGCACGCACACACCCAACCAAGGCCGGAGGAAATAGCAGCCACCCCAAAGTCTGCCCACTGGAAGGGTGTTTTGTCTTATACCCAATTTTGCTATGCAGTTCTTTGCTACTAATCCCCTCCATAAACCATCTCCCCATACGATAATTAATGGTTTTCACAAAAGAAGGTATTTCAGGGAGGCTGAAGTATTTCAGGTGAGTCTGTTGGGACCATTCAGGTGACCCACTGCAGCTGCCACCTGGCTGGCACATGCACAGGAGAAGGCCCCAATCCTTCCCCGGATCTCTGGAGGTCCCCAGTAGCTACCCAGCCTCTATTTCATCAGCTCCACTGAAGCAAAATGCAGTTGCCAGAAAAGCTTGTTGGGGCAGGTCCTACCATCTTCAGACAAACCTGAGAGAGGGAGGGTGCTCAGGTCCCTCCTTCTCTTCCTCCTGCTCCCTGCTGTTCTGGGGAGCAACAAAAACACAGCCCAGGGAGAGTGGGGACTGCTGTGGATGTGGGGTAGCAGCAGAGGCCTTGACTGACCATTAAAGTGGTTGCAGTGACCTCCCAGGGGAGGAAGGACCTCCTTCACTGCCCAGGCCCTATGGAGCAAGAGATGGTGGGGCAGTCACTGTAGGACCCCCTGGAATGTGAGAGGCTGGCAGCTACTCTTGCTCTGGCAATGAATGGCAGTGCCTAAGGGACAGGGAGCCCCCTTCTCAGGCTCAGCCCAGGACTGCTCCAGGGTCAGCTCCAAAAGACCCCATCCACACAGACATCAGCTGTCCGAAGCCACAGTTTCCCCGGGCACATGCTCAGGAGCCCCTGGCCAAAGCCCCCCCACTGGATCAATGGGGGTTGGTACTGGGTGGGCTGGAAAACAAGGGTAACAAAGCCCTGGCCAGGGTGCTTTTGGTTCCACCCACCCACCAGGGTGCAAGATGTAGTTATCATGTAGTTATCATATGGATGCTGGCCACCAAGTCCGGCCATGGGCCAAGTCAGGCCCAGCTCCTGATTTCATGGAGCAGCACTGCTCTCCAGTCAAGAAACCCATTCCTAAGGCGTGAGGTTGGGTTCTCAACCCTTGGGTCCCCAGATGTTTTTAGCCTACAACTCCCATGATCCCTAGCTCACAGGACCAGTGGTCAGGGATGATGGGAGTTGTAGGCCAAAAACATCTGGGGACCCAAGGTTGAGAAAGGCTGGATGGTCTTGGCGGCCCCCTTTCAATGCTTCCCACTCCAGTGGGGAGACCAAAAGTGCCATGGCAGTCCTCGCCACATCGAGGAAGAAGCCCAAAGGGAAAACTTCTTCACGGGCCTCTCACGGTATTCGGGGTGCGTGTGTCAGTATTCGAGGTGCTTTACAAAGAGCAGAAGGAAAAGACCCTGGGCTCCGCGCCCTCGAGCCCCCGCAAGATACTAAAACACCCCAGCAGCCTGCGGAGATCTTCTCCCCACCAGCAGTGTGAAATATCAGCGCCCGCCCCCCAACCAGATCCCGAAGGGGCAGGCCGAGAGAGCAGCGTCGGTCCCGTCCCCCGCCGCTTCCCCGGCCAGGAGCATCCCTCGACGGGGCCTCCGCTGTGGCTGGGCCGCCCCCGACCTCTCAGGCTTACCGAGGCGCAGGCTCAGGCGCGGCACCGGCTCCTCTTCGGCAGCGGCGGCCAGGAGCGCTCCCAACAGCAGCAGCGCCGACTCCCGGAGCCCCATGGCGCAGTGGGTCCGAGGGGGAGCGGGCCTGGGCAGCAGCAGCGGCGGCGGCGGGCTGCGGAGCGTCGGAGGCTTTGCTCGCTCGACCAGGCAGGCAGGCGGATCAAGTTGCAAAACTTCGGAGCTGCTCGGACTGCTGCTCTTTCTGGTTCCTCCTCCCCCGTCGGGGCGGGAGTGGCCGCGCCTCCGCCCCCTCCCTTGGGAAGAGACAGGTCCGGACCTGAGAGAGAGGGAGAGGGAGAGGGAGAGGGAAAGGGAGGAGGAGGAGATGTGGGTGAAGCTCCGAGGGCCGGCCCCGCCCCAATGTCTTCCCCCGGCCGTTGAAAGCAGCTCTGAACGTCCCTTTGCTTATCTCTCCCAGAACCGCACCACCCCCATGCGGTTCCTCCTCCTCCTCCTCCTCTCTCCCGCCCTCCAAAACTGACGCCCCAATCCCGAGCTAGGCAGCTACCCTCGTTGGGGCTTCGCCTGGCGGTGCCGTCGAACCAAAGCACGCGACAGCTTTAGCACCCATGGGTGCCCCCCCCGCCAACCCTAAAACTGCAGCCCAAAACAAAAGAGCCTCTTGGGTCCCTCCCTCCCTCCGGGGCACTATGACAAAGACAGCCCCCCCCACCCCCTCTCCTAACAACTCTTCCTTGGGCTTCATGCCTGATTCTCCCAGGAGCTAAGCTGAATGGGGGCATCTCAAGAACACCCCACTGGGGAGAAGCAAGGGGTGGGAGTGTCCGCATGCCCCCCGCCCCCCGCACTGGGCCAGACCTCCCTGGCAGCTCCTCTGGCCTGTGGGCATTGTTGAACTCTGGGCTAATCTCCATGCTCTCCTGGGCACCATGCCCACCCCGCCCTGGCAGAACGCCCAGGCAGGGCTGGCAAACAGAGAGGGAGAGACACACAGGCTGTGGGGCCAACCAGCAGGGCAGCCTCAGAGAGGCAGGCCTGCAACAGGCTCCTGCCTGTTCCCCTGGCAACTGGCCCGCTGCTCTGAGCCTGCCCTGGGCACCTGGCTCTGCCCAGTCTGACCTCCTTCTCCTCCTGGGTTGCAACTCCCTCTGGTGCATCAGCAGTGAATGGCTGAGAGTCCACCCTAACAGCTGCCTGGGTCAGGGACCACTGAACGTCTCTCTCCACCAGCAGGGTGGAAGTAAAATGTGAAATATCAACACCATCATTACAACACTCCTGAGCAGGGATCACACCCCTTTCCTTGATTTTGTTTTTGTTTATGTAAAATCTTATCTTGAATGAGCTGAATCTCTTAACACAGACTGGATCTGCCTTGGAGGGTGGAGCCTTGAAGATTATCATGTCCCAGTGGCAGTGCCGGATTTATGTATAGGCTGAAGCCTACTTAGGGGGCCTCACCAGCCTGCCCTCTCCCCAGTGCTGAAGTCTCCCCTCTCCCAAAATAGTAAACCCTCTTTTACCGCAGTCTGGGTTGGTGGCCATCACTGCCTCCTGTGGGAGCAATTTCCGTAGTTTGACTAAGCACTGCATGAAGAAGTGCTTTTTCTTATCTGTCTTCAGTCTCCCAACATTCAGCTCCATTGATGCCCACTAGTCTTTCTTGCCCCTCCAGTTTCCCCAGTAACTATTTATTGAGGAACTCTCCCATGCTGATCCTGATGCCAAGACCCATGGTTTGGGGCGGGGCAGAGGTGGGGGACCACTTGATTGAGCATCCTATATATCTATATTTGTTAAACAAACAACAGACAATAAATTAAAATGGCGACTATAATATTGGCTGAATGTGTTTCCTGCCTTCTGTCTGTTGCTGAATTGTCTGGTTTAATATTTTAGAGTTTTTTTGTATATAAGTTATTTCACCTAAGAATAAACGGATTAATTCCTTGTCTATGGCTGTACAAAAGCTGCAACAAACAATAGAAAGTTCTATGGGCCTTGACTTGCAAATGGCAACCCCTGTACTGAGCTGAGTTTCCTGGTCAGCTTGTTTGGACATGTTTATTTTTAATTCTTAATGCTTTAATTGTGTGCCAGTTTTTTCTTCTTCTTTAATATGCTATTGACTAGATGGTTTCTGAAGGTTCTTCTGCCTCTGCCCTGGGTGCACTGTTAGGCTGAGTCCTCTGCCTTTCAGAAGGTGACCTGGGAAGCCTAATCCTGCATCACATAAGCTTTAAGATGCCAGTGTGCAGCTCTGCTCTGCTTCCAAACGGCATGTGCTGCCCAGTGCAAAGGAGGGCTCAGGGCCAGCTTGCTTATGAGTTCCGCATTGGTTTGGAACAAGACAGAGAACTAGGTGAGCCTGTGGTGTGACCCAGCTGCTGCAGGCAGGCTCTTCTGATGTTCTTCAGACTAGAACTCAACCCCTCCATCAAGAATAATTAGAGAGCTGAAGCTTCCTAGCTTAAACCACAGCTGCAATCTGCGGTGCACATGGGCCTGCTTGCCTGCCTTGGAAGGTTCCCCAGAAATGTCAGGACAAAATGCAGCTGCTGGGCTGGGACTGGCTCTAGAGAAGACCCCTGGCCACCAGGCTGCTGCCCATCCATTTCTGGGCACAATTCAAAGTGCTGCCCATTAAAGGCCTGATGTCATCTCAGTGCCAGGCAAAGGACTTCTGCGTTTCCTTACAGCTTTAAGCTGTAAACTGGCTATGGGTTTTTGTTTTGTTTTGCTGCTTTCTTTTTTATTACTGCTGGTTTTATATTTATTGCTACGTGTGTCTGTTTTCAATTATGCTGTTGGAAGCCACCCTGGGGGCTTTTATGTAATAGCAGCTTTACAATATCAGGCAGGCACAGCTGTGGATCTTTCCTCCTCCTCCCAGATAAGCCCACCTGGACTTTATGATTGTCACCTGAGCCCTCCAGTAGAAGCCCTCTGACGTCTGGTGGGTGGCAACTGTGGAGAGAGAGAGGACCCAGTGCAGTGCCCACCTCAGCATCGGCAACCAAGACTCTCGTCTGGTGTTGATGTCCTTTGGGTGCCAGGCAAAGATGCTCTTATTGCTCACCCAACATATTTTGGAGCTGATTTTAACTGAAGTCCTCTTCAGGCACTACAGTGGTACCTCGGGTTACATATGCTTCAGGTTACAGACGCTTCAGGTTACAGACTCCACTAACCCAGAAATAGTATCTTGGGTTAAGAACTTTGCTTCAGGATAAGAACAGAAATCGTGCTTCAGCGGCGCGGCAGCAGCGAGAGACCTCATTAGCTAAAGTGGTGCTTCAGGTTAAGAACAGTTTCAGGTTAAGAAAGGACCTTCGGAACGAATTACCATATTTTTTCTCTATAAGACTCACTTTTTCCCTCCTAAAAAGTAAGGGGAAATGTGTGTGCGTCTTATGGAGCAAATGCAGGCTGCGCAGCTATCCCAGAAACCAGAACAGCAAGAGGGATTGCTGCTTTCGCTGCGCAGCGATCCCTCTTGTTGTTCTGGCTTCTGAGATTCAGAATATTTTTTTTCTTGTTTTCCTCCTCCAAAAACTAGGTGCGTCTTATGGTCTGGTGCGTCTTACAGAGCGAAAAATCTGGTAAGTATGTAACCAGAGGTACCACTGTATTTAGTCCCTTCCTTCTGATGCAGGAAGCCTCCTGCACTGGAGGAGCATTTGTGGGGAGCCTCCATGAGCACAGGAAGCTCCTTGCTTCAGGAATAGCAGTCAAACGATGGAGAAGCTAGAAGGAGCTGAGCAATGATTTGGCAGTGCTGTTACATTATGCGTGTGCTTCCTCTTCAGGGCAGTAATGTCTAAAGACGGTATGTGTTGTATTGTTGTGCTGTATTTTGAGTTTTTATTTATTCAAATATTTATAACCCACCACCTTCTAAAAGTTGTTCACATGCTGTTTTAAGCTCATAAAGACAGCAGCAATTTCAATAGAACCACTAATTTTAAAAGAAATTCAAGCACAGCATATGAAATAATCAAACATAGGCTGGAACAGAAACATCTTCAGAGTTTCCTTAAAGTCTATCAATGTCCAAGATGTACATCTCTCCCTGGAGAGAGGCTTCCAGAGATGTGGGATCTCCACTCAAAAGACCCTGTCCCTGCTGCCCACCAATCTAACCTCTCCTGCTAGCAGGCCAGACCTCAGGACTTCAGGCACTGATCTCAACGTTCAGGTGGGCAAACAGCTCTTCAGGTAACCTGGTCCTAAACGGTTTAAGCCCTTGAAGACCAAAACTAGCACCTTGAACTGGGCACAGGAATGAACAGGCAGTCACTTTAACCAGTACAGTATAGGTGCGATATAACTTCGGCAGCCACTTTCTATAACTATTACAGGTTCAAAACCACCTTCAAAGACAGTCCCACCCAGAGCACCTTGGAACAGGTATGAGCAATTTCATCAGCAAAATGCAAAGCCAACTGGTCATGGCAGACCCTGCAAGGCTCCAGATGCTGACCCATCAGGGCCTGAGATGTGTGCATCCCCAACCACAGCAAAAAAAATACTCCATTAGCTTTCATTTCACAAGTCAGTTGCCCTGAGAGGTTTTAGAGCTGAAGCAAAGGGTCGGATACCATCACTCTGAACAAATAGAGGCTGTACTTCAAGGAAGGAGAATCCCCAAGTCACCTATGTACAGAACTCTATCCCCCTCTCTTTCTGCTTCCCTTCTACATCCAGCAACCACGGCACCCTTGTGGGGTGGTTCTAAGCATTAAGAAGCCCCCTGAGCTCTGGGAAGCCCTGTGTGAAGGAGAAACCTTTTGGCATTGCCTGCATTTAAGGGAGAAGCAGAGAGGGAGGCATGCTCATGGCAGAGAACATGGCTCCTGTGGCCTTCCAGTTCACATATAATGGAGGAGCAGTTCCTGAGCATCATGGCAGGAACTGCCATGTGACTTTCAGAAAGGAAGATCTCCCACTTTTGCCTTGAACTCAGTGCAGATATTTGCTCTCTCAACTCTTCCAGGGAAATTATGACTCTGGGAGCCCTGGCAGGGGCCCATCCGCACCCTGTCTTTGCACAAAAAGGGAGTACACAGAACCATCACCTCTCCCCTCACTTTAGGAAAACAAACTGTGCAGCAAGAGGAGCAAGCACTCGAGGAGATGGAGGAGGGTTTCAATGCACAGGCTTGGCCCTAAACAAAAAGGATTCTCCCTGCTTCCCCTTCTGCTCAACGCTGGGACGGTTGAGCAGGCTTCTTTCCTCCCAAACACAGCTGTCAGAAGGGAGAGGAGGATGAAGAGGGTCCAGGTGGGACTCTGCTCAGAAGCCCCCTCGAGGACCTCCTCACTGCATCCGTCCAGCAGTAACCACGGCAACCCGAGATGAATGCCTGCCACTTGGTTTGCCATGGCAACGGAGGAGCATGAGAGAATGGCCCCGGGAACTAGCAAGGGAACTAGCAAGGGTCGAGGTGGTGGGTCAATGAGCATTGGCATCAGCACGGGGAGGATCAGGGGCCCAGCGGAGCGAAGTGGGGGAGAGAGAGAGGCGGGGGAGGAAGTGGGGGAGGAGGAAAGGCAGTGGCTGTTTTCATCTTCCCAGAGGGAGGGTGGCCAAGATGTGGCTCTGGATTAGTCCCAAGCAAACGGTGGCAGCAGAGGCAGCAGCAGCACCCATTGCAAAAGGAGGGAGGCAAAGCCCTGGCAGCCAGGACAAAAGCAGCTTGGGAGAGAGGCCAACTTCACCCCAGGCCTCCCCTTTCCTGGGCCGAGAGATGGAAGGAGGGAGCAAAGCTCCCCAAGGGCAGCCAGTGGCTGGGAGAGAGGAGGGGGCTAGAGGGCTTGAAGCCCAACAGTCCAGCGCTTCTGCCCTTCCCTTTGCAATCCTGCAATTTGCCTGCAGAGGTGCTCAGGCATCTCCAGTGGCAGGTGGGTTTCTAATACCGTTATCGTTACACAACCCCAGCACTGAAACAAATGCATCAATTCAACTGGGCAGAGGCAATGGATAAATGGGGGGGGGGCGGACTGGCAGACCATGCCTGGAGTAAGGAGGCGCTCTTGTGGGCTTGGGTCCCTTTCTTCCATCTACAGACCTCACAGCCACACCCCCATGCTGGGGCTCCTTGCTTGTTGTGGACTAGCACCTTGGGGAGCCTCCTGTTGGGAACAAGGTGGCCAGGAGGGCAAATGTCAAAGTGAGCACACACTCCTTCCTTATCAGAAAGGCAGTTAGTCCCCTGCTGAGCCTTCTCTTGGACTCTCCTCCACTTCCAGACATTAGGAAAGGAAGCCTGGAGGCTAAGATTCCAGGTGGCTGCCCAGGTGGCTAGCTAGCTGGCTGGCTGCCCACCCACAGGACACCTCTGGGCCTGAGAAAAATGCAGCCAGCCAGCTTTGCTTGGCCCAGGTCTATTGTCGTGCCCTGGGATTTGGGAGGAAGGGATCCTCAAGCACACAATCAATGGTGTCATTTGATCTCCTAGCTCAGGGCAGGGCCCAGATTTGGTTGCAGGCAGGGGCAGGCAGCTGGGAGACCAGCCTGTAGAAGCTGGGTAGGAGCTCAGCACTGGCCCTTTCAGCCTTCAGACAAGGGAAGGGCAAGCCCATGCCCTGTCACCTATATAGGATCCAGGTGCTGTGTTGAGGGTGGGGGAGAGGGAGCCCCTGCAAAGTATTGGCAGACAGACCACCATGTGCCCCCTCCACCACTGCCTGCCCTCAGGGACTCTTCCACATTTAAAGTGCATGACTTCCCCCAAAGAATCCTACAGTTTGTTAAGGGTGCTGAAAATTGTAGCTCTCTGAGGAGTAAGCTACAGGATTCCGTGCACTTTCAATGTGTATGGGTGGGTGTGACCCACTGCAGTGCTGGGTGCTGTCCTACTGCCAATGCTGAAGCAAGATCCAGCCACTGGTCCAGTCGGATGACCCAGTGCTGACCTTCAGATGCCCTCTCTTCTCCCTGGGAGAAAAAACTCTCCCCAGTCACTGCCAACCAGGCTGGCTGGGACACACATGAGCGAGTGCCTTCTTGGGTTGCCTCTTCCTTGCCCAGTACTGTCAGCATGCATGTGGGGAGCAGCTCAGAGGAGCCATGTCCTAAGCCACGCTGACTCAATCAAGATGCCCTGTGCCCTCCTCCCATGGCAGAGAGACCCAGCAAGGGCCACTGATGACTCCAAAGAGTGCAAGCAGGCTGCCAGAGAGGCTGTTCCTCTTTGCAACTGCAACTGATATTGGAATCCGCCCCCCTAAGGTCACAGCATTCCCACAGAGGGCTGTACAGTCATGGCTTCTGCCAGTTCCTGGAGGGCACCAAGGGTGGCAGAAACAAAGGCAGGTGGAGGGAGAGATTCAGCCACATAAAACAAAACAGCAATTCTGTAAGGCAGCTCCTATGGGCAAATGCCAGGCCGTCAGCACCACATCACAATCAATCTCATGATTATCGGCTTGTGGTAACAGAGAGGTTGGGTTTTATTTAATTTTTTTGCTGGTGGCACCAGTGTTGTGGAATGCCTTCCCTGATGAAATTCGAGACACCCCATTACCGTTGGCATTCTGCCACCACCTCGTTACACACCTGCTTAGGTAAGCCTTTCCCTGAACTTGAACTTGTGGTTTTATTGTTTTCACTGCTTTTTTCAAACTGTCTTTCATTGTCATGCTTTCTAAATTGTTTGTTTCATTGTAAATTCAAATTAAGGGTGTTTTGATGCCACTGTGTACTCTGCATATTGGTTTTGTAAACTGCTTAGAAACCATTTTGGCATCTACACGGTACATAAATTAATAAATAATCACCACTCCTCCCTGCTTCTAGGTAAAGGAACCCCTGACCATTAGGTCCAGTCATGGCCGACCCTGGGGTTGCGGCGCTCATCTTGCTTTATTGGCCGAGGGAGCGGCGTACAGCTTCTGGGTCATGTGGCCAGCATGACAAAGCCGCTTCTGGCGAACCAGAACAGTGCACGGAAACAGCGTTTACCTTCCTGCCGGAGAGGTACCTATTTATCTACTTGCACTTTGATGTGCTTTCGAACTGCTAGGTTGGCAGGAGCAGGGACCGAGCTCACCCCGTGGTGAGGATTCGAACCGCTGACCTTCTGATCAGCAAATCCTAGGCTCTGTGGTTTAACCCACAGCGCCACCTGCGTCCCTGCTTCTAGCTTTCCAATAAAGCCAAGGGGGAAATACTCTGACCTGACTGTTCCAGGCAACTTCCTTTATTTCCGTTGATGCCCTGGTGGAAGTTGAGTTGTTCTCAAACATTTTGGTGGGGAGGTTGGAGAGAAGGAAGGAAATGTCTGCCGCTCTAAAAACATGGTGACTCCCAATCCCTTCTTCCTTCACCCCTCCCAACACACACACTACCCTTAAATGGCTCGGGATATTGTCAGAAAGAAAGATATGTGGCTGTGAGCCGCCTCCCACCACATGACACCAGGGGAAGCCCTCCTCAATAACCCTGGTGGGTCCCACTATTGTAGGCTGGGGTTCATAGAATGGCACTTGGCCATGGAAGGCCCCAAATTCATTGGGGGGGGAACCTTTTTTGCAGGCAGGTTCCCTCATTGATTGCCCAGCCTTTCCCAGAAGATGCCAAATACCCTCTTGGCTGGCAGCTGCTTCGACTTCTTTGCCCATTTGTCGAGGCTTCATCTCATAAAGGAAGCACATGAGCTGACAGGCTGAGGGTCCTCACACTCACCTCCTTCAGTTCTGAGCAGCTGGCATAGGTGCGAAGATGCAAGGAACTAGTTTCACCTGGCCGGGAAGCCAGCAATGCTGAGGTCAGCTGAGGCTTTCAGAATGGACCTAGGAGAGGGGGAGAAGGAAATAAGGTTTTGAATATGAAAATTCCCAACCAAGTCGGAATAGTTGGAAGATGTAGTCTATCTCAGCCTTCCCCAGCCTGAAGCTCTCAAGATGTCATGGTCCACTGACAGGAAGTGCAAAGTTCTCTGCAACATGGGCAGCTGGTGCAGCAGGAAAGAGGTTTTGGGGATGACTGGTATTTGTTTATTGCATTTCTATCCCAGCTTTTCCTCCAAGGAGCTCAAGGTGGTGTGCATGTGGATCCCCGATCCACAACACCCATGTGTTGAGAGACAGTACCTGGCCCAATGAGCTTCATGGGGATTTGAACCCCGGTTTCCCGGGTCCTAGTCTGACACACTAATCCAGTGTTTCTCAAACTTGGGTCCCCATCTGTTGTTGGACAACAGCTTCCATCATCCCTGACCACAGGTGCTCTAGCTAGGAATGATGGAAGTTGTAGTCCAACAACAGATGGGGCCTCAAGTTTGAGAGAATTGAGGAAGAGTGAACCATATACACTACCTCGAACTCACAAGATTGAATATAAAAGCAATTAAAAACTATGTTGCTATACAGCAGGTGCTCTCCTAGGGTTCTGGGGGGACAGTCTCTCTCTCTCTTTCCCTCCCTCCCTTTCTCTTTCTCTCTCCGCCGCCCCCCTGTGGCAGACAGTCCTTCCGAAATGCACTTTTGTTCACAGCTTCTGTGGCAAAATCTGAGTTGGCAAGCATGCTCTATCCAAGACAGATACAAACATTTGTTAATGGGTGCCCAGATTGGCAGCACAGCCTGGTGTGGGGGAACAGCAGATGAAGGGTTTTGCAAATGCAGGCAATATAGTGTGTGGAGGGGCATTAGAACCCCGCTTGTGATGCCTTCCTCTCCTTGCCTCAGGGTGGCCCTTGAGGGCTGGCTGTGGGGTGACCGGGGGTCTGGTCCAGCGCCTTGCTGAGATGGGTGGGGCACGTGGGCATCACGTGGTTTTGCTTGCCAAGGGCCACGGCTGAACCCCAGAGTTCAGGAGGGGTCAGTCCCAGCTCCGTTACAAGCTCTGTTGGTTGTCACATCCCCAGCCTAAGGCTAAACTTGGGGGGGGGGACGCGCCAGAGGGGCCATCACCTGCGCCCCTCTAATGCTGAAAAGAGCCATTCAGACGGCCACACCCCCCCCCCAAATCTCGGAAGCCCTTTAGCTATATAAAATGCCTCTGCGCCTCCCACGCTAAATTTCGATGATAACTGAAGGGACTTTCTCTGGGGGGGGGGGGGAGTGCAAAATTCCTGGCGCGCTATTGTGCCAGGGAAAAGGGGCTTCCCTCCGCCTGCCCTGCCTCTGCTGGGAAAAAAAGACTCTCGGCACATGGGCAGAGAAACTGTCTGTCTTGGCTGCTAACAGGTCTCGGGGCTGAGTCCCGTCACAGAGCCAGTCTTTGAAGGCAGAGACACCCCCGGCCCACCCGCCTCTCTCTCTCTCACCTCCTGCACAGACGCGACCCCTTGTCCCCGGCCCCAGCCTCTCCTGCCGTGGCCCGCCGTCGCCTTTCTTTGTGGTGCGTCCCTCCCTGTCTGTGCCGGAATCGCGGGGCGCCGTCGGGGTGGGGGGAGGGATCGGGGCGGTGCTTCCAGACCAATTGGTGACATCAAGAAAGGGAGGAGATGGGGGGGGGGTTTGAATACGGGGAGGGGTCCACACAATGCAGAGGCGGGGGTGTGGCGGGCTGGTCGGAGGCTGGGGAGGGGGCGGGACCCCGAAATGTCACCCAACCCCCCTGGACAGAATATCCTCCTGTCCCTATGCCAGGTAAGCACGACCCTCACCCCGGTCAGCCGAAGATGCTGCAAAAGGTGGTCCCTTTCAAACAGCAAGAGAGACCCCCTGCGCCCCCCGTTGTCAGCTCCTGGCCAAATCAGTGGAGGAAACGGGCAAGGCGCGCGTTAATCTCTGCCAGGGGAAGTGGAAGAGGGAGAGGGAGAGGTGTGGGGCTGATTCTTGGCAGGGGGGAGCGGGATTCCCTTCTGACCACCGCTCGGACCAGCGGAGCAGCGGCAGCCCCAGGGCTGCATTGAGGACAGCAGCAGGAGCCCCGCCCCCCGATTTTGGCTTCCTCCCGGCTCCCAGGTTGCGTCGAGTTCAAATCCTTCCCCTCCCCCGTCCCTAGCATTCCCTGCTGCCTATTAGGATGATTGTAAGCCGCTTGCGGGCAGAGACCGCTCCCTTCCATTTCCTTATGCAACTCGATCAATGCCCTCCAGGGGGCGCTCCTGCAGGGAGGATTTTCCAGAATGCGGAATTAAGCGAAGGGATTCCCGAAGGTGAAAGCAAGTGGCGCCGCCACGGAGCGAGGGAGCAGCGCCCTCTCGTGGGCAATGGCGGGATGCACATGGAGACCTATAAGGCGGTTGGTTCCTGGAGGGGCGCCTTTGTTCATCCAGGGAAGCCCCTACAACAGGGGTCAACAAACATTTTCAGCAGGGGGCCGGTCTACTGTCCCTCAGACCTTGTAGGGGGCCGGACTATATGTTGCCATGAATATCACCCGCATTTTTGGCAAAAACCCTTATTGGGACCAACCCCAACGTTGCCCAAATGTGATTTTTTTGGGGTGTGTGTGTGTTCCCACATACACCCACGCTGCTTCCTTTGTGTTTTACTCGTTGACAGTTATTTTTTCTCTTGTAAGGCAGGGTGGGGGGCTGAGGTAAGCGCGCCATTTCTGTCAGCCCTGGAGAGCGTTTGCGCAGGTGTGGGTGAAGGGAAAAGCTGTTGGCCACGCTAAGTCAGGCCAGTGCCGCTCAAGCAAAAACGTTCTTTTCCCTGCATGAGGGAAGACAAGGCGGCGGCTATTTACCTTTCCATGGCTCACACCGTGTAGCTTACAAGCGGCCTCCCCAGCAGTACGCAGAACTGCTTTGGAGCGCAGCCCCCCAGGCGCTCCCCGCTTCCTTTGGCGGGGAGCACCGCCACCTCAGACACCAGCAGGCGTCGCTCCTTAGGCGCCTCTGAGCCCCTGCTGCTGCAACTGCCCTTCCTGAGGTCAGTTGCTGGCAGCTCCATGGTGGAAATCCGAACTGTGGCTCCTTTTCCCTCTTCCCCACCCCCCACCCTGGAAGAAAAGGTTGCTGCACGTGCATCACAGATGAAGAAGGGGCTTGTCTCAAGCAGCCGCTCGCCTCACTTTTGACCCCCAAGCCTGGCTGAGTCGCAAAAACCATCATGCGCGCTCACGCGCTATGCCGGCTGCCTGGATTCCCGGACCGTCCACAGGCCAGATCTAGAAGGCAATTGGGCCTGATCTGGCCCGCGGACCTTGGCTTGCCGACCCATGCCCTACAAGGACAGGTGTCTGTTCCAGTGATCTTCCTTGGCGAAATGCCAGCAGCAGAAGAAAGGAAAGCAACATTGACTTTGACTGCCTTTGGCTTCCAGCTCAAACCCACTAAGAAGTATTCCAAGAAAACCAGCAAAATAAAATGAAGGTTAAAGAGCAAAATGTGTCCTGAGCTGTATTGGTTCATGTAGGGAATAGAACACCTCCAAACCACAAGAGAGCAACCTCTTCACTAGGAGAAAGGGCAGGAGGGAGGGAGGAAGATTCCAGGTTCTCCAGGCCTCCTCTCCAGGCCGGTTGTGAAGCAAAAGACAAAACGGAGAGAGAAAAAGTAACAGAGACACAGCAAGTGTCCTTCCCGGAGCCAGACTATTGTTCCATCTAGCTTAGCACTGTCTACACGGACTGGCAGAAGCTCTCCAGGGTTTCAGGCAGGGTTATCTCCCATCCTTACCTGGAAATGCCACCAGAAATTGGGCCTAGGACCTTCTGTATGCAAAGTGGATGATGATGATAAAAAAACTGTTTCCTTAAATATTGTGCTTATCTTTCTTATTCTTGATGTATAAATTAAGTGAGAGTACCTGAAGGAAGGCCTTCTCCTGTATGTACCAGCCCAATTCAAGGATCCTTGGATGAGCTTGTCTTGTGTATGTGCTGAGATCCTTCCTGCAACAACCCAAATAAGGGACTTTTCTGTTGTGGCACCCAGCTTCTGGAATGGCCTCTCCTTTGAAATAAGGCACCAGCATTGATGGGCTTTTCCTGCTTGCTGAAGTCAACCCAGAAGGCATTTTTGGGTGACATCTCGCTGGCCTGTGATGTATTTTATTACTGTATATATTTTAATGTACCAGTTTTAATATAATTGCATTGTTTTGAACCACCATGGTATTATTAATGAAGGGTGGTATAAAAATATTTTTCAGGAATAAGGAGTTTGTAGAATCAATTCTTTGAGTGAGCATCTTTTTTCTGGCTTCAGCTAATATTGTCTCCTTTGTTTTATTGTGCATAAATCTTGAAAGTCCCCTCCACTGGGATCTTTGCTTCTCCATGAGAGGAGAAAGATGGTGTGTGCTTTATTGTGGAGGCTGCAGTCGTGTCAGGGCTCAGGGGCAAAGAGTGGCACCAGCTTCCAAGCCTGCTCAGGACTTACCTTCAGTGCATGGGGGTCTTGCCCATTTCTTCCAGTTACAGGAGCTGGCCAAGTCAACTTCCAAGGGAGATTTCTGTGCCTGAACCTACTATTGCTTTAGCAGTCGGAAAATGAAGCTTTTGGTGGCCATCTTTTTCAAGGTCTTCTTGTTTGAGATACTCTTCATTTATATTTTTACAACGCATCGTGTACTTTGTTCTGCAGCTCAGCTGCGCTATCTCCTATGTTTGCAGTTTGTTTAAGAGTTGCCTGGACCTCATTTAACTGCTGTCTGAGTGGTCAAGCTTAGAAGCTTATTATGTGTTTTAAGTTCAAGAGAAGTCATGGGTTAGCTTTGTTTGCTTGTTTCCTGGGCTGTTTTTTCCTGCTCTGCTCTCCAACTGATGCTATGTCTCATTCCGTCCCACTAAGTATTTAGTTTCTCCTTTTTTCAGGTGTTCCTTTCTGTCTGGGGAGCCCTTTGAGTAGGAAGGGGTATCCTGTGGGGGCTCTCCAGATGTTTGTGGACAACAATTCCCATCTCCCCTGACCATTGGCTATTCTGCATTTGGGTGCCTGTTTGTTCTCAGTGGTCAATACCCTGCCCCCCATGAAGCTTCTGAGATTATTTCTGCTTGTTTGTGACTTTTCCTTCCCACCTCTCTTCCAGTCTGGAACACACAGATGCCAATGACAAAAATTAAATAAAATCACCATGCAGCAATAAGACACAGTAAGAACCACAAGAGGACTCTAATGCAGACTAGCAACTTTTGGTCACCAAGACCAATCCCAAATAAATTGGTTCATTTATATAATGGGACCAAAACTGAACTTTCCAAGCCCAGATCATAGACTCATAGAATTGTAAGGTTGGAAGGGATCCCCAAGGGTAATCTAATCTAACCCCTTGCAATGCAGGAATCACACCTAAAGAATCCCTGACAGGAGGCCATCCAACCTCTGTAATCCAGTTGAAACATTTCTGTTTAAACCATCCTGCTTTTGAAAGCATTGCCATATGGGCATGAGCCTTAGCAAGCAGCATAGGTGGGGGTTTTTTTTGAGAGAGAGAATCTTTATAAATATCTGCACATAAAAAAAGTTGCAATCTTGCTTCGCTTGTCCAAGAGACAAACATGGCTTCATCGGATCTAAGCTAGTGTATTTGCTTCTGTACCATAAACACACATGGACCTACAGACCCTGCAGATCTGTCCATGCTGCAGATGCAACCTCAGGCTCTGGGTACCTGATGCAGTGCAGAAGATATTTGCACCACAGGTAAGTAGAAGGTAAGAAGAAATGCCAGAATCTAGCCCTCATTGCTACTGGTGAGTGGCTGCATCTTTTTACAGTCAGGGCCAATTAGGGCGAGGGGGGGGCAGGCAGGATGGCCATTTGGCCAGGGTCCTCAAGCTCAAATCGGGCCTCAGATTTAGACACTTTTGAGTTTTCGGTTTGTCCAGAAGCAGGGCATTTGTATGCAGCCTGTTACAATAGGGGCCCTGCCAAGAGCTAGGACTCCAGCTGCACAGCTGCAAATAAAACGTTTTAAGTGTGTTGTGTGACACTAGATGGTAACAGTGAGCTATGGCAAATTCAATGTATTTTTCAAAACGTTTTTTAAAAAAGCATTTTCACAGTGGTTTTTTTTTAAAATATGTGTGTAGATTCCACTCAAGTTCTCTTTCTGTTTTCTCACTCTAACTCTGTGAGAGATGTCAGAAGAGCCAACTTGTGCAATGCCACACATTGTGTATAGGCACAAGGGGTGGGTGGGTTGTTTTTGCAACCAGAGCCACTCCATTTTCACCCTCTCCTAATCTTGGAGCTGAGAGACACATATTGTCTCTCCAGGCCTGCCTGAAAAGCACATTGCGGTCTGCAAAGGACCACAGTCTAGGCGGTCCCTAAATCCAACAAGACAACTTTTGCAACCCATGAGAAGATTTTACACGCCGTAATTATGAGGAAACTTTGTGCTTTAATGTCTGTTAAGTCATCAAGTCTGTGCTCAATTAAAAGATCTTGTCTGAAAGTTGGCGAGGCTGGCAATTCCAGAAGATCACAGCTGCTGTTGAAAGGGATCCTGGGCAAATGCAGAGTTTGCATGGAAGGGTGCCCAACCCTGCCTGCAACCAACCAGGGTGCCAAACTGACACCCTTTCCTGCCCCGTGGGAAGCAGAGTCAAGGAGGCCCAAGTGAGAAGGAGAGCAGTACTAAGCCTCTTCCTAAGTAGGGGAGGTAAACAGGCTGGCCTCCTAGAGAGCCTCTGGGTCTGGCTCCTTGGCTCAGTCAATCAAAGAATACTAGGAACATAAGAAGAAACTGCCAGATCAGGCCAAATTGGCTCATGTAGTCCTGTATCCTGTACTCACAGCAGCCAGCCAGATGCTGGTGGGAAACCTGAAAGAACGATTTGAGCACATGAGCCCTCTCCTCCTGGATCCATTGCCTAAGCCTGTCCAGCACCAAGGAGGCCTCCTCTAAGATGAAGCCAGTCATGGCCAGAGTGGCCAACTCTTGCCAAGTAATTCTAGCCTGGAGCCCAGCATGCTGCCAGGGGAGCAGCCCAGTGGCTCAGGGCAAACCAGCCATGCCCTGGAGGCAAGAAGCAGAGGCTGGTGCTTCAAGGATGAAGTTCGCCAAAAAACATGTGCTTTCTAATCTCCAATGGCCAAGCAGTACATCCACCCAACACAGTTCAGATGCCAATTGTCTCATGAGTAGCAACTATAAGTGAGCCCAGTGCAGGTGTCTCAAGCAGCTGGTGAGCGCTGCAGCAAATAGCATGTCAAGCTGCAGGTCCAGTGCAGTCTTATGCACAGTCATTCTAGAAGACATCTACCCATTTCACAGATAGGTAGTCTTAAGGATGGGAATCCATTACAGAGAACTGAAAGCACCTGAAGAACAAACGACTGGTCCGTTCATGCATGAAAAGGTCAAAGAATTTTGAGCATGTAGGAAAGAAGCAGTTATATTCTGTTGTCACAAGTGCTCACACTCAGCATGGGCCAGTGCAGCCCAGACTGAGTGACCCCCACAGCCCTGGAGATTTCCTCTCTCTCACATACAGGGAACCCTGGCTCTGCCCTGGTGCCCCCTAGCTGGGCAGGCCTTCCTGCCCCCCTCTCCTCTCTTCCCCAGGGGGATGTCCAACTGGCCAACCACTGGGTAGATGAGGCTGGGTAAGGGGGAACCTCCAAAGCAGAGCTTTGCCTACAACTTCCATCATCCTTCACTGTTGCCTCATTATGCCTGGGGCTGATGGGAGTTGCAGTCCATGCATGCTCCCTGTGATCTAGTCAAGAACACTGGTCTATCAAGCTTAATGGCACTTCCACCAGGACTGGAGTGGGGTGAGCCTTTGGCCCTCTACATGCTGCTGGACTCCCCAGCTCCCGTTTGGTTGGAACTTTGATGGGTGGAGATGTAGGGGTCAGCTATATGGTGCCCTTGAGGCAGAGCTTTGGGGCAGAAGCCCCCACTTGGTAGAATGGGCAGGACAATGCCACCCCATACACAGCCAGCACACAACCCTAAAGAGGGTGATGGGCAGAATTAAACTGAATTAAGTCCAAAGTCTAAAATTGCCCAACTGCTCTGCTGGCTGAGGCCTTGCAGCCAAGAGGGCAGAGGGGCAACTCCTCCTCTCTCCCCAAACCCAAGCTGGGGTGGTCTTGGCAGGCTGCTTCCTGATTGGTGGTGTTGCTGGTGAGTGTGTTTGTGTGACTCCTTTCTTGTGTTTCTGCCCTGAGAGCATGTAAGGTCCCGGCTGTGTCAGTCAATCAAAGTTTATTGTTCTAGCCAAAGGCTAGAAACCTGCAGCCACAGTCCCAATAAAACAATAGAGATCATACATCCATAATATGAGGCAACACCAGTGATGTAAGACAGAGGTTGCCAGATACACCCACAAACTCAAATCCAGTTTGATTTCAAATTAAACCTCCAAATTACCACAACTTTATAGTGTTCTATCGAACTCCCTTTTCCTGATAGTTATTTGCAGCTGGTGGATAGAGGGCCACACTGTGTGTTACAAAACTATTCTTGTCACCCAAAGGAAACTGGACCGTTTCTGCCGGGATGCACCTGCTTGCTTCTGTGAACAAAGGTTTCAGAAAACGATCTTTTGGGTCTCTATATAAGGGGCAGACTAACAGATGTTTAACAGTGATGTGTTCCAACTGAGGCTGACCACAGATACAAGGATTAAAGAAATTCAAGGAAGAGGAGCATAGCTTTGCACTACCTCCACTGCTGGAGGCAGGATGCCTCTAAATGCCAGCTGCTGGGGATCACAAGTGCACACATGGTCTGCTTGTGGCCTTCCTTTTGCAGTATCTGGTTGGTCACCATGAGGACAAGATTCTGGGTGGCCCCTCTTTGGACTGACCCAGCAGCCAGGCTGTTCTTGTGTTTTGACCTTAACAGCTGAGCCAGTGCTGACCCTGGGTGGTTCAAGCCCAGAGCAAAGCAAGGGCTGCTTGGATTGCACTGTGTTCAGTGCCAGCTCCGATTCCCACCATGCCCACGGGTACTAACCCTCCAGTCCCAGCGCCTACCTTCCCAAAGGGGCTCCCCCTCCCTTTGGTTGGGTTGTCAAGAGGGCTTCTTGCACCTCCAGGCGGAATGGAAGCAGGGGCCCTCGTAGGAAGTCCTCACGGGGCTTCTCTCTTGGGCACCACCCTGCAAGGCAGGGGTGCCAAGGTTGCCCTTCCAGCCCAGCCTGGACCCTGATCTGCTCCGCTCCGGCCCCTCTTCCCCGGGGCTATTTGCTGCGAGCTCCTGGATTAGTGGCGACCGGCGGCTGCCGTCAGTGTGCAAACAAATGGCGCAATGCCCTCCGGCTCTGCCAATGCCCTTCAGCCCCGACGGCGGCCCAGGCAGGCCACGTCCAGCACAGGAGCGCATCCTGGGAAGCTGGCCTTCGCCTCTCGTCTCGATGGATGTTTTTTATCAGCAGCCAGGCCTGGCCTTGGCGCTCCCGCCCGCCCGCCTGTCTGGCGGCTGCAGCTACTGTTACCCGAGCACAAGGCGAAGCAGTGGGGAGTAAGATGGGTATCCCTCCCTGCTGGGCGTCTAGGGCACCCCGCCGCCTAGCGCCCCCGCGAAGGCCACATTTGTAACGCGGGGGGGGGGGCGGCGGGCACCAAAGGCAGTGGAGATGCTGTCGCCCGACGGAGGGCAAGAGCGTGGCACTCACGGGAGCCAAAGGGGCAGTAAAAGAACAATGGCTGCTGCCGCTGCGTGTCCATTTCCCGGGTGGCCCGCTTCGGACCTCGGCGCCCCGCCCCGACGGGGAGGTTCCCAAAGCGCGGGGACTTAGGGGGCAGGGCAGGCGGGCGGCCGCTCCATCTGCTCCGCCTGGCGCGCCTCGGCTGCTCGGCTTCTCCTCTTTGCCGCCGCCGCCGCCACTGCCGCCTGCACGTCCTCCATTTCCTCTTCCTCCGTCCGCCGCCACGATGGCCCACTACCTCCGCGCTGTTGCTCCGGCCGTCGCCTCGGCGGCTTTGGGCCGCTCTCCTGCCGCGCTGCTCCCGGTGCTTAGCGTCTCGCAGCGCCCGCCGCACCGGCACTGTGAGTGGCGGGGGGGGGGGGAGGAAAGAGGGGGGTGGTTAGAGCAGAGGGTCCCGGCGCTGCCCCCCTCCCAAGGCCTGGCGACGGGAGCCACCTCTCTAGCCCCGGAGAAGCAGGCCAGGCGTTCGCCCCCTCCAAGATGCCCGGCGCCATGGCCGTGCCCTTGTGTGGCAGGGTCCTGGAGCGCCCCGGGCCCCCCGTCCGCCGGTGACCTTGCGATGCCCCGCCGGCTGCCTTCCTCTGCGCCTGGGCTCGCTCGGCCTCGCCTGCCATGCTGGGCCTCCCCAGGGACTATATTTAGAGCCGCCTCGGGTGGAGCCGCTCCCGCTCAACTCCGCGGCGGCCAAGGCGGCTTTGCCCGCCTCGGGGCACCGGGAGACTTGGAGGAGGAGAGCAGATTGTCTCTCCTGGGAGACCTGTAGCTGGGGGACGCGAGGCCCACATGCCAGCCTCTCTTTTGCCCGTCTCGAAAGTGGCCCGGGTGGGGGGGTTGGCGGGCAGAAGGCTTGCCAGCTTGGCGGGATCCTGTTGCATGGAGCAGAAACTGGCACAGCGCACAGCTGGCCTGGAGGGGGCATTAAGACCCTGTCTGCATATACGTGCTTGCCTCATTGAGGCTGTGCCAGGCCTGGGAATGTAGGCTGGCAGTTGCTTTGCTTCTGTGTCGCCATGGAAGACCCCCCCCCCCCGCAGCCCTACATGCACACCCTAAGGCTAAGCCCCTGTGGAGGCTTCTTTCCAGCTTGACCAAGACTCCTTTTCCTTCCTCTGTGTGTGGATCTCGAACAGAGGATTTGGCTGCCCCCTGCCCTGCCATTCCTGCTTTGAACAGCTAGCAGCTGGCTCCAGGACCTGTTGGAGAGCCGTGCCAGCTCGCTCTCCGAGGGGCAGGGAGGAAGCCGCAGAGGGAGGGTGTGCCTGCTGCTCCCCTGCTGTCCTCTGAGGGTGACCTTGTCCCTTGACCGGCTGGCTGGAGCAGTGGAGTTGCAGGTCCAGTCTGTGGTAAAGGGGCTGCGGGCAGATCCCCAGCGGAGGAGCCTCACACCAGGCGAATGTGCTTGGATTATGGCTTGTGAAAGTCAGCAGGGCTTTGGGCTCAGCTGGGATTAGTTAGAGAGCCACTGGGCAGCAGTTAATTCACTTTCTCTCCTGCCAGGGTCAATCACAGGGTAGACACAGCAGGCACCTTGGCCTGACTGCTTTAGCTCCACTCTGTGTTGTGCCTATTCTCAGTAGAGCTGGGGAAATACTTCAGATTCTTAAGAAGCACCGGCGTCAGTTGCTGTTTACATACACGAAGGGGGAAAGGCTTGCAGGAGAAGCGCAGGCAGCTTCCACAAGGGAGGCAGTTTATCAGTCTCTAGACCCCAACAAGGATTTGTTTTGAGAGTGGTGTGCTGGGATAGAGACACACGCCAAGGCCCTGAGATTTTTCTTCCAGTGGTTCTAGCAGCTGCACCCTGGCACAGCCCACATCACACAATTGTTTGGGTGCTGGAGGTTGTCTCTGGTGTCTCTTCAGCATTCTGTCATTTCTCCACAGATGCTGACAAAAGGATCAAAGTTGCCAACCCTGTGGTGGAGATGGATGGTGATGAGATGACCCGGATCATCTGGGCCGGCATCAAGGAGAAGGTATCTGGAAGTTTTGGATCCGAGGGGCTGGGAATAAAGCAGCAAGGACCACGTGTTGATGGCCTGTACATTGGTAGCAGTCATGTTTCTAAAATGCTCACAGTTTGTGGAAGGGTGAAGAAAGGGGCAATAGAAAGTTAGAGGACTGGAAGATGTTTCTCTTTGAAGTAGGCTAAGGTGGGACGTGGGTGGCGCTGTGGGTTAAACCACAGAGCCTAGGACTTGCCAATCAGAAGGCTGGCGGTTCGAATCCCCGCGATGAGGTGAGCTCCCGTTGCTCAGTCCCAGTTCCTGCCCACCTAGCAGTTCGAAAGCACGTCAAAGTGCAAATAGATAAATAGGTACCGCTCTGGCTGGAAGGTAAACGGCGTTTCCGTGCACTGCTCTGGTTTGCCAGAAGCGGCTTAGTCATGCTGGCCACATGACCCGGAAGCTGTACGCTGGCTCCCTCGGCCAATAAAGCGAGATGAGCGCCGCAACCCCAGAGTCGGCCACGACTGGACCTAATGGTCAGGGGTCCCTTTACCTTTACCTTTAAGGTGGTCTGGGCTTCTCAGCTTCGAAAAAGTTCCCAGGGGAAGTATGATAAGAGATTTATAACATTACGAATGATGTGGGGAGAGAGCCAGGTTTTCTCCTTACGATTTTCAACATCCTGGGATATATCTTAGGTAAACCAGATGATGACATTTAACACAGCCGTATTCCACTTGCAGCAATGAATGAGTTATATAAAGTCAGGCAGCCCCTGCCAACCTGGTGCCCTTCAGCTCTTCTGGACTACAGCTCCCTTAAGTCCCAGCAAACATGGCTGCATGATGATGGGGCCGGTGGAAGCAGAGCTTTACTGGCTGAGACTGCTGGGGGTTGTAGTCCAAAATATCTGGAAGGCACCAGGTTTGGAGTTGGGTAGGCTGGGGCAGGTTAGTGTCCCATTTCCCCACAGACCAAATGGAGCTTGGAGAAGACACCACCCTTGCAACAGGAGGGAAATTGTGTGAATAACATGTAATTATTATTAATTTTTAAAGTGCACTTTTTGCATGCACAGGAACGGTAGTGCATGGAAGCTTTCTGGGGCATGTCTCTGATGGGCCTTCTTGCTCAGTGGTGTGTTGATCTCTACTGTGGGGTCTGCATCTACATACCTTTGTCCTCACTGCCTTCCTCCCATCCCGGCACAGCTGATCCTGCCCAACATAGATGTCCAGCTGAAGTACTTTGACTTGGGGCTGCCGAATCGGGACCAGACGGATGACCAGGTCACCATAGACTCTGCCCTGGCCACCCAGAAATACAGCGTGGCTGTCAAGTGTGCCACAATCACGCCCGATGAAGCCCGCGTGGAAGGTACATGGGAAATGCCCATGGCAGGGTTCAAGGAATCTGGCATGACCTGCGCTCCAGGCCCCCTCTCCCAAGAGGAAGTCCCTCAGCCCAGAGCATACTGCAGCTCACTTTCTTGCGGGGAATGTTCTTCTTTTCTCTTGGGATGGCTGGAGTGGCTGGTGCTAAGGCAGTGGATTGGCAAGGAGCCATTAAAGCTACCGTGTTTGAGTCAGACTCTTGGTGTAACAGGCTCCACTGACTGGCAGCAGCTCTCCAGGGTTTCAGGCAAGGGACCTGGAGATGGAGCCTGAGATTGAATCAGGGATCTTCTATGTGCAAAGCAGATGCACTCTGCTGAACTGCCACCATTGGTCTCTTGCTCTGCACCTAACTACCTCTTCTTCCCCTCCACACTTCCCCTAGAATTCAAGCTAAAGAAGATGTGGAGGAGCCCAAACGGCACCATCAGGAACATCCTGGGTGGGACAGTCTTCAGAGAACCAATCATCTGCAAGAACATTCCTCGCCTGATCTCCGGCTGGACAAAGCCCATCGTCATTGGCAGGCATGCCCATGGTGATCAGGTGGGTTGGAAGGGAGAGTGGGTGGGTGGGTAGATGGGCAGCTGGATTGGGAACAAGGTGGGATGTACAACTGGGAGAGTAGAGCATTCTCTTCTCTACAAACCCTCTGGGATAGAGCAGGGCCAGTCAGTCTCTCTTACCCCTTGGCAATTGTGCTTTGATTATCTGCCTGGCTCCAATCTGCCTCCCCACCTCAGACAGGCATGCACAAAGTCAAGAGTAGCAGGGGGAATGTTGTTGGAATCCTGCTGGCTGAGTCAGGAAGTGATGGCAAGAGTACAGAAAGCTTTGAAAGAACCTCACTGATAAATCTCCTTCATCCTCGAGTACTAGGTACAATGGTACCTCGGGTTAAGAACTTAATTCGTTCCAGAGGTCCGTTTTTAACCCAAAACTGTTCTTAACCTGAAGTACCACTTTAGCTAATGGGGCCTCCCGCTGCTGCCACCGCCGCGCGATTTCTGTTCTTAACCCGAGGTACTACTTCCGGGTTAGCGGAGTCTGTAACCTGAAGTGTTTGTAACCCAAGGTACCACTGTACTTGGTTTAAATACCTGTTCTAAATTCAAATGCTGGATCTTCTATAGGAATAGAATCAGAAGAGAAAAAACTAGAATTTTCTTATGGTAAATGCCCTGTTCTGCTGTGAAGTGAGGAGGACATTTGGAATCCTTTGGGGTTGGCTCCTCCCATCTTCAGGAGGAGAGACCAGCTGCCTTGAACGTGACTCCTTCATACTCTCTATAAAGCAGACTTTGCAAAAAATGTGCAGGGAACAAACAGGCCCTCACTCAGACTTTGGCAGCCTGGAAAGCCCTGCTGTGGGTGATGAGCATGGTATGGTGGAGGAAGGATGGATGGTCATTGTAAATGCCCAGCTACAGCTGCCATAACTTCCTTTGGTTCAGTTTCCCTTGAACCTCCCAGAGGAGGTCATAACTGGGGGGGGGGGGAGGACACAGGCATCTTTGCCCCCAAATTCCTCCACCTTCACCCATGTGGTTAAAAAAGCTATGTCCCTCTCTAGGGTGTGTGGAGGAGGTGGGTGGCTGTAAGCAGAGAAAAATAAAAACCGAAATTAACTGGGAAAACCCAATCCCTTTGTGAGGCGCTCATGAAGCAGGGCTAGTCTAGAAGCTAGAAGTTCAGCTCAAATTGCCCCTGCCTCCTACAGGTGGTGGGGTAAACCCAAAGGATTCCAGAGGCTCCCCCCCCTTGCTCTTCTACAGGGCAGTACTGTGGACCCAGCTACAGAATACATTGGGAGGGAGTAGCCCCAGCATGGGGCTAATTAGGGGGTTTGATGTGGGGAATCGAGACACTTTGATACTGTTGGGCTCTCCTAACATGTGGGTTTCTGCTTTCCAGTATAGAGCCACAGATTTCGTTGTGGACAAGTCTGGGACATTTAAGATGGTCTTCACTCCCAAGGATGGCAGCGGAGTCAAGGAGTGGGAGGTGTACAACTTCCCTGGTGGAGGCGTCGGCATGGGCATGTACAATACAGATGAGGTGAGGGCAATGCCAGCTGGACCCCTCCATTAGTTGCTTCCTGGGTCACCTCCATGGGGCGAGGCTGGCTGCTGCATCCTGGGGACCTGCTGCTCCCCTTTGAATAGCAGGGTGGCAGCTCCTGCAGGCTGCTGCTTCTGGGTCATGTCCCACTGAGGGCCCTGTCTTCCTTTTGCAGTCCATCTCGGGCTTTGCCCACAGCTGCTTCCAGTATGCCATCCAAAAGAAGTGGCCCCTTTACATGAGCACAAAGAACACCATCCTCAAGGCCTACGATGGGCGTTTCAAGGACACCTTCCAGGAAATCTTTGAAAAGTGAGCCCTTCTGACCCCACCTCTTGGCCTAAGCCAGGAAGCTGTGGGTGGGAGTTGCTTTCTCCCACCTTCCCCAAAACCCAGCGTTGCCTCCTGAGATCCTAAGTGCCAGAGCACCTCCCTGTTGGGATGGGTTGGAGGTGCTGTGTGAGGAGGATTAGAGGGTTGATGCTGCATGAGTAAGTAACCTCTTGTTCTCCACTGCCAGGCACTACAAGACTGATTTTGACAAGCTCAAGATCTGGTACGAGCACCGTCTCATTGACGACATGGTGGCCCAGGTGATAAAATCTGCAGGTGGCTTTGTTTGGGCGTGCAAGAACTACGATGGAGATGTCCAGTCTGACATCTTGGCCCAAGGTGCGGCACTGGGCAGGGGAGAGGGCAGCTGTAAAAGGCTGCAAGTGGTGTGTGTGCTTGCAACTTGTAGGGATCAGAAAGCAGGGGGAAAGAGTTTTCTCTATTATTGCAATAGCACTGCAGAACATGGCTTCCTGTGTGACCAGGGCACTTCAGGGGGCTAGACCCTCCCATGTAGGGAGCTGCCGCTGGTTCATCTTAACTGGCAGCACCTCACCAGGAGCCTTTCCCAGCCCTCTCTGGAGATGGAACCTGGGGTCTTGTATGCCCAAAGCACTCCCTCTGCTACTGAGCTATTGCCTTTCTCCAAGACTGCATAGCACTCAAAAGGGCAGGTTTCTGCTCTCAAGGGGGGAAGCAATGTTGCTGAGGTCTTCATGAGATTAATGGTTCTCAGAAGGGAGACTGCACAAGGCAAGGCCAGAACATTTTACATCCCGCTTCCTGCCCTTCTGACTAGCATCTCAGAAGATGGGCTTTTCTCTCCCTGTGGCTGTTCTCCAGCTCTGCTGCAGTTGTCTGTTCTGCAGAGTGGGTTGGCAGATCAGATGCTCCGCTGATGGTGAAGCTGGAGAATTCAAATGTTTCTTCCTTCCTTGCGAGTCAGCTGAGCACTTGGCTTTAATCTGTTGATATAGAGTGCCAGGTACCTCATGCTCCAGAGGGGAGCACCTCATAGGCGCAGGAACAAAGTGGCCCAGGGACCTCCCCTTCCCCACAGAGGAAGGTGTGGAAAGCTGCTGTTGCAGAGACAGCCAACAGGAGTTTGGCTTTTTTTTCTAGGGTTTGGCTCACTCGGCCTCATGACTTCCGTCCTCGTCTGCCCGGATGGGAAGACCATCGAAGCGGAGGCAGCTCATGGCACTGTTACACGCCACTACCGGGAGCACCAGAAGGTGGGTCAACTGGGTGGCTGTGGAGGGGGCTCACCTGGCCCCTTCTTTAGGCACATTGTCTCACTCTTTTCTGTACCAGGTGAAGACCCTTTCAGCTTCCCAGGCTTCACATACCGTATTTTTCGCCCTATAGGACGCACTTTTTCCCCTCCAAAAATGAGGGGGAAATGTGTGTGCGTCCTATGGGGCGAATGCAGGCTTTCGCTGAAGCCTGGAGAGCGAGAGGGGTTGGTGCGCACCGACCCCTCTCGCTCTCCAGGCTTCGTGCACCTCTCCGCAAGCAGCGGGAGCCCAGTGCTGGGCTCCCGCTGCTTGCAGAGAGTTGTCTGCATGCTGAAGCCTGCGCGCGCTGAACTCAGCTTGTCCAGGCTTCGCGGACCTCTCCGCAAGCAGCGGGAGCGCTCCCGTTGCTTGCGGTGGGCTCCCGCTGCTTGCGGGGAGTTGCCTGCATGCTGAAGCCTGCCCGCGCTGAGCTCAGCGCGTCCAGGCTTCGCGGACCTCTCAGCAAGCAGCGGGAGCCAGCGCTGGGCTCCCACGGCTTGCAGAGAGCTGCCTGTTTGGGGGCTGGGGTCGGGGGAAGCTCAGGCTTCCCCCGCCCCAGCCCCGCGCCTGGGGGGGAAATAATTTTTCCCCCTTTATTTCCCCCCCAAAAAACTAGGTGCGCCTTAGGGGACGGTGCGTCCTATAGGGCGAAAAATATGGTAGCTTCACCTTTTTAATCCACTGAGTCTTAGATTTGCCATGTACGTTTAGTGAAGATGTGCTAGTTTGCTTGTTGCTGCTGAAAATATGCTGCTTATTATAGTTTTGCCAATTTATTTTAATGTTTCATTGCTGTATGCTGCCCAGTGAACACTGTGATTGGAGGATATAAATACTGCCAATAAAATTAAACATTAGGAAGAACTTCCTGACAGTAAGAGCTGTTCGACAGTGGAATTTGCTGCCAAGGAGTGTGGTGGAGTCTCCTTCTTTGGAGGTCTTTAAGCAGAGGCTTGACAACCATATGTCAGGAGTGCTCTGATGGTGTTTCCTGCTTGGCAGGGGGTTGGACTCGATGGCCCTTGTGGTCTCTTCCAACTCTATGATTCTATGAAAATAAATGAATGAAATAGACCAGTGGGAGCGCCCTCTTCTGGCCAACTTGCTGCATCTGCGTTCTCACCAGACTAGGGATAGGGAAACTGTAGTCCTCTAATGTTGCTTTAAGTGTCTTTAAGTATTGTCCATGCTAACTGAGACTGATGGGGTCCAACAGCCCCTGGAGGGACACAGGTCTCTCCCTCTCTCAAGCTAAATGCTTGCTGGTCTGCTACCTCTGTAGCACTGGCTAGCAATTAACTGTGCCTACCTGTTTTCCTCCCCTGCAGGGCAATCCCACCAGTACCAACCCTATCGCAAGCATATTTGCCTGGACAGGAGGTCTGAAGCACAGAGGCAAATTGGACAGCAACCCTGACCTCATCAAGTAAGGGCCACTGCCCAGCAGCATGAAAAACAACATTGCCGTGGGAGAGCAAGTTGGCGGGGAGGGAATAGGGCTGCAATTATGTCAAGCTCACGACAGAGATTTTTGAAGTACAGGCATAAGAATGACCCAGATACTGTAATGGGAGAGTACCCTGGGCCCCCCAGGGGAAAAGGGGGACCCTGAAGAAGGAAAGGCAGGGCTCCTGGAAGGTGTTGTGAAAGACCTGCTTGAAGGTGAGCGTCAAGCGTGTTGTTGGCACACTCCATATTGCATATCGCTGCATCTGCTAGTTGCTTCAACAAGTGATGCACAAATCAAATAACGGCAGTAGCACAGCAAGACTGAGAAAACAAACAAGCTTTGCTCCCTGCAAAACAAGAGTGAGGCTGGGCCTGGCCTGTAAGTCAGAGGCTGCAGGGAGATGTTGGGCCTTGCTGTTTTCCCTCCTGTGCTAGAGGCTGTTCTTTTTTCCATGGCCAGGTTTGGTGACACTCTGGAGAAGGTCTGCATTGAGACGGTGGAGAGTGGTGCCATGACAAAGGATCTGGCTGGCTGCATTCATGGATTAAACAAGTGAGTATTCCTGGGCTGCTGCAGGGCTAGCCTGTGGCTCCTACCTTCTCTCTCACGAGTTGAGGTCTGTGCTTGGACTTCTCATGCTCCCCCTCCCCCTTGTGCATTTTCAGTGTGAAGCTCAACGAGCATTATTTGAACACCACCGACTTCCTGGAAGCTATCAAGAACAACCTGAACAAAGCTCTGGGCAAATAGGAGGAGCTGGAGGGGGGCGCTGGAACGTGCTGGTAGTGGGTGGAGGAGGGCACAGCATAGCATGGAGGCACACGATGAAGGAAGGGGGATTGCCTCATTTTTAACAGAACAAATTATGGCTGTTTCTACTGTCAACCAGAGACATTTTTGTAACCTGGTTGTTTTTTAAAAACCTTTTTAGCCGCCCTACTTGGGCTCCAATAACATGTCCCACCTGCTGCTACTGCTGGCTTGGGGGAAGGTCTCAGTGCTGGACCCCCCACCCCCTGCCAGGCGGTCATAATGGTTTGTGCTGTAATTTATGTACTGTGGTTTGGGCCTCATGGTGCCAAATAGAGCTATTAAATTATAGCTTTTACACATGGCTTGTTGTTTTTATTGCTTCCCAGTGTTGACTGTCTGTTATGGTGACTCTTTTCTGGGGAAAGGCAAATCTCAGCCCCCCTTGAACCTCTCCCCACACACCCTGTCTTTTGCTTCAGCACCAACTCATCTGGCCCTTCTTCCAAAGAGTATTCCTTTATTGCTGAACTTCTTCAGAACAGAAAATAAACACAGTAGATCTATGCACAAGTGGGACAATCCACTTTGTGGAAATGACATAATAATTTAAGATTGCCACAGGCTGCACAGGGATGTTCTCCACAGCAGGCTGGCTTAACTGCTCTGCCAGGGATAGGGGATGGGCAAAGGGGCACTCAAGATCCATTTGGTTTTGGGGCAGAGACCCTGCTGTGTGTCCCCCTCTTTTTTTGCGCAGGGCAGAGGTAGTTTGTAAGAGAAACATACAGGAGCTGATCCAGTTTGGCTCTGCAGTACAGCCTGGTGTCTGTAGCACTGAGCCCTGGCTGGTCCTGGCCTATCAGCACCACTACAAGGCCTTCTGCTTCTTTGTGCTGGGTGCAAGGTGCTGTGGGAGGTAGTCTAAGGCAAGTGCTGCCCCCTCCTGGTCCTTTCAAGCTGGAGAGAATAGTACTGCCAGCCCAGCAGCAGAGCCCAGTCTCAAGGGTTGGTGGCAGCAAGACTTCCACAGATCCAGTGCAGGACTAAACGGCTGAAGAGGGCAAGAGTATCAAATTCCGTGCTGCCCGAACAGAGCTTTTTGGAGGGGGTGGAAGCAGCTGCCTGTCCCCTTCTTCACCCAGTCTGCCCCAGGCTACAACATGCTGTAGTAGGCCATTTCCTTCATGGCGTGTTCGGTCAAGGAAGACTCGTTGGCAGGGTTCCCCACCACCCCATAATCATACGAGTTTTCCTCCTCGTAGTCTTCCATCTCCTGCTGTCCGTCCAGCTCTGCATGATCACCTGCCAGCTCCAGCATGGGATCTGAGGGGACAACAGGACAAGAAGTGAGCAGCACCTGGGCGGTAGTGCTGCAATGGCAGGCAATGTGGATTCAGCACTGGCCACCACAGCCTCCTTTGCCGGCATGCCAAGACAGCCTGCAGAGGGAGCTGCAGTGCAGCCTTTCAGCATGAGAAGGCTGCCTCTGCCTTTCAGGGCTTCTGGGGGCGAAGCGGGGTAGGATGCCTTAGACCCATCCCTCCAGCTCCCTCCCCACCCCACCTACCTTGGCTGTCCAGGCTGATGTCCATCACCCCATGCTTGACCTTCATGTGCCGGCTGAGGTTGCCCTTCAGGTTGAACTTGCTGGAACAGTAAGGGCACTTGAAGGGTTTGCTGCCTGCGTGCAAGTGCATGTGGCCCAGGAGGTTGTACATGCGGTTAAAGGATTTCCCACACACCTGCGGAAGGTGGGGTGGGAAAAGGAGATGATTACCTGTCGGCGGAGGCTGGGGCAGCTTGGACTGTGGGCAGCAGGGATGGGATTCACCTGCTTACATCCACCTCAGTTCCCCTTCCAGGCCAACAGCCAAGAACCAGGATCCGCTCCACACTCAGCTCTGAAAGCTCTCAGCAAAATAATTTCCGGGCTCAGTCTAGGCAGCTGGCAAAACCGGAATGACTAAGCTGTGCTTGAGAGGAGGGTGGATATGTGGACATCCAGTTGCTCATGTGGGAAGTGTGTTCTGGAAATGACCACTGCCCCTCTGGGAGTTGAGTCTGGCCTGTCTTTGCAGGCTCTGCCACTCCGCTTTGCACTGGCAGCAGGCTCTTCATATTCCACCACCCGCAGCAGCTTCTGCTCTTTGAACTTCCGCCACCTACCTTGCACTTGAAGGGCTTGACGGGCGAGTGGACGATCATGTGGGTCTTGAGTGTCTGCTTCTGCACAAAGGTCTTGAAGCAGATGTGGCACTGATAGGGGCGCACACTGGTGTGGATCAGCATGTGGCGCTTCATGTTGGCCTGCAGCGTGAACTCTCTCCCGCACACTTCACACTTGAACTCTTTCACGCCCTGAAGACAACAGCAGGCAGGTAACAAGGCTTCATTGCAGCCAAGAGGTACCACCCAATCCCACCTTGGTCAAGGAGGACAGTGCTAACCATGGTGATTTCATACTCAGTAGTGTTTGGGGGATTTCAGAGCAAGGGGGAAGAGACCAGGGCACTTTGGATCCCCACTCCCTCCCTCCTATGGAAGCAGTTTTAACCCAAATTGTGGCAAGGCCTCTTTTTCAGAATCCAGGTCTGTGGTGACCAAGGACAACAAAAAGAGCAAGCCAGCTAAGTTGAAGCCCTTTGGGTACCCCTTCAGGGCACTGCAGGTAGACACACACACACTCCTCTATAAAAGCCCTTAGAGCCACAGATGGGAAAAGGCTTCGGTTACCCAACACCCCCCCATGCCCTTCAAGCTGGTGCTCTGCTGCCCGGCCTACCTTGTGGGTCAGCGAGTGCTGCTTAAGGTGATGGATCTGGCTGAACTCCATGCCACACTCGGTGCAGACGAAGGGCCGCACGTTCTGGTGCTTGAGCATGTGGTTCTGCAGCTGGCTGCGGTAATGGAAGGACTTGTTGCACTCTGGGCAGGGGTAGAGGGTGGGTCCCTGGTGGGTGGCCAGGTGGCGCTTGAGCTGGGTGAGGGTGGAGAAGTCCAGGCCGCACTCCACACAGACGTGGCAGCGCCCGCTCTCGTGCTTGCCCTCGTGGGCCTTCAGCTCGCTGGGGTAGGCGAAGCCGCGGCCACAGAAGCGGCAGCTGTAGGGCTTGATGTCGGAGTGCAGCAGCATGTGGCGCTTGAGGTGGCTGGTCTGGGTGAAGGCCTTGTGGCACACCTGGCACTTGTGGGGCCGCGTGCCCTGGTGGGTGAGCAGGTGGGTCTGCAGGTGGCTGGGCTGCTTGAAGAGCTTGCTGCAGTGCGGGCAGGAGTGAGGCTTGATGCCGTTGTGGCCCAGGATATGCGTCACCAGGTTGTACTTGGACGTGTAGGACTTCTCGCACAGGCGGCACTGCCAACGCTTCTCCACCAGGTAGGAGTCGTCTATCTGGACGTTGATGTCCAGGCGGTCCAACTGAACCTTCTTGCTGTGCTCGCCATGGGCCTCCGCCTCAAAGTCCAGGGGCTCCTGCCACACAAAGCCCAGCTCGCTCTTGCCCTGCCCAGGAGGAGAGTGTGGCACAGGATGCTCCAGATTGATCAAGGGAGGAGGAGCACCAGCCTGGAAGCCGCAGTCACTGGAGAAGGCCTCTGCACTCCCTGGAGTGCTGTCCAGGCTGGCTTGTGGGGTGCTTGGGAGCCTCTCCTCATACCCACCCAGGGACAGCTCTTCTGGAGCTTGCTGCCGCAGGTGCCGCAGGCGTCGAGGCTTCCTGTTGAACGTGCTGAGATCTATCATCTTGGTAGCGCTGCTCTGCACCGTCTGCTCACAGGGGGACTCCTCCAAGCTCACAGGGTGGCTGCCCATCTGCTCCTCCTTGCCCTCACTTGCTACTGATGCTTCGTAAGCACCGTCTTCCTGTCCCCACTCGCCCTTCTCGGGCTTCACTTTTGGCACCAGCCTCACAGGCGGGCGCTTCCTCCTCCGGGCATGTTTCCCAAAGGAAGCCTCTGCTGCTTCATCCTCCTCCGCTGGCTCGGCGTGACCTTGGCCTTCATTCTCCAGAGGGCAATGGCTTTCTGGCTGCTTCAACTCAACCATGGACATGCCGTCGAGCCTGCCTGTGAAGCTGGAGAAGAAACCTCTGGGGCTGACGGTGGCACCAAAAAATTCATTCTCAGTCACCAAGCCCAGGACGGCTGCTTGGGCCAGAGACAGCACCACCACAGCATCTGTCTGTGTTCCAGAGTGGGCAAAGCGGTCCATGGCTCACACCATCAAGGACAGCTTCTGTTGTCTGCAGGAACAAAAGGGAGAAAGAGAAGCCATTACCCTGTTGGCCAAGCAGAGGGCTGTGGGCTGAGAGAACCCAGTTGGCCGGCAGGGGCCCTAGCTGGCAGCTCCAAAATCATGGCAATGGAAAGCGGCATCTACTCTGGACACATCCTTTAAAATGAAAGGAACACCAAAGGGCAGAGCTTAGAACCTGAAAGCATCCCATGTTTGGGAGCTAAACAGATATTCTGCACTCCTGAAACTGGAGCAAAACCTGCAATCTAAACATGGGTGTGCTTCCCTGGCAGAATGAGGGATGGTGGTGGTGGGAATGCCTAGTGGCCGGATGACAGGCCAGACATTTGTATCCTTACCATTTCCCAAGACTAGCAGAAACCATATATTCCATAGAGTCCTGTGCAATGGCTCAGTTGTGCTGTGTTTATTCTTTATTATAAAGGGCTCAGGGTATAGAAAAATCTTGTGGCCTTCTATCTGATACCTGGGGGGAAGGCTTCTGCATGCCAGGCCAGGAGACTCCTCAAATGTGGCAAATTCTGCACTTCTAGAAAGAGCAGGCAGTCTGAACCCACCAGGTTGGGCTGGTTTCCTTTCTACAAGAAAGGACACAGCAGCCTCCTTGATTGTGAAGGTGGCAAGCAGGGCCAGGCAAGACTCGGACCTTGGAGGCAGCCCTTAGAGCCCTAGGACCCCCTTCTCAGTGTGTGCTTTTTGTGTGACTGGGAAGCACCAGAAAGCTAAGCCAGAGAGAGGAGAGCATGGGGGGGGGGGGGAAATACTGCTCCTTCCCCCAGTATGGGGCTAGCAGGACCAGAAGAGCCAGAATAACTGTTCCTCGCCTGAAATACAAAGCCAGTCTTCCTGGGTGCAGAGCAGAAAGACAAGCCAGGCTTGGACTAACCCTGAGGCAAAGGGAACAGCTAGACAGAACAACCTCAGAACTTCCCACTTTTGAACCACTGGAAATAAATGAACCTCATTCTCCGCCAGAGCTGCCTGCACGCTCTTAAACCCTGTGCGGGTGAGGATGGCTGGTGCAGAGAAAAGAAATGTGAACAAGGGAAGACAAAAAGAGGAAACGGAGGGGGGAAAGATAGCAAGAGGCAGGTGGGGGGAGGAGGGGGAAGGAGACAGCAGTGTATGGAGGCAGCCAAAACAAAGGAGAGAGGGGAGGAGGCAGGAAGGAGAGAGGAGGAAGGAGAAGAGAAGAGGGGGCTGGCAGGCAAAGGAGAAGAAAGGAAGAGAGAAGGAAGGAAGGAGGCTGGGTATGGGGGAGGATTAGAGGAGGCGGAGGCGGCAATGAGCGCAGCAGGGCCAAGAAGGGGCCCATCAGGTCACCCAGAGACAAGCAGGAGAAGGCCATGTAGTGACCCGCAGGCTGGCCTCCGTGCCTGACCCATTTTGCATGCAAGCTCCACCACAATGCAAGGAGGGCCCCTGTTAAGCACACTTTCATGTCAATGGGCTGTAGAGGCAAAGGGGAACAACAGTATTGATTCCCTCCTCACAGGAGGCAGCCTTGAAACTGTAGACTGGCCATGATGGCAGCCACTTCTGTGCCAGCCGGCATGTCCTGGGCACAGAATGGTAGCAATCCTGAGCAAAGGTGCCAGAGGGGAGCCCACCTAGAATTATTGATTGTGGGCATAGGCAGATTTTTTTTGGGGGGGGGTGTCAGCCTGTCCAGCCACTTCAGCCTTTAAAATCCATCTCCTTCTCTCATTCACCCATTGCCTGCCCTCCCTCCCTCCCTCCCACTTCCCTTCCATTTCTGATTCTTGCCTCTTCTCTCCATCTTTCTCTCTCTCCCTCATTCTTTCCGTTTCCCTGGCAACGCCTCTCTCAGCTTGATAGTTCGGTCCTGTGTGCCTCTCTTATCTCCTCTCTCTTTCTCTCTCACTTTCATCAATCTCCTAATCTCCTTCTGTATTCCAACCCCGCTCTCTCACCCACCTCCATCTCCTCTAATGTCCCATCTCAGCTTCCAGGTGACATTAGATTTGAATCACATATTTCGGTGGGTGGGTGGAAGAAACTTTCAAAGCCAGGCTTTGCAAGGTGTATGGATTTTGGATGGAGTCCCTTCTCACTGGCTACCTCCCTCTTTAATCCCCAAAGTGTGTGGCTGACCACCCACACCAAGACCCACTTTCCTACCTGAAGGGGACACTCTTCACACCAAGCCAACCTTCAAGAAACCAACCAGATCCAACTGCTACGTAGGGACAGCCAGGATTGCTTCCCACAGAAGCAGGGACATCACCATCACCATTCAACCAACCCAGGTGCAGGTTTGGCTTCCAGACAGGTGTGTCCCTGCTCCCTAGTCATCTGTACCTTTGCTTTCATTTGAAGCAGGTTCTCTCAACCCTCCTACTTTTGAGAGCATCTCCATCACAGAAAACAAGCATCCTCATCAGCCCCCTTCAGACTTTTTATGCCCTGACATGAATGAAAGCATAAGCATCTAAAAATTGGCTTTTGCTGGACTGGGCCAGAGGTTTACCTAGCCCAACACTCTGGCTCCCAACACTTGTTCCACTTCTCTCTTTGGAAATCCATGTCTACTGAATGACTCCTGTCTTCATTTCTTGACCAACCATCTCTTGTTGAGGAATTGACGTAGGACTGCAACCCCAGCCAGTCCAGCCATGTGATGTTGGAGCTGATGGGAGGTGGCATGTGGAAGTCACTGGTTTAGGGAAGGTTGCCATAGGTGAACCATCTGAGAAAGGGCCAGGCACTCTTGTATCATAGGCTTTCACAGAAGAACTCGGTTTCTCTCTAATGGCACAGGAAGAAGTATTTGAGTTGCAGTTTGCTGCCCTTGGCTATACCTCTCCTTCCACCACCTGCAAGCCTGATCCTCTCCAGAAGGAATGGAGAATTCACACTCTTTCCCCAAAGCAAAGTGTTATCAATACTACAGAAGACAATTACTACTAAAAGGCACTAATTCAACAATGAAATTCAGGAGATAAGAGGCTGGGAAGTCATAATGAACAAAGGGCCTGTATTCGTGGCATCCTGCCAGAGCTCAAAAATTCTGATTAACGTGGCTATTGGGGGCTAGTCAATGCTTTGAGCAATGCACATCTAGAGATCTACAAACTTGAGATTACACAACTTTAAGTCTTCACTGCTGCTTTCCACAAAATTGTTCTCTGCATTAGCACAGAGCTCTCCTAAGCTCCCTGCTCAAGGTTCACCATGAAGGACAAATTGTTCTAAAGGCAGCATCCAAGTGGGCCCTGCACCCCACAACTCTTGGTGCAGAGCTAAAAGAAATGGGTGATGTCAGAAGTTGCAAAGAGGGGCATCAATGGGGTCTATCCAGGAAAGCAGCCATGCCTCTTGTGTTTCTAGTCTCTGCACCAAAATGCCCAGGGCAACATAATAAAGAAGCAAAGCTGCCAGTATTTTAGCATATTCCTGGAGATGTGATCGCTTATGAATATTTTTGGGGGGTGTCGGGGGCTGCGCTGTTTGTGGGAGAAGAGGCAGGAACAAAATAAAGATGGGTTTCTTTTTGTCGCCCTTGGTTCTCTTGCTTGAAAAACAACGTTTGCTGAAATAAATGGAGAAAGACTTTCAGGTTCCTCCTTTCTGAAACGACTTCTCTTCCTACATGTTCCCTGTCCTCTCTGAAAATAGAAAAGCTATTTTAAAAGAAGCAACCAAAAAAAAGGGAACTGAATAGAGGAATGAGGAAAGGGGAAAAAAGAGCCTCTAGGGGGGTGGTGGAGGGAAACAGAATGAAAAGAGATGAAAAATAAAGGAGGGGGAAAAGAGAGAGAGAGGCAGAAAAGACTCTGAAAAGAAAGAATGCTTCCAGCCTGAATAGATTGTGCATGGAAGGGGGAAGAGAGAGAGAAAGAAAGAAAAAAAGAAAGAGAGAGAGAATGCTTGAAAAGAAACAGCTACACAAAATGACCCTTGATTCACAGGCTGTGCCAATCACCACAATGCAAAAGTCTTTTTTTCTTTTTTTTCACATTCTCCCTCTTTCCAGTGGAGGCGGAGGGAAAGAGACTTGATTCTCAACCTAGCAGAAAATAAATCTGGCCGAATGGATGGTGAAGCGACTTGTAAGAATCCTTGTTTGAAAAAAAGCACACACAATCCAATGAAAAATAAATAGGTTCTTTAAGAGGAAAGCTTCTGCTTTAACAAACAAAGCCTCCTACAGATTAGGAGAAGGGCTCTCTCTTATGGGAAAATATTCAGAGGCAACAGAAACAGGGACCTGCTTGTCAGAAACACCCAGCCTTGGAGCTGGCAGAGAACAAGTTGCTTTCCATTGAACCTCCAAACTAGACAACAAGAGTGTCTGTCTGGGCATGTGTGTTGGTGAGGAATGAGGCCCTTTGCCTGGTCCTCAAAGGTCCCATGCCATAAAGAGAGAGAGAGAGAGAGAGAGAGAGAGAGAGAGAGAGAGAGAGAGACAGACAGAGAATATGAATGAGAATAAATTTTGAAACCCTCAAGCAGCCAAAACAGCTCAAATATTTTTCAACAACCTCTCAACATTTCAGATTTATTGCAACTGGACCAAAGTGTTGGTTGGTCAATAGGAAGAAAACTGTGGTCTACTGGCCAACTTTGGAAGGGTTCTGCATCACCTTCCTCACAGGTGGGTTGATGCTGGCAGGGCTCATCTTCCATCCAGGAATTGCTAGAGTCAGAGCACCAGAATAAAAAAGCATTGGGTTTTCAGGAATAGCAGGGATGGGGTCTTGGAGGGTCCATAACTCAAGTAATGGAAATCATAACTCAGAAGAATTACCAGGTACACACTTGGAAGGCAGTATCTTTAAAGACAACTGAGAATTTGTTTTTAAAAGGAAATAGTAAATCATTAGTTGGCTTACAAGGCTATGTAAGTTTACAAAAGTATTTAAAAGTGATTTCTGACATACACAGCATTGCTAAGCTAGTCTGTTGAGGGCTGCGATTTCCTTGCTCAGTTGCTCCGCATGCTACACAATGACTGGGAGGGCATGAAGTTCACACAACACAACCACCCCTCTGCTGTCTATTTAAGTCATAGCATTGTTCTCAATGCTTCTCAAGGAAGACAGGTGTGTCAGCCCTAACCTGCAGCAGGTCAGACCTACAAGGCACATCATCATTTTAACTTCCTGTGGATGTTCCAGTGTGAATGTCTGAGCTTTATTTCCCAGACCTGAACTCTCTGTGATACAGTGTTAGAAACATGCACAGCAAAGGAATGCCATCTGAAGCCAGATCTACCAGCCACAGCTGTGGACCAGCAAAGACAATGCCTCTCCCCTTTCACAACAGTGGACTTCCTCCCTGCACAATGTGAACCTCAAGGGGGGGAGGAGTATAGGGAGATCCAAGCTTCCTCAGGTAAGCTCCACAACACAGAAGGTGAAGGAATAAGTGGGAAATGCTTTAGAGCTGGAGTGTACTGTCCCAGTTTGACCCATTGCAATATATTGTCAGCTGCATCAGCACCAGCACACAAATGCTTTTCTAGGTAATTGATTGATATGGAAGTTAGCAAGACATTGAGACTGAAGTCCCTATCTTAAAAATGAATTGCATGCACTCAAACTTGAAGAACCAACCCCTCTGCAGAAAGATAGGAGTCAAGAATGCATTTCAAATCAGCAAGAGTTTGCACAACAACTTAAGCCATCACACAGAGGATTTGCCAAGTTCAGCAGGTTGGAGCAGCCACCACAATGGACTTTCCAAGAGCAAAAACTAACACTTCCTATATCTGCTGTATTCAAAATTTATCTTCTTAAAAGGAATCCATAAAAGCTTAGTTTGGAAAACTGAGAAATGCATAATAGAGTAGCCTTCCCCAACCCAGTACCCTCCAGATGGTTTGAACTACAATTCCCATCTCAGCTCCAGCCACCACAACTGTAGGATGCTGGAGCTGATGGGAGCACAGAGATGATGGCTGAAGCTAATAAGAGTTTCAGTTCATAACTTCTGGGGGCTGATGGGAGTTGCCGTCCAAAACATCTGGAGGGCTTGAGGTTGGGGTGGTTGTAACAGTGGGCTAAGCTGGCTGGGCCCTCCGCCAATGACGAGCAGTTTTTTGTGTGTTTGAGTTTATAACTTTATTCTAACAAGACAAGTTCCACCTGGGCCTGGCCAACATGGTGTCCTCCAGGTGTTGCTGGACTCTTCCCTGACCACTGGACATTCAACTTCTGGAGGATACTGCACTGGTTACCTCTGGCATATGGTATGGATTTGGAAAAAGTGTGATTTCCAACTGCACCAGGAGGAATGACAGAGCAGACATCACAGGACATTTGTCATCCCTTAGCCAAAATACTGAATCATACAGGGTCTGCATGGACATGTTAGTTCTGCTCCTGGTACCACACTTACTTGAATGAGAGGATCTTTTGTAAACTGCTTTGAGAGCCTCTTAAGAGCTAAGAAGCAGAATATATGCATTTTGAATGAATATGTCAGGCTCAACCCAAGCAACTGCCACTATGCTGATTCTCTGACAGACCCAGTTTTCTGGCTTTCATCCCAGCAGGTCTCACAGCCCTTTCACCTCAACTGACTGTCTCATACATCATGGTGGCAGCACTCAACCCAAGTTGGAACATAGGAAGCTGTCTTATATTGAGTCACAACCTTGATCCACTCAGCTTGGAGTTGTGTACACTGACTGGCAGCAGCTCTACATGGTTTCAGACAGGGGACATTCCAATTACTACCTTGAGATACTGGAGATTGAGACATTCTGCATGCAAAGCGAATTCTCTACCACTGATTGATGACCTCTGTACAGTCTGAGAGGTCTGCCACCCTAATGATGCTTGGAGTCTAAGTAGGCAGAGAGTGGAAAGGGTCATTAGTCCTGAGCTCTTGCAGGAACTGTGGGAGATTAGCAGCCAAACCTAAAAAAAAGCATATTCTTAACTAGTTAGCAAAAGAAGGAGAGAATACCACAGAGCTGTATTGCTGATAGGCAGATACTCAGACCATAGAAATACAATTGGTAGACAGGACAATTGGTGTCATTTCCCTTCCTCTCCTGGACAGGAAAGAGCATATAGTGCTTCCTATTCCTCTCTCCTCTCTTCTTTTGACCAGCATTGGATGCAGACATGCCTCTGCTTGCTTCAGCTTTAGGCACATGCCTGAAGCTCGTTGTATTGTATATATATCTTTTTCCTGCATAGTTTTTACTACTGCCATTGCTGTGAACCAATGCAAGATTATGTGAGTAAATTATATTTTTAAACTTTGCAAGTTGTTGGCTGATTCTTTGCTAAGTAGGGAAAGAAGGGGGAAGCCAGCTGGACTTGCCCAAAATAAGACATTGCAGCCTAATTCCTATGCTTTTAATTTTGCTGCCAAGGATGGGATTTTGAAACTGTTCAACCTACACATGTGGTGCCTGGATAGATAAATTGCAATTAATATATCCTCTCCTATCCATTAAAATCCATGCCATAGGAACATGCTTCCTAGTCCCCCTCCCGTTCTGAGGCCAGCTTAACAGGACAGAGATAGGGAGGACATGGCGAAGCCCTAGTAATAAAAAAATACCACACATGGCAAAGTTATAGCCTTTATTGAATAGCCTTTGGGGAAGTGGGGGTTGAGATAGAGGCCTAAACAAACATAGGCCTGTTTTCAGACTGGTAGCCCCAGCTGGGCTCCTGTGCCTTTGAAAGTTGCAAGACAGACAGCAGAGTAGCAGGAGTTGTGCTGCTTACAGAGGAAGATCAGGTGGGAAAATGGGCAAGGCTTCATAGCTGTGTAGAAAGGATAATCCCAGCAGGTGCAGCTTTCCTGGAAGCCTGCATGTAGCTGGGCATAAAGAAGGCCCTCTTGTCCTCTTCCTCTGTTAGAGAGCTGTGAAGGGAGACACACAGAGAGTAATGAGCAGTGATCAGCAACTGGAGCAAGTGAGCCCTGGATGCAGAGGTGGTGCTTGTGATGATGACAGCAAGAGAGGGAGTGGTGCCACTTAAGCACTCATCCAGCCCCCTTGCCTCAGTCTCCCCTAAGAAGTAGGCAATACACACCCCTTCACCTGCAGGGGGCTTGCAGCATGTGTGCAGCGGCTGTTTGTTCTGTTCCCTATGTCCAGGCTGTGATCCTGCAAGGCAAGAGTTCTTGGGTAGGATCAGCATCCTCCAGTAGAGAACACCTCTGCATGCTGACCCTCATGTTGCCTGGGTGGGAGATGCTGCTCCCCGCTGGTCCAGAGGAAAGAGGCTTCCAGCAAGAGGTGATGAAGACAGCTGCAACACTTAAACTTAGTAGCTTGCTTGTGGGGATGCTTTGTTCTGGCCTCCCCAGTTTGAGAGAGGGAGTAGAGTGTTTTGACCTGAAGTCCCAAGACAAAGTACCTGTAAGAGGTCTGGGAAAGAAGTGTTACCATTGTGCTCTTTCTATATATGCATGACACGAGATCAGAGCAATAAAGTCTCATGCCCTGTCATTTGAGTTGTGGTCTTTCTCTCCCTGGGATTTTGACACTGATATTGGTGTGCTGTGATTAGATTCTGTGGCATCATGAGTAGGGCAGGAGGGTATGGGGAACAGTGGCTCTTACTCCAGTCCTCTGAGTGGGTGATATTTCACATACAACTGTTCTGTAGTTGGTGTTGAGGTCAGGACTTTTTTCTGGCATTGGGGCAGGAAAAACATCTGAAGCACTACAGGTTCAGCATAATTCTGCTTCTCCCCAGTTCCATCCACATCTCAGCATTGTTTTGAGTTTATGCTAGAAGAGTTCTGCTGGTGTTGCAGGTATGTTGCTGTTATCTCTAGTCCAACAGACATTATCTTCAACTTATGCTAGGACAGTGGGGCTTCCAGTGTACCTTATAGCCCCCATTTGGCCTAACTTGATTATAGGATTGTGCTGCAAGTGTGTTTTGTGGATTTGCCTCACCCTTATATTTCAGTTCAACTACTTTTGACTGTTGGAGGTATTTACAGCACACAAATTTAACATGGCATTTTGTTTTCACTTGTTTCCTAAATATGAACCAATAAACATGCCAGGTCAGATCTCAAGTGATTTAGGGGAGTGGGAAAATTTGAAATTTCATGGAAAACTTCCCACAAGACTAGAACCAATTAAACTGATTGACAGTAGGGCCTGGATAGATGAAAGCAGTACCTCCTCTCACAACACATAATTAATCCACAGATTTTGCTGCCTCAAGATGTAGCAATGACAAATTCATGGCAGAGAGGCCTATCAACTGTTATTAGCCACTGGTATCTCCATGTTCAAGAGGCAAAGGGTCCACACAGCTGTAGGAACGGTCTCTTTCCTTCATGCCTGGGCTTCTGGGATCCCCAGGAACATCTGTTTGGCAGTGGCTTCTGCTGGAGACAGGATGATGAACAAGGCAAATTCTTGGTCTAATCCAGCAAGGCTTTCCTGAGGTTCCAAACTCCTCCAGGGACATAGCTTTCACAATCTGGGGCATAGTTCTGCAACCCCAATAGACCACAACCTGCTCACACTCTATTGTGCAAGCACTAAAGAACTATGCTCAAACAACAGAGGCATAATGACCAACAACCATGAACTGTAGGAGAGTCTCTGCCTTGGGTTGTTAAAAACATTTTTGAACATTTCTGACGGAACTTTTTTTGCTTGTTCCACACCATCCCAAGTTGGATTTTATTATCAAACTTTTTCAAAATGAAGGGAAGTTCACATGCAATGGGAAGCCAGTCGGAGATGATCTTGAGACCAAAATGTGAGATCAGAATACTCCTGGAGCTTATATTTCTAAATATTGGTCAGTGGTTGCAGACCACAGAATGGCAGGCAAGAAGAAGATATTAGAAAAAGGAACAGGTGTGACAGGGGAATTAACTCAAAAGGCTGATAAGAAGCAGAGGTGGGAATAATACTCAGCATCCAAAGAACAGAGTGCATATGTGACAGCAAGCTTGAAAACATCCATATTTTAGTTTTTGAGAACAAGAAAGCAGCAGAGTAAGTTTAGTGAACAAAGACCTCTGCAAGGGAAACATTGGTCTGTTCTCCCATAGGCTCACTTCTTTTAATTTCAGTGCTGTTACCCAGGAACACACAGAAGCCAAAGTGCCTTTAATCTCAAGGGCTGTAAGAAGATCCACAGAACAGCTGGCACACTGGATCCTGGGAGGGGAATAGCTCCCATGGAAACACCCCCCCCACTGCAGACATGGCTAAAGAACTGAGGGGGGGTTGTATAGCAGTTCTCAACATTTTTCAGCTGGACAGGCAGGGGGAAGGGATAGGAAGGAAAACCTCAGAGCAAAACAGCTACAAAGCTGATGGGACTGAGAAGACCTAGTGTCTATACAACTTGAAGGAAATTACACCAAAGTACGTATCTGTGAAGATAACAGAAAGACAGAAAATGTGTCTGTGGCAGGAATACTGTAAAATATTTGAGTACATGCACCGGCAACACAAGACAGACAGCGAAACAGGAAAGATAAAATTAGAACAAGCTAGCATTCTTCCTTCTGTAATTCTAGCACTCCCTCCTTCCTTCCGTCCTTTTCATTCCTGCATTTGATCACTTGGGATAGCCACCAAAACTGCAGACCAGACCTTCACTGACAGGTCCAATATTATTTTCTTGGATACACTGAAAGCATTTTAAATGTTTTGCTGGGAAACCAACTACAATATCACATGCTTGTGTGTTTCTGCTCCTGAAGCTAAGTTAGTGGAATTCTATGTGACAGTTTCACATCCTGAATTCTTGATAACGGTTCCCCACCTTTAACTGATGCTTGAAGCTGCAGCTGTAGCTGCTTTGAGGACCAAGAGAAAGCGAAACTCCTGCCTGGGAGAACCTAGTATAATGGTATCAAGGCAAGAAGCAGTGACTGTCAACCCTTTCCATACAGAAGCCATTCTTGCTACACTGAGCACTTTCAGGTCGGTCTCAGAGCCACAGCTTGCCCACTGTCTCCTGACTGGCCTCCCTCTGGCCCCTAGCCATGCCATAGTTATTGGCTGGACCAGCACCAGCAACTTATATGCTGATTAAAGGTGGTCAGGAGAGGGGGGTGGGAGGAAGGAAGAAGGCTTGCTTCCTCTGATGGGAAAGGGCCAGAGGAGGTGTTGAAGGAAATTAGCTAGTGAGATAAAATGTTGTTACAAAATTACATATTACTGATGATGATGATGATGATAACTGGAAATAGAAAGGAAGGGGATAAGAGAGGAGGAATGTAAGAGAAGGAATGTTAGAGTGAATGTAACAGGGCTAGAGAGGAGAGATTAAAAATGGCACTTTTGTGGGGGAGAGGAAGGAATAAGGTTCAAGTTGAGTGTGGCAGGAGAATGGAAGATAAAATTACAGGAGAAGAGTAAAAATACTCTGAGAGGCATGTGAGGGCAGAAGGAGAAAGGAAAGGGAAAGGGAAAGAAAGGTATTCTGTATTTAAGCGCCTCTAGATTAGCATATTCTGCCTAAAAAACAAAGAGAAGACCTCACAATCTCACCAGAGCAGATGTCTGTACTTAGCTTAAGGAAAACTGAGCTGTGGAACTCCTTGCCATGAAGAAATGTCAATGGCATAGAATCTAGCAATTTCCAAATATGGATTAGATATCAGAAAATGTCTGCAACTGCTATGCCAAACTCAGCTTCCACCTCCTACCACTTTGTGACTGGTGGGTCTCAGTAATTTTCAGATGTCTCAAGCGGGCCCTGGGGGTAGAAAGTTTGAGAACTCATGCTCTGCAGGTATACTCAAAAGTTTAATTGGGCTCCATGGAACGGTCTGCCTCAGGAGGTGTTAAGACTCTCCTTCCTTGGAGGTTTTTAAGCTGAAGTTGGATGGCCATCTATCGTGTATGCTTCAGTTGAGATTCCTGCATTACCAGGATGGGTGGGTGTGGACTAGATGACCCTCGGGATCTCTTCCAACTCTACAATTCTATTATTCCTCCTGGAACTTCATTCTCCACACCACCCAGGTATATGAAGCTGCCATATACTGAGAGAACATTGGTCCATCTAGCTCACTACTTTCTACACTGGTAGGCAGCAACTTTCCAGGCTTTCATGCAGGGTTTTCTCCTAGCTCTATCTGGAGATGCTGGGGACTGCACCTGGGACCTTCTGCACGCAAAACAGTTGTTATACAGTAAGCTACAGCCTTTCACTATTGTGAGCCGGGTAATTGGTTCATGTAGTTCAGTATTTACAATGACTTTTCCTGGCCCTACCTGGAGATGCTGGGGATTGAACCTGACGCCTTCTGCATGCAATGCAGATGTCTGCCACTGAAGTATGGCCCTCCCCCCCCAACAGTTCAAGAACCACTGCCCTACAGCTTAGCCCTGAACAATCTCTCTCTCCCTTTTTCTGGTTAACCTTAAATTCTACACCAAGAAAACTTTGTAGCACCCCAAACAGAAAAAAAAAACCCTTTCAAAAGTCTCCAGTGAACTTTCAACATCTTTTCTAATATGTGGAAATGTTTTAGACACACCCCAGTTATAAAGATTCTACTGCAAGAATAAAGGAAAACTTTAAAAGGAGAGAAAGGTGTGTGCATGCTTTTGGAAAAGTAATGCACCATTTTAGACAACTGGGTCCCTTCCAACTCTACAGTTCTATGATTCTAAGCATTTCTCATAGGAACGTCACCTTCCAATGACATGAAAAGCTATTAAACAGCAAGCTATTCCACACAGTAGACCATCTCTGAGCTCCATAAGGAAAAGGCACTGACCTCTTGAGGCCGACCCATGGTACTCTCTCTGAGCCTCAGTTCCATAAGGGAGTAATGATTACTGAGATAATGTATGTCGGGGGTGGGGAACCTGTGAGCCTCCAGATGTTGTTGCAGCTCCCATCAGCTCCTGCTGGCAGGGACAAATATGATGGGAGATGGGAGTTGGGAGTACAGAGCTGGGAGAGCACTGATGCACTTAGGTCTTGTTTGCGGGCTTCCCAGAGGCATTTGGATGGCCACTGTGAGAACAAGGTGCTCAACTAGATGGATCATTGGCTTGATCCAGCACCCAGGCTCTTCTTATGTTCTTAACACCAGAACATCCACAGGTTCCCCACCCTTGATATATGCAAAGTGCTTTAGGAACAGTTGCATACAAATACGACAATTATTAACAAAAACAGTAGCATACTCTATATGGGGAAATGAAATCCTTGCTTTAGAGGTATACATTATCTAATAACTTATCTAATACCATAGGTATTGCTACCTTCCTATGAAACACCCTCCCTTGTTAGAGTTTTCCTCTCAAGCTATGTCAGGAAGGAGGCACCATCTTCACCAGGCAGTCATTTTACAGTCACAGCCAGTTGCAAATGTAGCTTAAAGAGTTACAGACACCATTCCAAAAGCAGATCGGAAGTCTAAGGTTGCATTGATTAAAAGGTGAATCTTTGATTTTCTGCCAGGACAGAGTTGCTTTGAGACAGTCCTTGGAAGATGGCAAGCAAGCAACCTTTTCTGTGCTGCCTGCTGCAATCCATCTGGGGTGCCCCACACAGTGCATACCTGATACTCAAGTGCCAACAACACTTTAGAATTTAGATCTGAGTTTTTGTTGTTCACACTGTTTAGCCTATACTGCAAGGACCATACCCTCCATTCAAGGAGACAACTGTAGCTGAAGCATTTCTGAGATAAACATTTTATGTTGCCAGTGGGTTTTGGGGGGGGGCGGCGGCGGTTGGGGGGGCGGCGGCGGGGGGGGGGAATCATCATTGGAGAGGTCACCATCCATCAACAGAATCATCTGCTGCTTTCCCACCACTAGTTTCCTCACAGTATCTAGATAGTACTAAATTCTTCAGATAGTTCTGGAAGTGGGAGAGGAAGGGACATGGACAGGGCTGAGGAAGGTGCCCAAGAGCACAGACCAGCCCACTCTGCAAGAGCAGCTTCTATGGGCAACACCTCTGAGTATTTTTAAGAACCATCTCAATGACACAGACCTCAGCAGGGCAGTCAAGGAGAGAGAAAGCAAAGATGCTGCACAGAATGACTCCCATTGAACAGCGCAGATCCCAACACATGCGAGTCCACAGAATCAGTCAAGGAAAAACACATTCTCATCTGTTAGAGTTAACGGAAGGCAAAGGGGTTGGGCAGACAAAGAGCAAAGTCCCCCCTTCCTTTGCAGCCACCGCTCCAGGAAAGCTGCTTCGTAGCTCTTTGGGCAAGGCCAGTCAACAGCAGGCAAAGAAGCTTCAGGCAGGCTGCAGTTTGAGGCGGCGCGCTTTCCAAGAGAGCAAACCCCGCTACTACTGAGCCTCCGCCAACATGCAAGGGACCAGGTCCGTCCCCCTCCAGTTTCTTTCCGTCCCCTCCAATCCTATCCGGAGGATTGTTAAAGGGAAAGTTCACCGCGGCCAGGCACAGAATGGGAAAGTCCAGCCGGCACTTCCCTCTCCAGGGGCGGTTCGAGAACGAGGGCCTCGTCCCCCTATGGCCAAGCACAGCAGAGACGGCAACAGGTAACCCACCGGCTGCCTCCTCCTGCAAGCCGACCAACCGAAGAGGGGTCCACTCCATCAGCTCCATGCCGGCACCTCCCGAGACTCCCCTCCCGCTGTTGCCGCTGCCTGCTTCCCTCCCTCCTCCCCGGATCGGCTCCCTGCAGAGCAAAACTTTGTGTTGTAAAGCAGCAAGAGGAGGGGAAAGTTGCAAGTGAGCAACAAGGACGTGGGGGAGGCTCCTCGAGTGTTAGCCCCCACGTGCTGCGAGCCCCAGCAAGACAAGAAGCGCCGCAGTCCAAGCCCAGTTGTGCGTCCTCCTCTCCCTCCTCCCCCTTCTTTCTATCCTTCCTTCCTTCCTTCTTTCCCTCCCTCCTTCTCCAGACGCCATCACTCTTTTCTCTCTCTCCCTGCTCTGGCATTAGAGCGCCGGGATGGATAGAGGCGGCGGAGGTTGGGGCAGCCCACCGGGCCTCCCGCGGGGCTTTCGGCGCCCGCCTCCTCTCCGGCCCGGGAAGAGAGGGCTTGGCTCAGCTGGCTGGGGCTGAGGCGAACTCACCCTGGGACTCCCGAAGAGGCTTGGCAAGGGGGGCGGGTAACGGGCAGGCAGGCAAGGGAGGCCGCTTCACCTCTCCTTCTGGGGCAGATCCTCGTCTGGGTGCTGCCGGCTCCTCGCTTGCTCGCAGTTCCCTTTCTCTTTTCTCTCTCTCGCTCTCTAGCAGGAAGGAAGAAGGGAATGAGGCAGGGCTGACGTGAAGGGATGCAAAACAGCCCCTCCTAACCCAGCTCTGAGAAAAAGGGAGAGAGAAAAAGAAAGGCGCAGAGGAGGGAGAGCGAGAGCAGCAGCAGCAGCAGCCCCTTTTATCTCGCTTTTGTTTTCGCACTTCCTCTCTCTCCGGCCCTGGCCAAGTTTCCTTTTCTCTCCCTCCTCCCCACAGAGCTTCTCCCTCTCTTTCTCTGCCCTCCTTTCCCAGCACCACAGAATCCCCCCCCCCCATCTCCCACCCTGGTCTCTCTTAGCGAGGTGTGCAAGTGCACCCAGTCAGGCCTTTGCACAGGTGAGGAGGGGTGGCCCAAAAGGGCCCCTCTAATTGTCTCTAATAACCTTCCATGTCTGGGGTTAGGTGGGACTTCTAATGGGTTCTGTGTGTGAGGCAGCCAGAGACAAGCCTTTGCCTCTTGAAAAACTACCCTCCATTCATGCTTTTCTCATTTATAGTTTTATAAACCTCTACACTGAAGTGCTCCAAACGCAGGGCCATCAGATGGCCCTTGTGCTCCCCCAGCAGCTGCTAGGCCACAGCTACTGCCAAGCATAACACAGTCACGCTCCTCCTCTGGTGAACCAGCAGCAGAGTCAACAGCAACACTGAATAGACACACCCACCACAGCAGGCCTGGCAATTCTGCCACCAACCACAAAGATTATGCTCACCAACAACACATCTTCAGCCAGGCAAGGAAGGCTCCTAGCACTGCATAGAATTTTCAGGTGACCTTGTGGGGCTACCCAACCCTGGCCATGCTACCAGAACAAGCTATATTGTCTTTCCCTGCACAAGCCAACCAGGTACTTGTGGATAAGAAGCCTGTGCAAAGAGCCCTCTGCCCCATGCAGGATTTAAGCCCTGCTGGCAAAACAATGTTTCCTCTGCAGCAGCCATGCACAAAGTGTTTGGAACCAGCCTTTTGCAGGGGATAAGGGATGCCACACATAAAGGGGGAATAATGGAGCCGACAGTGGCAAGACTGTGGTTGGCACCGCCCCCCTTGTATGGGGATTAGTAGCAACATAATAAAAAGGATACAGCACCTGGACATTAGGGAGATGTAAAAGCTCCTATTTTGGAGGCCCTGGTGGGAAGAATAGTTTTAGGTGAGAAAAGGATGGCACAGCAAGACTGTAGGCCTGGCCCCTTGTTCCAGGCAGAAGAAACTGCCATGATGGAGCAATTGTATTAATTTCCTAGGGTATCCCCCTCTTTTCTTCTCCTTCAGACCCATAGACTAGCTTTCCATGTAGCCATAGCTAAGCTGAAAAAAGCAGAGACTCAGCATACATGAGATCCTGAGTTCAAACCCTGGCTATGGACTCCCATGGAAAATAGCTGCAAAAAACACTTGATCTGGATCAAGGCAGCCTAATAGCTTGTGTTATTGGCCTAGGACCCAATAATCACATTCAGGCTTAGGACGCTTTCACTTTGTGTAGCTCCCTTAATCTCAAACAGCCATACAGCTTCCTTTTAATTTCCAATGTCTGCTGGTTGTTATCCCAGGTCAGCTGCATACCCAACCTGCTGCTCCTACTCTCCACTTCATGCAGTCCCAAGTTTTAGATTGATCATCACACCAGCAGTAATGAGGGATGATGTAGAGATCTGCACTGCAGCAAGGGAGGTGGAGTAGGGAAAGGAAGAGCAGAGTGGCAGCCATCTGAGGCTCCCTATTGACCTTAATGTGGGTGCCACTTTTCCCTGCTGACAGAATGTTGCCCTCTGGTAGTGCAAGGGGCTTTAGAAGTGATTCCTTGCCACCCAGTGGGCATAACTCGACAAAGCAATTGTACTTGTGACTGTAGAGCTAATGGGCTCTTGAGGTAGCTTTTGCCAACACAGTACCCTCTAGGTGTTTTGGACTTGCTGGGCACCAGGTTGGCAAAGACTGCCTTAATGAAATCCTCAGACTGCACTCCACTTCCCTCAATTTTAGTCAAACATTTGCCCCCGCCATGGCTTTTTAAGAAAATTACATTAAGGGGGCTGCTGCCATGGAAAGTAAGGGGTGACCCCTCTGGTTGCAATTCCCATTTTCACAATATTCAATATTCTTTTTTTTAGATGTGGTGGCACCAAGGATGGACATAAGAGCAACATGATGCTTGCTTCCAGGCTTTTCCCACATCTTACCACTGAATTCACTTTTCTACTGCTACAGGACTCTGGGGAAATGTCCTTGTATTCATCCACAATGACCCCAGAACATCTAGTTGGCCACTGTGAGAACAGGATATTAGACCAGATGGACCATCAGCTCACCAGCAGGCTCTGCTTAGGTTCCTAGGGAGGGACGACCCTCCTTATTTTCCTTCTGCCAGAGTGTGAAGACTGTTTTGTTCAGACAGGCCTTTGGAAACTTTTTTTTGTTTTTAAAGGAAAGAGCATTTAACAGTGTACAGTATTTTTGTTTTTCATAGTTTTAATTCTATTAGAGTTTTTTAACTGCTTTTTAACAACTGCCTTTTGTATATTTTTAGCGTTTTGTATCTAATCTGTGTCATTTTGATTTGTGGAAGCCGCCTTGAATCCCAATTTGGGGAAGAGGTAAAATATAAATAAATTGTGCATAATAATAACAGTAATAATAGTAGAGCCCGGGGGCGGGGTGGTGGTGCAGAAAGGCTTTTCTGTGCTCTGCAAGGCACCTCTGCATCTGCCATCCTGCCAGGTTTTAAAGGCTCCTAAAGCACTTCCATCCCCTTCCTCTCTGCTCACACTCACTATGGAGGCCAGAGAGCTTGAAGCAAAAAGCTACTGGTAGTGGTGAGCCTCCTGGCTATACAGAGCCACTTTCTGAGTCTTCTCAGCCCCTTGCTCTTCTCACCTGCGGCCACAGGGCCTTGGTTACCAAAAAGGCAAGAGAGAAGGGAGGGCCCTTCCCACGGCCCACCTGCGGCGCTTCAGCCTTACAAGGAGAGGCACAGGCAAGCAGCCTCAACGGGGTGCCTCAGGCAGCTGCTTTCAGCTGCGTGCTTTGAAACGTCCCCTGAGCTGGCTTCCCTCGCAGGAGCGTTGTGGGTGCCTCGCCTCACGGGAAACACGCGTAAGTGAAAGTGCGCAAGCGCGTAGTCGCCCCCGTCTTCCTCCCCCCATTTCTTTCCCGCCATTTTCCTCCTCTCGCGTGCAGGGGGCGGGGCTTCGCCCATCCGTCCTCCCTCTTAATCACCCAATCAATGCCTTCACCGGCCGAACCGCGGACCAATGCCTGGCTCGGAATCGGCCAACCCCACGGCGACGGCGACTCGCCTCTATCCTTCCACTCTCCCTCCCGCAGTTACACTCCGAGCCCTGACGCAGCTCAAGTGGTGATCACAGTGCTGTCCTTTGCGGTTTTTTTGTTTTTTTGCCGCTACTGCGCAGGTGCAGGGAGGGTGTGGGCGGAGCCACTGTCTCCCGTAGCCCCACCTCCCCCGGCCCTGCTGTGTTCGCCGCCATCATGAGCCGCATTTACGACCAGGGCGCCCTGAGCACCAAGGCTGTGCACACGGAGCGCCTGCGCGGCCGCTGGGACCCCGCCTCCTGGCAGCGGTAGGCGGTGGGCCGCTTCAGCGGGGAGGGGCCTCTGAGCATGTGCAGGGTGCGCAGTGACGCTTCCCGCCCTTGCAGGCTGAGCGGGTGCAGCGTCGAGGGGTCGGGTTTGATGCCCAGGGACATTTGTGTGGAGGGAAAAGAGCTGAGCACCAAGAATGAATCCTTGAGGGGCCCCTTAAGAGCGAGAGAAATGAATGAATCCCCCACCCATTGAATATTGGACAATTAGGAAGTTGGACCACCCAAGAACAGAATCATGGAGACCTATGGGGTCCTTTAATGCTATTCTCACAACAGCCCTGTAAGGTAGGTCAGGCAGAGAGGGAATGGCATAGATGGAGAAGTGAAAAAAATAAGTTTCCCCTCTATGGCATCAAAATTCCCTGAAACGGTATAACCCCAGGGGATTGTGGGGCGATTGACATAAACTCTTCACTTGGGGTTCTTCCCCTGTGTCTTAACTTTTCTCCCCTGCAGTGGTGACGGTGTGATTGTGGAGGGGCAGCTCTTGGACGTGTCCCGCCATCTCATCTTGGATGATGCTGACAAAAAGGTGAGGCTTCTAATGAGAGCAGAAGAGCGATCCTGCTGGATCGGACCAGTACTCAGCCTCCTGTTCCCCCGCAGGAACCTCTGAGAAGCCCCATAAGTGCAGGGCAGGAAAGCCATAGCCTGTTCTGAAGCTCTGGTGCTGGAGGTCTGACACAGCCATCAAGACAAAAAGCCATTGATAGTGTTATCCTCCATGAATTAGTTCTCACTTGTTCATGGCATTATATTGAGAGTTAGTTTGCATTGAAGCGGTTCGTGTGACCCCTCTCCTTGCCATCTGCACCACTCAGAATGCTGCCTTTGCTGTGGGAAATGAAGGGATGTGTCTGCACCACAAATACAGTAATCCCACCTGGGAATCCTGGTGTGGGAGTAAAAGATACATAATCTCCTTTGCCGAAACACAAAAATATCAGTTCTCACAATTCCTGGCAGGTCAAGTTTGTGTGCCTTGAATTGGAGAGGGAAGGGGTCCTGCTAAGCAGCAGTTTTAGATTGGATGAGGGTAATAAACAGCAATTTGGGAGAGCTGGCTTTGGCTTTGCTTCTAGATGGCCAGGTGGCACCAGTGGCCAGGAGTGGTTTCTTTTACTAGCTGTGTCTTAAATGCCAGCTGTGCTCTTTTCTTAAGAAACCAGGGCTGGTCTTGTCACCTCCAAACTACACTACAGTGGTACCTCGGTTTAAGAACAGCCCTGTTTACGAACTATTCTGTGTAAGAACTCTGCAAAACCAGAAGTAGTGTTCCGGTTAGCGAACTTTACCTCAGTCTACAAACAGAAGCCGAATGGTGGAAGGGCACTGGTGGTGGGAGGCCTCATTAGGGAAAGCGCGCCTTGGTTTAAAAACAGCTTTGGTTTAAGAACGGACTTCCGGAACAGATTAAGTTCATAAACCAAGGCACCACTGTACTGTAATGTGCTGTATGTGGGGATGCCCTTGAAGACCCTCCAGAAGCTTCAGAATGCAGCTGCTATGGTTTTGATGGTGCCAGTCATTCTGATCAAATTAACTTCACTCTCATTCCACCTACATTTATTGCCACTTGCTTCCATGTTTCCGAGCACAATTCAAAGTGTTGGTGCTGACCTTTAAGCCCTAAATGGCATCGACCCAGTATACCTGAAGGAGTGTCTCCACCCCTATCGTTCAGCCCGGACACTGAGGTCCAGCTCCGAGGGCCTTCTGGCAGTTCCTCACTGCGAGAAGTAAGGCTACAGGGAACCAGGCAAAGGGCCTTCTCGGTCGTGGTGCCCGCCCGGTGGAACACCCTCCCATCAGACGTCAAGGAAATAAACAACTAGCTGGCATTTAGAGGACATCTGAAGGCAGCCCTGTTTAGGGAAGTTTTTAATGTTTGATGTTTTATTGTTTTTTTATATTCTATTGGGAGCTGCCCAGAGTGGCTGGGGAAACCCAGCCAGATGGGCAGGGTATAAATAATAAATCATCATCATCATCATCATCAAACCCTAAAGCGCCCAGGACTGGAATATCTCAAGAAATGCCTCCCTGTATGCAAGTCTGTTGAGAACTTTATTCCTCTGCTGAGACTCTGCTTTGGGAGTCCCACAGTCTTCAGACATAAAGCCAGTATGTAGCTTGTGGTTGTGGCACCCAGATTTGGAACAATTGGAAATTCCTTGGCCTCACTAGATTGCTTCTCATCACTTTTAGGAGGGCAGTAAAGGCAGCGTTGCTTCAGTGGACTTTTTCCAAAAAAGATGGTTTTGTTGCTACTGCTTTCACCAGATTTGGCTATTAGTGCATATTATTATTTTTTTAGGCTGCCTTGAATATTTCATAGTGCACATTTTGAGGATAATATTGAATATCCTGCAGATCCAAGGGGTTTTTTTGTGTGTGTGGGAGATTAGGAACTGGAGTCTGTCCCCAAAACAGGAGAGGCCCTTGGGTCCTAAGCCTCCTGCCCTGCCCCACCCTGAGAGGATGAGCAGGTGATCCTCCTTGCTGGTGGACTGGATTATTTGCCAGATGGGGAGAGAAGGGAGGGGACTGACACAATCTGAAGGTTATGTCATGTAGCCAGATTGCATTGCTGACGTTTCTCCTTGGATATTTGTTTGTTACCTTGACATCCTGCCTTTCCATCAAAAGGTAACTAACAGTACTTCGTCCAAGGTAAATAACAGTAATAAAATCCGCAATAAAAAAGGATCAGTCTATAGACAACATGGCAATAAAACTGGATAAAAGCATATAGAAAAAGGCAGTTAATTGAAAGCATAGTTAACTTAGAAGTACATATTTAAATACAGCAACAGAGCCAAACAAACCAGCCTAGTGACCCAAACACCTGTTTGAATGAAGATGGTTTATCCTAGCTAAATGGGGTCCATCCTCAAGGGGACTATATGGCCTTCCCCCTGCCTCTGGATGCAGTCTCTGGGGAAACTCTTTTCTCGAGTTCCCAGCAGTGTGCATCAGATGTTGGCTGGACAGATAGAAAGGCCTCTCTTGAAGACCGCAATACCAGATCAGGGCTGTGCAGTAGAGTAACCTTCAGGAAGTCTAACCCTGAGCCTTTTAGGGGTTTATAAGTCACAATTGGCACATTGAATTGTGCTGAAAATGGTCTGGGAGGCAATGGTAGCTGTTGTCACCTTAGAGTCCCAGGCCTCCTCTCAATCCCTGGCAAGGTCCTAACTGCAGCATTCTGGGCCAGAAACAATTCCTGAACAATCTTTGAGGGACAGCTCCACGTAAAGTCACCCATGTAGCAGTTGCCCAAACAAGATGTAACAAAGGCATGTCTCACCAGGGCCAGAGCTGACACCTCCAGGAGCAGCAGAGGTGGGCTTGATGCACCAGCCTCAGCTGAATAAAAAACACCTCTAGGGATCTAGAAAAGAATCTAGGGGGCAGCCCCTAAGCAAGGAACCCCATGGTTTTTCAGTGAAAGTGCAGCCTCATGCAAAACCAACTCTCTGATCTGACTTTCAGTTTTCCAGGAGCAGCTCTGCCTTGTCTGGTTCAAGTTCCAGCTCACTCACCCTCATCCAGTATGACACTGATACCCTGCATATTGTTCTAGAGGGAGAAATATAGAGTAATTCATTCTTGCTAGCTGTGAGTGTGATTTTTTTTTTTTGCGCAACCCGCTGTAATTTTTGCATTGGTTCTGTGACTGTTGGAAACTAGAAATGAGCAGTTTTCGTTTTTGTGTCTGTCTTCTTCATGATGATTGTTGACAATGGCTGGTGCTGGGGATTGTCAACACTGGCTGGTGAACGCCAACATGCTCCAGTTTTTTTACATCCACAGTAATACAGAGTTGCAAATGTAGTGGCAATAGCACTGGTAGGTGGTAACAACAGTCAAAAGTGATGGTGTTTTCTAAAGACTCAGAGTGAGCAGATTCTCTGTCCTTCCCAAACCCCAGGAACGCTACTTCGTGCTATACATCAGGCCAAGGCTTGTTCATCGCCGCAAATTTGACCCCAAGGGGAAGGAGGTGGAGCCCAACTTCAGCGAAACTCGGAAGGTCAATACTGGCTTCCTCATGGCATCCTACAGTGAGTTTTGCCCAGAAGCCTCTCCTTGGTCTGCCTTAGCAGAGCAGAGGGTAATGTTCCTGCAGAGCAGACTTGGGAGGTTGCCCTGTTTTCCTGGGTAGTGAACTGGGGTGTCTCAGCATGTGATCTGCCTTTCCTCTTATGAATTTCCCCTGCCATGTGGGGTGGGGAGATTGAGAGCATGTCCAGCATGGTTGTAGAACAGCCTTTGCTAATCTGGTGCCCTGCTGGGGCTGATAGGAACTGTAGCCCCAAAATATTTGGAGGGTACCAAGTTGGTGAAGATTGCTCTAGGATCTGCTTGGGTGTAGGAGGCTTTTTTCAAGGGTGGCAGGTGTGGTCCCCAGCCTAAGACCAGGAGCTGGGAGTTGATGGCTCCTGTGTGTGTGTGCCTGGGCCTTTGGGTAAGGCCCTCCTTGTACACATCAGTCTTTTTTCTTCTTCTGTGTTGTGATGGACAGAGGTGGAGGCCAAGGGCAAGACCGACAGGCTGACCCCAGAAGAGCTGGAGTGCCTGGTGACCAAGCCAGAGTTGGTGAAGGTGACGCAGCCCTACACACCCAGCCAGGCTGTGGCCTTCTGGCTGCCTGAGAGTGAGATGGAGAAGATGGAGCTGGAGGTGGGGATGGAGATCCGCTTGAGGACTCTGGGAGATGGACCCTTTGTCTGTAAGTGCTGCAGGCAGAGCTGCTGCCACAAAGCCTCTTTTCCCTGGTCAACCCCTTTACCCATTTACCATCCCTGCTGGGCCAGCCTGGGGAATGAGCCTTCCTCATGCTAGGACCTGGATTTGCCAAAGCATCAACATTTTCTGGAAGGGGACACCCTGGTGTGACTAGACTCCTTCCTCCAGTCTATATTCCATTAGAAACTTCAGGGACGTAGGAGGCTGCCTGCAACTGAATCAGGCCATTGGTTCATCTAGCTCAGTACTGCCTACACTGGCTGGCAGCAGCTCTCCACAGGGTTCTTTTGTCCGGCCCTACCAGGAGGTGCCATGGGGAATTGAACCCCCATGCCAAACAGCTGCGCTGCCACTTAGCTCTTGCCACTTTTTTTCTCCTTTCCAGTCTCCTTAGCCAAGCTGGATGTGGGGACAGTGACCAAGTGCAATTTTGCTGGTGACCAGCAGGCTGGGGCCTCCTGGACAGACAACATCTTGGCTTTCAAGGATCATGGGGAGCCGTCCGATGAACCCCGAGGGCATGGGGATGGCGCGGAAGATGCCGAATGGGTATGTGGATGACCACTCTAGATTGAGCAGCCAGGGCGGGGGGGTTCTCTCTGGCATGAGCTGGATTTGCTCCAGTCCAGGAGCCAGACTGACCCTGTTCTGGTGGGGCTGACTTCAGGGTCCTGTGCCTGGAGCCCTGGGTGGGAACAAAGCCTGTCTAGGGGTCCCTTGGAATAACTGCTGCTGTTCTCTGCAGGATGACTAAGGCAAGAAGAACTGAGAGGAAGCAAATGACTCCCTGCAGCTCCAGGACTCATCTCTATTCTTCTGTTTCCAAAGCTTATGGGGAAGGAGGGGGATGCTTGGGGGTGGGGAGGGAGTGGTGTGTGCTCTCTCAGCAGGGCTGGGATTCCTGCAGCCTTCCTGAATCTCTTTACATGATTCTTCCTGGGTGCCTGAGGGTGGCAGATCAGAAGATTTTACTTTTAAACGTTACCCCAGGCTCTTCTACGGCAGGCACTGCCCCGCCATGCCTGCCCAGCCCCTGGAGCAAAAGCCTCAGCCCTTCAGCAGCATACCAAAAATTACTGGTAGCAGTTTCAGGAAGACCAAAGAAAGTAATGGCCGCCAGTCACTGAGTGCCACGCAGTGGGAGAACCACCGTGAGCAGCAGAGGTAGCTTGACCAGCCACAAGTGTGGAGAACAGGTTGGTCAGTGTCTCTGGCCATAGTGCTGAAATAGGCTATTGGAACAGGGAGGTTCCATCTCTGAGTACCAAATGCTGTGGGCAAGCAGCAGGCGATGGCTGTGTCACCATAGCAGCTTGAATGGCTAGTGGTAGCAACTGCAGAAGGCAGCCTGCTTGTCCGGTTCTGCATTGTGTTCTCATTTGGTGCCACACACTTTACCTTTCAGTGGACTGTTTCCTCCTCCTCAGAGCAGCAGCGGGATTCATCATCATGTGCTGGTGATCTGAGAGGCAGCCTAGGATTTAGCTTCACGGGGCTTTTATTTGGTGCTCGGACAACACCTTCCTTCCTTCTGCTTCTCTCATGTATTCCTGCCCATGCTCAGCCCACTCTTCTTTTTTTTAAAAACCCTTTTTTATTTACTTTTACACTATACATTTGAATTCAAACATTAATCATAACCATCAACATTTAGGATTCCTTGAATCCTTAGACTTCCCTCCACCCCTCCATAGTTTCCATTATCAAACTTTTTCTGCTGCATCCTATATTTTCTCTATTTTTCTTAAAATAGTCCAATTTTTACCTTAGTTTTTTATACATTACACACATTACTCAAATTCTGCCAAAGTTTTTAGTTGTTTACAGTGTTGTAATTTTCCCCCATTCCTTATTAAAAGTTTCTATCTTTTCCCGGTCATTTTCTCCATTTCAGCATAGTCCATCATCTTTATCAACCATTTGTCTCTGGTCAGGACTTCATCTTCTTTCCATCTCTGGGCCAGTAGTATCCACGCTGCTGTCGTTGCATACATAAATAATTGCCCATTCTTCAGTCTGATCCTTCTGGGCCAGCTGGATAGATTTGTCATATATTGCACCAATAGATGGAACATAACCCTTATCGATGGAGGCTGACCCGTTTCGTGAATAACTTGTTTTTGTGTGTGAAATCAGTAAACACATTTAACAAAATACAACTTGATGGTTGTTCCATCAATACTGAAAACAGTCCATAGAGCATAATAACTTATCCATTTCACACTAGAGATTTACATGTGATTGTGGTGGTAGAGTTTGGTCATCTCTCTGTATGTACAAGATGAAAGCTGGGTGGAGGCCTTTCCTTAAGTACATAGGAATGCAGGAAACTGCCTTACATTGAGTCCCTTGGGTCCATCTAGCTCAGTTTTGGTGGCACTCACTGGCAGCCACTCTCCAGGGTTTCAGGCAGGGGCATTCCCAGCCCTACCTGGAGATGCTGCCAGGGATTGAACCTGGAACCTTCTGCATTTCAAAGCAGATGCTCTGCCACTGAGCTATGGCCCCTCCCCTAATTCCTTCTGGACGTTTCCAAAAGGTGGCTACAGGATGCGATCTTCAGCTGCTCTCTTTGGGGGCAGCAGCAGCTTGGTGGAGGAAGTCCTAAACAGTTGCCATTTGGCCTCTGGGCCTGCGCTAAGCAGGCAGGAGCTGGGAAAGGCCTGGTAGGAGAACCTCAGCTCTGCTCAATTCTCTGTATACATTCTGTAATAAAATCTTTCTATTTCCCTCCAGTCTGCCTGCCTCTTTCTGCAGGGGGCGTGTGGGGAAAGTTTGTTTCCTTGGCCGTTTCTTGGGCAACTGTGACCACCCTCCATCCTGATCTAAATATCTCTCCTCTGGGCCCAGAAAGACCACCAGGTGGTTGTGGGGGAGATTTCCTAGACTCTGTTGCATCAACGAGCCAAGCCACTGTAGACCCCTAATGGTGTATTGTTGTGGAAAGGTTGAATCATTATGACAACATGGGCTAGGCTGGGGGCTAAAAAGTCAGCATTCATTAGCTGCCCCCCCATCCCTTAATTATGCCCTTCCTGGCCACAATGCCTATTCCCCCTCTGTCAGGAGCAGGGTGTATGCTCCTGAATGCCTGCTGCTGGGAATGGGGAAAGCGCTGCTCTTGCACTCTCTTTGGGGTATCTTGTTGGCCACTGTGGGGAGAGGTTGCTGCACTAGATGTGCTCCTTTTGGTCCAACCAAGCAGGTTTTTCTTAGGCTCCTTGACTGGGCAGGCTTTGAGAACAACCCCTTTTTCTTCCTTTGCTTCACTGGCCTGGTTTTGCCAGAAGGTGGCGCCTTGAGGATAAGCTTTCAAAGCAAAGGAAGCCTTTGGAAGTGCAGCATATTCTGCCCTGGGCATCTCTCTGCAAAGGGTGGTTGGAGTGAGGAACTTATGCCAGAGCTTCTGCCTGCATGTCTTCAGGACACGGGCAGTCAGAAGTGAGAGGAGAGGATCTCCTGGTAGTTCTCTGGGGAGATTTGTGTTTGATTGGCAAAGGCTTTCTGACCCCTTCAACCATTGCAACATCAAAAAAGGCTCCCCCTCCCCGCAAATGGACTGCTCCACTTAAAAGCTTAGGAGAATAAACCTCTGCCTGGTGGCTGGAAGCTGATCATATGAGTGTCAGGGCAAGTGTTACTGGGATGTGTGTTGGGGGGGGGCTTAATGCCTCGGGGGGGATGTCTTTGGTTGTCATGCATTCATCTGACACCTGCAGCCAAGGGCACCTGTGGCAAGGCCTCTGACTGAACTCTAAACAAACAGGCAGGTTCTCCTGGGAGCTCAGATCCATCCCCAGCGATGCAGAGCTTTAGGGGTCAAAAATCAGCACCTGGAATTGTGCCTGGAAACAGCTGAAGCCAATTTGGATTTGTTTTGAAGCCAGTGCAGTGTATTTCCAAGCAGCGAGTGGCAATAAGTAATCTGCCTGTGGTATTCTGTACCAGCTAGCCTCTTCCAAGGGGCAGCCCTGTATGCGGCAATTAAGCCTGTGTATTGGTTTGGCAGCCCTCCCCTCATAATGCCACAATCTCAAAAGCGCAGCCTCTTGGCACTTCAAAGACAAGCTATTTTATTGTCACTTGTTTATAAGGTGCTGCAAGATACTTGTTTTTGCTGCAGCTGACAAGCAGAATGCTGTGTCAGTGCAAACTCAAGGCGGATTAAATAAGGGTTGGTTGCCACTGAGGACTAGTTCCCACATGCCTGCTCCTTGCTCCTTGGCTGTAGCCTCAAACACTGCCTGGCTTGGCTGACTCATTGCCTTCCCTGTGCCTTGGCCATGGTTCTCAGCAGGAAGAGGGTAGCCCAGATGAGGCCTCTTGAAAGTGATCTGTTGTGTCACTTGGGTGAGGCAATTTCCTTCAGCGCAGAACAGCTGTGCACAAACTTCCACAAGCATGAAATATGGGAAACTTTCTGGGAAAACCCAAAGCTGGAAGGGGTCTCTGTGTGTGGTCAGCTAGGGTGGAGTGTCCAGGGGGAAGGGAAAGAGTCATCAAGCCTCAGAAGAGTTAACCGTTGGCAGGTCTCTAGGGCAACCTTCTGCCCAGGCCTCTGGACTTCACTCCCCTGAGGCTGCAAAGAGACTGTTTTTGAAGCTCAAGAAAAGTATGGGGATGATGCTCTGTCCCTTGGTCTTTTAAGTCTTAAAGAGGTAAAGGAGGATGCTTGTCAGCTCTTTGAAACAAGGGAAGGAACACCATGCCCATGGGCTGTCCAGCAGGACCACCCTCCCACTTTCTCACCAGGCTTTGTCCCACCCTGAAAGATTCCCCCAACTTTGCTTGCAAAGTCAAGGAGGTGGCACATCACCTACTACAGGGGAAAAACCAAACATATAGCATGTGACACAGCATTGACACCCCATCTCTTGATCTATGAGAAAAGTAAACACAAAACAAAGTGAGCGTCCTAAATCTTTTCAAGTGGTGGGAGGTTTTAGGTTTGCCAGCACCCACCTCGGATTAGGTTTCCTAGGAACAAAGGTCACCGGAGAAGGTAGTGTCTTGGTGAGATACAGGTTTATTTACACATATGTCTGTCCTGAGCATTAGATGGCAGGGCTCACAGCATTCCCTGCCCCCAACAGGTTTTGCTCCCCTGCTAGGTTACCAGGATGATCTCAAAGTCCTCACTTCGGTTTCAGCAGAGAGAGAGAGAGTCAAGCCACTGTGTCTTCCCAGTTCAAGCCAAGACTGGCCTCTGGCCAATTGCTCTCCTATGCTTAGGCTGGTGGCCTCCAGCCAGGTGATGGCAGAGGTGACAAGCGTGGTGGTGGTGGGGTGGGAACTGGTACAAATTACCAGGGCTGGAGATCTGGAAAGGGGATCCGGGGCCCAACTACCTTGCCTATGTTTGATGCTGGGATTTTTTTTTTTCAGCTGGAGCTCAGCTCCAACACCTCTCAGGTGGGTGCAATTGCCATTTTAACAAAGGAAAAGTTCGTGATGAGCTCCAGCACCTCTTTTTCTAGAAAAACAGCACTGGTTTTATGTAATTCTTAACGAAGTATATATTTCATGATCGATGCACGCACAATTCTGTATAATGGCTTGCAAACTTACGTCGTGAACTAAGCACTTCTGATTCTATATGAACATTCACTGCTGTGCTTTGACAGTATTACGGCAGTCTCGTTGTATTATGCCTAGTCTCGTTAGTATGTTTTCCTTAGTGAACACTGTGCAAATACAACAAAGTTGTTGTGTGATACACATTGTGGTGGGCTGCACATAAAAGTTAAACATTTAAAGTGCATTGCTGGTTCAGCAATGATTGTCTTGACTGCTTACTTTATTGGCATCATTAGGATCTCAATACTCTCAGCAAGTATGAATATTATTAGATCTATTAGTAACATAAAAATGAGAACACATTTATTGTATTTCCCATGTAAAGATTTTTAGCCAATCTGCCCTTGCTGTGGGGGTTCAAATGTTTTTGTTTTTTTTTTTACTATGGCCTGAACCTGCTCTCCCGGTCCTAGCGAGTGAGGGCGAGTCTGCCCTCTACTTGTGGAAGCCCTGCTAGGTGGGTGTTTCTGGCAACAAAGCACCTGTACTTGGCCAGCTCTTCTGTCATGTAAAAAAGATGCTTAAGAGACTTGGCTAGTCCTGTCAGCTTTTTAACAAAGAGACTAGTCTGACCACTTCAGAACTTCCTTCTACAGAATCCCATCTGACAGATATCAAGCCACAGGCTTGGAGGGGACCCAAAAATAATATCCAGACCAACCCCCAGTCCTACAAGAGGGTCATATTCCTAAATAGTAACAAAACAATATTGTTTTCCGCTTGAAGACCAGCATTTCTTCTAGCATAAGCTTCCATGGACTGCAGAGGACTGAAGCTTGTGCCGTAAGAAATCTGTTGGTCTTTAAGGAGGCACAATACTTTGCTGTTTTTGCTGCTCCCATCCACCCTGCGACTGAGAAGAGAGATGGCTCCCTTATTCCAGGCTGTGACCACCATGCTTGCCTAATTCCTCTCTGCTGCACCTGGTAATGGTGGAACCCTTGCTGGGCATAGGGCTCCCTTCCCATCTGCCTCTCTGGGTGGGTGGGTGGATGGATGGGTGGAGGCAGTGGTTATCTTGTTTTGGCACATCATAGACCCATCAGCTTCCCTTTCCTCAAAACCACAGTGGCACTCCCAGAACCAGCTCAGCAAGTCCGATAGCGGGACGTTACACCCACAGGAGGTTGCCCAATTTGATACTCTTTGGAAGTATCAAAAGTATTTTCACTTTACAAGCCATGACTTCTTCCACCTAACGAACGTTAGGATCCTTTTCTTGGTCATCTGGCACAGACCTCTCCCTTCTGCTTCAGGAAGCTGCAGGTTGGTTCATTTTTGTCATTCTTCAAGTAAATCAGAGTGGATAAATGGAAAGAAAGGGTTGTCAGGACTGGAAAATATGAAGCTGTCGTGCTTCCTATTTTGGCCAGTTAGTATTTGGGGTTATTTATTCATTTGTTTGACTCATTAGTTGCCTGTTACCCAAAGCCCTATGAGCAACTTAGAGCACATTTTAAAATGTAAACATAAATGCATTGGAGCACCTTGCAGGATGCAGAAGCTTCTGAGTTGCTCAGGTGTGATGTGTGGGAATTGATGGTCAGCAGAGGAACAGAGGAAGCTGTCTTATACCAAGCCAGACCAATGGCTCATCCAGCTGAGTATTGTCCTTTCCTTTCCCTACCTACTACATGGAGATGCTAAAGGGGAGTGAACCAGGGACCTCCTGCATGCAAGCTCAGTAGCTATGGCCATTCTCAGCAGTTGCTTGGGCCACTCAGACTTGTGACGCCTTTGCTGTTTACTGAGGTCGGGGTGGCATAAGTGCCCTCCTTTTGCTGCCAACTATTGTTTCCCCGTTGTATTACTTTATTTTGTTCGGCTGTGATAACAGGGCATTGATGGATGACTGGAAAAAAACTTTGAGCACTTCCTGATCTGAATCAGCCAGGGTGACATTTGAGCAATGTTCAAAGCAGAGGATAAGCCCTTTTACAGGCAGTCAAACCCCCTGGACACGTCCCAGAGTGGGGAAGAGCTGCTTTTTCTAAAACAGGATAGCCAACTGTTCTCTTGGCACCTTGCAGGGGTGCGGGTTCATCAGTGGTGCAAGCAGGCATGAGCAGCCATCTCGGCATAGTTCAACTGCTGTTTCCCTGAGCTGTCTGTCCTCATGGGTTCCCGATTTGCCAGTGACCCTGAGGAAGCCCATAAAACAATTCAGCAGCAATAATCAACTGCATCACGAACATATATACTCTCCTGATGAACATCTTATCTTGCAGGCTTGGCAAGTGTTGAGTGTGGGGCAAAGGCTGCTGGCTGTGGAACTTGCTCCGACAGGAGGCAGAGATGGCCACCAACTTGAATGGCTTTAGAAGACTAATAGACCAATTCATGGAGGAGAAAGCTATCTGTGGCTACTAGCCATGATGGCTATGCTCTGCCTCCACTGTTGGAGGCAGCAGTGCTTCTGAATCCCAGTTGCCGCTGGATGTGCTTGTGCACTTCTTTTTTTTTTTTTAAATAATTTTTATTAAAGTTTTAAACAAAGGGAAAAAAAACAACACACACAAAAAAACAATACAAAATTTAACAATAAAAACACACAACATAACAATTTAAAACAAACTCTCTTTTAGATTCCCAATTTTGAATTACTTATTTTCTGGACTCCCTCATACCTCCCTCTTTTGTATTCCAATCTACATTATTTGTCCAGCAGTTTCTTTTCCACTTTATTAAACCCAATCTTTAATTTAATGAAATATTAAACTATATAGCTTCAGCTTTTTTAAACATAATCCTTGTTCTTAATATTATATACCTTTAAATTTTTCTCTTTTATTATCAAATTTCCATTTCTTTAAACATCTTTAATCTTTAATCTTTAATCTTAATCTATCCTTAGCTTTAACCTGTACAGCTGGAAACCACTTATTTTCAATCCAACATCACTCTAACATTCCTTAATTTTGCAGTGTTTCTGAAGATAGTCTTTGAATTTCTTCCAATCTTCCTCCATCGACTCTTCTCCCTGGTCACGGATTCTACCAGTCATTTCCGCCAATTCCATGTAGTCCATAAGTTTCATCTGCCATTCCTCCAGCGTGGGAAGTTCTTGTGTCTTCCAATACTTTGCGATAAGTATTCTTGCTGCTGTTGTTGCATACATAAAGAAAGTTCTATCCTTTTTAACACCATTTGGCCCACTATGCCCAGGAGAAAGGCCTCTGGTTTCTTGGGGAAGGTATACTTAAATACCTTTTTAATTCATTATATATCATTTCCCAGAAAACCTTAATCTTTGGGCACGTCCACCAAAGGTGAAAAATGTACCTTCAGTTTCTTTACATTTCCAACATTTGTTATCGGGCAAGTGGTAGATTTTCGCAAGCTTGACTGGGGTTATGTACCACCTGTATATCATTTTCATAATATTCTCTCTTAAGGCATTACATGCCGTAAATTTCATACCAGTGGTCCATAACTGTTCCCAGTCAGCAAACATAATGTTGTGTCCTACGTCCTGTGCCCATTTAATCATAGCCGATTTTACCGTTTCATCTTGAGTATTCCATTTCAGCAGCAAGTTATACATTCTTGACAAATTCTTGGTATTGGGTTCTAACAATTCTGTTTCTAATTTTGATTTTTCCACCTGGAAGCCAATTTTCCTGTCTAATTTAAATGCCTCCATTATTTGATAATAATGAAGCCAGTCTCGCACTTTATTTTTAATTTTTCAAAACTCTGCAATTTCAGTCTATCTCCGTCTTGTTCCAAAATTTCCCAATATTTCGGCCATTTGACCTCCATATTGACCCTTTTCAAGGCTTTCGCTTCCATTGGTGACAGCCACCTTGGGGTTTTATTTTCTAACAAATCCTTATATCTAATCCAAACATTAAATAATGCTTTCCTGGTGCTTGTGCACTTCTGCTCAGTTCCTGCTTGTTGGTTTCCCACAGGCATCTGTGAGAACAGGATGCATGGCTAGATGGGCTATTAGCCTGATTCAGCAGGCTCTTCTAAGACCATTAAGGAACCTATTATTATTTTGTTTTGATGATGCTTAACAGCATAAGAAGCGCTGACTTCTGGGTCAAGTCAAAGGGGGCCAGTCTAATCCGGCATCCTGTTTTGTCAATGGCCAACCAGATGCCTCAAATGGAAGAAGCCCACAAGCAGCACCTGAGTGCAACAGGAGCAGCTCTCCTCACATGCGATTCCCAGCAACTGGTATGCAGAGACTTCCTGCTTCTAGCCACCATGATTAGTAGCCACTGCATTGCTTTGTCCTCCATGAATTCCTCTGATCTCATTTTAAAGCCTTCCTGGTTGGTGACCATCACTACATTTTCTGACAGGAAATTCCATAGCATCCCTATGTTGTGTGAAGAAGTCCTTCCTTTTTGTCCGTCCTGAATCAGCTTCATGATCCCAGCTTTCAGAACTCCCTGCTCACTTTTCCCCACACCACTCATGACTTATGCCACTCATCTCCTTTCTTACTCACATTTTCTTCAAAAAGAAGCCCCAGTGTAGAGCCTTTCCTCGTGGATAGCTCAGCAGGTTAGAGCATGGTGCTGATAATGCCAAGGTTACAGGTTCGATCCCCATATGGGGCAGCTGTATTGCAGGGGGTTGGACCAGATGATCCTCAGGGTCCCTTCCAATTCTATAGGGGACTTGCTGTATCCCTGTAGGGAAAGGCTGCTAAGGACCACCCTGCTGCACCCTTATGGGTGGTATTCAACTATGTTTTTCTCCAGGTAGACCTGCTAGACCTGAAATTAATGGACTTAACCTAGGATTGTTCACTGAAATGGGTCTGCTCTGACTAAAACTCAGTTGAATATCCCACTATGTTTCCCACCTACTTGGATGCAAAGTCAGAGCCTCATTCTACAGGGAGCAAATCCCTGACAGCAAACAGCTGGAGTTATATGCAGCTGCAAGGGAATGCATGCATGTCCTGCTTTCAGGTTTCCCATCGAGACATCTGGTTGGCCACTGAGAGGACAGGATGTTGGACTAGATGGGCCACAGCTTGACCCAGCAGGGCTATTCTTAGGTTCTATGTTCTTAAGTGCCTCAGATCCTTCTATAAAAGGAGCTCTGGGGGAAGGGAAGAGGGAGAAACACTAGAGCGGTCAGCCGACAGACTGGCTTGGATCCCTATGGAGCCAGAGGCAGAGGGGGGAAATCCTGGAGGAGGCACCTGGGTGGCCACTGAACTGTGGTCCTTGTGTGAAGAATGGAGGCATCCTGTGTCCCTGCAAGGGCTAAGCACAGACAGGGAAGCAGACCTGGCAAAGTAGGGAGGTCCTGAAAAAGAGGTTCAAGAGGGTTTTTCCCTTCCTCCTGCTTGCCCCAGAGGAATGTTGAGTCAGAGCTGCCAGGAAAGGAGCTGCTTTGCTTGAACAAGGAAAGTGAAGGCAGCACTCACTCCTTGCAGAAGAGCCCTAGAGTGGCCTGGCCTGGAGGTTTCGGGAAGAGGAGGGCCATGAGCATGGGGCCAAGTCCAACATCCACCATAATTTTAGCTGCTCTTTTCTGAACCTTTCCTAGCTCTACAATATCCCTTTTGAAGTGCAGTAACAAGCACTGTATTCCAAGTGTGTTTGTAGCATAAATTTGTATAACAGCATTATGACGCCAGCAGTTTTATTTTCAGCCCCTGTCTTAATGACCCCTGCGAATTTTGCTGCTTTCCCCTCCACAGCTGCCACACACTAAGTTGACATTTTGAATTTTCACCACGACCCCAAGATCCTCTGGTCAGTCACCCCCAAAGCATCTATGTGGAATTAGGATGTTTTGCCCCAATGTGCGTCACTTTTTAAAGTTGAACCAGGACAGAAATCTAAACAAGCAAGCAAATAAAGGTGCTGCATGGGGAATCTGGCCACTGTCTGGACTTGTCCTTAGTCAGCCTTCCCCAACCTGGAGCCCTCAAATGCCTTCAAATGTTGGGAATCATAGAATTGGATGGTGTCCCAAGGGTCATCTAGTTACAGCCAAAGAACCCCTGACACATGGTCATCCAGCCTCTATTTAAAGGCTTCCAATGGAGGAGAGTCCACCATTTCTGAGGTAGTCTGTTCCATGGTCAAGCAGCAATTACCGTCAGAAAGTTCTTCCTAAGGTTTAGTCAGAATCTCCTTTCTTGTCATTTGAATCCATTGGTTTGGGTTCTACACCCCGCAGCAGCAGAAGACAAACCTGCTCCGTCTTCCATGGGACAACCCTTCAGGTATTTGAAGATGCCTGTCATTCCTCATAGCACTTGGTTTCCAGACCCTTTATCATCTTGTTCACCCTTCTCTGCATAATTTTCCAGCTTGTCAATATCCTTCTTAAACTGTGGTGCCCAGACCTGGACACAGGACTCTTGGTGGGGTCTGACCCATGGCAGAATAGAGCAGTACTGTTTCTATTATCTGAGGTATTAACTACTACTCCCAGTTTGGTGTCATCTGCAAATTTGAGGAGCATCTCCTCAATTACTTCCTCCAAGTCATTCATAAAGATGTTTAACAACTCTGGGCCCAGGACAGAATCCTGTAGCACCCCACTTGTCATTTTGTAGGATGACAAAGAACTGCTGGTGAGCCCTCTTTGGGTTCAGTCAGTCAACCAGCTACGAATCCACCTAACAATAACACATTGCCAGCTTCTTTGCAAGGACATCATGGGAGACTTTGTCAAAAGCCTTACTGAAAGCATTCCCCTGATCCACCTTTCCACATAATGCTACCCCCCTCCCTTCCTGTTTGGCCTATTCCTTTTGAATAGGTTATACCCCTCACTTACTACATTCCAGTCATGAGACTCCCATCGTCCCTGGCCACTGCCTTTCTAAAATAACCAGAAGGGCATCAGGCTAGGAAAGGCTGTGACACTACGCCACCTTTGAGAGAGCACTTCCAGAAAGGATGTGCAACTTTCAAGCCTAGCCTAGGAATCAGGCCCACTCCCAGCACCTGCCCCTCAAGCCCAGCCCTCCTTGCTGAGAGTACAGGAGGGATTGGGAGGCTGCAAACTGGAACTGGCACACGGGGTGGGGGCACCCCATCTCTTTCGCTCTCTCCAGTGCTTATGGAGAGCTGCAGGAAGCAAACTTGTGCCAAATCTGGCTGGTGTTTTCCCAGCCAACACGGCTGGGCTGATTACCTGTTTTCGGGTGGGACCTTTGTCCCTTTTTATGACACCTTTATTCACCCCTGCCCGAAGCTGATTCTGCCTCCATCCTAGGGGTGCCTGGAGCGCCTGCAGGGGCGCCTATCCCTGGGTGGATTGATCCCAGGGGGTGCTGCTCTGCCACAGAGCTTGGGGCAGCCGCCGCTCCTGCCTCTTATGCTCTTATGCCCCCCGCCCACCGGCTGGGATCAAGGATGTTGTGTCCCTCAACCCGGTTCCTGCTGGTTCAGAATGGGTCTCCCGGTCCCGATCCTGGCCTCAGACCCAACCGTGCTGCAGCAACTGCGCCCGAAGCGACCCGCCCCAGCTTCTGCACCCCTGCTCTGAAGGAGGGGGTCTAGCCCAGGATCTAGGCCGCTCTTTTTGTGTGACTTAGTCCGAGAGCAAGGAGTCAGAAGAAGAAGAAATCCTCTCCACGGGACAGATTTTCCCATGGGCTTGGCAGCAAGCCTGGCCCAGCCCTCCGAGCCGCCTCTCTGGAAGGCCGGACCTGCAGCAGGACCACCCGCCTCCCAGCCTGGGTTAACTCCTCGCCTGCTGAAGGCCGGGAGATTTTTTTCCTTTTCAGGCTGGGATCTCTCTCCCGTTGACCCCGAGCGAGCAGGCTCCCCGGCTCTGCAAAAGCAGCGCTGGGCACAGCACCCGGCCTCTTGCCACATCCCCGCCTCCTCCTCCTTCTGCGTGGGACCCTCCCTCAGTCTCTGTTCCTCTTGAAAATGCTTTAGCCCTGGTGTGGCTTTGCTGCTAGGTAGTCCGCGCTCATGGTGGAAATTTTATTTTTATTTATTTATTTCACAAAATTTACACACTGCTTGATTGTTAAAAAACAGTAAAACCATCAATAATTACATTAAAGCAATTCTATTCTAAAACTTCACAGAGGCAGAAAGGGTTAAACTAGGTGACATAGCAGGAGGGTTATGATTGGATCTCAAAGGGGGGAGGGAAGCCCAGGAGCGGTCAAATGGATTGGGCTGTCGTTCCCCTCTCCCCACAACTTTCTCTAACCCAACTCTCCATCTCTCTGCTGCAGAGAGAACTTTCCTTGGAGCATCTCACAAGAACTGACCCATAAGGTGTCTTATGGATGCATGAGTAGTAACCCATGAGTTACTACTCATGCATCTTCATCCTGAGCACAGCACAGGGGTTAGGGCAGTGGCTCTCAAAGGGGGTGGTGTGCCACACTGGTGTGACAGGAGAGAATGGCAAGGAAGAAACCAAGGAAACCTTGAAACATTTCAGTGTAGTAGAGTAGTGTGTTCATGAGGAGACTTTGTCTCAAATTAGACCTGATATAAATGAGATTACCTGGCAAAAGCACATTGAGTTTGTATACATACTTAAGGTACATATGTGAGACGCATGTTTATAATTATATTTTGGGAATGATGTATGTACTTGTGTAGCTGCATTGTTTTATACTTTCTGGATGCCCCATGATCATATTTTAAAGTACTTGTGTTCTAGCAGTGCTTGGTTTATAACATAGGAGTCGTTTCTTTTTGGTTTCCAATGTATTTCTTATCAATTAAAAAAATCAGTGTGGCGCAAGCATTTTTTTTTTTTTATTCTGAAAGTGTGGCTCTTATCCAAGCTCTGTCACCCCCACAAATATTTTTCTTCAAAGGAAATGCCAAGATCATCATAGATCTCTCATGCCTTGCCAAGTTTGACACTAACCACAGTTTGTGTTGGTGCTTAAAACACAGACACTGTCGTAGGATTAATTACAGGGAGCTAAACATGCTTAATTAACTCAGCACCCATATAGGGAACAGAACTGGAACCCCAGCTAGCCAGGGCTGGTGCATATTATTGAAGGTTTGGAGTCTGCATCTTTCTGGAATGTAGGCTCCTTGGGTGCAGAAACCCTTGGTTGTGAATCTCTCAACCACATCATGCCCCTTGATAAAGCAAACAATTAGTGAAATCTCACCCCTGTCATGAACTCACCAGGTTTTAAGCACGTCAGCCTCCCCATCAGCATTCTGGGGAGGATAATATTTATTTACCTTAAAAGGTGGTGGTTAGGACCACTGACATAATGCACCTGAAAATTGCTTTGTAGATAGTTGCTAAAGATATCCATTTGCATAGAAGTAGGCAGGTAAGAGAACACGGAGGCAACCTGTTATTATTTCCTATATCCAGCTGCATCAGAGTTTTTGCTAAGTCACAGTTCTGGAGTGACTCACTAACCATTCACTGGCCTCCCACAACCAACCGCTTGAGGGTTGGGTCTGAAATAACTAGTTTCTGAATAAATCAATTCCCACCGCCACCCCCCACAAGAAAAGTGGTGCCAGCTTTGACTTTTGGTTATGCTCTGCTCTCTTCCCTACATACTCCTTAAATACACAAGTAGTAAAGAAGACCCCAAGAGTCACCTAGCCAGATGGGTGCAGGATCCCCCTCTCCATAG